AAGCCGGGACAAATTACCCCAGACACATGTTGACTCAGTTTTGTCACAAAGTAAGAAATAGATATCTTTTACTATGTCTATGCTTTTACTTACTTTGTGGCTTTTCCGAGGCGTCTCATGGCTCAATAATTTTAGATCATGATTTTATATATATATACCGTTATAGAAATACTTGTGGGAGTTTGGCCGAAGAGCTTGAAATAACGTGAAAAAAATCGCCCCACTATAGAAACTGTATATAGAAACACGGAAATTTTTTTTATTTCTTACTAATCATGTTTATGATATCGGGAGTAATATACTTACTATCCATTTCATCGTAGCATCTGCAGAATGCCACACCGAGCTTCCAAAAATAAAGAGAGTGATTACAAGCGGCACAAGCTTCATTGTAGAATGTCCTATTGGTAGATATACAATCTTTGTCAGTATGTTAACAGTTAACTTGGATGCTGACCGTGTCAACTAGTTGCTGTGATCGCAGCTTCGAATGCACGACCAGCTTCCGAATATACTCGGCACAATTCGGCAAGCTTTCGGCGAATTTTATAGTTCAGTGTTTTATTAGTTCACTGAACAATCATACTATGAAACAAGGGATAATAATTGGAAATTTGTTCCCACTTTTAGCAAGAATTGATAATAATATGATAACGATTACGAAAGATATAACTCAAATTATTTGCTTTAGACATATATTTGCTTAATATTTTAGTGTGATTCAAAGAATTAATATGTAGCTACTTCTATGTAAATGATGTTTGAATATTAGATTTCATTTCGTATCCAAAAAGATGAAACTGAAAAATTTTAGTTAGGAAAACTCTTCAAGCCATGGCCACGTTCGATACGGTCTAGATCCGCGCCTGATATCATATTAAATGATATAGCCATATATAGTTTTAGTACCCTGACTATTAAACAGCAATAATATAAAATCAGGACTCACCTGAATTTTTTTCACCGTTGTTCTTTATAATTAGAATGTCAAAGTGTGATTGAAGTCCTCCTTAATAAAGCACCAGATTATCTAATTAGTATGACAGCTACCAGTAATTACCAAAAGGAGAAAAAAATGCATTGCATGAATGACATGAATGCAACACGGCGAGGTTTATTTTGAAAAGATTTTTTATCATTTTTACATCTAATCTAGCCACCTGGTTCTTTTTTGTGTAAAGTAACGCTTCATGTAATGATAATGTGATATAATTAGAGTGTCAAAGTGTGAACGATGACCTCATCACAGATTATCTAATCAGTATGACAGTTACCAGTAATTACCAGTAACTTTGTTTTAACAAAGTTCGCAAAGGAAGAGTAAAATTCCCAAAATATATATTTAAAAAAGTCGACTGTGGATGTATTTGTGGATATGGATTAATTTTATTCAAAGGAATGAAAATAAAGAAAATGTGGAGAGTCTGAGGGACTGAAAGTGCTTGGATGCAACATATAGCGAGATTTATTTTAAAATGATTTTTAATCATTTCTACATCTAATCTATAGCCACCTGGTTATTTTTTGTGTAAAGTAACGCTTCGTGTAGTGATAGTCTGATATATGCAGGACGTGTTTTTGAAGCTGACCAGTTAATGCGCTTGACGTACGCTTGTCACAATTGCTATTTACTATAAAGGCTCTGTTACACGGTGCAATGTTCTTGCAACTTGCAATGCAATACTACTTTTAAGAGATGTATATTTGGAAACAACGAAACTTTTGTGTTTATTACACTTTATGCACTTTTCTTCTGTAATACTCTCACTAACTTATACATCTCCTCAAAGTAGAATTGCATTACAAGTTGCAAGAAAAATGTTACCGTGTAACATGGCCTTTCACTCATATTTCAAACACTTCAAAATCAAAACAATCTATACAATTCCTACAACATCGAAAACCCAAATGCCCGGTCCTAAACAACAGCTTAATATCGCAAAATAAAATTAGGACACGGTACGAAATTCGGAAGTCGAGCTAACGCAAAAACACAAAAGCGTGGCAAATGCCAAACAAAAATCTCAAAACGACAAAGCATCCAGCCGTGACGTCAGGATTAGGAACACTGTTTGACAATCTGCATCACTTCATTGCTCTGAGGTGGGTGCGGATCTGGGTTGGTCTAGGTTGTATAGGAGGGTCTAAGTTGTATACAATCCAATTCACAAAACTTCGCGAGGTCTGAAGTGTTAGTTCTCAAGTCTCAACGCCAAAGATAGTTTTTAGATTGAAAACTTGATAGTATGAAATTTATTTCTTGTGTTAAAGGATAGTATATAGGCTCTTTATATATTACTCGTTCGCTGCGTTCTCAGTTCTCACTCTTAAGATATCGTAATTCGTTCTTATAAGTTAATCTCTACATATAGCTATGATTTTATAGTACGCCGACCATTAATATGAAAATAGAGCTCACCTGAATTTTTGACACTGTTGTTCTTTAGAGTCTTCGAGTGTAAATGATGACCTCATCACAGATTATCTAATTTGTATGCATGACAGTTACCAGTAATTATACCAGTAACGTTATTTGTTTTCACGGCAAAGCTCGAAAAGGAAGAGTAAAATCTTCGAAATATATGCAAAAATATTGACAGTGTAAATATATAAATATATATCTTATTTAAAAGAATGAAAATTAAGAGAATATATAGTGAGGCTGAGTTACTAAACGTGTTTGAATGAGACATATATAGGAAGATTTATTTTGAAAAAACGTTTTTATCACTTTTACATCTAAACTGGACACCTGGTAATTTTTTTGTTTTGGAGTGATAATGTGATATAACAGCGCCTTTTTTAAGGAGTTCTATTAAGAGTCATCGATCCCCCTGTTTAAATACAAGCAATGTTATATAAAACATAGAAGCATGTTTCTACAAAATATTGACTTTGCGTACTATTACAATACTATATCGAACCATTAACAGTAACATCAAGTTCAATACTTGTAAGGTATATATACTATATAGCCCGTTGATTAAATATTGTATAAATATATATTGTTTTATATGTATTGTTCTATAAGAATTTGTTGTTTTATATGTGTACTGACGGTTTCTTTAATATCATAGGTATAGCTACTGTTCTGACTGTATGATTGTCTTGGGAAAACTCGTATGCTAAGAGGACCGGAGGACTGTTTCACAATCGTAGCGGCTGTCCCCCACTCAATCTGCGCATCACTTTATCGCGCTGAGGTGGACATAAGGTTTTAGCAGGTTGTAATTCATAAAAGGCTTCGAGGCTAAATTAAAAGGCCTATAAGTTAGTTTTTAGTGAGGGAGAAACCGAGAGTGCCAATGCAGAGAAAAACCTCAAACGGCACAAGGGACTGAGAAGAGAACTGGACTAAGTGTTGGATAGCGCTATCCACCATTCAGTTTTCATAAAAATGGGGATCTTCTTTAAAAATTGTCAGTATAGACCTATTCGAAAAAGAGGCAGAGGCCTGTGGCGAGGCACATGAAAGCGAGGTACATGCTTGATTTCACTTTTCCGCTGGACCTGTCAGAAGCTACAAAAACGATGTTTCTTTCAATCAAAATCCAGAAATAAACAAATAGTTTTGAACTAATTTTGACCGAATAAAATCTGACTAGCCTCGATTTTCAGTGTAACTCGCTACAGGTCTCATGCTCTCAGTTCGAATAGGTCTATATACATAATTTGCATATAAATAATTTGAATTTTGGCTACACTGTAAAGGCCTGTTTGCATGCACTTGCGATTTTTGCTGTGATGTGATGTGAGGTTTACTCCTTTCGATATATGTGAACGAGTAATAAGTTACGAATGCTCTTATATATGTGTATGAGCTACTATTTGAAACTAACCAACTACAAGGTAACCTTGTCAAGGTTGGTAAATTAACATAACCTCTGTTTAAAGTGAGATGAGGATGAGATTTATGAGGTATATTATCTTATTATCTATTGTTTGAATTGCATTCGACGCGACTAAAATGCGACGTATAACCTAGGCCTGAAACGTCCCATATTTTGGTCGCGTCGAATGCAATTCAAACAATCTTAGATTCTCATTATCTTTATGAATTATGAGATGATAAACTCATTGCCATCTCATCAACGATTGTTTGAATTGTATTCGACACTACCAAAATGCGACGTTTAAACTAGGCCTAAATGTATTCAGTAACTTAAGCCTGTTTCAGACGTCGAACTTTTCATGTGACGAACATAAACTCATAAAGCATGTGTTGTTAATGATGAGCTGAAGTCTTTGTTTGAGTTCATTTGCATTCGATTTAGCTCATGAAAAGTTCGACGTCTGAAACGGATCCTCGTTGCGCTGATGGTTTCGCATAGGGTAGATGATTGTCTATGGTTCCATTTAGAACCAGTTCAAATCGCAGAACTGTCGAGTACTTTTGGATAGAAATTGGATTGATCCTGCATGTGTTCTAACGAGCAAGCTTGTGGACAAAGAGACGAATACGACACAAGACCCCAACAACCCCAACTGTAATAAATATGGCTATAAAACTGTTTACTTGCTGCAACAGGTTTGTACGTTCAAAACATGCGTATTTTGCCTCCTTCGGCTCCTCATATCATGTGAACTACGACGTGTGGAAAACACGACACTCAATCGGTGAGAAACGAATACAGGCGACAGGTTAGTGGTGTTATTTTATATATTTCTCCCATTTTGACCATATGGTCTATTAATTATGCGCTTTATATCAGTTGATTCAATGATCAGTTGAATACATGTTGTGTACTTATTAGTTATCATTAAATGACGGAAGTAGTTATATATACACCAATTGTAAAGCCAAATGTATAATAAATTTAGTTCTTCATGTTTATAACATTTTTAGATTCGTTGTGCCTTTAATTTTAAAATCGAATACGCATAAAAACGTTTACTTCTTAAAATGATATTTTCCACCACACTTGCGCGAAGTTCACTTGCACGATGTTCATTCTTCAAATCAATTGTTCAATATGACACGGAACTTGACTCAGTGCTGTCTGTATTGGACAATGCACCATAATTTGCTCTCTTTCGGTCCCTGTTTTGACTAAGTTGGGAATGTTCGAGAGGTTTTACGTCAATTGTTCAATATGACACGAAACTTGACTGCTGTCTGTACTGGAAAGTGCACCATAATTTGCTCTCTTTCTGTTCTTTCGCTGTTTTGAATACCTTAGAGCTGGGAATGTCCGAAAAGATTTACGTCGCTGACATGAGCATTTTAGGATCTTGTAAATCGCAGCTCTGAATTGACTAGACCTGATTGCATACACGTAAGGATCGATTGCGGAATTTAGTAGAATTAACCAGAACGCCGCGTCTCTGAACCATTGGATAACCCCACAGTTGCAGTTTGTACAAACGTTTATATAGTAGATCATGGAACCTGCGGAAACATAACAAAGCATAAACGTCCCCACCATTAGTCCTAGTGTTCTTGTTAATTTCATTTGAGTTAAGTTGTCTTTTTCCCGATGCATCTCATTTTTCTGCCATTGTTTTGACGTTTTCTTTAACCGAGCACAAATACGACAAGATGCAAAGCAGACTAGCACTCCAGTGAACAACACACCAAAATTGATCAGGATAAATGATTCGAATACGTAGTCCATTATCCAAATCAACATACCAAACGTTATTGCAACTATCCATATAACCGAGGAAATTATTACGGTCAGTTTCACATTAAAATGTTCCCGATAACAAAAAGGTGAAATTATCGCAAAATACCTTTCGCAAGCTAGAGCTGCTATGCTTAAAATACTCGCCATTGTCAAAATAAAGTACGGTATACGAACTGCAATGTTTACTGATGAACTAACTTCGTGTTCGGGGGCAACAGCTTCAGTGATATGGGCGAAGATCATAAAAGGCTCTGCGACACAGCCTACTATGAGATCAGCCAGACCAAGATTGAACGTAAAACAGTTAAACTGCGTCCTGAGTTCGCGATTTGGGTCCACAATTATAGCTAGACATATCAAGAGATTCGTAGGTACTGTAACTACGAGAAGAAAGGCGGAAATACCCGCCGAAGTGATGGAAAGTTCCATTGGCGCTGTTGTATTCATACATTCTTCCAAAGACTCATCAAAATAACCTGTTGACATGGTGGATTAGCTTTAAATTCAAAGTTGTCACAATTAAGTTTTAGAATATAAATCAACCAAACACTCTTTGCTCTTGTAAGTGTGAATGAATATATTAAATGACCGTGATCTGCAATCGACAATATTTATATGCAATACGTGGGAGGTAAAGGTCAAACCCCATGCATATCATGAGCTTGTGTAACCCGGTCATGAAATCGGTGCAATGCTAAACTATGCCACTGACGTTTAGCTTTCAAAGTACAACATGTTACTATAGTGTGGGCGATATTCTACACAAGAATATATTTTTTCTTTTACTCAACACTGCCGTGGTATAAAGAGATAAAAGTTTCGTTGTTTGTGAATATAGTTTTCCTGGAAAATGCTTCCAGCTTCCAGACGAGTATTTTGTTGGAAAACAACTTTTCTGTATATAACTACTTCTAAGCCTAAGGGCATATGATTCTCGGATGCTGCTTTCGCCCGAATCGAAACCGGACGTCGATTCGCCGACGCAACAAGATCTTTTGGTTTCCACTTCTCATTGATGGATAACTTTTTTGACGGATTTATATCTTCCACTGAAATATTTATGATGTTCTACATTTCAGTCAACCTAGTAAAGTTACGTTTTCTGTGCATCTGTTTAAAATTTAAAAGACATTTTATATAAATCGTTATTTAGACATTTTATCTACTTTTAACTGATTCTTGGAAAAAAGACAGGCCAGTCAGGTCTTGCATAACCTGGTACACTTCTTCTGAACAATAAAACAAACGATCGAGTTTTATCCATATCTCAGCCAGGGTGAAAAACTAAGCATGCTCATGCTTCGTGCGAACATATATTATGAAGAACTGTCTTCGTTATGCTCGTAAGTGAGTGCAAAATCTATCGTGATTTGCAAAATTCACATAATGAAAGCTTTTATTCATACTCCAAAACCTTTCGCAGAGGGTCTGTGTGCGGGGTAATAGCCGCCCAGTTTAAAAAGTGAATGACTGTGATACATTGTGCTTTTCACGTGCTGAACGCATTAAGAACAATGGAAATAAGAACAAATTGTTGCTGTCTCAGCATCCCATGCATTATTGACGTTCTACCGTCAAGATCAGGGCCAAGCCCAAATAAAAACTGATAAAAATTTCAGAAATGAGTGATGCAATGAATTTTTTATATCTTTATTATACTCGACGAGATCACAAGATCCATTTTTTATTACACTCCCCCAACGCATTCGTGATTGCTCTTTCAGTTCACAGAGATCCAGGACTCATTTCCCAGTGCAAATCATTACTATCGCAATCATTACTGTCGCTATTGCAATTCAAGAATCAAGGAATAATGAATTACTGAATGAATACTATAGTATGATCAAGATTTATAGATCAACTGCGTCCGTTCTTCGATTTGACACGAGGCTTGGCTGCTATCAGTGCTGTCCAACGCCCCATAATTGGTACTTACTCTTTGTACGTTTCGTTTGAAATATCTTATCGACTGAAATGTCCGAGGCTGTCTACGTTGCCGACATTTGCATTTAATAATTTTGTAAATGGCATTCCGAAATGTACTTGACCTAATCGCATAGACGTAGGGATCGATGGCCGAGTTAAGAAGAATCAACCAGAACGCGGCGTCTCTGAACCATTGGACCAGATCACAATTGCAGTTTGTACATAAATTTATAAAGTAAACGATGGAACATGCCGGAACATAACAAAACATGAGCGCTCCTATCATTAAAGAGAATGTCTTTGTTAGTTTGGCTTGAGTTATCATATCTCTCCCTCTTTTTATTTGATTTCGTTCATTTTGCTGCCATTGATTTGAAGCTCTCTTCAAGTTAACCCTAATACAGCAAAAAGCAAAGCACACCAATGTCCCCGTAAATAACGCTCCTGAATTAATAAATATAAAGCTCTCGAGTATGTAGTCAAAAACCAAGTTTAGCAAGCCGAACGTGAACGCGATAAGCCAAATAATCGCGGCGAATACTACCGTGAGTCTCACGTTAAAATATCTGCGGTAAAGAAACGGCGAATTGATAGCTAAATCTCTCTCACACGCTAGAGCCGCGATGCTCAGAACGCTTGCCATCGCCGAAATAAAGTATGGTATATGAAACATTTTCAGAACAACATTGCTAACTTCGTGGCCGTGCTCGGAGGCAAACGCTTCAGTGTAATGTGCGTAAATTGACACCGGTTCCGCGATACAGCCGACTATCAAATCAGCCAGACCAAGATTGAATGTAAAACAGTTGAATTGCGTCCTGAGTTCACGATTTGGGTCCAAGATTATTGCTAGACATACCAGAAAGTTGGTAGGAACCGTAACAACGAGTAGCAATGCAGAAATACTTGCTGATGTGATGGATAACGCGACTGGTGCCGACGTATTTCCACATTCTGCTACGGCCATCTCAAGGTGATGCATATTCTGGTAGGCTTACCGCTTACGGAAAGATTTCCCCAATGGTGTGATTGCCGAATAAGTTGATAGCCAAACAATCTTTCTAATATTTACGGAAATGCTTCAAAGATTAAACAAATGTGGGTGTGTAGGTTCACATTACCATATCACGAAATTGATCTCACAAGTTCAACTTTGAGCGCGCAAAGAATAATGGGTTGAGGCTTTTGAGGTAAGGCAAAAAGTTGCCTAGAGCGAAATTTCTTAATGTACGACTCTAAATAAGCAGTAACTTATTTCTTATGCGCCTTGCTGGGGTTTACGGTTTTGCAAGCCAAGGAAAACTTTAAGTGCTATATTTTTTAAGTGCTACACTTTAAGTGTTTTATTTGCTCCTTTGTACGCGAAAAAATTGACAAGTTTTCCTTGACAAGGAGTCTTGTTCAAAAGCTAGTCATGCCAGCTTTTCAACAAGGAAAAATGCTTGTGTGTACGGCGCAGTAGGAAACTTTGTCAGAAAAATTTGTTAAATTTTTCGCGTACACACGAGCAAATAAAACTTGGCAATTATAATGAATACTGTTACACGGAACACTTTGCATAATATTTCGTGTCTTTGTTAAAATACTTCTGGCATGTTTATTTCGGACACTATGATCATAATGCATTGCGAACATGAAAAAAGTATAGGAAGGAAATCAGTTCAAGGGGCACCAAGGATTGTTTTGATTTTGTATACTAGATTACATTTGAACCCAGTCCCTAATCGCCACCCTTTTTCTACAGCCTAGTCCCCGGCCTTGTAAGCGCGCGCTGTTAATTATGCTAGTCTGCTTTTCCTAAACGCAAATGGCGAAATCCGTAAAATAACGATAAAAACGAATGATGTATGCATGCTTGTCATCTTGACGGTCGTATTTCGACGTATAACAAGCCGGCTGATAATTTAACACTACAGACAGACACTTTTATAGTGTACTGGAGAGTGTACTTAGAATAATCCCTAAAACCAGCATCATGAAATATTAGAAATTACATTTCCTATGGTAGGTGGGAAAATATATTCAAGTTTGCACCTAACTCATTTTCAACGCATTTCACCGATTTGACAAATTTACAAAATATATTCCACTTTACTAAAAATATTTTGGCTTCATTAAATTGATCAGTTTTAAAAGAAATCTGTAGAACCATAGGCGTGCGGGCCTCTTTCGATTGGGGGAAGGGAATTATAGGAGTGGGGAATTATATATATATATTGTATATATAATATTACGATTGATATCTATAGATATAGAATAAACAATATAACCTGATATTTGTACCCGAAAATCCAAAATATCTTGCCCGGAAAATGGACGGTATACACCGTATTGGAAAGTGGAGCTGCAGTCCATACCCCCCTGACCCGTATGCCTATGAATAGAGCATGCTAAACGAATACATGAACATCGCTATTGGTCGTCTGATTTACCAGGCCATTGCCTTTGTGTGCGTTATCTAGTTTCAATAGTATATATGAGTGTAAAACATATAAGTTTATCCAAGTAAGAGTTTCAAAAAGTTAGACTTTATTATCAGTGACCTCTGTAACACCTTTTTCCACTGTATGCATATTCACATCTTCATTTTCCTCACCAGCTTGTTGTAGCCTCAGAATTACCTTGAACGCGGAACGGAATTTTGGGGAACGAAACGCGTAACAAAAAAAATTCACGCTCGAATTCGCAATGACGAAGACGAATTGAAGATCGCGAAACGTGTGAATCTCGTCGCAAGTGCAACTCTCGCAAAAATTCATCGCGTATATGAGAATTGTCGAGGGCACGTAGCAACAGAGGACAGCGATGAGAATGACCATGAACATTTCGGTGATGCGCTTTTGATCGTTGTGTGACGGAGGGGTGAGTGCTGTGGGTGAACTGGGGGCGAGTTCTCCGTTTGTATCTTCCGTTGACGACCTACCTGCGCTATGAAATTTCATAATAAGGCGGGTGTAGGTGAATACCGTAACAATGATCGCAATAACCACGGCAGTATTGGCAAATATGAAAGCGTAGCGGATGTAGCCAACTTCGAAATAGATACAAGGGAGTCCTATTGAGATGACCCATATCAATGCGATGCATCCCAACAGCGCCGGGCGGTTCATCAGCAAGCAATGTCGAGCAGGGTGGACTAGGGCGAGGTAGCGATCACATGCCAGCAGGATTATGCTGAGAACGCTGGCTGTACACGAGATGAAGTATGACATGTGTATCGCTTGTATTTCTGCTTTGGAAATATCCTGATTTCTGCCTTCTTTGAAATGGATGTGAATTGACAACGGATCCGTGACGAGACCCACAACCAAGTCAGCTATGGCTAAATTTGTTACCAGGAAGTTGAAAGAGTTGCGCAGATTCTTATTGGGATCGAAAGTGACTGCCAGGATCACAAGGAGGTTGCCAGGGATATTTATGAGCATAAGAACAATAGAGATGCTCCCGGTGAAAAAAGATAAGGCATCCGGAGCGCCTGTTGTTTTACACAGCGGTTCAAACATAGTATTCTTGTTCACAAGTACCTAAAGAACAAAATGATGTTTTAGTTGCACGCATGCAGTCATTATTTACGGCTGTGTTGCCTTCTAGTTTCTGATCCGACATTTGATGTTTTCTGATAATTTATATCTGCGTTGCGACCGGCAAGTACAAAACACGGAAATTTAGATAGCGTGTGGTGAAATAAAGAAACAGACTGCTTTCATGTTTATTGCGCAACTGATCATGAAAAATGTTTACTTTTAGTCCTTTCATGCCTAGTTTAGAGGGACTGCATTTACTCACATATCTTGTGAAAGCTTTCAATGGTGAAACGGATCAACATTAGAGATGTGACTAAGTCAGTTGCGTGGCCACATGTCACAGGCATAAATATGCTGTTTTGGCATCATTTTGGTTTCAACACGTGCAATGTTCCACAACTGTGGTTCCACGTCTCTACAAAACTACAATATCCGATAACAATTTCTTATATTGAAATACATATGATCTACGAGCTTTCACATTACCATCACCATTACCATTGGTAATGTCGTAGATTGGAGATTGGACCTTAAATAATACCAAATGCGACCTACGCTTTATGCAACTTATATATACGATATATTTATTCACCTTATATATAACAATATGACACTGCGTTTCTCCAACCCCACACTTAGCGTCTTAGCCTCATCGTAATGCTGGGGTGACCTGACGCAAAACTGCTCATCCATTGTTTGAAAGAACTTATAAATGTGGCGTGCTCAACATATTTCCTTTTCACAATCGCGGGGGAAATATTCATCAAGATAAATTTTGGCATGAATTTTTCTTATTAGCATAATTCAAACTCTCGTTTTTCGCCATGGAATACAATCTAGTAGATACTCAAGCTCTACTCAAGGGGGCAGTGGGCACCGTTTCCTACGCCCCGGCTTAGGTTAAATAAAACAAACTTAAGTCTTAACCATCGCTGTCTTCTTTTGGAGCTTGGCCCAGAGGGAATTCCCTCGTTTATCTTCCTTGACAACAAGCAGTTGCCGAATGTGTGATATTCGTTATGGTAACTAAATCTACGGTTTTATATAGTTATTTCGTGCAGGTTTATATGTCGACAATCTGGAAGCGTGAAATATGGCTTCAGAGTCCTTAGCCTGTGACGGCGAAGTATGTCAGCAAATAAAAATAAAATTCCACGCTTTGAGTACTGTCAAGTCTTGTCTAAATATTATCTTAAAGGATTTAACACTCCCCAAAGTTATGCAAACAAGGCTTATTATAATAACACAGCACTGATTTTTTTCATTCTTTTGACCTAAGCTATTGACGAAATTAACTAATCAACTTTCAGGCAAAATTGATGAAAATTAAAACCTCGACCTGACGCGCGTTATCCGTTGTGAAATGTTGACACTGCAGGAATATTAAAACATACTCATGCATGGAAAAATAAGCAGCTCTGAAATCAATAGTATGTGCGTGGTGTTTCAAATTAAAGACATGCCATGAATGCATGCCGTTAATTTAATAAAGTTTCACTAATGTTTCATTTAAATAAAGTATCGTCAATGTACCATTTACCAAGAAACCTTTTAACGGCATCTGCGCAGGTCACAGTTATCATTAAGTGCATGCGTGCATGTTTAGTTAGCTTTCTCGGCCGAAATAATTTACGTTACGGTATGGGATCCGGAACTATTTTTACCACCAAATATTCGCTCGAATATATATGTTCATTTCATAACTGCAGTATGTACGCCACGCAGCCGGTATGCTATGTTTATCGCTTGTACACGGTTAGGTGTTAAACGCGAATTATGGTGTCGTAATATTGATAATTTTCGGCGTAAAATACGTAAAGAAAATATGAGGCACGCTATACACAAAAACGACTGTTAGATCACAACGGGAAAAACGCTACAGTTTAAATCCCGGCAATGATGCTAGTTAGTACAACTGTACAACAAATCAGCTCTATACTCAATTCGCAGCTAAGGTAAAATTGGTAAATTGTATGTAGATATTCATATATAAATTAGGTTTATACCTGCTCCAAATGTCGTACGTTTCAGCTTTCTCGAAGTGGAGTAGAAATTGACCAAACAACCTCTTTCACAGACAAATCCTCTTTACTGCTGCCCGCTATAAGCTGCACTGGCTGGAGTTCAAACGCATATATTGACATGCAAAAACAATAGCTAAATGTAAATTGCGGTGTAATTCGAGATGGATGGATGGAAGTGATGATTTATTATCAAATTGACACCCACTTGCCCGAGTTCCACTTGGCAAGCAGCCTGTGCACAGCCTGTATTACGCAGGCGAGAGGCGATAAATGAAAAAAAATTTTTTTCTCTTTCTCTCTCCTTGTTAATTATGCTCTCACAGTCGAGGAGCGCAAATCATATATTGGTCCCGTTCAGGTTATGCGCACGCAGACCAGGGCGAAGCCCGCCTCCCTCACCAAGACCACTTCCAGTCTATGAGTCGTTTTCTGGCATATATTTCAACTATCTGTGGAATCAAATATGTTCGATTTGAATACAGAAGTAAAAACAAATTCACACATCCGGATGAATTTTTAATCGGTGAAAATGACTTGTACGCCACAATTACAATGGAAACCAGCTCACCGATTAAATGGAAACGAGCGTCAGAGTTCATGGAGCACATCTTTGGCGGTTAGGCCTCAGACGTCGAACTTTTCATCCGCCGAACCTAATGTTAATGAGCTAAAGTCTTTGTTTAATCATTTGCATTCGGATTCGGCACATGCAAAGTTCGACGCCGGTTTGAAGAGGGCCTTAATTAGCAGGTAACCTAGAGCGGTTCAGTGGATCAGTTTTCATACCGTGTTAGACAGCATTTTTTCTTGCAACTGCAAAGCATCCAATTTTGAAAGATGTAAATTTGGCTACTTATTACCCTCCGTGCCGGTGGATATATTTCCAAAAAGGTGCAGTGTGCAGCACGGCCTTTATATATATTATAAATGTTTTCATTGTCTAGCCAACTATATAGCAGCTGCTCAACTTGAAGTTCGCTATCCAGTCTGTATTTCATTCAGCGGTATAAGTTCTAAAGTCGATAACTTTCCGCCCAGGGCCGGTTGTTCTAATAAGCTATAGGTTATCGTTAACCCTGGGATATCTTGCATGGGAAAAAATGTTCAACTTCATAAACAAGCGATTAAAAAAATTGATGTAAAAATTGAGTTAACTCAGGGTTAGCTTAACCGGCTTTTGAACAACCGGCACCAGAATATTTAACCTGGCGACTAATGGTTTTAGTATAAATTTCGAGCTGTTTACAAATAATAATCAAGTAATCAACATAATTTCATAAAAATTTCTTCAAATTACTTCAAATTTCTCAATCAGAATGCAGAAAAATCAATAGCCACCTCGAAACTTATACTAATAACTGATTATTCACCCTAACTACGAATTTCAGAGGAAGTATCTCCGGGTCTTTTCAGACGTAATATATACTTAAAGGCGTTCTGGAACCGAGGGGAGCGTAGAGCATAACAAAAGAAATTGACACTACTGTTCATAATTACAAATAAAAACTGTAAATCACGAAACCAATGCAAGGTTTTACAGCTGCAAGTCTCACAAAAACTCATGACATAAATGAAAACGGTCGAAGGACCATAGCACAAGAGCATCGCTATCAACACAACCAAAAACATTTTGGTAATTTTTTGTTCCATTGCTTGGCAGCTGTTGTAGAGAGCGTTGGTCGTTTGAGTTGAGGCAATCGTCTCTTGTGCGAGCTGACTTTGAAGATCTTGAGTCTGATGTAGACTGTTTCCGATTTGATTATTTCTATTCCGTGGAGGCGTAACTGGACTGTTTTGAATTGTACTCAAAGATAACTGGCTGTTGTAATTCAAAGTGTCCCGATTATTCCCAGTATACATCGAACGCCTGTTATGAAACTTTTTTAACATTAACCCGTAAATAAGACAAGTTATGACAAATACCGCAACCAATGCCGTATTGGCAAAAATAAACGCGTACGTTATAAAACCGACTTCGAAATAAAGCAACGGTAGCAGGAGTGATGTCACCCAAATGCCGGCGATTGTGACTAGGATTCTTTTTCCGGTAAGTTTGTTCCTATAGGTATGTGGGTTCCGGATGGCGAGATATCGCTCCACGGCTAAAGTACCCAGATTGAGAACTGATGCAGTAGCGCTAATGAAGTATGACATATATGAAGTGCTTCTAGTTCTTTTATGGATAAATCCAAGTCCAGAGCTTCTTTGAAATGTATGTACACGGACAGAGGCTCAGTAACAGTCCCCACGAGAAGGTCCGCGCATGCCAAGCTGCACATGAGGAAGTTGAAAGGGGTACGTAAGTTCTTAAAAGGATCTCGAGCTACCGCTAAGGTCACTAGGAGGTTACCTGGGATATTCAGCAGCAAGAAGATGAGGGACCAAATTGCGGTGAAAAATGACACGTGATTTGGGCTACCTGTGGTGTGGCAGCGATCTTCGAATTCTCCCTGGAAATATTGCATTTTTGTCGGTTCTTTCACTTTCTCCTACGTTATTGGGTTGTTATAAGAAAGAAAAATATTACCTGAAAATGGTCAGTAAATTAATGGAGAATTGATTGGTGCAGGTTTTTCGATCAATATTTTGAAATTACGCGATATAATTTAATTCTAATTATCAGTGATTTAGTGTAAATTGCTAATATTCTTAGATTTACAGGGGGTTATAACAGTCAACAGTCAATCGGCGGAATAGTTACGGCAACGGCCGCAAGGGAAAAAGGCCATGGGCATGGCGTGGAAAAGATGTCTGCATTTTTCATGCAACCATCATGTACAAACTTTTGCATGCTATGATAAACAGGCATCATAATATTTTGAGACGAAAGCTCGAGGCTGTATTACTGCAACTGGTTATAGATTTTTCCTCTTTAGATAAAACGCTGTGCACGTGAATGACGTGATATGTAATTTTAATCAATCCTGTGCAGGATATTAACAAATGCTTATTTGATAAATACAATTGATGATTGTTGTTTTAGATCTTTCCCACGCGTTCGTCAGTGTTTTCACAAATTATTTACACAGCAGTGTCAGCTGATTTCACACAACATTGACAACCGTATTTTAATCACAAATTGTTTTCCCAAAATAAACTATTTTTAAACAAAATGAAAATATCAGTATTGCCTTGCTTTTGTGTGACAAATGTCTAGATATATCTGTTGCTGCAGCCAAGAAAGTTTTACTTGAGTGTCGAAAGTTAACAATATATGTATTGAGATATTATTATGAGTTTGTGTGACAAATCCGTCTATTATAACTCTGCTTATAATGCCGATGGAAATGTTCTGCATGTCCTTCACTGAAAATCACTTCACTCCAAAGAGTCCTTCACTGGAGGGAGGCTGTTATATGGTTAAAAATGCCCTGATACTCGAGTGAACAAAATATAAGGTTTCGTACATTAAAGTCTCTCAATCTTTCGTTTGGAATATTCGACTCGGCACTCTCAAGCACTGTCAATTTCTTGCTAATACACCACTATAAATAGGATATATTTTCATCTTTACAATTTAGCATCGTATATGATATCTGCTAAAGTGTTGTCGAATTGATTATCAGATTATTCTTTACCATGGACACTACCTTGTAAAATTAAAGTTTCACCAACACAGCGCGAAAGACATCATTGACATTATATATGCGACAGTAGAAAATAGTCATATTCCTCTTACCTATATTTTACACGCTGAATTTTGTTTCACAGTTATTTCACAGCCTTTTGCACACTGTAGCTACGTTGAATTATTATGAATAAACTTTGCTGGAGCTGTGTCATATTTGTTTAAACAAAAATTGGATTTGCGCAACGTAACATCCGGAGTATTTTGTTGTATGTTTTGCTTATGAATATTGAATGTTTGGTAATTGGTATATGTCATGGAACCTGTCATGTTTCTTTTGCTCTTTTATATACATGAACGGCCTATAACGCAAATTATTGCATTGCACAGATCACCAAGCTATAATTACTATATCTATGCATGGCCTTTTTTGAAATATACTTTCTGTTTTTCTGCGCAAGATATTCAATATTCAATATCCAATATTCAATATGTGATATCGTATCGTAATGAAATTTTGAGAACTTTTATCCCACCTTACTAAATTATTTTTATTATTTAGGCAGATATATGTTTGTTTTAACAATATGTTTGGATGCAGATTTCCTTAAACACTCTAAAATCATCAGTAATCCGTCTGGCCGTTTTTGCCGTATAAAGGAAAGCGCCCATAGACTACCATTAACGAACTGAAGACAAACTTTGAATACTGATTTACTAACATTTCAAAATAAGAACAAATGCTTGTCTAAACCTCGGAGATCTTAAAGCGTAACAAAAGAAGTTTAAACTGGAGTTCATTATGACAAACAAAAACTGTAAGTCGCGGCACCAATGCAAAGCAACACAACTGCAAGTTTCGCAAAAACTCATCGTATATATTAGGACAGTACTCGGTCCGTAACACACTAACACCGCAGCCATTACCACCAAAAACATTTTTGTAATGGTATGTTCCAAACGGACTGCATTCTTACGCTTTTTAACGCTGTCGACGTCCGAGTTTATGGACATGGGATTCTTGTGTCTTTTGCTGTTGACAATTTCCGAGCTATCATCCGATGTTGTCGTGCAAGAATCGTCCCGATCTTTCCTCGACCGCTTCCGAAACTTGCCCACCATCAGAGCATAGATGAAGCAGGTTATTACGATAGCCACAATCACTGAGGTATTAGCGAATATAAAGGCATAGGTAATGAAGCCGACTTCCAAGTAAACGAAGGGAAGGGATAATGAGATGCACCAGATGAGGACTATTGTACACAGGATCCTTTTCCCGGTTAACTTGTTCCGATAGGTATGAGGAAACCTAGATATGAAGATTGAAGACAAGACTTTAACAAAAAAATATCTTTCACTTAGATTTTGCTTCACAACACCATGATTGCATATGTACCGAAGACACGAAAATAGATGCAAATAAGATCACTTGATTTTGGTCGTATTTGCCTCTTGTGCATTCCGAGCAAGAAATCTAATGCTAGTGCTAATGTGGTGAGTAATCAATATACGCCACCAAACTCAAAACGGTTTCTTGTTTAGTCCTACAAGATACTGATAATATTGTTGAAATGCCTACCTGATAGCAGCATATCTCTCAACGGCCAGCGAAGCCAAGCTGAGCACAGAAGCAGTAGAAGCAATGAAATAAGAGAGATGGAAAACTCTGATCTGAATTATAGATATGTTCTCTTTCTGAGCCTCCATAAGATGATAATGGATTGATAACGGACAAACAATCGTGCCAACAATCAAGTCCGCCACACTCAAGTTTGTCATGAGAAAATTAAACGGACTGCGTAGGTTTTTATAGGGATCACGGACTACAGCTAGGACCACTAGAATGTTACCAGGAATGCTTGTGATCAGGAATAGGATTGATAATGACATGGTGAAGAATGCGAGGAACTGTGAAGCACCAGTTGTTAAGCAACGTTCTTCGAATGTTCCTTGAAAATACGCCATTTTGGTTGAGTTTACCTGAATCAGAGTGAAGTTTAGATCACTTTCTAAAGCTTTGCTGGACACGATGGACCATGGTCTGCCTGTCGAGCAAAGTCTACTGTCTGGAAATCAAAGGAGAGGCCTTTCTCCAAACATCCATTCTTCAAAAAACTCTGTTAGGATATAAACTGCTTCTGCTTCCAAATATAGCTTGGATTAATTTAGTTTAAACAGCTTGTACTAATGAAACATGCAAGCAAATATTTTGGAAACGAGCTGTCGCAAACGCTGCCCACCTGAAATTGAGTGAAACCTGACAACAGCTCCACAGTTTGATGTAGGAACTTGTTAAGCGGGAACACAACTGGCAGTTAGTGTTTGCAAAAACGTATTTAAAAAATTTAACTGCCTGATGCATTCCTCAATTCGAACTTAAATAAACAATCTGTTTAGTGAGTCATGCTATCAAGCTTATCGAATCATATTTAGCCATGCTATTGAACCCTGATTCTTATTAATCACCGACGGTTGAACTTTAATGAGAACTAGGTCTGACTGTCCAACATGTAGGATGATGCATGTACCTTTTACATGACCAACGAAAGCGACGATGAAACCTATACTTAAAGGTCTGTTCACATGATCCAATTTTGTTGGATCCAATCCACGTCTGATGGATGTTTTATAGTCTCTTGTCTGAGTGTAATGTATATATTAGCAGCAAATCTACCGAAGCCAATGCACTACTGCTTCATCAATGACCGACTACATTCCATACGTCAGAAATGAATTGGATCCAACAAAATTGGATCGTGTGAACCGACCTTAAAACTAACTGTATTATATAACTTACATTCGCTAAATGTCGATGGACGTCTTTCAAGTCCAATGTGTCTTGCTCCTTTTTTGGATATTTATAACTTTACACACCGACTTTTATATCTTTGTTGACGGATATTAATTCAGTCGTTTGTGCAGGTGCTTTTAAGGTAAAATTTCATTTAACTTTTGCATCATTAACCTTTTATATTTAGCCAAGTATAATCGAAGGATAACTGACAATGGATGCACGGTACGTAATTGCCCGAACGTCAGCTCCTTCCTTCTGAAGGTGAAGTTTCACGTCACATAGAAACAATTGAAAAAGTTTGAATTTTTAAATTTCATATCGCTTTATGCCTCGAGCATGACTTGCATTTCAGAAAACAATTATTTTACAGATTATATCGCATTATCAAGCGCCTTTAATTTCAACCATTAACTTATCGTTTATTTAAAAGTTCACAGACTTCATGCTAAATTGCTGCAGCTGTGTAGCATATACAATTCTCCGTCAAGATCAGCAAGGAAAATACTTAAAGAGCGATAGATAGTCTTCGGTCCATTAATATTATGATCATAATTGCAGTCATCGATGTCCTAACGCTATTTCACGATCATGCAGATGATGGAGTGTGGGTGGGCTCAGAATTCATCGTTAACTGTCTAGTGCGACGACATAACATCTGAAACAAAGCAGAGAATGCCTCGCGGAATCTTGGTGATCGCATGGCATAGCAAAAGAAGTTAACAGACGATGTCATGATTATAAATAGAAACTGTAGATCCTTGAACCAATGTAATGCATTGCAACTGCACGACTCACAGAAACTCATAGTGTAAATCAGAACGGTTGCAGGACCGTAGCAAGATAATAGTGTTACCATGACGACCAAGAACATCTTCGTCATCGCGTGTTCCCAATGGACCGCGTTGTTGTGCAAGCGAGAATTCGAGGGTTGGGAACTAGTTGCCAAATTGACTTGCGAAACCGCAGCCATTTCGAGGTGACGGTTATGATCTTTGAATTTATACAGCATCATACCGTATGTGAAACAGGTAATGGCAATGGAGACAACGACTGTAGAATTTGTCAGTATAAAACTGCAGGTGATATAATCGACCTCGAAATATATGAACGGCAAGCTTAACGATACTATCCATATACCGGCAACGGTGCCTAGGATCCTTTTACCGGTGACCTTGTTCCGATAGGTATGTGGATTGGATATGGCGAGGTATCTCTCAACAGCCAGTGAAGCGATGCTAAGTACTGAAGCAGTTCCGCTTATAAAATAGGACATGTGGTAAATATGTAATTCGAAATCTGTAACTTTAATTCCGAGGCCTTCTTTAAGATGAAAGTTAATCGAGAGGGGAATGGTTACCACGCCTACGATAAGATCAGCTAAGGCAAGGTTGCCCATGAGGTGGTTGAAGGGACAATGAAGGTTCTTGTGAGGATCGATAGCCACTGCTAGGATCAATAGGACATTTCCAGGAATGTTTGGGATAAAAAAGATAATAGACAACGCAGTTGAAAAGAATGAGAGCGCTGTTGGTGCTCCTTGAATTTGACAGATGGTTTCGAACTTCTCTTGGAGATACTCATAAACCATTTTGAATGCTCCCCAGAAGGAATCTGCCAATAGAATCATGAAAATAGTAGAGAATGTTGTCCGGCAGTCTATTGTATACTATTATATATCGAATAGAATATTTAGAAAGCCTTTCTTCAAAGTATCTTGGTCAGTTCTAAAACAATTGTAATATCATCCATGCATGTCACCTCAAATAACACGACATCGTAAAAAAGCGACCTCACAAACATTAATCACAGGAAAGTTTCACCTGTGTCGACGTATAAAAACCAAACTAAACTGAACTCTTTAAGTGAACTTCAAACATCGAACTTCAGTAATACTAATAGTAAACATTTGTGATTCTATATTGTATAGACGATAATATCTTACAGTGATAAAATTCCTTTCGTGCGGTTGGAATTTCGAGTTTTTGCTAACATATCTAGATTCATTAATCTTCGGCTGATTAACATTTCATTCTCTTCTGGGGACATTAAAGCCAAATGAAACTGCGTGAAGGGTCAACGGGGAGACAGGGGAATCAATAAGATTCTCAAATCTTAGACATGATTTTACCTTTGTCTGTCGGCTTTATTGTTCAGCCGCTTCAAGAACAGATATCTTTTGTCCACATGCCCACTTTCCGAAACGAGATCAACTTCGTCCGCTTTCGGCAGAAGAATTGAATTCCTTTTTAATTAAAACTCCTCGCTTTAATTTTAAGTTCACCGGCGGAGCACTTCAATTTATTTGTTCCTTGTTTAAATTTACATTTATCACCAAATTATTTTGAAATTAATATCTCATTTATTGTATATCTATGCATGTGTGCCGCGAGTTTTAATTTATCTAATGAGCAAGAAAGTGTTGAAAAGTGCATTCTTTTATGATCTGCTGATGAAGTTTAATGAACGTGATTAGAAACCCGCTAATGGAGATGTTTTTTTTAATAAAAGATAAACTTTTGAATTATCTTAAAGATTTGTTTAAAAGACATGCCTAGTAAATAGTAATCGTAGGTCAAGAACATCTTATGGCGGTTGCTTCGGTATGTTGCCGGTCCATGGAAACATGCAATATACTGAGATACCGGTACGCTGCTTGCCAGTTTAAATACCTAATCAAACTCGCTGCATTAGGAATGTCCTATCAGTGTCGACAAGCTACAAATAGAACTAATACTCAGTCAAAGTTTAATATTCGGAAACTTGAATTTACCTCTATTTTATGTTTACTTTGTAGCCTCACTGCAGTTAACGTGAAGAAGAACATGCAGAATAGCTGCAAAATATTTTAGAAAAGATTACGAGTTAAATACTTCAAGATAGATAGCTATAGACATAATTTACTAGACCGAGGAGTTTCAACAACAGCGTCTTTAAGATAAGCCCTAACATAAGAACAAATGGCTATGTACTATTTACATTTTTTAATTGAATATAACTCAGTAGTGAAGTGAGCTAAGGAAGACTGAGGAACGTTCTGCTTGTGTTTATTTATCGTGATAATTATGACTTGATAATCGTAAATAAATGTTTAAACATCAGAACAGCACTTTTGATCTTTAGGCTTTTTTGGAACTTGATGTTCTGAAGACGGAGTTGACATAGTCATGGAATTTCCTGCAAATTTGGTACGTCCTGGTAATCTCAAGATTGTTGCAAACGCCTTCCTAAACCTTGGCGACCTTAAACCATAGCAAAAGAAATTCACAGACGAATTGAGAAGCACAAACAAGCACTGCAAATCTCTAAACCAATGCAAAGCCTCGCAGCTGCATGTTTCGCAGAAACTCATCGTGTAAATCAATATGGCGGAAGGACCATAGCAGCCGAGCACTGCTGCCATGACAACCAGAAACATTTTTGTGACCTTGGTTTCCATGCGAACCGTGTTGTCACGGCGACAGTCGTTGTCATGGTTACTGATGACGTCATGTCTATTCGTTTTGTCACCATGCCTACTGTGGTCCTGGTGATCTTTACTGACCACGCAACACCGATCATTCTTTTTCTTTTCTGACTTCTGCGCGCTCTGGAAACGAGTTTTATCCGTTTTGAATTTGTATATCATCAGACCGTAAGTGAAACACATGATAACGAGAGCTAGAAAGACTGTAGTGTTTGCCAGTATAAATGCACAAGTTATAAACCCCACTTCAAAATATATGAAAGGTAGTGTGAAGGATACGAGCCATATTAAAATGACTGTCATGAGGATTCTCTTTCGGGTTAACTTGTTGCGATAGTTGTGGGGATTTCTGATGGCGAGGTATCGTTCGGTTGCTAGTGACGCAAGGCTCAGAATGCTCGCCGTGCATGACACAAAATAACTCATATGAAACAGTCTGATTTCCTCTATAGATAGCCGCCCATACAGACCTTCCTTAATATGATAGTTGACCGACAACGGTCCAGTCACTAAACCTACTATGAGGTCAGCGACGGCTAGATTTGACATGAGATAGTTAAACGGGCTCCGGAGGTTTTTATGAGGATCAAAGGCTACAGCAAGGATTAGAAGGAGGTTCCCAGGGATATTTGTAACTAAAAGTACAATCGATATTGATGCAGTGAAAAACGAAAGGTAACTTGGTGCTCCTGTGGTGTGACAGCGTTCTTCAAACGTTTCTTGTAAGTAAGACATTTCCAATGTCGACGATGACCCTTACTTGAAAAGATTTACAGCAGAAATATTGGGGCTAAAAAAAGCAAATTAAAAAATGTGAGCCTTAGCTTCTACAACAATAGTACCTCAAACATAAGCTCTTTGTCACTCGCCTTTAGTGCCATAGCAAAACGCCAAATTCGCTTGTCTTATCGTTTCATATTTAAAAGCTCAGCTGGTCATTAATTTAAATCCTGTATTTCAATATCAGCTATATGTATATAATGCGAGATCATGCGTATATAGCTCTGTCGTTTTTCATGCAGTTCAGTCTGTCTGCTGAAACACTTATATTCTGCCATTTCATACCGAAATCGATGACAATGCATGCTATGCGAGAAGAATATATTTCAGTTACAATCAATTATTTATATATACAGTATATTGTTACAGAACGTATGTATGCGATTTGCTTTCTAATTAATTTGAAGCACACCCCTTTTTGGTGTAATCATTTTTTGTAATCTAGACATTAATTGCATTGACATCCTAAATTCAATATCTCTTCTAGTTAAAAAAATTCTGCTGCTAGTGGGCGTAGCTCGTAATAATCAGGTGTCGTTTTGACAGATTTTTTTAAATTTTAATAGTATATTAGTGCATATGACTGACTTTTCTCGACTTTGAATCAAGGCTAAGGGATATGATATTAATGTCGCATTGTCCTCGTCTGACACAAAATACTATCTTCTGTATAATAGAATGATATTCCTTTCACGAGTAGCAATCTTTTTAGGTAAAATAATCTTACCAACTATTATAACACACTATATACACTCTGTTTGCATATAGATATAGTGACTTTATTTGAATAGTGACCGTAAGTTGTTTTCATGTTTATGTTTTTTTTGTTCTTCGAACTGATGTTTTGTCTAATTGTCCTATATTTCATTAAATTCAGTCTGCTGATAATGTTCCTTGCATAATGATTTGACTCCTCAATCATGCAAGGATATGACCTAGGCGAGGCAATCTGATATGAGTCACGACTGGAAGGAAAATCAAGCGAACTGAAAATTTCGTTTAATCGAAAAATTCATCTTAGTGGAAAACCAACTTTATTTCGAACGCATGTAGACCACTGATCAGTGATGTAGACTATAACCCTATCAATAAGGACGATATTTAGTACAAATTGAAGAGGGGTCATATCAAGTTTTTTTTGAACGATCAGATAGCCTTGGTAGTCAGCTGACTAAATAATAAATAAATTCCTAACTTCAGCTGTACTTCAGCTCAACTGATTTAGTTTAATTGTATGTGAAATTTCAGTCAGCACATCAAAACAACTATATCATTCATGCCGTTCATATATACGTTTACTCTATGGGCGAGAAATATTTAATAAATATGTGTAATAAATAGACTTCCAAGGGTGATAAATAATAAATTATCGAGCGAAACAGGGTTTCCTCTTTTCAGCTGCGCAAATGTAGACTGAAAAATAAAAACTATTCGAAATGAACAGCGGCACCGGAACCATGGGGGCAGCTTCACAACGCGTGCCCGGCTGCATGCATGCCCTCTTTTTACCGCGTACGGGGCCGGAGTAGTGGCAGACCTGCATGCACCCTTTACTATAGCATATAATAGTGTCATACATTCACTTTTCACCTTTCAGCTTAACACTATACAATATATAATTACGATACCCGCTCTTCGAGTTAAAACTAACCGATAGTATTATTGAAGATGCGCTCTCTCACTACCAATAAAAATCCAACTTTATGCGGTAAATAACTATATACTGTAAAAGCAATGAAAATGAATTTATACTCGTGCAGTATTTCCCAAACATATTATTTCCTAGCTCCTATTTCATTTCATTTTGTAACTTGTTTTCATATATGTTATGAAAACAATTTTTTGGCATCAAAAAATATCTTCAGTATTAACCTAGTTTTCACCGAAAGCGAAACATCCCGTACAAAAAATATAATCGTTTCTGTGCATACGTAGACAAAAACGTACGACTAAACAAACGAATTGCTATAGTTCTATTGCTGCCAGCGAATTTGGATCAGTTGTATCAGAAAATCGGTATTCTCTGCAATTGAATTCACAAAAAATAAAGTAGAGTAAATCATATAAAGAAGGAAAAAAGGGAACAATTTGACCACTTTCCAATTTTCGTATATTTCTTAATTCCCTTTTAACTCTTCGACGTTTTCAAATAAACCCAAAAGAGATTAAACCCAAACACACGCATGCAGTCTGTCATATCTCTCACAGTGGCAATATTGGTCTGTGTTATCAAAGTCAGATATATTAATTGATATATTATATTACATATAGGCTACAATATGGTCATTAACGACATCACAGCTTGTGAAAATGAGAGGCATGCTCATATTAACATTTAATATATACAACGATAGTATATATTTATATATTTCACGTGTATAAAGCCATATTCAATGATTATGAATGACATTCGGGGAAAAAACACGATATCGTATACACCCTGAATGAACTGAGTGGTAACGTCGCATGCGGCATTTAGTGGAAATATGTTGTTGCCTGTGTCGTTCACTGAATACCAAAAAGCTTAAATTGCACTAACACGAAATGAAATTGAATTTCCAGAAGCCAAGCAGAAATGACTTCGCTTCTCTACAAAAACGGATCCTCCAAGGCTGGATTTCCACTTACAGAGAAATGGTTCGTTAGCGAATATATTTGCACATTTTCTTTAGAATTTTAACAGCATAAATTAGTTCAACATGATCAGTGTTCTGAATTCAAAAAAAATATGCAAATATTATTTCTATTTCTACTCAACTATTTCTCTGCAGGTGGAAATTCACCCTATAATAGTCTATTAAGCATCGCAGAAAAGTACGCTTTAACTCTCAGATATCTGATACAGCATATGTTCCTAACGTGACTGTGGGGTATTGCATGTTCAATCGCGTTTTCGCCTGATTGCCACTAGGCATTGACATAGAATCGGCCGAGAAAATATATGATATCGGAAATTAGTACTTCCTTGTAAATACAATCGAAGTCAATATTTTTCTATATATGCCATAGAAGAATAAAAAAATTGTTGAATCGTTATCATGTGTTATTGTCGAAAGCTTTAAATCTGGCATTTGCTTTACATCTTACTCATAATTCGTAATATTATATTTATTAATATGTACATTGAATTCCCGAAAGCTCGGTCTATATATATACCGATCGTACTTTTAATAGCGTAACTTACGTCGTATAACTTGTTAGGGTATTAAATGTATAAAATTAAAGACTATAGAATCATGCAAAGTAATAGTTACCGTACTTCCTTATAGGGAGTGTAAAATTGTCTCTGGCGGCTCCGCATAAACAGCGTTCAACTTCCTTCAGCAGGTAACGCAAATTGAGCGATATCCAATTACATCACATGAACCTGTTTCCAGGAATGGCCTGGGAACTAGAGTACAATCTCGAAACCAGAGCCCACGATCCAGATCGCGGGCTCTGGTTTCGAGATTGCGATTATTTATGAATAATTTGATGTTTAGACTCGAACCTTTCCAGCTTATCTGAGATCAATGACGTCATGAAGCGTGGTAGGAGTTAGGGTCAGGTTAGGATTAAAATTAGAAATACATCCGTAGATTCTGAACGTGGAATTACTACCAGAGTTTGCGTATGCTAATCTCGTGTGTGCTAATGTAGACACTGAGAAAGTGCCCTGTGGTTTCAGATCATGCGTGTTTACTTTGTCATATAGTGGGGCACATTTTCATGATAGAAACCTGGTAAAAAATTAAAATTTCTTTTGCTCCCTGGCCGTGCCCAACGTAATGCTACGATTCGTCTACCTGAAGCATTTAATGCAAAAAATACATCCTCGTTCCTAGGTTTTTTCGTGCACTGAAAACCTAAGCACGAGGATGGCCAGAAATAGCAATAATTGATCGGCAGACCTGAATTTAGCCTCTTCTACTTTCTGTACTTCTGTTTCTATACTGCATGGGCTGGCAATTGGAATACGCCTAATACGTAAGCTAGTTTGCTGTAATATCTACGGTATAGAGCAGGAATGCGGGATATAAGAATTAAAATATTAACACACTTCAATTTATTACTATTTTCATTTCCATCAAATGACTCATTCCTGAACCATTAATTACTGACAAATTAAAGCGTTGTCGAAGATTGGAATCAAAATTGTTCTCATAATATTTTAGTTTACATTTAATGTTAACAGGGTCTGTTACTGAAAGTACACAATTTTAATGTGATAATAATGCTAGACTACGCATAGTCTGTTGAAGCGATTGAAGCGAAAAACTACAGCCACCTTTTGTTTGACCCAGAGCGTTTGTGACGCAGGCTATAATAACGCTAGCAATCAAGTGTGAAAATCAGTAAACATCTCCGTTTATCGAGGATTGATCATTTGGGATTTGAAATCGAGAGGACCAGGCTAATCAGTGATGCAACCTGAGAACGAAGCCCCTGGCTGAAGGCCGTGTTAATAAACGAAGCACCTTTCTTTGCGATTCTTCAAGTGCGATTCTCTTTGGAAAATGGAAATTAGTGAAGAGTTTGAAATCAATTTCCCTCATTCTGTGTCGAAATGTATGCATGAATGTACAAGAAAACATTCGTAGGTGTACTAAAGCCTGGTTTCCATTTAGTCGTAATTGTCGTGAACATGTCATTTTCGCCGATGAGAAATTGTCGGGATGTAAATTCGTCTTCATTCCTGTATTCAAATCTGTCATTGTTGACTGCACACGTATAGAAATATTCTATCACATAAGCCACCTTGACATGTTCACGACACTCACGACTAAATGGAAACCAGGCATAAATACCATTGCTAAATACGAAAGTCTCGTAGTTTCCAAATTTCCATCGCTCAAAAGTAGAATCGCATTGCAAGTTCCAAGAAAAATTAAACTTCAATCCGTTTTCGACTTATTTTCGACACTTTCATAACTACAGAGTTAAACTCTATTTTGAATCAACACCACACGTAAACTGTTTTAGGACTTCAATGGTTCAACCTCATCTCTTTATACATTCATAATGTCAGTAGAAGAATCAGCCATTCTGGCTCCCGATTGCTGCAAGTCACTGCTTGAATTTAATCTCAAGATCTTTGTAAAAGCCTTTCGAAACCTCGATGAACGCAACGCGTAGGCAAAGAAGTTGACACTGGAGTTTGCAATCACAAACAGATATTGTAAATCCCTAAACCAATGTAGCGTTTTGCAGCTACATGACGTACAAAATTTCATCGTGTAGATAAGGACAGTGGAGGGACCGTAACAGAATAGCAAAGCAATCAAAACAACGAGAAAACGTTTTGTTATCTTGTGTTCCCATTTTACAACGATGCAGTTATTGCGACTCCCAGGCGTTGTGTGTTTATACCCGGCAATGTTTTTTTTATGTCGATCTTCGTCCTCAAGACTTTCTACTGAAATTTGTTGATGCATCTTGCGAGATATACCCGCCTTACTTTCATGTTCAATTGAATTCTCCAGACAGTTGGCAAGAACTGATAATCCATTTTCTCCTCCGGCGATCCCTTGGTGGTGAGATTTCGAGGGTGCATTTAGTCGTTGTTCCTGATTTTCTGGCGATATCCTTTTGGCATTTTCTACAATGGTGATATTATGCCGACAGGTTACCGGTGTCGCATTTTCATCCGAAAGTTTACCAATTATTGGTAATGGCGTGTCGCTTCTTCCTCTTGATCTCAAAGCACGATACATTAAAAAGTACATAAAACATATTACTCCAATAGTCATCACTACTGCTGTGTTCACAAAAATGAACGCATAGGTAACATATCCCACTTTAAAATAGATGCAGGATAGAGCGATGGATAGCGTCCATATTAAGATAACTGTAAGGAATACACGTTTTGTGGAGAACTTGACTTTATACGTGTAAGGATACCTATAGAATATTCAATCTAAGTGTTAGCAGGGAATGAAAAAATTCTGTTTTCGCACTCATGCACGGAAGTGTTAATAACAAGCCTAAAATGTAGCCGACGGCAGCAGATAACCTACATCTTCTTACGGTACTGTTTCGGGTACTAGAGATTGCACTCACATCCTTTCGCTTGATTTTCTCTTAGCGGTAGAAAATTCGAAAGCCGGGTTTGCCGTAGTTCCAGGATTTCCCGACTACTAGAGTAACATTTGCCGACTGACTACTATAGAGTAACATTTGCCGATTCGCTGACGAGTGGGTATTTTTCCCCCAGCACTTCCCTATCCCTTCCTCTAGCACCGCCCCTGGGTAGTGGGTACCATAATTTTAACTTATTTTTAAAATATTTTTATTTCTCTCACTGACCTGACAGCAAGATATCTCTCCATAGCTAGGGTACCCAAGCTGAGCAAAGACGCCGTGCACGAAACGAAATATGACATGTGAAGAACAGAGAACTGCCCTAATGTCACGTGTTCACTATCGGCCTCACTCCAATGAATATAAATAGACATTGGCTCGGTTACGGTCCCCACCACCAGGTCTGCGACTGCAAGGTTTGTCATCAGAAGATTGAATGGGGTACGTAGGTTCTTATTGGGATTTAACGCTACAGCTACGATCACAAGAAGGTTGCCAGGAATATTTAGGATCAAAAAAATGAAAGAGAGCGTGGTAGTAAAGTAGGATATCTCCGGTGTTGTGTCATGTCCAAAACATTGTTTTTCAAAGTGAAACTGCATTTCAGACATTGTGAATGATCGTTGATTTCTTGTCAACACAAACTCAGATTTATTTTGTAGAAATTATTCGTCTCTATATGATGAAAAAGAAAAAAACGGCAATCAGGTGTGGTTCTAGTACAATATCTACATATTCAAGCAGTTGTATCACCTCGACAGAATTTCTGCAATTAATGGTTTTAATTTTCCACCAGCGCCTAGGCTAAACTAGGAAACATTATTGTAACCTGATTGACTGGCTTTTCCTCTAGTATTAAATCGACCAAACGTCAGAGACGGAGAAATAGCAATAGAAAATTGTTTTGTTTTTCGACACATTCGCTTCTAGATATTTTGGGAATCCATGAACGGTATAATGTTAATTAAGTTTGTGGAATTATGGCAACCTCGGACCTAGGGCATTTCTCCCCTCCATAATATGGAGGCAAAATCCCCTGGTGGCGAGGTTGGAATCATGTATGCGTGAAATTGAATTAAATTTTTATCTTCTTGACTTTATTTAAACTAAGATGAATATCTATTTACCCAAATCGGAATTAATGGAATGAAGGCAAAGAATATCAAATTGTAAACAATGCACTTCCGTCTTCTGGAATTCGCATAGGGAAAGCAGTGAAGCTGTACGTGATGGTTTCTGAGGTAAATCATGATTCATTTCTAGTACAGTGCTTTATCTCTCAGATCATCGACTCCAGTTTTCATGCCTGGCGATATTAATTACCCATTACAGTATCAGTTACCATTTAAAGGCATTAAAACTATATACAGCCAATGAGCCAGATCATAAATATCTTTTAATTTTTAATGACGAGACGAAGCATATAATATGAATTCCGCATCCAAATACGATATAAATTATACTGCTTGTATACTGTCATTTCTCAATCTGAATTATGATGTAAAATACAGGCAGGCAGTGAAATTTATTAAAAATTTGATACAGCTGCGAGCAAATATCTTTTATAAACAAAGTGAACCACCGTGAACCGATAAAAGTAACCATTAAAATTGATTATAAAATACTAAAAAATAGCACTCACTTCTTATTACGAGTAAATCGATGCGTTCGGAATAAGTTTCCAGTAAGAGTAAAAAAATAGTATCTCCAGACCTCAGATGTCAGTTGAAACAATATTCCATCTCTCGTATTTATGTTAGTCCGAAAGGTTAAGTGCTTTGATATGTGTTTTGAAATCGGGATCCCTAAGGTGGTGTCGTGCTAACAGTGGGCGTGTCGTTACCTGAAACCAAATATTCGCATCGTATTTGAGACACTTCCTATTTTCAAGGCGATTAAAAACATGTACTCACGTTTAGATTGGGAGTTCGTATCTTTTGTATCTTGGATGCCAATCATGCCATGCAATTTTAAGACAATCATGAATCGGTTGAATCCGTAAAGTTTGGATTTCTGTTAGAAGAGGGTCAGCTAACAGGTTGGACCTGGCTGACTAAATTTTATGAAATTATTTTTCTCAGGTGGGTAGACCAATATAACTAAAGAGCAGCGAGGGAAATGAAATAGGAACACAGACAGATACTGCAGCAATTGCCTTTCAATGGTTATGTACATTTGTATAGGAATTTAGCGGTACTTTATGATTTAGTTTTTAGTAAGTGATGATAGTGAGCCATGGTGTGTTTTGATATGAAAACACGACAATATTTTTTCTTCCTTTTCCTTTATCACTGACATTGCTAAATCTGAATTAATAAAAAAAATAATAAAAAAACGTGGACAAACACGGCGTCCTGTCCTGCACAAATGAAAACATATTAAGCTGGAAATGAATGCATGACTGAAACATGAAGTTGACTGAAATTATCATAGCTATAAACGAAAATTCTTATCACTTACGTTGAAGGCTGATAGGCCGGAAGTGCGACAAGTTTTATACTGAATCATGACCTTAAACAGGGAATATTCCCTGTTTAATTAAGGCCATGATGACCATGTTTATACTGAGATTACTTCAACAAACATTAACATACCATGCGTGCAAAATTGCTTTAATTAGAATAGGTAAATGTTTGGACAGTAAGAAAAGATTTTTTAGTCTTTGAAGTCTCATTTACACCGCCAATATTTCTTGGCAAACCGTGATGAGGTTGTCCTTTATGTGACATGGGAATTTGCGAGCAACTCGTCCCCGGCAAATGCACTTGTACATGTATCCTAAATTTTTAGAGAATTTGCTTGTGTACAATTAACGAGACACCAGATTCGCATGCACTTTTTTACCGTATATAGCCCTTAAAATTATGATATGTCTTAGTAATAACAAATTTGTACAAAATATTGAAATATGAAAAGTTCAGCATGAGCAGATAGGCCATCTCTTTCTAGTGAGTTGATCGGTATCGCAGGAAAGCAATTTAGCCTTTCTCACGATGACGTTTTGGGGTACTTTCAATTTTCTGAAATGGATTTAAAAATTATGTTTAAACATCAAAAGCAATTTTTTTAGAATAAACAGACCTTTAGAAGAATAAATTCAGCCTAAAATTAAAGACAGTCGCCGTTACCAAGTCTTACGCTCACGGTTTTTGAAAAAAGTACCCCAAAAATGGTTGCATATTCGTCATCGTGAGAAAGGCTGATTGAATGTGTGTAAATGTAATCGGGGTGGATAAACGCCTATTTTCTACGTACAAAGAGAAAAAACTGTAACCCTGTCTTCCTCATATGTTTTCTCCCAATATTTTATTCAGCCGACTAGTGCATTCACTACAAAAGCGATCTATAGAAATCTACATATAATCCTTATTTCCAAAGCAACAGTTTATGAACAGCAAGCATATAGCGTTGTTCGCTAAAATAGGCTTGTGCAACTGTGCTTTTGACCCTATATATATAATTAAAATAAGGAACCCTAATTTGAAAATAGTCTAATATTCAATAACGAAACAGAAAATATACCATGTACATGCGGCTACTAGTTCTTCTTGAGTTAATAGGTATTTAACCCATTTTAACGGTCCGTGCGTGTGATAATAGAGAGTTCAAGTTTCACGTTCTATACCTGAAACAGCAAACGCCAGGTGAAGAAAAAAAATTTGGCTAAAGGAAAATAAAGAGCAAATGTACTCGATTTTTAAAACTTCAGGCGCAATCAATGTTTACAAGCAAGTGAGAAAATTGCCAGAAACGAAAATTCGGCCGAAACATTTCGGCCTTGCCGTTTGCCTTTTCCCAGAAAAGCGAAGCTTAAACTCCTAATGCCAGTGTAAAATGTGTAAAATAATTTAGCTATTATTTCCTTTTTCAAGTAGATAGGCAACGTTTTTCAGTTTTCACCCTAAATGCGAGTATTCAAATTATTATCCGTCGAAGAATGAGTGACTCGTGTCCCAGAATTGGACACCGGTTCCTGATCTGACGATCTTTTGATCCTTAAGATGTGCGCGAAGGCCTTTCGGAATCTCGGTGACCTCAGTGCGTAACAATAGAAATTCACGCTGCTATTCATGATGACAAACAGGAATTGAAGATCGCGAAACCAATGCAGGGTCGTACAGCTGCAGGATTCACAAAAGCTCATGGCATAGATGAAGACAGTCGAAGGACCATAACAGCAGAGAAGCACCAGCAGTACCACCATGAACATCTTCGTAACTTTTTGTTCCCATTTCGCGGCAGTTTGACTGTGTACATTGCTATGTGTTGTGTCGGACTCTGGCGATTTACCCCCCTCGGCGGCATTATCATTCGTTATCGTGATTGCGTCATCGCCCCTGGCTCTTTGTTGAAACTTACGCAGCATCAGACCGTACGTGAAACACGTTATCGCAATCGCGAGCACGATAGCTGTATTGGCGAAGATGAAAGCATACGTGATGTAGCCAACTTCGAAGTAAACGAAAGGGACGGTTAGCGAAATCAGCCAAATGACTCCGGTGGTTAGGAACACCCGTTTAGTTGTGAACCTGCAATGAAATACGAACCACCATTTTATCAACGATAACCCTTAACCATGACCTAATCCTTGCAGTTTGTCATGTAATCTAATCCGATCTAACCTAATCATAATCCTAATATGATCATAATCCTAATAGTCCGTGACGAACGCATTCAAAGAGTAAGAATATAATAGGTTGGTAGAAATAGGTATAGACATACGCCTGGTTATGCAAAGTTCTCTCGTATAATCAATGGAAAGATAATAAAAAAGGTAAAAAAACTGAAAATCAAACTCTCATTTGACTGAACTGAATGTATACGTCATAGAAACGTTATGAAAAATTAAGATTGCGATATTGCATTCAATGAGTTCGAGGAATACAGGCGATACACTACATAACTTTTAACTGGAGTAAAATTTGATGATTATAATCATCATTATCTTTTATTTTTTCATTTAGTTTGCCAAATCACACTAGGGGTTTTTAAGAAAAACCTACACTGGTATATATTTTTACTGATAAAATTATCCCTTTATTGACTTAACAAAAGTTTACCTATTTCGATATGTATGTGGGTTCCTGATGGCCAAGTACCGCTCCACAGCTAATGTTGCCAGGCTAAGCACTGAGGCTGTACACGATATGAAATACGACATGTGTATTGCTTGAACCTCGCTCAACAACAAAGGAGACCTGATACCCTCTTTCCAGTGAATGTAAATCGATATAGGGTCGGTTACAGTTCCCACGATGAGGTCCGCGAATGCGAGATTGGCCATGAGGTAGTTAAATGGGGTACGGAGGTTCTTAAAGGGGTCTAGAAGTACAGCTAGGATGACTAGGAAGTTACCAGGAATGTTTAGGATCATAAAGAGGATCGAAAACGTCGTGGTAAAAAAGGAGAGATGACTTGGGGCACCTATGGTTGTACATCGCTCTTCGAATGTTCCCTGGAAGTAAGGCATTCTTCAGTTTCAGTTGCGGTTCTGTACGAATTACGAAAGTCTAAATGAGAAAATAGTTTGAAAAATCATTAGTGAAAACTATTTCCTATAAACAAAGACAATAGCTAAACCTAGATTACCCGTGTAATAACACCACAGGTAGTTTAAGCAGTAATTATTGCCAAATTTTCTCTCTTTTTTCTGCCAGTGGGGACAGTCGTCAGAGAGCTTTAGGTTGATGTTTTTCCTTCTACTGCGAACGGCAAACCGCGGCTTCACGTTCAGATTTCGCCGATTGACGTACGTTTGCGGTTAAAGTTAGCGGAATTCAGTTGCCCGCGTTTTAGGCTACTCTTTCCTGCAATCTACCCTCAGCACTCGTTGACGGTGAGGCTAGATTACTTCACTTATTTCCGCGCAGTAAACCTTTTCCGCGTCTGTATTTTACATTATTCCCCTTTTTCACTACTCCGCTTCCGCCATTCTGTTTTTCGGGTTTCAAGAAAGGTAATTTGTGCCGTTTCTATCACTTGTTATAACTTTGGTGTTTTTTTAGCATTGATCCAGCTTTATAGGTCAAATGTCGAACTACTTACGCGCCGAATGTGTTGAGAACAATAGATAATAAGCTAAAAGGCCTCGCTATCCAATGTTTTCCATCAGTTCGGCGCGACGTTTGACCTAGGCTTTAGTTGTGAAAGCATTTACATGACACGTTTGCGATCCGCCAACGCGACGCGATTTTTGTTTCCTCATTTTTAAAAGCAACTAAGTTTGATCATGTTATGATAATCTTTAAATTACCGAGCGGTAGTACATTTTGAGTTTGACGTCTGGTGACCAAAATCATTTCCTTTTAGAATTGAATTTATTTGCTTTTGAAAACCGACTATTCGCGTCGCGTTGGCGAAACACGACTAGTGACAGTGTGTAGGGGGGCATTAAAACTCGTTATTATATTGGCATTCCATGCAAAGGCCAATTTTATAGCCATCTTAAAAATGCCATTTTAAATTTAAAGTTGAAAGAACTTCCGGAAAGCACCTATGCACCGTATTCCACCGTGATTCCACAAAATTCAATTCCGGGTATTTCGGCAGGTCGAAAGTTCCTATTGTGCATGTGGGCATTTCCGCATACCAGCGTTCCTTAGCATTGAAGTGGCAACTGCCAAGATTGACGCATTCATTTATTATCCGTAATGAAAAGCAGGAATTATAATCATATATATTGAAAAGCAATAAAAGACCGTAAACCGCGTGGTTTTATTGAAACCGTCTATATAATCTTTCGAGAAAGAAGTTCAAGGAATAAAAGTTTTGAGAAAGAAACTCTTTTGAAAAAGAAACTCTTTTGACGATGGACAAAGATAATTGTGACACGTGTTTGCTGTTTTCGAAATGAGCGATTTACACTGAATTTACACAACCCAGATCGAAATGCTTTCATTCTGAGAGGTTTAGCCTTTTTCATGACAAGATGTCTTAAGAAGCCTTTTCCGGGCTGTTATTTATCATTTATGACTAAGCATCTACTATTTGTTGATGATTTGACGTGAAAAGTTTAACACAACAGGAAATGAAACAAGAGACAAATTATACTAGCACCTCCTAGTGAGAATGTTGAAGCCAACACAAAGAGCTTTTTCGTGTCTATCGATGGCGTGTAACGAAATTATATCACTGTTGTTCAACTTGTATTACAGAGCGCTAATGGCATTAGTCCGTCTGTAGAAGCATCAAGACACCTTGAGCTGTTTTATGTATTCTGTAGTATAGCCGCGAATTATTGTATATACCACAGTTGACGTGTTTGGGCATGCACCTTAAACATTCTTAGCGCTCTTTTAATCTTTGCGAGTTCAGACAATATAAATTCACACACATTATTCACTCTTTTGACCAACCCGCGTGTGCCAAGTTTTGACTATTTTGAACCAAGACCAAGATATGCCTTAGTTTTGACTATTTTGAACTGTATCCCTAATCCATTGAAGATATATTTCTTTTACATTTTTTACATAACGCGAACAAAACCCTATATAGTGTAATATTTGATTATCGCAGGTCAAAATTTAGAACAATTATTACATCCTATAAAATGACATATTTGTATTGTAAACGATTTGAACTTATTAACAACGATTGTAAATATATGAAAATGTTCTCGCCGAAATAATTTAAGTTGACAAATCTGAGTTGACAATTTGATGAATTTTATCTTTATTAAAATAAGTATATAATCGCTGCAACTTCCTGCATCATTCCTTGACCCTCCCTCGATATTAAGTCACAAGTATTGCAATATCAGGTTGGCCACAAGCCGAAGGCAATCAAAAAAAACTTTCTATTTTGCGGTCTTTGTTTGGGTGTGCACTTCCTAAAAGGCTTCGTACGCCATAAATATTAAAACTACACATTCATGCAATCAACTCAACGGAAGCAATAAAAATGCCCAATTGAATTATGTTTTACGCTGGTTTGACTACAGCATTTTTGCGTAATAACAATTGATTCAGGGGTTTTATATATACTTATATAGTTTGTATGAAATCAGGAAGATGTCTCGAAAATTGTCAATGGCCGAGTGACAAAATTGAACGTTCAAATTAAACTCATTACACAACGATTTTTTTTTTATTTACAAAAGTTTCCAAATATATAAACTCCGGTCATCACAGGTTAACCAGGTCATCTTATCTTAGTATTGTGCGTGGAATCAGCCGTATAAGTTTGGGGCTTATAGTAATAATTACAACAACGATAATATCCTGTATCAGCGGAATTGAAAGAAATCCGAGCCGATAGTATATATAAAATTTTTCCTTCATTAAAGATTTTTGTATAAATGCGAAGATTTCGTTGGTGTCACATTTCTTGAGCAGGTCCTAGGTGGACACCATGCATTCATGCAATTGGTGTTAACCGCGTTATATAGAACGAGATATAGAACACATACCTACCTACGATGGAATTAGAATAATACATATAGTATATTGTGGACTGGCCCTGTATACCGTCGGCAATATAGATATATAGGTTCCACTTCCTCAAAGGCATTTCACTACCTCATGGACATATATATAAATAATATTCATGCTTAATACGTATACCTTAATTTAGGTGATCTGCATGAATGAACCGAAATAATAATATATTTCAACTATACAATTTCATAGAGGTCCCTCATTGGTGACAAGTAATAGTATCAATTTATGAATATAACGATTTTTTCCATTCCAATGAAGTCATACATTGAAGTTTATCCCCGACTTCGCCGTTTGCCCGTAAAGCATCACTTAAACCATAGCTTAAACAAAATTTCAGGTCGCCACATTACGTAGATATTTATACAAACATGTCACTTACTATTCACAGTTTCCAAATATCGCTTCTTTCTTTTCGACAATGTGCGAATAACTCTCACGCGAAGTGAGAATTTATGAAAAATCTCCTAAAGTAGTTTGCTCTGAGCTTGGTGGCTGGTTTGCTCACTTTGCTGCACTAATGAACAAGTGTAACGGAATATGATACCCTTGTCCAACGAAGACAAATTGATTTTTGGTAACTTGACACCTTGTGGTTTTACCACGCCACACTCACTTCACCTGTGCTTCGCGTGACGAGACTGGAAAGAGTGGCAAGTGCTTGTGTATTCGACTGATTTATTTGTGCAGCTGCATCTCAAAACTCATCCTTTTATAATTTAAGAATTTGCAAAGTTAAAAGACCGTGTAATATATGCAGGATAATTCAGGATGCGGTTATTTGAAGAATATTCCAGCGATATTTGGTGTTTGGGTTATTTTATATTTTGACATAGGTAATTGGAACCATATTGTAGTTCTTATATAGTTATAAGTTAATTTGTAACAATTGTCTGAATTAGACAAACTAGAGAAAAAAAAGACGTTATGTGTATGTGGGCTAAAGGGGAACATAATGAGTAATTTGTTGAATGGTTAATTGCGAATTGAGGGGCGTAGAAATAGAAATAAAAATAACCAGATGGGGTAGTTTATTTTATATTTTGACATAGGTAATTGGAACCATATTGTAGTTCTTATATAGTTATAAGTTAATTTGTAACAATTGTCTGAATTAGACAAACTAGAAAAAAAAAGACGTTATGTGTATGTGGGCTAAAGGGGAACATAATGAGTAATTTGTTGAATGGTTAATTGCGAATTGAGGGGCGTAGAAATAGAAATAAAATAACCAGATGGGGTAGTTTGGAATTTGTTGGACAACCGCCAACCATGTGGTGTGTTTGAAATAAAATTTTTTTAAAAAAGGGGGTTTTTGTTTATGATGGAGTTCTTCAAGAAACTATGTAGTTGCGTTTGTAGTAATAGGTTGTGTAGCGTTATTGGTGGTGTTTAAGTCAAGGTTATGTAAGGAGGTAGGTAGAAAAGTAAAACAGAAGACAAGAAGGCAAGCGTGCGAATCAGTATCCCCGTACGCGGCGTTTCATCCTTTTGCGGACTCGTCAGCGGGGAGCAGGGTTGGCTTTGTGTGAAGGAACAATGAAGATAAGAAGTGAGTAAAAGTGGTGTGTGTTTGTAGGAGAATCATAAAGAATCAAGGTTAAAGTTATCAAACCTGCGTGAGAGTGTATTCGTAAAAGGCAAAATGGTAAAATTAAACTGTGTGTCTTACCAAAGTTGTTGTTGACTTTAGATAAACCAACGCGGTGAGCCATCTCAGGGTTGATGTGAAGTCGAGTGTAATTTTACTTAAAAATTGTTTTGAATTGCTTGACAGCAGAGCTAGTGTTCGAGCTTGTATCCGTTCAAGAGACTTGATCGAAAAGGGGTCAAGGATTGCACGTGTGTGCATAAAATGCGTTAATATGTTACGTCACTGAGGTCAGGTGTCAAAGTCTGTGTTGGGGATAGTGGGGGTTTACGTGTCAATTATGGTTGTGTGTGGACATCCGAGGTTTAAATGTGTTTTGGTTGTAAGTTGTACTTCATGTAGTATGGTTGGTTATAATTGTTGAAGTTCCTTTTATCACCGTAGTCATGAAATAAAAAATTGGGTTGAAATGTTTTGGGATTTTTGGCGAGGAATTACAGAATTACAGTGCAATATCGTCATCTGTGGGTAGTAAACTACCCCGGGTTCTAAAAACTTCCGTGGGTCGATGTTCGGCGATGCATCAACCGTGAGGGTTTCAATCGTGAATATAATAGGGTTATCAATTTGAGGTAGTCAAGGTTTTTAAGGTTTGTATTTTGAAGTTTTATGATAAGCTTGTAAAACGTGCATATAATTGTGAGTGTAAGGTTGTAGGTATATAGGTATCATTATTTAGTAGGTGTTTAAATTGTCATCGGTAATTAGAAGTCAACGTGGACGTTGTCATGCGTTTGAATTACTATAACTATATATATATATACAGCATATGGATAGCGGATTGTACATTATATTACATAAGGATTGTTCAACGTGACTACATTATCCATGACCATGTTCATGTGGTTTGATTTGAAGTGTATTTAATCCGTGTGGTTGAACATTTAGGTTTTGTTCGGGCATCTGGTCATATTTATGGCTTAATTCTGCTATAAGGACAAGTATTTTTTTAAAAAAATAATTCTATACTTATGTCCGCAGGATGCCCAGGATGCCAGATTTGATGTGACTGGTTAAGTCATGTAGTTTTGTTGTTTTCACAGGAGAGTGCCACAGGGTTTGCTTGTCATGTGTTAATTGGTTCTTGCATGTTCTCACTTGTAACCCAGTGTGTCCCAGGAAGTTCTTTGGTTTGTTATATCCACTCTGGTGTTTTCAAGGTGGTATTCAGACTCAATGTCAATTGGGAGTGGTCAAAATTTTTTTTGTATCTGTGTTTAGGATGGTGTGGAGGTTTTTGGCTGGTTTTGGTTAGGTTTGGGGTTGATGGAAGGCCTGGGGGATTTGGGTTATGGGATGTTATTATGTTTGGTTAGCGTTGTGTCTGGTATTAAGTTTTGCTGTGATAAGTGTGTCTCTCAGGTTAGTATTACGTTGGTAGGCTACAATTGGAGGTTCTTGCCATAGACTCCTCAGTGTGGGGTCATTCTCCAATATGTTCCAGTGTTTACGTAGGATGTTTGCAATATATTTTGTTTGTGTTGTATGGAATGGAGAAAATTGGGCGGCTTGTGTTTTTTTGGCTTTGTTTCCTATTGAGTAGGTCTGTTTGGGTGTATTGTAGGGCTTTGTTGAAGTTGGTGGTGATGGTGTCGTGGTCATATCCGCGATGGATCAGTGCAATCAGGAGGTGGTTTAGTCGTTGTTGTAATTTGTTGTTGTCTGTAATTATGCGTCTGTATCGTAGAGCCTGACTGTAGATGACTGCGTTCTTGCATGTGGTGGGGTGGAATGAGCTTTTGTGTAGTAGAAGGGTTTTGTCAGTTGGTTTAATGTACAGGTCTGATTCCAGTTTGTTGTTTTTTTTTTGTAGATAGTTGTGTCAAGGAAGTTGACAGATTTCTCAGAGAAGGAAAAGTCAAATTTGATGGTAGGATGAAAATTGTTTATGTATTTAAGGAATTTTTCCAGTTTGTCAGTGCCATGTGTCCAAATTGCAAATATGTCATCTATAAATCTTATCCATTCAATAGGTATAAGATTTTCAGGAGCTTGTTGGAGGAGCTCCTGTTCAAGTGCTGCCATGAATATGTTTGCATAGGTAGGTGCCATTGGTGATCCCATAGCAGTGCCATGAATTTGTAGGAAGTGTTCGTTGTTAAAAGCAAAGGCGTTCTTCTTAAGTACAAGGGATAGGATGTCATGAACTAGTTTTTCCATTTCAGGGGTAATTGTGTTGATTTCTTTCAACATGTCTATACAGGCTTGGATGCCTTGATCATTAGGTATGTTGGTATAGACTTCTTACGTCAATAGTAATAAGTATGAACTTGTCTGGTAGTGTGTTATTCTGAGCAAATATCCGGCATAGAAAGTCTGTAGTGTCCTGGACATATGATGGTATGTGTTGTAGGAGTGGTTTGAGTAGATGGTCAGCATATTGAGAAAGCTTGACTGTTGGTCCACCACAACCGGAGATAATAGGTCGACCTGGAATGTTAGTTTTGTGTATTTTGGGTAAAAGGTATAGTTGTGGTGTCCTGGCTTGATTGTCAATTGTGAGATATTTAAATGTTGTGTTGTCAATGGCCTTAGATTTGTTGTGTGCTAGGGTTTTGGTTTCAGTTAGAATTTCAGGGGTCGGGTCATGTGTTAGTTTCTGGTAGTGTTTCTCATTATAAAGTTGTCTATATGCCTCAGTAAGATAATCTTCCATTGGCCATATCACAATGGCTCCTCCTTTGTCTGCTGGTTTGATTATTATATCATCATCCTTTTTTAGATCATGGAGTTTTAAGGCTTTGTGAGGATAAGTGGTTTTTGTAGTTTGTTTTTGTGTTCCAAATTCAATTTTGAGATCGTAGAGTACATTTGATATGTATTCTAACAGGTTGCTGTTGTCGGGGTTTGGTGCTGTGAAGTTACTGGGTAGTTTAAATGGATGTTTTTTAGTGTCCTTTCTGTTTCTGAAGAAATATTTATTGTACATGCTTTTTTTATATTTCAGAAAAGAGGCATATATGGTCTTGTATGGTGTGTGTTTGGGTGTCGGGACAAAGGTAAGGCCTTTCGACAGGGTTTTTTGTGCTTCCTGTGAGATGGGTTTGTTAGAGAGGTTAACAATAGTATTGTGTTGGGAGTTATATTTGAGTTTTTTATGTAGTTTATTTTTGCTTTTGTGTCTGTTGTTATTGTGTTCCGTTGTGTTTTCAAATATTTTAGGATGTTTCGTTTGTTGTAATTGTTTGTATCTGTGTTGAGTTTTATCTGTTTTGTTATTTGTGGTGTGTGGGTTTGTTGCGTCTGAAATATTTGTTGTTGTGTGTGAGATGGAATTTATGTGGGGTGCTGATTGTTGTTCATTGTTGTTTCGTTGATGGTTCGGTGTCTGTTGTTATTAGGTTGTCATAGTGGGTTGGTATTCGAAGTTGTGGTGTTCTTGTTACGTTGTTTTGCTAGTACTAGTTGTTCCGGGTTTGTGGTGGTGTGGGGTGTGGGTTTGCATAAGGGGTTTGGTTTGTGTCTGTTGGTCGGTGGTGTGTGGGTTTGTTGGTTGGTTGGCTGGTTGTTCTGTATGGTGTCTATGGGGTGAGGAGGTTGGAGTGATTCTGGTATTTTGTTGTTAAGTCGTTTAGTTTTATGTTGCGATTGTGGGATGGTGCTAGGCAGGCTTGTTTTGTGTATTTGGTTGCAATGGCGTCTGTTTGTTGTAGTATGTTGTTGGCAGTTATTGTGTCACATTTGTTGTTGATTTGTGCAGATTTGTGTTGTATTTTGAACTCTGTGTTTGTTTATTTCCTGTTTGTGATAGTCAATGTTCAGTCAGTAGTTCTTGTGAGGCATTCATTAAGATGTCCTCCCATCTTTGTCGTAGGTCTTTGTTCAGGTAGTGTTTGCTTTTGTGTGTGATTTCTAGTCCAGGGGGTAGTGTCTGTGCTTTTTTGTGTTCTTCCAGTTCGTCAAGTGTGCATTTGAGTTTGGATAACTTGGTTTTCTGTGTGCTAATAATGCGGAATGTTTCCAGGAGGTGTGGTGGTATGCTGTTGGGGTTGGGAATGGATTGTGGTTGGTCATTGTGTGGTGTGGTGTTGGTTGCGATTTGGGGTTAGTTGTGATTTGGGGTGTGTTGTTTGTCTCTGGGTTTTCGTCTTCTGTGTTTAAAAGTTTTTGTTTTTCCTTATGTAGGCCTTCTATTATTGAATCAGTTTCCTGATCGGATATGATCAATTTGTGGCCAAAAATAAGGGAGGTGTCCAAGTCTGTTATGTCTCCGTCGTCAGTCTGTAAAAATTCGTTTATTTGTTCCTCGGACATGTCCGGTGAGGGTGGGGGGTTGGGTTGGATTGGGCATGGGTTAGTGTCAAGGGTGGGGATTGCGTTGTCAGGGTTATCAATCAACATATTCTGGGGGTCGGTTAGGTTTTTGGTAGGGTTTTCGGTCGGGTTGCTTCGATTTTTGGAGTTGAATGGGACTTCTTAAAAATTAAGGTTATCCTTTGTGAGTAATAGTTCCATTGAGTAGTGATCGTTGTGTTTGTTAGTAAGTGTGTTAGGGGTGTGTGAATAAACAAGGGGGACTGTTTTCTGGTTAACTGTATGAGATTGATTCAATTGTTACAACTAGAACTAAACAATATGGCGAGCTTGGTGGCGCTCTCTGGTTATTTTTATTTCTATTTCTACGCCCCTCAATTCGCAATTAACCATTCAACAAATTACTCATTATGTTCCCCTTTAGCCCACATACACATAACGTCTTTTTTTTCTCTAGTTTGTCTAATTCAGACAATTGTTACAAATTAACTTATAACTATATAAGAACTACAATATGGTTCCAATTACCTATGTCAAAATATAAAATAAACTACCCCATCTGGTTATTTTTATTTCTATTTCTACGCCCCTCAATTCGCAATTAACCATTCAACAAATTACTCATTATGTTCCCCTTTAGCCCACATACACATAACGTCTTTTTTTTCTCTAGTTTGTCTAATTCAGACAATTGTTACAAATTAACTTATAACTATATAAGAACTACAATATGGTTCCAATTACCTATGTCAAAATATAAAATAAATATACGACAAGAGGAGTTCTTGATTTTTTTACCACAAAAATTAGGCGTAAAGCGGTTTCAAAAAAGACTTTCTTTATAGAAACTATTATACATGCATGATAAAATAATTGTATACGTGATGATGCATCATAAAATAATTGCATCTCAGATTTTAAAGTGTAAATAATTGTGTAGACTACAAACGTCAAACGTCTTGCGCAAGATTTTTTACTCAAAATATCGAAAGCAAAAGATTTTTTTGCACGGACGAAGTTTGTGAGTTGGGTATGGTTAATGAGTTTATTATCGTGATATATGTTAACCTTTTTTACAAAGAGGAATAATTGTGACTTCCTAGTTTCGAGTGAGAAAACGTTTACCACAAAAATTAGGCGTAAAGCGGTTTCAAGAACGACTTTCTTTGTAGAAACTATTATACACGCATGATAGGATCATTATACATGCTGATGCATCATGAAATAATTGCATCTCAAATCTTAAAGTGTAAATTATTGTGTCTCTGACCTTGTGTATCCATGATATATCTGTCTATTTCATTTTATTCAATTGCAACGAAAAAATATAGATTTAAGTAATTACCTTAACTTGGAAACCTAAATTTTTCATCTAGTACCTGTACCTATATAGTAACATTAAGCAAGCATTCGGTGTGATATGATTTTTGAAAAACATACATGTTAGTAGACATGCATGCAATTAACCTGAGGTTCTGATTTAAAAACATCCTTTTTATTTTAATACATTACTCAAGTCTCATTGACTAAACTTTTTCCAGTCTATTATAGTTGTAATTCGGGCTAGATTTACCAAAGGCGATTAAACGAACTTAGACAAGCAAAAGGTATAGTTCGTCTTCCAGTTCGTCTGTGTGTAAATCATCCGTGTTAGATAATAAATAATAATAAAAACTTATAAAAAAAAATATATATATAATTATATATATATATATATATATATATATATATATATATATATATATATATACATGCATGCAATCACTAAATTGAAAAGCAGAGCTTTTATATTTCTATACCCAATACATATAAAAAACACTGATTAGACTCATTTAAACTGCATTGTATTGTATAGTCATGCAGTGCACATTATAATATTGAATGTGGAATCAAGACAATATTGCATGTAACTCAGTTCCTCTAATTCTTAATTCCTTGATATGACATATGTACAGTAATTCCTTATAATAAGCCCATAGGCCTTGTCATGCACACACCGTCGTGATATGGGTAAAACCATCAAGTGAGTATAAGTATAGGGTTCAGAATGAACTGATGATACGTGTCGATGATGCATTGCTTCAGCCTTGTTTCTGTTGATGTTAAATTAACTTTGACGGGTTTCACCCAAGTTCTTTGTCTTGAGTTCATTTGCATAAAGTTCAGGTCTGTGTCGATAAGCACGACGTCTAAACGCCGCTTCACGTACGTGTTAGCTCGCTCGTAGACTAAAATCATGACGCGATAGTGCCGTCAGTGGAAATCCGCTTTATTCGTGCATGTACGCAAATAACTATAAAGAAGGCCATCTAGACTACAAACGTCAAATGCATGTTTGTACAAGATTTTGTACTCAAAAGATCGAAAGCAAAAGATTTTTTTGCACTGACGGAGTTTGTGAGTTGGGTATGGTTAATCAGTTTATTATCGCTAATTATTATCTTGATATATGTCAACCTTCCTCTACAAAGTGGAATAATTGTGATTTCTCATGCAGTATCGAGTGAGAAAACGTTTTAAATTTCGTTTACTAGTATTACACAACGTTTTCCAGAACCAATTGTAATCAGGCAGTATCGCAGACAGCAAAACCATCGGACTTATCGGGACTGATAAAAACAGTTAATTTTTTTCAGTTTTGAACGTTTATTTGGTAAATCATTTGAGCATTTCATTTCACGCAAAAACGTATGCAAACACTGACAATTTACGACTGGAATTCATCAAAGTATTTTGGAGGCTATTTTTGAAACCAGGAATAGGTAGAAGGGAAGACGGGGAAGGGAACACGGGAAACGATAAAAAATGAAGGAGAAAAGCCGGAATCTTTAAAACAAGAAAAACGAAAAGCTGGAGTCTTAAAAACAAGGAATGAGAAAAGCCGGAAAAACAGAAGAAAATACACAAAGAGACCAAACGAGGCAAATCTTGCACCAGTTTTTGGAAGTATGCTAACCTCTTTCAATGAGGAAACTTCGATTTTTTATAGCTGTTAAAATTGCTATTTTAAAGACTAATGATTATCTGTTATATGGGACATAAACTGTCACCGTCATGCAATCCTTGACAGAAAGGCTAATAGTGATAGTGCTAGTCTGTAAGTCAGGTCCCGACAACGTATAAACTTAATTTTTTTTCGCGACCTTTCGCCAGTTCTACTTCAGTATGCAATGTTTTAGCTTGGTTTATTCGCACTCGTTTTTGTCGGAAAAGGTATTGATTTTCATCCATTTTGCTCGACAACTATTACTTATCACTTATGGATGTCCCACCCAGCCAATGTGGTGGTGAGCTTAGATAGAGAAAAATATCAAAACGAGGATAAAAATCGAACCAAAATGAGAGTAAAACGAGGCTTATAGTTGGAATGTTGGATAATTAGCATTCAGTTTCTTTCAAGTTTCAACCTTTTACTACTTAAACTGCTGTTGTATCAACTGGGTCCCAGAGCTCTACGTCAGATTCGATTAAGATTACCTTTCAAGTTTCAAAATATTGTTGCCTTTCAGTTGTGTTTGTTGTCAGTCATTTATATCTTCACATTAGGAATTCTGAATACAAGGGTTCAACCACGAGCTGCCTTTTTTTGGCCTTTGAATACATATCAAACTCTTGTAGTACAAATTGGGACATTTGCCCTAGCTAGAGTCTAGTCTCTTTTGAGAGCAATACCGCGCGGCCATAAACAAAGATGGCGTTGAGATCGAAGCGAATTCATGAAGCGAATTTTGAAGCCGGCCCATCTCGGCGTTTTGCCGATGAATACATTAATAATAATGAGTTTTCGTCCGCAAACACGTCAACTAAAAGAAGATTCATAGCCATAGGTTTCTCCGTTCTTTTGCTCAGTGCCTCTCTTTTGATAAAGTATATATGAGTAAGCTGAAATATAGACACAGAGTGTTTATCAACTCCGAACAAAGATATTTTAAACTTTTAATATGGACAATCATCAAAAATTTATAATTTTAATACTTACTTGCTTATTTCGTAATTAAAAGAAGGAACTGTAGTCCGTAGAAAAGGCGTACTTTGTTCGTATTCATGCTCTATCCCTTCGACGGAATGAATTTATGAGGTAAACAAAACCAAAATCGAGAAAGAAACCCCGAAAAACCGAAGATATAGAGCCATTGGTCCACTCTTAATTCGCTTTGAATATGTATGAATTTGGTATCAAAATTTGCGCCAAATCATGTAGATTCCAAAAATGGAAGTAACTAGACGTCACAATGTATTGCAACAGCGCTAGCTCCAGTTTCCCTCTCACTTCCGCCGTGAGTAGGTCACTCAGCGGTGAAATTCTATAATAGCGGCGTACTAAAAAACCCCAAAGTCCAGGTCTAGAACGTGATGAATCTGTATGAAAATTGCATTACCAGACGTGCCGAAGGTGAAATTTTTAAATCCCGCTGGTAACTAAGATGTATTTTTTACGCACAACGCACGAGCAGGAAAAAACCACGAATTTTGAGTCAAATAATATAGCCGCGCAGCTGGAAGCGCGCTAACTTGAAACACGATATACCTTTTGTCTACACAGAGTTTGATATGTATGAATAATTAAATTTATATTTATATTTATATTTAGAACACTTACTTGTGATAAAAAAGCTTTTGTTTTAATAGCGAAGAATTTAGAAACCATCGATTGTTATAATCTATAAACCTTGTCTCATGAAGACAAAACGAAACTATTAAGCATTTAAGCTCAATGTAATATTTTCGTTTTGTCATCGACATCGTGAAATAAATTTTCCGGCTAAACTTAACTCTTTGCTTTTATTACAGGCAGTTGCTCTAATTTTTATATATCACGTTAAATGTAGTTATTTATATATTCGTAAGACAACAAACAGCTCGTAGTTGGAGGACCCTCTGCGTTCCTAAAGCGCCAATTCTTTGTTTGCGCATGACGTTTCGGCGCCATCTTTATTGACTTTACAAAGTTTTATTTCAAATTTTCAAAATAACCTTTCAAGTTGTTTTATCAACCTTTGCGCTCAGAGCTCAAGATTTAATTTCTGAAAGGAGAACCTGAATACACTAACAACAAATAGCTCGTACATCTCAAGAGTCGAGAGATGTGATCCTAACCATACTCCCCCCCTAAAATGATAATCGGCACGCCCTTCCCTGATTATTACGCGCTTGCATCATCATAGAATAACACTGTTTTGGAAATTTTACTCGTTTTTTTTCCAGCAAATTGTTTATTTTGTACTTTGAAATAAGAATGGCAGAAGTAGGATGGGATGAAGTTACCTATTTAACGAAAAGAACTCCAAAAGCCGGAGAAATGCGTTCTCAACAAGTATAAAAATTAATTACAATGTCAATGTGTATATATTATAGGAACGCTTTGGGATTATTAATTATACTTTAATTTTACGCCTATGTACATTTAGGCTGTTCAAGCAGCTAGGAGAGAAGGAAAAACAGTTGACACGTCGAAGAAATGTAAGCATATTCTATGATTAAATGTTTTAAGTTACCAATAATTTCAAAATAATTACAGTATATAAAGTTATAAGCGTGTGATGTGTTTTGTATAATTTCACCTCCCCCCCCCCCCCCTCTAAAGCCGGATCTGGTTCATTCATTGATGACATTGAGTTAACATACAACATACCGACTACACATTGAGTTAACATACAACATACCGACTACGCTAGTACACAAATTGTATATTGCATCGTGTAGATAGACCTTTAGGTGATGGACACACAATTTATGCAGGTCTTATATATTTAACCTCCATTAGTTTCTGCTGGACAGAACAGACAGCACTCTTCGGCTAAAGATACTGCCAAGCTTGATCGAGAAACAGAAGAACTTCATCGTATGTACAATATAGAAATGATTTCATAAAAACATGCTCTGTATCTGGTTGATATATGAAATTATTTACTGTTACAGATGAGAGGGTATCATTAGATGTTGGAAAAATCATTCAAAAAGGAAGAATGGAGAAGAAGATGAGTCAAAAAGATCTTGCCACAGTAGGATTTTTTAAGACAAATATTTTTTATTTTTACACCAATTGAAGATCATATTATAACATGTTTTTCTCCAATACTTTTAAGAAAATAAACGAAAAGCCTTCAGTAATTAATGATTATGAAGCAGGCCGGGCAATACCGAACAATCAAATCATGGCAAAAATTGAAAGGGCAATTGGTACAGAATTTTAATGCATTATCACATTTATGGTATTGCCTTTATCATAATTTTAATTGAATGTCTTTTTTGAACAGGACTGAAGTTAAGAGGAAAAGACAAAGGACAACCAATGGGTGGGAAAAAGTAACAATATTGATGCTCATGTTGTTAAATCTTGGCAGCAAAAAAAACGGTGGCAAATATATTTAATTTGTGCTGTAAATTCTTATCATTAAACGTTCTATTAGTTGAGTACAGTACAGTACAGTACAGTACATGGAAACTTACACATACCAAAGGGTTGTAGTCACTACACTAATAGTTTTAAGTTGGTTCAGATTAAATATAAACTGGTTTAAGGTATGTTTTATCTAGGATGTCTATCATCAAGTGCAAGGGGGAAGAAATCCCTTATAAAACTGTTAAAAAATGTTTAACAACAGTGGCTTATGACAACTTGTTTGAACAACTATCCATAACTATCCATTCAATGTACAATTTAGGAGCACATATGGTTTGATTTCTATAGATGAGGGAAATGACATTATTTTGTAGCACTTGTGGAGGAGTTGTCTTAATAGAAGGTGATTGTAAGGTTTTTTCTACCCATTGAAAAAACCTACTTGTAATTTTGTTGCAAGTGCTTGCATCTAATCAAAATCAGCATAAAGGCATTTGCAGCAAGCTTGCAAGTTGCATGGTCATTGTGATGAGTTAAGGGGCCTTTAAGGCCAGTGAGGTGGAAGAGGGGTTGGAAAAGAGGAATCCAACCTAGGATCCTGGATCCAACCTAGGTTAAGAAATGGGATTTTACCAGTAATTGCTTAGGTTCTGGTTATAGCCAGTGTTTAGTTAAAAATTTTTTTAGGTTAAAGTTAAGATTATATTCGTAGATTCTGAACATGCAATAACTAGCGATAAATGGACAACCCAGTTTGTATTCCAAACATTCCGAATGAGGTAGTTCATTACTTCATTATCAAAAGGTTTTTAAAATAAACCCGCGCGTGCAAAGTACACGCGAAAACAAACGCAAACGAGACGCCATATTTCAAGATGGCGGACTCGTCAGGTGAAACTAAAGATGCAGAAAGCGATATAAACGAAGACTTGTATAAAGGATACGAACACGATCCTGATAGGATTGAAAGACTTTTTAAAGATTTAGACCGGAATAATGACGGCAAAATCGATGCAGATGAGTTGGCGGCAGGACTGAAGAGACTTCGAGTGCGTCACTCAAAGGGTCAGCTGGAAGTAAGTTTTCTAAACTTTGTTTGGAAATGCCAGGTTTTTCTCGATTAAAATGATGAGGGTAAAGAAAGGCCCAGGTATCATAATGCTCTTGCAAGGCTTCTGTATCATGAAGCATAGTACCTAACTGCTGCACAGTACAAACAGGTTTTTTATAATAATAGTTTTGTCCTACAGTCCTACTTTGGTTTTAAATCATCATTTCCTGATAGCTTTTATTTTGTTTAGAGAGTTATAATACTTAATGCGAATTTCAGATATTTTAAATGCCTGTTTGTAATTTCACGAGAGTGTATGTATTTAAAATGCTATTCCTTTCAATAAATTATTTTAAAATTGCCAAAATAATTCCTGCCGATTGATGCATGTCATAATATTGCCATTAGCACCATGACATTGCTGTTTTATTTGTTTTGGATATCTAATAATCCCTGAGCTATTATCTAGTTCTTTAGTGCTATTAGCCAGTTCTTTATGTAATATGTTTTTCCTGCTATATAATGTTGCGAACTTCTTGAGATACTGTGGAAAAGATTACAAGAATGCAAACATGAACTAGAAAATTATACCTGTATATAGTTACTGTATATTAATTTAACTGATGAGTAGTCAAACCATGTTTCCTTTCAGTCCTATTCATTATGAACATTGTAATTTTCAGCTGTGTTATATAGGGTAGATATATATTTGTACTTTCATTATTCAATAAAGTCTTAGTTGACTGGAAAAATGTGGCAACATTCCATTATGTTCCAACATACCACTATGACTTAAATATAACCAAATAGGAAATAGACTCTTTCACATTGGTGCATTATTAGGTTGTCTATCAGCTGATAGTTTGGAGTGTTAAATGCACTATCTTGAAAGTATAACAAAGTTTACTTACATTGCCAATCCCTCTTTGAGACACTAAAATAGAGCATAATACGATTGACCAATGTGCTGTTATTGTTAAACCTGAGTTTTGCTAAAAATGTATGCCCTTGAATTTTTCCTCAGGTTAAATGTGGGAATTTTTTTATATTTAAGAAAATTATGTCACTTGGTGATCAAAGCAAGGATGGTTGTTTATCGTTTGATGAATTTTTAAAATATATGTCAGACCATGAGAGAAAATTGTGGCTGGTTTTCAAGTCAATTGACACTGATGATAACGGTAGGATAGTGTCTGTACTTGCTATTTGTAGAAGGGGATTTTCAATCAGCTATCAAGCATTACAAATTTTATACAAATTTTATCCCATTGATCTGGTTTTGTGTTTAGTAACACTGCTTTTGTTGGTAGGTGAAATTAGTATAACTGAGCTTAAAAAGGCTTTTAAGAAGATGAATGTAAATGTGACTGAAAGTGAAATACATTATCTCTTAAAATGGTATGTATATAATAAACTTATTTACTCTTCCAAGTGTGTTGACAAGTATGTTGACTCACTATATCAATAATATATTTACAGTATGGATACAGATGGTTCATTGAAGATAGACTGGAATGAATGGAGGGAATATCATTTATTAAATCCTAGTGGACATTCAATGCATGATATAATGCAGTTTTGGAGGCATTCCAGTGTAAGTTACATGTGCTATTATCACAGGAAAAGCAAGGGATGGTAATAGAAAATCTAAATGCTAATAATAATACAAATTATAATTTATTTAGTATCACTGGATGAATTAACAGATAGTTTTTTTATCAAAGTATATAGATATAGGTGAGGACTTTGCTGTTCCAGATGAGTTTACAGTTGAGGAGAAAATTACAGGAATGTGGTGGAGGCAGTTGGTGGCAGGAGGTGGTGCTGGTGTTGGTAAGCCATGGTCATGACTATCATCCTCAACATTTTCTTTAAATCCTGAAATATCCCAGCCCTGGTGAAATACTATTTTCACATCTTATATTTGAATACAAATAATAACTTAATGTCCACTACTACATGACCCTAATTTATTGTTTTTTGCTCTAACATAATTTCTGGATTGAACTATGAACATTTAAATGGCATATTGTCAGACATATTTTGATCCTGTCATTATTACATCATCTAAATACTATTTTTTTAAGAAACACTTGGGTTGAGAACTGATTTATTCCTTCTTTCTTAGTTTCTAGGACGTTTACTGCACCATTAGATCGTTTAAAAGTTTTACTACAGGTTCGTAAAAGGACTCAAGATTTCAGCTTACACACACATGGCACCCATCCTAAATACAAAGTAGTAACATATTTCACATTTTCTGCGACCCATTTTGTACACTTTACGAACAAAGAAAAGTCCACAGAATTGGAGAATGTTAACTAATGCTCTTAAAGAGACATAGTATACGTAAGAATCACTGGCGTTTAGCCAGAGTCCGGTGTTGAATTTTATACTTTCCATGAAATTTATTTTCAATGAAAGTCTTGCAATGCATTCTTGCACCGAAAACCTTTGAGATTCCAAAACTAGATCGTTACTATTGAACTTGCTTCCTCCGCATCTCTTATGTATTAAAAATAGGCATATTTGGCTTGCACTAGCTGTGTCGGGGAAGCGAGAAAACGTTTTTCCTCGCCTTCCATGACACAGCCAACCCATACCTAATAACCTGATATAATTTAATACATAAGAGATGCCTGCGCAGGAGGTTATCGAACAAGCGATTAAACTCCATTTTACCCGGTTTCAGGTAAAAGCCACAGGCAGAAACAATCTGGGAGTGTTGTCAGGCATGCGTAAATTAGTGGAGGAGGGAGGTGTGAGATCATTATGGCGAGGAAATGGTGCTAACGTTATCAAGATCGCCCCGGAATCAGCTGTGAAATTTTTCGCCTATGAAAAGGTATCCTATGTGATAAGAAGTGGCTACTGAGGGATTAAATGTTATTCAAACGCGATTAAACCACTATATATATATATATATATATATATATATATATATATATATATATATATATATATATATATATATATATATATATATACGGGGAAAAAGGCCCTGTTGTGTAAAACTATACTATCTCCATAGTTTAATCGTAGATGAGTCCAAAATTCTGACTGACCATTTCTGTCACTAACAATAGATATAGTAACTTCCTATTTTATACCCTATATATCCTATTTACCCCTCCACGGTATTGTTAATCTATGTAGTCTCTAAATGGTATGCATTTGATTTGGCACATCAAATTGTTCGTGATTTTGTGTATTTCTCAGGCCAAGAAACTTTTTATGACACACGATGGTCAGATAGAACCTTGGCAAAGATTGATAGCTGGCAGTTTAGCAGGCATTGCTTCACAGTCTTCAATTTATCCTATGGAGGTAGGAATGAATTGGTAATTAGGTGTTTCAGGTGCTAACTGGTATTGGGAGGCTATTCACTGACCACTACGTTCATGATATCCTTGTGGGTAAATTGAGTTGCAAACCATAACAGCCTTTTTGTAGAATACTATTTTCTGCCTATACTGGGCAAACTGAACACGCTTGAGCGTGTTTGGATTTTAAGTAAAGACGTTACCTGCAAACGATTTTCAGAAGCTCGCTTGAAGTATTGCGAAGATTTTCATATATCTAAGGTCACGCTACAGGCCCCAAATGCTACACTACTTTTAGGTTTGCTTTTGCTGAAATTGACTTTCTGAATTAGCACCGGGCGACCTGGCCCCTACCACAATTCATAGCGGCATTAGCTTCATGTTTGTTCGCAGAATTCATTGCAAAACAACGCCTTAAAATTTAAGAAATCTGTAATATTCACGTCGTTCAAACAAATAACATGATAGCTTGTTTTAGAATACAGTGGCGTCGCCAGCATGATAAGTTGGGGGGATGGGCATATTCATATACTCGTGTTTTACATTATTCATTTCTTTTCAAATTGATTGTTTTAACGGTCTGTGAACATGAATATACATGAATATGTTATCGATACTGGCGACGCCACTGTTAGAATACGAGCTACATTAGACTGTCACAACTCACAACACTTGAGACATCTTTTTTTATTGCAATTTTTTAAATACTGATATAGGCTAAAATAACTTCTACTCCTTGCTCTAGGTGCTGAAGACGCGCCTGGCATTAGCACGAACAGGACAGTACAGTGGACTCGTACATGCCACAAAGGTTATTTTGGAGAGAGAGGGGTTGCGAAGTTTTTATAGAGGATTGGTGCCTAGTTTGATAGGAATAATCCCGTATGCTGGTATTGATCTCGCTGTTTACGAGGTACGAAAGACATATTTTCACATTATTTCAACACTTTTTAAATACCTTTCACTAGCGCTCGATTTAACTGACGATAAAAAAGAGCCTGCTTCTGTCATACTGATTATCTGTCAGGAAAATAATTTCTGCCAGGAAAATTATTTCTAGGATCACTGGTATGGATGGTATTCCGATCATGCGTAGATCATTAAAAGGAGGTCGCATCAACGGGGTGGGCGTATGGCGTCGTTACACTGTAGTACAGTTGACGTTTGCTTCTCTTTCATTATAGACTGTGAAACAATCATGGTTGAACTATCATAAGAATGAATCAGCAGATCCGGGTGTGTTAGTTCTATTAGCATGTGGTACGATATCCAGCACTTGTGGTCAGTTGGCAAGTTATCCCCTGGCTTTAATCAGAACCAAACTTCAAGCTCAAAGTAAGTGTGATAAACCGGAAAATGTATGATTTTTGAAACATAGTCTGTGGTTTGGAACGGGGTTTTTGTTAAGGACCTTCACCTGAAAGGTCGAATGGGTGAAAGGGTTTTTTAGGGGCCTTTTTTTTCATCCTAAATTTTTTTCTCGAGCCTACAATCTTTAGCTCGAAGGGAGGATTGCAGGCTCAGTGTTTAGATTGCAAATTCCCCAATCTCGTTATTCAGTGGACTGCTCAATTGCTAATGAGAGATTCTTTCACCTCTAGCTGGTGTGGGTCGTCATGAGACAGTTCGAGAATTAGTCTCCAATATATGGCAAGCAGACGGGATACGTGGACTGTATAGAGGGATCATACCAAACTTTATGAAAGTAATTCCTGCAGTTAGTATAAGTTATGTTGTTTATGAAAAACTACGGACGTCGCTTGGAGTTGCGCCAAGCTGACTGACCAGGGCTGCGGTGGGACGACGAGAGACCCAAAATCACGCGTCACGCACGTGATATACGAACGTGATGTATGCAATTTTTAACATTCTTGACCGCCTTGGTCATGGTTATTTTATGTGCGCTAAAGCACTTTTCCACAATGCCGAGTCCGAGGAAATGAATTGAACTCATAATCGACCTAATTTCCCATACAAGAGTGTACGACAAGATCCACAAGGCCAGAAGGAGCAGAAGTTTTAAGAGCACCGCTAAAAGGCGACACACACCGGACCCGATCCACCAACGCGACGCGATTTTTACGAATTTTTTAGTTTTCAAAAGCAACTAAGTTTGATCATGTTATCATATTCTTGATAATTACTGAAGGAGAGCATATTTTGACATGTCTGAGGCCTATAGCTCTCAAAAATTACGTCGCGTCGGCGAATTGCGTCCGGTGTGTGGGAACCCTTTAAGAGCGCGATTTTCACGCAGCCGAGACCATGGTTACCTGAATACCCATGGTCAGTAACAATGTACCTACCAGGTTTTCACCCGATCCGAATTGCCTTTACAGTTTATATGATTGTGAAAAATGACTGGTAAAGATTATTCAAATCGTGGCGAAATTATTTAAAAAGTAATTTTAAGGAATTATATCAGTATAAGGAGTATACAGTAGCCGTACTCAAGTTTAGGGCATCTCTGCACGAGCTGCAATAGTGAGCAAGCCTGTTTAGCATGTCGATTGGCCGAAATGTTGAGTAGCTGGCATGTCATCGACGACCATTACTTTGGAAGGTCGATTAAGTGGAATCGCGGGAGGGGAGTCCACTGTAAGGCTCAGTGTCCTACTGTATGTTTTCTATACTGTGTGATTATTAACCTTACCAGCCGTGAAAAGTTTACTGATAATCTACGGTTTTTAAATACCAGCAAATGCTGGTTTCCAATCAGGAATATTATTTCCAGGATCAGATAAGAAAAGAAAAATTGTAAAGACCCGCTCAAACGTTTTCCTGTGCGATTTTCTCCTTTTGATAGATGTGAACGAGTATTTGTTATTCATTCACTTGTTCACATCTCTCAAAATAATCCCACAAAAATTCGCAGCAATAATCTGAAGTGAAATGTACCTTTATTAAAGCCACTAGTATTTGTCGAAGGCTTACAGATAAAAGAAGCTTTCTTGCCCGATCTAGTCCACAGGTTTTAGTTCTCAGCGGTTAGTGTCTAAACAAGGATCGCAAGTTCATTTTTCGCAAGTATTAATGATTGACTAAACAATTTAAAATGCGTTTTACGCTAATATTTATACCAATCATGTATATATATACGTATGAGAGACGAATATATTATATAAATTTCGAACAAATGTCTTTTTCTTATGCTTGTAGTTAAAACGTTTTAAATTGTACCCCATTTTTTGGTCAGAAGGTATGTATTCTATTACACATCATCCTCAGGCAAATCCCGATCATTCTCAGGAAATATGAAATTCAAATAGGTTGGGCCTGTTATCACCCTCCCAAGAACAAGTATCCAACGGGGGGGGAGAAGATTGCAAATTTCTCGTTGGGCTGACAAATCTTCTTTTCCTGGATAGATGAACCAGGCTTTGTTACCAATTCATTGGTTAATAATTTAAAACTCTGCGCAATTACATGAAAAATTTTCAGCTCCAATGCTGCGTTCAACTTGGGGTCGCAATATAAAGTACCCGAGCAAAAATTAATACATATCCCGGGCATTGTCAATGTTTCAACCCAGGGCTGGTGTTATTTACTTTTATTGAAATTTTCTATTATGTAAATAATAAAATAAATAATAACGTATGTATATAATAATAAGTATTTCATATTATTATATACATACGTCATTCGCTGTTCATGCTATGGGGTCGTATGCAAATGTTTATCATTATAATTTTGGCTAAATTTCGCCAATTTAAATTATTCTTGCTTTCTTCATCCCAATTTTTATTATAAATTGACAACATTTTAACATATAATGGGTCGCTTTGCTCGAGGATACTAATTACATTGAAATAGCGAAAATAAATCGTACTAAGCGTACATAAAACAATATTCAGAACAAAGTAAGATTATAAAGCAATAAGAAGGAAACAGTAGGGGGCTCAAACGGGAACTAGCTTCGAGAGCAACTTCCGCCAACTTCCCATTCTATCCTCCTCCCATATCGAGCCCCTGCCCTGCCGCGTAAAGCCCTAATTCCACGGGCTAAATTTTCAAGCGAAATGCGAAATATTTCGCCTGCTTCTTTTGAATTGCGAGCGTTGAACCTTGGAATTAGGCCCTAACTCATTTATTTGAGGTCTAATTCGCTTAACGTGAACAAAACTGAATTAATTGTTTACGTGTGCGTTTTACTCATTTCATCCCAAAAAATTTGCTTCCTGAGAAGGTTATGTAATGTAGCCTCTTTCCTGCTTGATGTTTTGGGCACGTGGGGAAATGCGACGTTTTGATTGGGCTACGTCATGAATGGTTTACGTCGCACTGTGGTGTGTAATAAATTTGTAATTCTGTAGCAATTAGAACGTCGAGTACGATGTTAGCTCTTGCGAAGTTTGTTAAGGCCAGGGACTTCTGGGGTGCTTACCGACAATCAAAAAATTTTCCATCAATTCATTGTGGTGTTCGTTGTTCAAGCCAAGATGCAAGTGCCGGCGTACCTTACAAAACATTGCAGGTAATCCATGTGCTGTTGCTGATGTAGCTTGGAATTTTATTGATAGATGGAAATTTGATGCAGAGAGATCTCAGACTGGTATACGTCTGTACAGAAGACTCCTTGTTAGGGCCTAATTCCACGGGCGCTTTTTCTCGGCGAAATGCGAAATATTTCGCCTGTTTCTTTTGAATTTCGCTTGAAAATTTAGCCCGTGGAATTAGGGCTTTATAAGAGTCTTCTTGTCTTTATAATATTGCTTTGTAATTTCGGGGATTTAAAAGTTAGATTGAATATTATATTCCTATTTGTGTATATTTATCATATTCATATTTATCCCCATACTCGGTTGTCAGAATGTCCATGGCCCTATTTTTTGTAAATATTTGATTCTACTTAATAATTTTTATGTAATTGGGCAAAAATCTTAACAAAAAAGGTCGCGATTGTTCAAAGACGACGCAGCATAAAGAGATGCAGCTTTACACTAAACACGAATTCTTAAAAGAAAAGGTGCTCGATAGGGGGGTCTTTCATTGCCTTTATTTTAAGCACAACACTATTAAACAGCGATGCTTTTTATCAACAACGCGAAGGGCTCAAGGATTTGCGCCAGACGATCATGCTAGCCTGTCTAATGTCTATGAAGCAGTGTGTTTATTTCTAGCCATTTCTGTAGCAAATCTATCTCGGCTTGCAGAAAGATTGATAACATTTCCCTATTCTGCAGTGCTGGGGCCAGTTGTATTGATAAAAGACTGGTTAAATTTTGACTGTAGTTAAAGACAGAATTGGCCAATCAGAGTTGTGTATTTCTGAGCTAACTTGGATTTAACTATGCAAAATGTAGTTAAAGAATTTTTTTACAATAGCCCCTTGGCCCCCTGATGATTAAAGGTCAAGTCCTTATGCATCACCCATTGCGCTTGAGTGTGCTTCGAGTTGTTGACATCTTTTGAATACACTGCTGTGTATAAAGGATTTTTTTGGTAATTCAGTTATGAAAAATTGTGTGCTTTATCAAAGGTTAGAAATGGGTTAGAAATGTGATTGTTCAATGAAAAAAAATCAAGATTTGTTCTAGATATTTAGAAATTTTTGGTGACCATTGACCTGCGACAGGCCATAATGCCTAATATTTTTATAGAGCGATGACACAAGACCACCTGATGCTGTTCCTAATGAAGCTGATGTCGTCATCATAGGTGGCGGCTCTCTAGGGTCCAGTACTTTATATCACCTCACTAAGCTTGGTGTAAAGAATGCCATCTTGCTGGAAAAGAGCCAACTTACGGCAGGCACAACCTGGCACAGTGCTGGCCTTGTTTGGCAACTACGACCTAGTGATGTGGAAGTGGAACTACTCGCTCATACCCGGGCCTTAGGCAATGAAATTTTAGAGGAGGAGACTGGACTATCAACTGGATGGATTGGAAATGGGGGTCTTTTTATTGCTGACAATAAGGAAAGACTGGATGAATACCAGCGACTAATGACGGTTGGTTCTATGATTGCAGCATTATTACCACACATTAATGATTGCTAATCCAGAAAAAATCTTCAGGAATTTGTTGAATGAAACCCTTTTCAAATAACTATACCTTTTGCGGTTTTGCCTACTTGTTTTGTCTCCCAATCCCCTGATTATGATTGGTTAAGTTTAACATCAACTATAAAGACTGGCCATGGTATCAACAGTATGTGAAAAGGCTCAAAAGAGTAGCTCCAAAAATGGTGGTTGTAATGGTCATCATAAAAAAGCAACTGTTTATTTATTTGACCATTATGACCACCGTGATTGACAATTGCTTATATGATATCATTGATATGCCATTTTTTTTTTCTATAGTTAGGTAAAGTTTTTGGTGTAAATTCTCATGTTTTATCACCAAAAGAAACAAAAGAAATATACGCTTTGATGAATGTTGATGACTTATATGGCACATTATACAGCCCAGGTGATGGAACCTTAGACCCAGCAGGTTGGGCAAGTACATTGACAAGAGCTGCCAAGAATGGTGGTGCACAGGTAGTCACTGACACTACTGACTAAATCCCTTGTTTTTAACCCACTGCCCTTTACTGAGAATTCATAAAAATGATAAAAAGAGGAAAGTGAATATAGAAAACGTTTTATTTTGTATTTGTTTGAATCAAAAAAGCATACATACCCAAAGAGCACCTCTTGCAAACCCAAGAGCATAGTAGCCCAACAATGAGGTTAACAGTTTTTGATGAAATAAGTCCATCATAAGACTGATTAACAGAAACTCTCGCCAGACTTCATAAATTTAGACCGCGCGCTGCAGTACGTGAACGTCAGGTCACGTATACGTATATATATAGTATATTAGACTGTCTGTTAATCAGTTCTGCCCAATACGACGGATTTCTATTGTAAACTATCGCACTTACAAAATAAATCCGCCTGAAAGAACTGAATATATGAATAAAATCGATATTATTCTTAGGTCTTTGAAAACTGCCCAGTCACAGGAATTACTACCAGCGTCGATGACCTAGGTGTAAAACGCGTGACAGGTGTTGACACACCTACAGGACATATTAAGACAAAGGCTGTGGTGAATTGTGCTGGGGTATGGGCACCGTATCTTAGTGAGATGGTTGGAGCCGCTGTACCATTGGTCGCGATGTATCATTCGTACATTGTTACAGAGAGAATAGAGGGGATACAGAACATGCCGAATGTCCGTGATCACGATTTGTCTGTTTATCTGAAGTTACAAGGCGATGGTTTGTCTGTTGGTGGTTATGAACATAATCCAATATTTTGGGACAATGTGAGCATAAATGATTGAAAATTATAACTCTGATTACGCTATTTTTTCCCGTGAGAACAATAACCTACACATATTTATCTGGGTACTCACCCATATAGACATTTTATCCATATGGTTATTTTATCCGTATGCCAACACGTTTTGCCATGATATTTTGCTTGCCAGAAATTAATGCTTGCATAGCAAAAGTTTATATATTTTGGGAAGTCAAATACCACCCTTATATATTTGGGTAATCAAAATGGTAGAATGCGAAAGGGTATACCATAAGCCGGAAAGCATCCCGAAGTGCAAAATTGAATGGAAAACTTGATACGTTTAATGAATTTATTTCTTTGTTCAGGTGAGCAAAGATTTTGCTTTTGGTCTTTTTGATCTTGACTGGGACGTATTCAGTGCTCATGTCGATGGCGCTGTCCACAGAGTTCCAGCAATTGGAGAGACTGGGGTCAAGTCAACCGTGTGTGGACCAGGTAATGAAATTAGAAATAGTTTACGGTAAATATTAAGATGCTGTACTTCTTCTAAGTTCATCATCCTTATTTGACTAACACGACGTTGTTAGTATTGGAAGGGACTATTAGATGTAAATGGAGCAACATAGAAACCTTCCTGCAGTAACCCACAGTTCTTTATAACTCACTGTATTTGTGTACTGTTCATCTAAGAGATTTACTTTCACCAGAGTCCTTCACCGCGGATCACAAACCATTGATGGGCGAAACTCCTGAGTGTCGAGGTTTTTATCTTGGGTGTGGTTTCAATTCTGCTGGCATCATGTTGTCAGGGGGGTGCGGAAGAGAGTTAGCCCAGTGGATTGTTCATGGTCATCCAACACTTGATATGTATGGATATGATATTAGGTAATATATAGAGCTTGTTTAAGCTAAATTACATTAACTAGAATATGCTTCCTTTATACCAGGGCGAGCTTCCATCATAAATAATTGATTAAACGTAGTCCTAGTGTACCAACTTATTACTTAATACTCAATTACTGTTCATTATTTTGTTTCTAGACGTTTTCACTCATCTTTAACCTCAAATGATAAATGGAATCGCGAGAGAAGTCATGAATCGTATGCGAAAAATTATAGCATTGTTTATCAACATGACGAGCCTTTAGCGAGCCGGAATATGAGATGTGATCCATTTCATAAGGTGGGCATTTTTGACGTCGGGCAGGAAGCTTGTAGTTTTATTGTTATTATATAAATATAATCCTATAAGAATTTCGAATGGATTGGTTGTTTACTATCATTTTTTTGTGACAGAAAAGTAGAATTCTCGATCCTCATATAACCATTATCTTAATCTCAACCGTAGTCATCGTGTGTAACTTGGAAAGTGGTGTAGAAGTTATCTGACATCATTATGCCTTGTCAGGTCTTACTAGATGCTGGATGTGTATATCAAGAGCGCTTAGGATGGGAAAGACCCGGATGGTTCGCTCCAGGCTCCAAACCAATACTCAATGAGTATGACTTCTACGGTGCTTATGGAACGGAAAGAAAAATTTCTAAATACGAAGAGCTGCTGACAAACGATTACACGTTTGATTTCCCCCAACATCACGACATTGTAAGTAGAAATTTATCCCTTCGCAACGTTTCATATTTTATAAAAACCTCATGCCAGCTTGGCAAAGAAATATCCTGGGCATGCTTGCTCTTATATTTTTTATTATCTGCCAGATTGGCAAAGAATGTGAAACTTGTCGAACGAAAGTCGCTGCATTCAATATGTCGTATTTTGGAAAGTTTTATATCACTGGGCCTGATGCACAAACGGCTGTTGACTGGATATTCTCCAACAACATGCAGAAACCTCCAGGTATGCTTGAAACTTCTAAGTCAGTGTATTGCGTGACTAGCAAGGGCGGGTACAAAAGACGACATCTTATCGTGGAATTTTTTCAGACCTCGTTTTGGATATCTTTATTCTTCCACACAAACAATTGTTTCCTCGCAGGTAGTTTTGACACGAACCTCGGCGATTTATGATCAAATTCTACCAATCACACACAATCATGTTTGGGATGTCTTTTTCAGGTAGTTCAGACAAATGATCCGTGCGTTTGATCAGGACCATGCATGGTAAATGTTTGTTTTAGGTTCAACAACCTACACATGCATGTTGAACAAGGACGGAGGGGTCCAGGCTGACGTCACAGTTTCTGTGTTGGAGGACGAGAGTTCTCATGAAGCTCTGTCACCAAGCAGTGATGGTAAGAATAGCATGACGAATAACGTAGCACTGACGACTAGCATTCGTGCATGTTGCTAATATATTTGGTGGGTGATAATACCATATGGTAGCCATGGTAGTTGCATGATGGTGGTGGGTATTAGCATTTGTCTCTGTATGTGATTTCACTAGGGAGAAGTTTCTATGTTGCTGTTGGTGGTGGTATTGCAGAATACGCTTGGTGTCACATAAAGAAAATTATAGAAGACAATAGGTTTGACTGTAGATTGGTTGATAAATCAGAAGACATGGGTATGTTAAGTATCCAAGGACCAAAGAGGTATGGAGTCTTTTTTTTCTTACTCGTAGGATTTTCAGAAACATTTTAATTTTTTATACGATCACACTACCAACTCTTGGTAATAGCAAATTAAACTAACCGCTTCATTTGTACCATGAGAACAATTTTTGCCAAGTTAGGGTAAAGTTTTGGCATATAGCGTTTTATCAGTTTATCTAATTAACAAGTTTTCTTCAGTCCTGCACGTTGGGAAAGATTTTACCGCAGTCATTCTGCAACTAATTCATGGTTTTTGTCACTAAAAAGTCTCAATATATTTTTGCCTGTCTTTGTCTCCTACGAAAGTGCAATTTCACCCCAAATTGCGTTCAGTTCATAAAAGCTGCATGTCCAAGTTCAGTTTATAAACACCGTTTTCAATTTCCATTTCAGTCGTGAAGTACTTCAGCCATTATTGAACGTCGATTTGAGCAACGAAGCGTTCGCGTTTTCAACTCACAAGAAAGCACAAATTGCAGGTCATGACGTGCGCATATTACGCTTAACCTTCGTCGGGGAGCTTGGTTACGAGTTGCATATACCAGCCGAGTCGTGTATTCCTGTTTACAACGCCGTGATGGCAGAAGGCGAGAAACATGGCATCATAAACTCAGGATATCGTGCTATTGATAGTCTCAGTATTGAAAAAGGTTTCAAACATTGGCATATGGACATTCGTCACGACGACACACCGCTGGAAGGAGGACTGGCATTCACGTGCAAAATGAAAACTGATACCCCTTTTCTCGGACGAGAAGCGCTTGAAAGACAGAAGGCCGAAGGATTAAAGAAGAAACTAATATGTTTGACTTTAGATGAGTAAGTAACTTTTTTAGTTCATTACCTTGATTTCGTTTCGCCACATTCGACAATGACGACCAGTTTAGCTGCGTGCATTTGATTGTAGATAATGTCGGTAATGCAGGTTAAAAGATTGTAGATAATGCAGGGTAAAAGTAATGTCGGATCCTGCTCATAACAGCAAGGGACAGGCTAATTCGAAAATTGTCATATATAACCATAGCAAACCAAACCCTTGTTTTTGTTAGTGCCACCTTTTACTATGATTTTGTGCCATTAACTGCCAGCACCCTCCCCATACTAATCGAATGGGCTTGAAATACATTTTCTTCTTCGTTCAGCCACAAAGCTCTTCATGGTTTAGAAGGTATTTACCGAGACGGACAGCCTATCGGATATCTCCGCCGGGCGGATTTCGGCTTTTCTGTCAACAAAACCATTTGCTACGGTTACGTCACTCACCCAGATGGTGACGTCATCAAGAATGATTTTCTCAAGGCTGGCACCTACTGTATTGATGCGATGGGGGAAATGCATCCAGCTACCCTTTACCTCAAACCTGTATTTGATCCGAAAAACTTAAGAGTGAAAGGAGTATATGAATAGTTAGTGAATTAATCTATTTGTAGTGGTATTACTTTAAAAGTATAAATTTTTTGATTTTTTTTGTAAATGTAATTCAAGGATCGTCGGGGAAAAATACAGAAATATTAGATATGATCTCTTAATAAATGATTGAAATTTTTTTTTATATGTGAGTCAAGGATCTTCTGGTAAAATACAGAAATATTAGACATCTTAGTCTATAAAGAGGGACAATTTTGATAGCCGTGAATTTGCCCAATGATTTTACTCTAGTCACTGAATGTATAGTGATACTTCTCTCATTCAGACCAGGCAGTTGAAGCATACACCCTAGGATGGTGAAGGTTATTGATTGTTTGAATTGTGGTGACAAATGTGTACGTAATTTACGTATTTCAGGTGACGCCCGTGACGGACAAGTATAATTTAGAAACCGATATTATACTTTTAGTTGAGTGTAGAGTAACTTTTGGAGCTAAGACATGAATTGCAACTCTGGAAACTTTGGAAACTTTGTATTGTGATGAGTCAAATATTCTGTTCAGTCACTCAGGTTTCATAGTGTAAACCAACGTGAGGCCTTCAAAACTTCTTTCTGATCGGAATGAGAAGAAGACGCATAATAACAGCAATGGCTGCATGATTTCACTTCCAAACACATGGTAAGTATCAATAGTAAGATGTTTGTTTTTATCGTAAAAGGTTTGATGGTAAGTATATTTGTTGAGACATCTTAACAGGAATATTGCATTTCTGTCCTAATGGTTCCTTTTCAGTTTATCTTATAAATATAACAGTGTTAATTGCCATTCCGGCTCAAATTTATTCACTGGATATAGTTGATTTAAATTACCTCCGGACTAATGGATAGTTTTTTATGCCCTGAATAAGGTTGTATTCAAGGTATTCAAGGCTTTGTGCAACCTGCAAATAACGCGCTCGATAAAAGCTTTTAGTTGGAAAGCGTAGTACTAGTCTGGTCGTCATTTTTATCCATTTTTACTAGAAAAAACCTAAAGGCTTTCGGAAACTGCCCCCTGGTGTGATTTAGGGTTATGTTTAAGTTTTTAGAATGTTGGTAAAGGGAAAGCCGGTTAACAGGTGCAGGAAAAACCTTTACTATTGGGTTAAAATGGGGGGGGGGGTGTAACAGACTGTACTGTAAGGGGTAGTCAGGCTACCGAACTAACAGACGGGTAAGTTAGACGCGAATCCTTTTTCCGGGTTACTCAGAACTCAAAAACTCGTCTTATAATAAACAAAATTATTGTCGTTATAATAAGTAATAACGAACCTTTTTAAGCATTACCCAATCAGTCATACGTCTGAATTTATCCATCCCTATTCATTTAGTCGGTTTTTACACTCTATACACTTTTCCGTCTAAGATGCGTTCTAAACGGTCTATAGAGTATGGACCCTACCCGTTCGCAAGAGATAGTTGTTCAAGTTATGAAAACGTCCGATGTAAATAAGAAGAAACAATTAAAAGTTTTGAAAAATCTGCTACTAAATAAAATCTGTAAACGTATCTAGTTTTTTTCATGGGCCAGCCTTATCAATCAAACGTAATCTTTATTTGGTTAATAACTAGATATTTATCGCACACGTGATTAGGTTTGTGTTTAATAATTAACGAAAATTGTCTTGACGAGAAGTTCATTAAAATTCCTTTCAGTTGTAATAGACATATATGGCTTTTTGGCTGGTGTATCGGAATTTTGCCTATGTATAAAAACTTGTGTTGTCTATCAGGCTTAGCTGTTTGAATTTTTACTTATTCGGATGTTATAAATAGATATTTACAGGAAGGAGAAGAAAACGATTGTTTACGGGTGACAAATCGATCAGAGAGTCATAAGTCAAGTTTGTTGACATGATGTGGAAGTCGCGTCCATTAGCAACCAAAAGCACTCATGTGTAGCGAACAAATAACTTTGAATGTTTAGAAATGGGACGGTTTGAATTGTTATTGTATGCCTGAAATTATCGCCGTGAAATGAGCGAAGTAAATGCAAAAGATGGTACACAAGAAGAAACGTCAACTCGGGTTTTATATGAACAACTACAGAACGAATACAACAAGCTTTTAAAGCAATACGCTGCCGCAGAGAATACTATAGACGAGCTACGGACAGGGGCTACCGTTCATTTATATACTGAACCTATAGAAAGTAGACTAAATAGTCGTTTAAGCTACGATGAAGTGAGATTTTCAAAGAGTATCAATCTACCAAGGCCACTAAATGCAACTACAAGTGAATACTCGACCATGAATGGCATTTGTAGTACGAATACTTCAGGCAGTCGACTTGAGAATATCAGAACGCCATCTCCAGAACGAAATAATGGACAATATCTCTCCCTTGAAGCTAGAATACATGCTTTGAAGCAAAACGTAGCCACTGTTGAATGTATTTTATCCGAAAGCGCGTTAAATAATGAAGATAATCTAAACGAACTTCTTGGTATTTGTACTCAACTTTATAAGGAACATGGCATACTGACACGCGAGTTAAAATTGCAGTCACGAAATACTATTCATCGTTCTGGGCAAAGGTATAATGTACTTAATTATTGTTTTTAGAAATAACTACCTCAAAATGCATCCTATTAGTAAAAGGTTAACATGTGAGCGCAGTTTTAATTATACCTTGTTTATAATATTAGACATTTGACTCATGAATTGGTAGTTTATTACCGAATTTTCATTAATATAAAATACAACCAATTGCTTTTGCAACAATTCGATATCAAAATTTTTAAATTTATATTTCAGCGATGAAAACGGTTTCACGAAAACGGAGTTAGAAAAAGAGGTACAAACATAAGGGTTTTCACAATAACATCTGCTGCGTGGTTTGTTATTAATTTATTAGCAAATTATTCAAATGCATTCAACAATTTACTTATGCTAACAGCTGTACAGAATTGGACTGCGTATTGAAGAAATTCAAGGTGACATTATGGCTAGATTGAAGACAAAGAAACATGCTGTGAAGAAATTGTAAGTTTGCATTCATCAATGCACATAAACATACCTACACAAATATACATTGAACAGGGAAGAACATGATTCTGTGTATATTGTTTTGATAGAAGTATGCAAATGTTACAGATGTACATTGAAGTACACGGAAGTGCATCGAGGAACACATATGTATATATGATATATAAGTGAAGTGTACCTATAGATGTTCTGATAATTGGGATTTTACACCAATCTCAGTAATCTCAGTATATCACGGAAGAATAACGGGGGGTTTTCCAGGTGTGTTTTTTCTTCACTGATTTATTTACTAAACATTTTTTCATTTCCCCACTGATGTCATCAAAATATTTAATGTTCGTAAATTAATTAACCCTTGTTAATTTTCAGCAAAGTATTTTTATATCTTATCTATCTTCACTTCCCCACGTCGGCTACGCATTCTACCGTTAATGATCTTATTATTGTTTATGCCGGGATTTTTTTCAATAGGCTTGCTCACGATGACGAATATAGGCTATATAAATAGCTTGCCATTTTTGGGCTACATTTAATTTTCTTTAACGGGTTTTACAAAATAATAAATGTACGAAGCGATCATTTACAGAGTACGTTTTTCCTGAAGACTCGTCGTTACAGGCTCTCACGGTAAAGATAATTCTCGTTCAGGGTTAAAGTGGCGAAAAACTTTTCTCCACCTTTCCTTCATTTTACACGACATGTTTTTTATTCAGGCTGTGAGCTCGTGTGATCTGCCACCCGCCCAAGATCCCCAGCCGGGATCATTAAAAAATTTAATCACTTTTGAGTGCATTATCCTAAGAAACTCATGTGGTAATTCGCACAAAATAACGCAAATCAACTTTTAGCAGCACTTCTCAGTTGGTAATGCGTCAGGTTGGCGTGAATGACCTCATCACTCTTTTTGAGTGCTCTTTGTTGCTTTTTTTCATAACTATTATCAGATCCGCTTTGAAAATGCGGAAGAGTTCATTGTTATTTATAGAATTACATAAATGAATCAGTATAACAAATGTTGTTGCTATATCTTTAAACATATCTGTCTACTCTGCGCCGCCATTTTTCCTCCCGACCCAAATTCAATGATTAATTAACGTGCCGCTTAAAAAGGTTTATTTTCCATAATAACCGGGCCGCATTTTTTTGAACACGTCAGGATCAGGGGATAAAAAAAGATGCCGTGTTGATGCCGATTATTAATTGCTAACATCAACTTCTTGAAATTTAGCGAAACACCTCCGAATCATGCCAAGTCAACGCTGGGGACACATTTGGAGGGCCTTGTCAGAGAGATGAAAGATTTAAAAGATGCCAGTATTAGAAGCAGTGATGAGGTTCTTAATAGGTTTGTACTGAAAGAAATTTGTTGCAGACAGCAACGACATGTATCATGAAATCTTTTTTGCAGCTTGAGTGCAAATGTACTTTGAGAGATGTGAATTTGGCAACTGCAAAACGTTTGTGTTTATACACTCCCGGATGTTTTCTTGCAGACTTGCGCATATATTTCGAAAACGTTTCACAAATTTACATTTCGCATTAGTAGAGTTGTATTCTGTATTTATTTTATTCAAAGCACCTGGGAACGAGGCTGCAGCACGGCCTTAATTAAGATATCATCCAAACGGATCTTCAAATAACACATTCATACTTTTAAGATAAGATTTGTGCTCGCGGTTAAACCACCACGATGTCAAGTCTTAACTTGTTATCAACTTTTTATTAACAAAGCGCGAGGTCTGTACAAAGGAATATCAGACCGAGATCTTTTTGTACAGCCCAAGTCCGTACAGTGATCGGCTGCCAATCAGCGCGCGCCATTTGCCATCTGTTATAAAATGATGATTCTTTGAGGTTTGCCGAGTTTCCAAACCATATCTTTATCGAAAATACGTAAATTGAACTCACAGGAAGAAAATTTATATCTACTCTAGGGTGATTCTCTGGTCACACACGTGACAATGCTATTCTATTTTGCTACATGCAAAATATGAAGCCTGCATGAAGAAAAAGCAATGCCACTTGTATGACCAGAGAATCACCCTGTAACCCTGGTGACTTTGACATTGTAGTTCTACTAAAATACATTCGTAATACTTGTCAATAATACTTGCCGGTAATCTCTCGCAGTTCTAGAAAAGAAAACTCTTTAAGAAAAAGTGTTTCACCCAATGGGAAAAATTCAGAACATACGCAGGACTTCGCGCAGGACCTCGCGCAGGACATGCTGGACGCACGGTATTTGGCTGCAAGTCCCGTGAATTTGGAGTATCCACCAGTAGACGATCTCTCTGGAAGTGAACGAGGGTGTGTAGTTGATGGTTTCTTCTTTGCATGGTCCTGGAAGCAGATCAGCGGGAGTTAATGTTTGTTTTTTGTTCATAGATCTGATAACAGCAGTGAACAAGCATTTGGTATGACCTGGCCCCCCACTCGCAATGTCCCTGACTCAGACATTGGCGTTTTACGTCACAGTTTCTCAGACGCTCTGCAGGATTATCACCGAAATGATTTTGATCATTCTAAACAGAGCCCTCGAAATAGTGACCAGGCTAAAGCAGACCATTTCAACTCGGGCAATTCCTTAAAAGAGCAACATTCCGGACAGCTAAGACAACACAGACCAGATCTGAATACCTCAATGGATCATTTCAATTCCACACGACAACATTCTCCGTCTTGGAATGAAGACGTTTTACGGCACAGCTCTGAGCCAGACAGATCAGCGGACTATAGCAACTTAGGGCACGATAGCAAAGTCTGTGAAAACCTGGGCCCTACAAATGAAAATTCACCGTTTTCTAGCCAAGAAACTGTACGTTGCAGGTCTGACTCAAAGATCCCAGTCGGTGAGAAAAATGAACATCTCCACTCTGGAGAACATTGTGATCAGAAATCTGTCCGTCAGAAAAAAAGGCACGAGCAATCGGCAAGAGAATTGCAGGAATACGAAGCAGCCCGGAACAAAACCCCTGATTTACAACGTTTTAGCTCGCCTGATGTGAAACCTCGAAAGTGTAACAGTATGTCAAGTTTTGGAGACAGCAGTCGCATGTCTACGCCTCTTTTTCGCCCATCTCGTGGATCTACGCAGGTACCGAAATATAAACGACGAAATACAAATGATGACGTCGACAGCGGTTTCGTGGGTTCGGAGGCTAGTCGTAGCTCACGACTGACTACGGACCATTCCGACGGCGTGCAAAAATTAGGTATCTCCAATCAATGGGACTCAAGTTTACAGCTTGATTTAGTGTCGGAAATTGATGAAAACGAGGTTTCATCGTCTCCCGAACAAATGTCGACAACTTGCGAAGATGGACGGAGATCTCCGATTAAGGCTTTAACAAGACGTCAACTGGACGAACATTCAAAATTTATTAACTCTAGTCCGAGCCCCCTGTCATCCCCAGAAAACAGCTTCAGAACACCCGAAGGTCGTTTTGGGTACAAAACATCACATACTAGGTTGCCTAGCAATGGCAACTTGTTACCAGTCCACGATACCCATGATCCAGAAATTTCAAATGGCAGAACACGTGGAAGTGAAAGAGCTCCAGTAGAACACAGGCCCCACTCACGTCGGGGTTCAAGTATTGATGGGACATCAGCATTAATTGAAACATCGGTGGACAGACAAAATATAAGTCGAAAGTACAGTGGTCCGAGTGATGTTCCACCTGAGGCGACTGCGGACATTAGTAACAGTGGATTTGGCAACGTTGGATCGCGTGACAAAACGAACGAACATAAAAACGAAAGGTGTGTGCTATATATTTAAAGTTAACGTGAAGAAAACCAACGTTATTTACTGGATAGCACCAGGGGCGCAGCTTGAGCGAGTAACTTGGGGGGTGCTTATTCATATATTCAGTTCTGCCCGACGGATTTATATGGTAAACTAAAGGGTGTATTAAAAAGACTGCAACACTTAATATTCACATATGTTCCCTTCTATTCAATAACAAAAGATTATTATTATAAGGTTGCGGTTTTTTTATACACCCTGTATTGGACGTACAAAAGAAATCCGTCGTGCTGAACTGAATGTATGAATAAACACCCCCAATTATCGTTCTAGCCACGCCACTGGATAGCACTATCGATCAGTTTTAAACTGTTTTTATACCACAGTTGTGTAAATCACATCACCTGGTACTAGTGAGAGCTAGAACCTAACCACCGCAATTCACGTTCTCCTTTGGAACAGCCAGATAATTAACTGTCAATTGTTTTTTTTTACTTTTGAAGGAAACTACAATCTTTACGTAGCGAACTTGATTCTCTTCACGATCATGTGAGCAAATTGCAACATCCACGTGTCACAATGGATACATACGACGAGCTACGAGATCACGACGAACAGTTACGGAGAGCCTATGAGCGCAGACACGATAGAAAACTTGACGCTTTAAGACATGAAATAGAGCAGTTAAAGAATAATATTAATAGATCAAGACAGCCATCCGTGAATCGTCGGTTACCTGATCAGGATTCGGAATTCTACGACGATTTCCGAAACGAACTTCGGAAAATTACTGAAAAGTTAAATGAACTAACTGTAATCCAGGGTAGCGAAGCTGAGCAACTAGAGTCCCGCAGTGACCGTGATTCGCCCCACGACGAAGCCATGGCAAAACGGTTCAGTAATTTGGTTCGGAAGGTGGACGAACTCCGCCGCAGAATTGAAAACGACGCTCGCGATAATTCTGAAGCTTCTCACAAAAATTCACGACATTTTTGTCATCTTTGTGACGACGCTGACGAGCATCGCCATCGGCACCGAACTGTAAGCACTTCTTACCATCAACCACGGACATCAACGCCGTTTGTTTCTGACCTCCATCGACCTTACGAACAGTTTCCAAGGGCAAAGGTTCAACACAGGTGATTAGTAACAAATTTTGCAAGAAAAGTTCTAGCCTCTTTTGTGTTGTTCGTTAGTTTTGAGATAAATATTGAACATTTTTCTAGACACTATCTATCTTCAACATATCCTGGTACAACACCACAGCAATCTCCCCTTGTCCATCATATCCACACGTACCACCAAGGTCCAGAACTCAAGCAAGACTATGAGACTGACTCTGATGATGATAACTATGTGAAGAGGTTCGGATTTGACTTTAAATTTATTGAGTAACAATCTATTCTTAACTGTTCCCCCACTGATATAGTTTAGAATGATGCATGTAATTTAAGGATTCCAGTTGTGTAACACTGATGTTGAGTTTCCAGAAAACCAGATGTAGAGTCTCGGTCGAACATAGAAATTATCATTTTTATTCCTCTGATAGGAAGAGAATACCCTAGAGAGATGCTCTAAGTGTTTTAGGAAGAGAATACCCTAAGTGTTTTAGGAAGAGAATACCCTAGAGAGATGCACTAAGTGTCTAAGTGCTTTTTAGACGTGATGTCTCTGCTTGTTTAATAACGGGTTTACCGTTCTATTTTTAGAACTTCTCATCGGAAACGCAGACTTCATCGAACACGTTATCAATCACGTCTGGTAAGTCTGTAACTGTTTGGATTCCAATTTCCAACTGCCAAGTACCTTATCTTGTTCAAATTTTGTGATGCAAAAGTATAAAAAAAAGCATATCGCAACATTTAATTGGAACAGTGTGACAGTATTCGGTTTGCAATTTTACTAATGTTAGTAATTGTAGTCTTTTTCGTGGGAAATTTTTGCGTGGGATGGATTTGCGTCATTTAAATGCAAATTGTGTATTCTCTGGCTTGGGCTTTTCATTTTTTCAACCTTCGTTCAAATCTTTCTTTGCAGGATGCATCTTACGGTGGTCGTGTCTCTCTTGACGAGGCTCGTCGAGCGGCTCGTGATGTTCAGCGGCTTTCGAAGAATATTTTAAACACGATATCCTTAGACTTGACTTCATTAAGAAGCTAGCATCAATAAGATATAAATTATAGTTATATGTATACATTGGTCTGTTCTGACTGTTCAATGGTGTTACATACCATTACCGTTACTTACTTATCATCAAACATTGCGGGAAAAAGGTGTTGTTGGTGTCGTTGGGACAGAATAGGTAGTTAGTAATACGTTGAAAACATTATGAGATATCTAAATGGCTTGAAATATTTTAAAAGTATGTGTTATAGTTTAATATCAGAGTGACGAAATAATAACTTATTTTATAACCGTTGCACCACTGGGCACTGGCACTGTGTGTTCACTAATTGAACTTGGGTGCTTTCCTTTATACGGTAAAAACTGTCAGACCGGTCCTTGTTGTAGTCCCCCCATCTTCGCACATTTTAAATGTGCCAGATTCTTATCAAGTCCCTTTTTTCTGATTGCTAAAATAATCTATTTTTATGTTCAATCCAAAAATGATTCAGTTGTATAATGCTATGTGATCCAGTATCGTGCAGTAATAGCAGTAATATAAAACTTTTACATGCAAAATACATTAGCAGTCAAATAAAGAAACTTGTCAGTATCAGGCTATCAGCATTACATCTTCAAAAGAAAGTTACATAGCTTTTTTATCATCCTCAGCTATTTGGCCATGAAACTCGAGTTCTTCTCCGGGGGGTGCACTTGTTTAGCCTTTAGCCTCATAGAGGTCAGAGGGCAACAATCTGTTGGAGTGTTGCCTGTTGGTCATGGAGATAAACATGGTTGTGTTCAGCACCAAATTCGTTGAGGTAAATGTGGTTGTAATAAAATATTTTAGTAGGTTTAAGAGAAATAAATTGGTCTCATTGTTTTTAAACAAATAACCCTATAGGTCTATTCAAATTCACCGAATTTGGCGAATTACCTCCACTTGTACTTGTCGAGGTATTTCTTTTACATCAGTGCACATTGTTTCTTTTACATCAGTGCACATTAATATTGTTTCTTTTACATCACTGCACATCACTTGTTTATTTGTTTTGTGTTCAACAAAAATGATAAACAAATTCGTATGGAATATATGTGAATTACGCCTTCACGTGCACAACTCATGCGAAAACTAAGAAACATGGGAACATGGCTTGATTTGGGTCAAAGTGATTGATTGATTTATATTCATATTAACATGTAATGATAAAAATATGGCTTCGCTTTAAATACATGCACCGTGTTGGAGGTTTTCTACATTGCCTCTGGTAGCCAATCAAGTGGTTTGTTTACAAATCTAGCTGTGAATTTAATTTGAGTTTTGAGCAATCTATGAACCAATGTTGAATCAATAGTTCCTTGCAAATAGAATATTTGATTTGACTATGTACTATGCATGCTATGCATTCTCCCATGCTTCAATTTGATCATTTGATCTGATGTATTTGTCCCAATTTAATATCTTGCTTTATAGAGTTAAACAAATCTCTCTACACAAAATGTCATGCCCTCTTTTAGGTAACCATACCTCAGTCATGCGATGTACATTATGCCTACATTATGCCAACATGGTTCACTATCACTCACAGACTCACATAGGTGAAAATACTCAAGCAAGGTACCAGCACTTCGTCAAAAATCACTGGTATATTATAGGGGTGATTGACATTGGTGTCAATTAAAAGTAATGAGGGGGACCATATTTATATTATTCTGCTATGCCAGGCCTTTTTTTAAAACAATTTCACTTTCAATAGAAATCAGCTCAGCATAACAGAACATATTAATGTCCATATTAATCATAATATGGTCCCCCTCAATTGTGATCAACAATTAAAAATTTCTTGATCATATATCTACGGGCTGTGGCAGGGATGCTGGAACAGCTAGGAGGGGAGCAGCAGGGGCAGATCCAAAGTAGAAGTGCCACAAACGAGCATCACGAAAAACACAATCGTCTAGTGAAAAAATCAGACACAGAAATTATTTTGGAAAGAGAAAACACGACGATACGAAGTTCAAGGGACGATGTTTTGCAAACATTCTTTATTATACGCCTCTACAGGAATGCCCTTTCAGCAAAATCTGCACCCCTTTCCCTTCGCATTGTTCCGGCGTCCCTGACCTGTGGCAAGGAGATGGGTCATAAGGTTTGGAATGCATGCTTTGATATTGAATTGCGAGTAATATCCTTGCATAATAGCTACGTGCTTTGCAGTTTTATATGAAGCACATTGACATGCATTACGCGCCATGAATGCATTATTTTGATGACCTGCTGTTAAATACAACATTAATTCAGAGGTGATTATAAGCGGCGCAATCACCCCACGAATATAACCCGACCTTTCAAGAACAGTTTTGCAACGTCATCTATCAAAATTGCCGGTATCGTGCGAAAAGTCTTTATATCGCACGGTACGGTGCCAAGTGACTTTCAATGCTTCCAACTGCGATATAAATTACGACATGCAAATTTAACGGTGAAAAAATTCCCTAGACATAACGAGATATGTAATTAAGAGATATGTTTGATATTAATTTTCATTTGGTTTCTCAGACTATAAGATAACGGCGTGTTTTAATGCGAAGATAAAAAAGATTTTTGTTGTACTTTAATTACCAAGTCCAAAAAGACTATGCATTTGCTTTTATATAAATAATACTGTATCAGAGGTTTCATAGAATTTTTAAAGCCGATTTGGAAAAAAAATGCAAAACTTGCAAATCTGTTAGGTATTTCATATAAACGAACTTCACAATATGAAGTTATGAAATACAACATATCTTGTGAATGACTTATGACTGAACCTACATCTTTCTATTTTTATCAAAATATTTCTGCTGAATCTGCTCAGTTGTTCAATATATATAATTTTGTATCCCATTTCACTGGCCCAAGAACTAATAATAGATTGAAGATTAATTAAGGAGACTTTTCTGCATCCGCTCAGCTATAAGTCACTAAACTCCCGATTCGACGTTTACCCATTGACCGCTGGAAAAACCAGACCACCTGATAGTCTGCTAAATAAACTATGAATGCATTGAATTCGGAAGCTTCTGTAATGACTTAAAAAAATTCAACGTTCGTTCGATATAAACACAGATAGCTTAGCTTAAGGACGGGAACGGCAAAACGAGGTGAAAATGACGAAATAGAAATGGCATGGCACGACCATATTTCCTTTATATGTATTCTCTGTTACCCGCGCGGAACGAGTAAAACAACTCAAGTCGTACGATGGTCCGCGGCAGTTCCTAATGTCTTCGGTCTTGTGTGAATGAATTGTTTGGCGTAAACACGTGTACAGGACCGCAAAGGACATTCTTTGCAACGTTACTGACAATGTGGCCTGCCGAAGTGTGAATGTTTGGACGTATTTATGAAGCATTTATGTAATACATTTTGTGGTTACGCTGGTTGAGCAAAAGCACGTCAGCTTATTGTAAAATACCACTTTGACAGAACATCATTTTCGAGAAACCTTGAAAAATAGGTCCTCTGGGCGTACATGACGTAAGGTGATGGTGTAGGGGTACTAAAATCGTTTCTGGTTGAATCATGTTAACATTTTATAGATGGTTACTATATTAGTAGCATTTAATTAAACTCGTTTGATATCAGAGAGAGTATGGTTCTGTATGACTGTATCGCTCTTTTATTCAAGCTTTATAAGATTGATGCGATTTCAGGACTTGTGGCTAAGTTGTTATTCGCCGTTGGAAGCCATGTCATCCAAATATGTACACACAATCAACATTCTTTGCGTCTCCAAAGATTACTATCATTCTGACATTCTTTTTTGTCCGTTTGTTTGTTACCTGTCTTGCCTTTTGAACATAATGATAAGAGGAATGACAATTTAATTAAACGATAACCTTGCTGATGATTTTCCTTCAAGTTCCACGAGCTTTCGATTCGCTTGAGTTCGTTTCCTGTCTCACCGAAAATAAGAGCACGAAATCGTCGTACGGTTCGGTATTCGTACAATCCATGCATGTGAAGAAAGCTTTGACCCACTTTAAAACTTTAATGCAGCAAAGAAACTGTCAAGCTAGCACGATAACCCGATTCACAGGCAATTGACCACGCTAGTACAAACGATCACGTTTTCATAAATCAACACTTGTGACTGTTGTCTAAAGGTCATTGAAAAGCACATTTAAGTAAAGAGACTTCATACGTCTCGGAAGTGGAAAGTCTAATCTCTTACTCTAAAAAGCATATTTTTTCAAATTTAATTTCTTCCGGAAGTACGGATTTGTAACTTTCGGTTCGATAATTACCCAACAAATTTGGCTCACTTATTTCCATGACCAAACTTAGCTCCAAATTGTAAGACCTAATGAAAAATGTAAGAATTACTAAGGTTCTAACTTCGCGAAAGTTCGTTCATTCAGAAATTAAAAATAGATTTTCCTTTAAGTCCATTCGAAAGACTCACTGCATGCATGTTTATTTAAATTTCCTCAAAAAGTCTTTTGTTTTGTATTTAGCTGTATTTATTTCGCAGTATATTCGTTACCCCGGGTAACAGGAGGTCCTGGCTAGTTTTAATAAGACAATACGCACTCGAATAATCGATTTTGCCCTTTTTTAGGCCCCTATGACTGCTGCATACCCAAAAGAAATAGCAAGGTTTTGCCTTGCCGTTGCAGGTGGATTTATTCCCGTTCATTTAAGTTTATATTTACAACAACCTTCGTATGCCACCCGTTCTGTTGAGCATAATAGGACACGTGATGTGTGGTTTGTATGTAACGCTATTGGTCTGTATTGCCAAATAATTAGCATTCATGACAAGCTCGAATTATTTACAAAGAAATTTCGAACGAATGTTAAAATGAATGAACAAAATGGAGCGGTTTTAAAACCGTATTTTAGTTGAAAATACCGTCAAGACATTCGTAGTCATCTCGGCTAACGGTTGCCGTGTCCGACCGTCGAACAGGAAACTAAACTCCAAATATGGATGAAAGAAATCGGCAGTATTTATCGGGCAATATGGACGATGATGTTCGAACGCAGACATTAGGGGAGACACGGTTTCAAGAGCGACCCTTTGGTTCTGACTCACAAACTGAAGTTATCCCGCCTAGAAAAGCCTACACCTCGCTATGGCTGTTCTCCGAAACGAATCCGTTTCGAGTACGATGCAAGGCGATCGTGGATTCGAAAGTATCCTTTAAACCAACGCTTTAGGCAGGTTTGCTTGTGACATGCAGACGCTTGGCCCAGCGTACTTCTACAGCATTCAGCTATTACGATTTGTCAAGGCTTTTTGACAAGGTTTTAACGATAACGCAATGAATGATTGTAGATATAAACTATTTCCATTAAAATACGTCTTTTGTACTTTTACTTCTGTTATATACAGTGAGTTGAGCGTGCTTTAAATAACTGAAACTTTATATAATATTCACCAAGACGCTAGTTTTGAATGCGTTAAGTATTCAGGTAAAAACTCTTACTAAGATATTCTTTCAAGCACATACAACACTCGAACTCTTGGACCAATATTTTCCGTATATTTAGTTCTTATTTTAATTTCTGTCCCGTATATACATAGCTTGTTTAAATAACCCCTTTAACTTTATTGATATTCCTTAACTCATTTCATAGCCATTCGACTATTTTATACTTTTAACCATTTTTGCCAACTGCATTTTACTCGCAATGAACACTCCTCTTCCGAATGAAGATAAATCTATAACAAATGAAAGAATTGTACGTATTTTGTATGCTGAATTTTGACACTGTTGTAGTGTATTATTATGTCGTAACACTTCACTGCACTGAGCCCGGTGCACATATATATACATTTCCCATTTAAAACCTTGTCTTTCTTCGCCGATAGGAAAGCGCCGAGATCTATTTGTTAGTTATATTTGGCATTGAATGCATCCTCAAAGTGATAGCTTTTGGTTTTCTTCTTCATCCTGGTTCGTACTTGCGAAGCGGCTGGAACATGCTGGATTTTGTTGTAGTTGTCACAGGGTAAGCCATGATGCCTCAAAATTTCAATCCAAATTCAATGAATTATGCACAACGAAGGAGCTAAGCAATACAAGCATTATTGATTGGCCTATGTAATGTCTACATATGTAGTTAATTCCCTTTTGTATAACCTATCTGGCCTAGTGTATTTGCTTTGAAATCTCGCGCAAGACGGGGCTGAAATAAGTCGACATAGTCCTAGGTCAATTGAATGCCAGCAGCTAAATATCCGGCATTATAGGATCTTTAAAACCCCTAATATATCTAAGCTCCAATATTGGGATATCACGCCTGTTTTTGACGCTTATATACTGCATGCAGATGTGTTTAGTCAAATTAGGAGCGAAATACGTTGAGTTCATAGAGTGAATACGATTTATTGATTATACATCGATGTTATGCGTGGTTATAAGGCTTGTGAATTTTAAATAACATTGCTTAAAAATACAATCAGAAATATGTAGCAGACTGATCGATTGCTTAGCAACATTATGATCTACAGTTTCGGTTAATTACAGCCAAAACCGTAACAAAAATACAGCAATTTCCCTCTGAATGTTGGGAATTCGTGTCAACTTTTCTTCAAAATAAATTGTTGTGGCCGCCGACATTAAGTATAATGACTATTATAATAATTTTATTGGGCATTACAACATTTTATCAGGCAAGGCAGCATATTTTGCGGGCTTGAGCGAAACATTCCGCCTGCTGATAATAATCAATCAGAAATAAATTTCCATTTTCTTTCTTTATACGATTCGAAAAATGTTGCAATATAGACTCGATGTTCTGAGGCATAAACATATGTTTGGCTATATTATCCTGTAGCTCATTTACGCTCGAGATAACATGCCCGTGAATCAGGCGAAGAGCACTGATATTTGTGCCCACGAACATCATGCATGCATATTTTGTTATACTCGCCCTATATATAGAAGCCATCAAATATTCCCTGAAAAGAAATTCCACGCATGAACTGAATAAAAAACGACAAATGCTAGATTGTCTACTGGCTCATGGTTTTAAGAAACCAGGTTTTAAACTATTAGTTCGGGCCTTATTCCTTAAAATCCGTCTTTGAAAAAACGCGAGAAGGAATATATAACACGATTAATAATTTAAACGCGTTCTATAAACGCTGTATATACTACGGACTTGAATTTTTGCACAAACTCATGCCGCGTTCAGATACGGTATAAAAAGAGTTATCGCATTTCGTCCTCTGGAGAAATTTTAACACGAACGTTTTATTGTTTCAGGAGTATGTCAGTTTTGTTACCCAATTATTTATTGATTTGGCTGTAAATATACACTCGTGTATATACTTGTCACTCAAACATGTAATGTGTCCTAAAACAACTTCTGAATACGTGATATAGCACTTATTTACAGAGTGTGGTCGCGGGATTATAAATTGGGAATTTCGTGTGAACAATTTTACTTATATACCCATGGCCATACAAACGAAAGTCTTTAAATTAATGCTTGAATGCATGATTTCAGTTTAAACGAAATAAAAGGTTTTTAAAATTTTCTAAATAATGCTTTTGAACAAAAAACCAGCAGGAGTTAAGAAAAGTGTTTATAATATACCATTACATCGCCGGGAGAAAATACTACGTTCTGTATATATTACAATACTTCATTTCAATGCTATTGTTATGACGGGTTTAGGAAAATTACAGACTTACGTTTAGATTACTATAGTTGCCTTATCATATCTAAACAATTTTGTTGTATTTAGTATGTATTTTGAATTAGGCTTTAATTTTTGAAAGATATCATGCTGTGTCGACTTGCATGTAAAACGCCATTATATATATTAAGTGAGGTTTGTCACAAGCGCATGTAGACAAATGCCAAATTTGGTATTTGCCAAATTAATGATCTACGGATAGCGAGGCTCAAATTAATGTTTTCGTTTTATATTATATACCATTTCCATCAGTTGTATCACTTGTACTGATAAATTGTGTACATATCGTGCATGGCAATTGATGAAAAGGTGCATACCTTTTTTCGCAAGACATATAAATAGGCTATTATATATACTAAAAGGGATATTTGGTTACAATGACGAGATTAACTATCGCGAGCGTTTTCGTCATTTCGCCTTTTTGTAGGAAGATGATAGTTTACTGTATGTAATTTCGGCAATGCATGTGGCCACTCTCTTTTTTACAAAAGCTGTGCACACTCATTTAGCAGGCAGCTCTACCTGTTTACCGCTGGCAGGAATTTGAAATTCATTTACTTCAACACCTTTATAGCACCTTCTATTTTGTTGCGTAGCCGCTATATCGGGATGTAGTTCACTAACAGGCAAACTTTTTGTTAAAACTTACAAAGCTTTTCCTAGTTTAGCAATTGTATGTTTCCCATGTGGTTTTACTTGCATGTGGAATAGATTACATAATTATACGTTAATGAAATACTTTTAACAACGTTTTTCATGCCTGTTTAAACATTAAGAAAAATTTTTTAATTCAGCTGTGTTTTCGGCTGAAATTTTCCAATATATGTAAGTGTCGGCGTAACGTAGACTGCGAAATATGAAATTCAGTAACATTCGTTTCATCGATCCATGTTTGACTAACTACTTGCATTAAAAGTATTTCAAGTTGTCAGTCGAAGACTGTCCACCAGCATAGTTTTTAAATGTGGCTTCTTTTCAACATGATAACGTCATGCATATATGACGCAGGCAACTCTATGGCGCAGGACACAGGCAGATTATAGGTGTACCGTACCGGAGTATAGTAACGAGAAATTAGGCTCTTTGAGTGCATAAAATTGAATTATTTACACCTCCCCCTGGTTAGGCTTAAAAGATATGCGAATACATTTTCGCTTCAGTTTTCTATAACCAAGTGCCTGAGTTAAGTTAGTTATTGGCATTAGAACTCATTGGCTTAGAACTCATTTTAGACCGATTGCAAGGAGGTTTCACTATTAATGAGCATTATAATTTCAAAGAGTGTTTTTAATCGTATAAACAAAGCAAATTGGAACGTTTTTCGGTTCGGGCTGTAATACACGTATTTCAATTTTCAATTCGTTGCTCGCATTGTAGTTCCGGCTTAGGATCATGACCGCTATTAAAGAATATCTTTTGTAAAAAAATTAAGAGGGAATAAGTTACCGGACGCATAGTCTCTGTCCACAAATATGTCAAACCTGTTATTGAAAGCTTTTAAAGTAGCCTGCCTACTGTTGTTGTTGCTTTGTGAGGTTTAGCGGTTTGTTGGCAATTAAGGAGAGTTTTCCATCCGTGTTAAAGTTGGGGTCGACAACGATATATGTTTGTAAAATTAACAATAGCATTAAATGTTTGATTTTATATACTAATTGAAGCGTTTTTGGGCATACATGCAGTTTCGATTAATATTTCCTGCGACAAATTTGAAACTTGAGTAATTATGTAATCGAAATTTATTAATTACATTTGACACAGATCTAATCATAATTAAGCCAATATGCATAAATAATCACGTTACAGTATCTTGGAGATAGACAAAAGAGGGAGGGGGGGCTGGATGAAGTGCTTAAGCTGGAAATTGGACAGCTACTTTTTAGACCGTGTGGCGCGAAATATGTTTTTATAAAGGCCTCACTCAAATAAAATAACTTTCGTTATATCTAAGTAAAGTTATTGACGTAAAGATTCAATGAAGTGTGAGATGATTTTGAGGTATTAAAAAAAGTCGTTATGAAGCCATGAGTCGACATGAACTTCAAAGACGACGTGCAAATAGCGAATAAATGGCGTGGCATGTACATACTATAGACGCATCACGCCATGTATTTTTGCCATTTTCACGTCGTCTTTGACGTTCACGTTCTCATGCATTCTAAATTTCCCTGTTTCTGGAATGACTACACCACTCCGGCCAAGATCCTGTTATACTCTTTTCAATACCTCCAAGTTCATTCTTCCTTTAATCATGGCTAAGTGGGATAATGTACTAACAAAGCGAATGCCCTGGGGAGGAGGATGAACTGATTAACTTACTATATAGTCAAGTTGAAAGTTAACCAAACACAAGCAAGGATTTAATTCGGAGCCGACTGCGATTTAACTGCGAAACTTGTAGACAGTTAAGAGTTTACAACAACCGACTTCTGTGATCGGTTATATAAAAGTGTATTTACCTAATTACTTGTTACAGTTAGAGACAAAATTAGCCATCAGCATCGGGTATTTTAGAGTTGACTAGGATTTAACAATGCATGTTACCGGTTAAGTGTTTTTTTAAAAAACCTATAATCCACCCTGGTCATTCAGTCCTTCAATTTCGAATCACTGCAAATACTTTCCAATTTTGGTTCATACAATCGACATTGCTTTTCTTCTTTCATCTCTCACAGGTTCTTAAGTTTGCCAGAACTCCAGTTAGGGATCAACGCCGGGAGTTTAAAAGCTCTCAGAGCTGCGAGAGTTTTGAGACCTCTCAAACTGGTCTCGGGTATTCCAAGTAAGTAATCTATAAGAAGCTACAGCTGCATCCACAGAATTGTGTATCGTGGTAGTTCAACTGGCTGTATAGTGCCTTTTGCATGGCCTATATACACGCAAATTGTGTATCGTGGTAGTTCAACTGGCTGTATAGTGCCTTTTGCATGGCCTATATACACGCAGTGTACATTTCATGTTAAGAAAACACTAGAAGTATACTCTTTTTTTCATGAAACAATAAAAAAACAACAGATGAAACTCGTAAAACTATTGCCGGAATAATTCCCCTTTACATGCATGCAGTGTTCAAGTCAGTTGAAAACTTTTCCAAAGAACCTTTTAATACAGTCTCTGGTTAAAGTAATGGTAATAGTACATGTGTATTATTGAGCAATTTTACCGCGTTGAATTAGTTAAATACATTAAAATACACACAATTTAAGTGTTCTAAGACAACGTTATATTTTCATAAATTTTGTGCAGTGATAAAATTTCCTTCGAGTAATCTCGGGTATCTACCTCAAAAATTAAGCAAAAACAAGGGTAATATCATCATCAGAAAAACCGATACACTGCCAATATTCTTGGGTTTCTGTGACGTCATAGGTTCTAGTGAAATGGACTTCAATCAAGACAGTTGTTTGTTGTAGCAAACATATGTAGTAATTTCGTGTCGTTTGGTGATTCCCGTGCGGCGTAAACAACGAAAAATGATTAAACATTCGAGGCTGATCCCCACGCAAATCACTAGCTGATTGGCATACTTAGTGAAACCCACGAAGATGAGATGTTTACACTCAAGTATAATTATTTTTACTTTTCTTTTTATATTTAAGGTCTTCAAGTCGTCATGAAATCAATTATGTGTGCCATAAGTCCATTGCTGCAGATTTGTCTACTTGTTGGATTTGTTGTGGTCTTGTACGCCATTATCGGTTTGCAGTTTCTCAACGGAGCGTTTCATTATGTCTGTATTGAGAATAACGGCACAGGTTTGTGAAGGATTTTAACTTTTTTTTACTCATCACTGCATACAGTACTATATCATGCCACTCTGGACTCTCCTCAGCACAGTCTTCTACGCGCATGCAAGCTGCTACCAACGAAATAAGCAAAAAGAGTTTGAAGATCCCGAGGTATGCTGTTAAGATGATATCTTCGGGTTTTTTAACCCGCAGCGGCCCTAGACCCTACTGTCCTCCTACCACTGACGCTATACGATAGTTCACTGCAGTATATATCAGAGACCATACAATACAATAATATACCTTGCATCACCATAGCATACCATACTATAGTTAATACTATATACATCTCATCATGGGCGTGCTATAATACACCGTTTATACATACCACATCATACTACAGCATACCATACCATACCATACCATAAAATACTATACCATAAAATACCATACCATACCATAAACTACCACTTGAAACTACCACACCATACCATAAAATACCATGGCAGCTGTTTACCATAATATACTATGGCATTACGTGTCTCATAATAACAATCATAACTCGGCATGCCATTCTACAATACTGTACTACAGGGTGTATAAAAAAAAAATAGACAATTTTGAAATGTTTAGAAAACTATAAATTTATCAAAATATCTCATAGATTTGTGCTAGTATGGGTACTCTGGCATCTTCAGGTCATTCTAACACTAAAAACAAACAGAAAAATTAACCTCGAAAAATGGAAGAGCGGTTTGTGGAAGCATCATTTTGAATGGCTTGTGCAAACATGAATGAGAGGTTTAAAATCTAATTTGAATTCAAGGGCTGAACGTTTGGGTATTTGTTTACAAAGAAACGAAATTTCAGAAATTTTGATGAAAATTAAGTCAGCCGCGCAACTGCGTAAACGTGGGGTTTTTTCCGTTTAACTCGCAGCTTGAGTAACTTTTTTCATGCACGAATGATTTCATTTGCGTGATTTCATTCGCGTGATTTCATTTAAGAATTTGCGTGGAAAGGAACGGCGGACATGTTGAGGACTGAAGATAACTTTTGTAAATTCTGCTTTTGTATGCTTTAATGTTTTGGTGTAACAAATGATTACTTATGCAAACTTCTAAATGAAATTAATTTTTTACAACACCATTGTTAGCTTAATCACCCGAGCAATCACTCATGCATGAAATCATTCGTGCATGAAAAAAGTTACTCAAGCTGCGAGTTAAACGGAAAAAAGCCCACGTTTACGCAGTTGCGCGGCTGACTTAATTTTTATCAAAATTTCTGAAATTTCGACTCTTTGTAAACAAATACCCAAACGTTCAGCCCTTGAATTCAAATTGGATTTTAAACCTTTCATTCATGTTTGCACAAGCCATTCAAAATGATGCTTCCACAAACCGCTCTTCCATTTTTCGAGGTTAATTTTTCTGTTTGTTTTTAGTGTTAGAATGACCTGAAGATGCCAGAGTACCCATACTAGCACAAATCTATGAGATATTTTGATAAATTTATAGTTTTCTAAACATTTCAAAATTGTCTACTTTTTTTTTATACACCCTGTATAATAGTACATCCGTTTACTGTCTTTCAATTATGTCTTCCAGCTGCAGTACCAGATGAGCCTCAGATATGTGCTGCTCCAGATAAAGGTGGTTTAGCCTGCCCATCAGGTTCTGTGTGTAAACCGGACTGGGAAGGTCCAAATGACGGGATTACAAATTTCGATAATGTCTTTCTTGGAATGCTGACAGTGTTTCAAGTCATTACCAATGAAGGATGGACGGATATTATGTATTGGGTAAGTTGATTAACTTCTGATTACTACAAAAGACATAATTGGTCATATGTAGCATGAACGGTACAACTTGCTAGTCAGGAATGTTCATGACTGTCCGCACGGAAGACTAAGCCTGCGACACGAAAGAAAAATAACAATCGCGAAACCTAGACTCGGCTACCACAGGTAGCGCGAGTAACAAGCCTTCTACCGCGCACAGTAAGGGGCTGTTTACATGAGAGACCGGCTACCCGAGATTAGACGAAACGTGAAATTATTTTGAAATATTGGATAAGACTTTTTGAAAGCAAAAAAATCACATACTATTGTTAGGATGACTAACGTCTACCTGGATCATGTTTTTAACTCATTTCAATACCTCAAAGTCGTTTTATGATTCGTTAAGTCTCGAGTAACCGGGCTCATGAGTATAGAAATCTGTAAAACATATTGTTATTACGTGAATGTTCGCGGAAATTTTTTTTGCAATATTGTACAATTTTTATTTTCCGACACCTGTATATGCATGGTACGAAACACGAAACAGCTAAAAGGCCACTTCGAAATCTACTTAGGATAAAAGCCTGAATTCAGGGTATAAAATTCAGGACAAATGCACGAGTGTATTTGAATGTGTTAAATTAAAAGGGTGTCTCAAAAAAGGATTGGGTTTTTTCTCCAGTTTTACTCAAAGCAACTATATACTAGCTATAGGCTAGCTGTCAGATAAATGTTATTTGCTATAAAAAATAGGCTAACTTGAATTTCTTTGGCTCCTTTAGAAATGAATAAATTAATCTAATGCATGTGTAAACAGTATTTATCATGCATCGTGTTGACAAGAACACAATTGAATTAAATATTAATGTTCAGACGTTTGCTAGCTGTACTGTGTAAGTGTAGGTAAAAATACGTGCAATATTGACTAAAGTATAGCTAAGTATAATTCAAAACGAAATTTGACGAATGAGCCTATCAAATTGTTTTTAAAAATGTGGCCATTTTGTGACACATTTTCCCTTGTATATGAAATGAATGGTTTCCCTCATATATTTTCTGTTTTATCATCCGAAGAGCCTAAAAATATTGGAAAACAAAGCAGCTGGTTAAAGAATTCATTCTTTTACACCAGTGTTGGCTGATTTTCCACGTCCAAGTCCACGTAATTTTTTTTTGCCAATATCACAGCTAATACTAAACGAAAAATGTCGTGTTATATATCGGGATTCAGCAATGTTTATGCGAGAAACGGGGTATTTATCGTTTTTTCCCTATGATAAATCAAGCCTCTGAACCTTTCTGCGCTACCCGGTATATACATATAGATTTTTATAAAAAGCCTGCTTGTGACGAAAAGTTTTCGAACAAAGCATATTCCTGATTGGTCAGCTTGGTCTCATTGGCCAATCAGAAACATGCTTTGTGCACAGACAACTTCATAACGCGGACTTTTTATGCAAGTCTATTCGAGATATGACTGATATCGGCCTCTCTTTTTAGACATTTGATGCGCTCGATGACAATGCTTATTTCTTCTGGTTCTTGTATTACTCCCTTGTGGTTATTGGATCATTCTTCATGTTAAATCTCGTCCTTGGTGTCCTCAGCGGGTGAGGCTCGGTTTATATTAGCAAAGCTTTGTGGACCATAGTTGGAACGTCACGATTTTCTTCGTTTGGAAGCTTAATTGGGGGGAGTGGGTGCATATTTATATATTCATGTTCGAAACAATAACTAACGAAAGAAATTATATACGAAAATCAGTACCCAATTTTGGTTGATTTGGTAGTTTAGAGTTTACTAGAAACCTCAGCTGAAGCTCTGACAATCCAGGTAGCACCTTATCATCTCAGAGCTAGTGCTTGTACCCCAATGCATGCCTAGCAACTGGTCTGGGGCCGGTTGTATCAAGCCCGTTTAGCTTAAACGGTGGATAAGTTCAAAATAGAAAGCAAGTCTATCGCTTTATTCAAGAAGCAAACTAAATGTTTTTTACCTTAATACAAAGATACTGTTTAAAAGTTGACTCATTCAAGAGAGATGTTAGCGTGCTATTTAATTTTGACTTATCCACCGTTTAAGCTTAACAGCTTTAGACAACCGGCCCCTGCACACAAAACTGGATCAATCACTGACTGAATCAGTAATAATCACTTAGTTCTTCCATCCTTATGTGATTTGTTATGCAACTTTTCGCGAAAAAACTTTTAATGCATGAGTGGTATCTCAAGGCATGACCTCACCCCTCGAAGAAATTCCTTTTTCAAATTTTTCATCATTTTGAAAGTAATATCACACAATTTTCAGTGTTTTAAAAAGCTCCTCACATATAACGAACAAATTCTTGTTTAGTGAATTTGCGAAGGAGAGAGAGCGAGTGGAAAATCGCAAAGCATTTTTAAAAGTGAGAAGATCTGAACAAGTCGAAAGACAAGTGACAGGGTATTTGGATTGGTTAAGTAAAGCAGGTAATTGAAGACGAAGAGTATTATGATTCATTTAAAAGGAATAACATGGCTTGATCTTTACTAGTTAGCTACTTAGTCCATGTCATCCAGCGTTTGCCTTGGCAGCTGAAGTCGACTGCATTCGTCTGGTTTTATTTTGGCACAGCATTATCAGAATACCATTTCAAGTTCGATCAAAATTAACCCCCCCTTCAAATGTATTTATTATGAATATATAAAAATTAATCCCCGCCTCCCACTTTACGATCTTCCGCGGCCAATGACGTCATCTCATTCCGGGGACAATGATGATCATCTCATTTGAAAAGTTTGGTGCTTGATGAATACGAGATGGTTCTTACTCGACCTACGGGTAGCACCGTTTCCAATTTAAACAATAACAAGATACATTTTAATGCTTCTATTTTTCTGTTGCAGAGGATATATTGATGGAAGAGGAGGAGAATGGGGACGAAGGTAAGAAATCGTAGAGTGATTCATCATGCCAATATGACAGTTCTTTAGATTCACTCTTGACGATATTCGTTATTTAGGAATGGAATATGAAAGATATGAAGGAGGCGTAGCTATGACGTCAGATGTGCTAGCTCGACGAAGACACAAGACACAAAAAGAGTAAGTGACAGTTTTTTTTATCTGGGAATGAATAATGGCGAGCATAAATTGGCCAAAGAATACATTCGGGTTGGTTTTGGTATGTCTTTTCGTGACGAACTGTCCAGATATTTTTCATCAGATGATCAGTAGTGTCCGTGTAAAAACAAGCCAGTAAGATAATATCAGGAGAATTCATAGAATGAAGCTTGTTCTTTGTAGCTAGTTCGTCTGGATAGTTTGTTTGTTTTTTGGGGTGACATTTGGTGTATATCAAAACGATTATGCTATACCTAACTGCGGCCAGCCCACTTCAGTCAAGTACACTGTGTGTATAAACTAAGATTTTCGGGTAGGTTACTAAGTCCCAATCACTGACCTGCATATAATAGTATGTAACTGATATTCCAATTTATTCAGGTTAGTGATCCCAGTTGGCTCTGATCCCAGTTGATCCCAGCTCAATTGACTCGTTCTCTCTCTTTATTATAGTGAAGGTTTTTGGAAGAACTTCCCACGTCGAAACAAGCGATGGCGTGTAAAAGTACGTCACATAGTCAAGCACCAAGCGTTTTATTGGACAGTTATCACGTGTGTGTTTCTCAATACTGTCAGTGTGGCTTTACTACATTACAAACAACCTGATTGGCTCACACAGATGCAAGGTAGGCTATTAACTAGTATTATCACTGGTGATCTACCCTCCGTCGAAACGTTTTAGTCTGGGTACAATCCAACGTAATGTAGGATACTTAGCCATACTGCATGATCACCACGTGTAAGTATGTTTCTTAGGTACAGCTCAGATTTATACCACAGCAGCTTATGATAAATATACCATGTATGCATATCGAAAAACGTATGCAGCATGTCGATAGCCTGCTAACTTTTCTGCCTGAATAAATTTTTGCAAGTGGTGAGAATTTAGTTTAAATTGCTAACACTAGATGTAAGAGTGAAGCATTTCTGACAAAATCTGACTTAAGCAGAAAAGTTAGTAAGCTATCGATGTCCTTTTCAGGTAGTTTACACAGAGCTGCGGGTATGCAGGTATACCACCCGTAGGTACTAGGAATATTCCCAATATTCGAAGAAGGTTTAATGTATAATGGAAGACTCCAATATTGAGTAGTGTATAAACAATGAAAAAAAGATAAAAAGTAATAAAATAGCACCCTGTGACAGGTAGCCAGTAAACCAGATCGGAAACTTGCAATTATGATGTTTAATTTTAATTTAATTGAAAAACTATATTTCTTTCAATGTAGACACTGCTGAAACGGTTTTCCTGACATTTTTTTTCGTTGAAATGTGTTTGAAGATTTATGGTCTCGGATTTCAAATATATTTCAATTCACAGTTTAATCGATTTGACTTCGTGGTAAGTTTTCGTTGGTTTTCTAGATGGTTTTTTTAAAAAACTAATCCGTTATTTTATCGGTTTAGTTATCAATCCATATTTAAATTTTACCTAAAAACTATTAAAATTTCTGTTTTGAAATGAGTGGCTAACAGAAGAATACTTCAGGTAAATCTTAGCGTGTAAACAGAAATCCTTTATAGAAATAATACAACTTTCTATTTAGATTGTTTGGTGCAGTATCCTCGAGTACATTCTGTCAAAAGCGGAGGGTATGAACCTTGGTATATCCGTACTCAGAGCTCTTCGTCTTCTAAGATTGTTCAAATTTACAAGGTAAACTTAGTGTGTTTATTATCAGTTACCAACTGTCATCCTATTCAGAATCTTGTCATCAGTTGTAAATCTCGGTCTGTTACTGAATCGCTTTTAGAGTAATAGAACGGATTATATTAACACTTCTAAAATTGACTAAATGACTGTATGTTTCTCTGAATGAATGCACTTCAAGTGAAACGTGTTCATCAGGGAAATTTAGATAGTACACTCCCAGTTAAGATAGTCACACTACCTCCCTCCGCGAATTTTGATGGGTCAAAGTGCCAAACAAAAAGGTTGATTGGCCATTTGTTGTTTTTGGACGGCAAAAGGTCGATTGCCGCTTACTGGCGTAGCACTGGCCTAGTGATAAACATAATCTTCTCTTTTGTTTTTTCAGATACTGGTCCTCCCTTCGTAATCTAATTACATCACTTCTTGGTAGTATCAAATCAATCCTCAGTCTCTTGTTTCTTCTGTTTCTCTTCATCGTCATATTTGCTCTACTTGGCATGCAACTGTTTGGCGCTCAGTTCAAGAAAGTGCGTGATGAAAATCCTAGGACAAACTTTGATGATTTCTGGAACGCAATGTTGTCCGTGTTTCAAATTCTCACTGGCGAGGACTGGAATGCAGTTATGTACGACGGTGTAGTGGCCAGCGGTGGGCCCCATTCGGTAGTAGGCCTTGCCTCGTCATTGTACTTCGTACTGCTGGTCATTCTAGGGAATTGTATCCTTTTGTTTGATCATTGTAGTTGATAAATTGTTACCTCTGAATTTTCTATTATGCATCAAAACGTGAGATAGGATAACTTCGCCATTAGTTAAATGTTGATAAGATGCTCGTGTGCAAATAATATATGATCTCAAAACACATTCTGCTAGTGTCTGAACTTTCCTATAATTCAGTCGTGGCAGTGTAGGTTGGTTCGAATCCTGTCAAAGGACCCAAGTCTACATGTCTATTATTTCTCCCATTCTTCCACAGTGTTATACAGTTTCAAAACTGTATTGTTTGAGTCTGAACAATATTCATTTGAGAACCTTGACCGGTATTAGACACCCTACTAAACGTCTTCTTGGCTATCGCAGTGGATAACTTAGCAAACGCACAACAACTGAATGAAGATGAAGAAGCCGAAGAGCAAGCGAGAGAGGAAAGAAAGAGAGAAATTAAGGCTGAATTTGAGAGAAGAATAAGGTATCATTTCATGCAAGACCTAGCTTAGTATATACGTATGTGTACTAAAAAATAAACGAATAAAAAAATTGAATTCTCTCCTCAGGAACGGTCACGCAATAAACACAGCGGTTGAAATTGATGGACGAAGGACCGATGGTCCCAGGGAAGCAGAATTTGAACAAGAGGATGATGGTACGCCTATAAATAGAATATTTTACAATGAGAGAACAAGGCACTACCGAGTAAAGTAGGGCTTATAGACAGTAACCAAGGGAACATTCTCATCACTGTACCCAAGTAAATGGCAGGAAATAGTATATGGAAAGCTGCAAACACTGAAAAATTAATTTATTTGACTATCCGTGATCATGCTAGTGACCTGCCGAGGCGCCAAATATCAAACATAAATCATTCTGTTTCTGTATCTCTCCCAGGTGAACTTCGTCCTGCAAATTTGGTGAGAACGATGCAAAACCCAGAACGTATCGTTCCACAACCCTCAGAAAATGCTATCATTGACACAAAGACATTCTTTATCTTCTCCCCCACAAATCCGTAAGTTAAATTACACAGTTTTCTCTCATTATCAGGGTGCATTGTCAGGCTGTTATGGTAGAGTGGGAGTCGATGGTGGACGAATTTTACTATATATTTTATGTTCGTTTTTTTCAGTATCCGAATTGTGGCTCACAGGATAGTGAACTTCAGACATTTTGACAATGGAATTCTGGTGTGTATTCTAATCAGTAGCGTTCTCCTGGCTTGCGAGGATGTTGTTAATGAAGAGGCGACAATAAACAAGGTTGGTGAATTATGTCCAGAATATTGTGTAGATGTAGAAATCCTCACACACTCATCCTCATCCGCTATAACGAGTTAACCTTTGGCTTAATTTATTGCACATAGGATTCGATTTTTTCACAAATGATTTCTGTCTAAAAAAAGGCTCTAAAATCTTTGCTTTTCGTTTAGGTTTTAACATATTTCGACTATGTGTTTACGACGATATTCGCCTTTGAGGTTGTCGTAAAGGTAAGTCTGCGAACTAAATGTGTGAAAAATGTAGTTTGAGCATTGTTTTTTTTTTAAATCTAACGAAAATAACTTTTTAGATGATCGATTATGGCGTGGTTTTGCACAAAGGCTCGTATTTACGAAGTGGTTGGAACTTCATTGATGCCTTGGTCGTATCATCTGCCATCGCCTCACTGGTTCTTGCGTAAGGAATTCTTTGTCGTACAACAGAAGCAGTTTTATACCCTTTTTCTCTCCTGGGGATCCATTTCTAATCTTGGCAGAATGAAATTCATCGCAGGAGGAACTTATTGTGACTGTGCTAACAAACCAGAGATTCGATTCCTACCCATTTGGTGTATAATTCAGTGTAGCACGACCCCAATATTAGTTCACCCGAATCACAAACACAATCACAACAGGAGGTGCTTGATAGAGCATCAGTAAAACTGTGAATTTGGGCGGCACAAAATGTTGTAAAATGGAGACAATAAATATATAGCCATGAAAAGTTCGCAAATCTTTTAATCAGAAATTTAAATTGCATTATTAATGTTACTATGAAAGAAGGAACCTGACCACTTATAGAGAATAAAGAACAGAGAATCTCTAGAATAGCCAGATCAAAGTCTTGAGCAGATTTTTAAATTATGATTTTTTTTTCCCAAAAGATCCAACCCAGACTCTTCGCCAAGTGCTCAGAAAGTGGTTAAACTTCTTCGTGTGCTCCGTGTGTTGCGTCCTCTTAAGGCCGTTAACAAATCGAGGAATCTCAAGGTATAATTAAGTATAATTTATTACCTTCCTATGTAATGGATATATTGGTAAACATTTTACTCACTGACCTCTGTAGGAGAAATATTTAACTGAACCACAAAAATGTGCAGTTAACCCTACACAAAAAGATGACAATTGTATATACTTTACCACAATCCATTGCTGCCAGAAGCTGTTTGAAAAGGCGATTTGGAGCTTTTTGAAACAAAGCATGAATACAAGATTATTCCCTTCACAGCATTCAGGCTGCAGTACTCGTTTGTGAGAAATATACTGCATGAAAGACCTCTGTATACAACAGTTTCGAGTTCACATAACTATATGAAAGTGTAACTACGCTTCTCGTTCACTTCAGGCTGTGTTCCAATGTATTGTATTCTCACTGAAGAATGTTATGAATATCTTACTTATTACAATATTGTTCTTGTTCATATTTGCTTGTATCGGAGTTCAGCTGTTTCAGGTTAGTAAGAATAACAGATTGTCTGAATTATGGTTGCAGTCCTTACACCCTCGTCGATGACGGCTAAGATCGACAATTCCCACTTCTTTTCGCTAATTGCGAAAGACGACCACCCTGAAAGTTTATTTGTATTACTTTGTTTTTAAAACTAAAATACTTGAAACATTTTCCGTTTTTTCAGGGTAAATTCTTCATGTGTAACGATGTTTCTAAAATGACGGAGGAGGAATGCCAGTAAGTAACGGATATGAAATGAACATTGTGATGATGCTACACAGCGCACCCGGTTGGTGACTCAGAGTAGCATCATCACAATGTTCATTTCATATATACACCTGAGTCTTAGCCTCTTAAGCACTATTACTATCAAGTAACGAATTATTCATCCGCTTACTTGTTCAAATACTGGAGTCTAGACAAACAGGACGCGATTTTGGTTGGTAAATTTTTGCTTGCGAAGTCACGTAATAGAGATGTCATTTTATGCGCCTGATTTTAATACATGGGAATGATAATCTTTGTCCAGGAACGACAAGTTCTTTTGAACAGTTTGACTGATGGAATCCTAAAAACGGAATAAAAAGGGCCTCCAACTCACAGCAACCATAATTGATACGTGTACGCTGTGCTCGGTAAGAGGATAACAATTCAAAGCATCCGTCTTTACTTCATTTTAGAGGTTCCTATTACGCATACTCGTCAGATTTGAGTGATATTAATAAGCCAGAGGTGAGTCAATTGTAAATTAGAATTTTAATTTCGCGCCCTTCTTTATACTATTAGTAGGAAGAATGGGAACAAATGCCTCCAGGCGCATGATAGCTCAGTTTTGTGGAGGCACCTTATGACGTCATGATCTCAGATCCACTAGATGTCTTCAAACCATTAATTAACGCAATATGTTCTTTAGAAAACTGACCGAGAGTGGGGTAAACATGATTGGCATTTTGACAATGTTTTATACGCAATGAGTACGCTTTTTGCATCCTCGACCGGGGAAGGATGGCCCGCGTAAGTACTGGAATTCAGTGGCAAATCTAGGGGTAGTCAGAATGAATTACACAGCTAAATTTTAAATTCAAAACACCTTAATAACAACGCTATTGGTTATAGATTTCAAAAGAATATCTTTTCTGAAGTAATTTATTCTGACTTCCCATAGATCCACCACTGCTGGATTTTTTTTATTTTTTAATGGAAATAATTATTACCTGTCTTTTTGACCCTCGCTCAAATAGTGCTCTGTCCTTTCTATGCCCCTGCTAAATGTACCCTTTTACCAATATATTTTTCTTTTCACTTCCCCCCAACCCTATGCCCTAATATTCTTTCTAGACAAAGCCAATCAAAATGGCTAAATTTTTAATATTTGCAATTTTTAATACATGTAAAATGGTAAATAATGTACCTTTTTACCGGAAGTAGTCAAAATTTATGCATTCTGATTGGGTTACTGAAAATGTAAACAAACTTGCTGATTGGTCTAAAACGAAATTCCCCCTTGTTACGGTGGAGGCTTAACGGTTTGATTATGGTAGCTATATGTAAGATTATGGTTGGACGAAACTTTGTTCTTCAAACATTTTATTAACTTTCAGTTCTCTCCTACCTATAGAGTTATGCAAGCTGCCATTGATGCAACAGACATTGACAGAGGTCCCATCACTAACAACCAGATTGAAGTTGCTTTATACTTCATTCTGTTTGTAGTGATATTCTCGTTCTTTTTCATCAATATATTTGTCGCTCTCATCATTCTCACATTCCAAGATGAGAAAGAGAAAGAGCAAGGGGACTGTGAACTAGAGAGAAACCAGGTGGGAACGTCAGTCAAATTGTACTTCGGCTAGGAGTGAACCATTCTCTGATTCATAGTTCTATCATTGCTAGAATAGTCCCTAAAGGCGGTTTTCCACTATTCTGAATCTTTCGAGTGAACGAAAATTTTCGTTAAATTTTCTTGAATTTTCATGCGAATAATTTCTTTGATCGAAAAATTCCGTGACACTTTAGCAAAACTTAGCACATCTCTATATAAGAAAAACGTTTGGGGCCGGTTGTTTGAAAGGCGTTACCCTAAACGCATAATAAGTCAAAGTTGAAAAAATACTCTGATACATCTTTTGATTGACTGAACCTGTATCTTATGCATTATATATGTTCTTCCATTGAAAATTAAGCTATTTACATCGAAATATGTCAGTTCATTTGTCCAATGGAGATAGTTTTGGGTTTTTTAAACTTATCCGCCGTTTAAGCTAAACGCCTTTCGAACAACCGGTCCCTGTGGAGAAAACTGTATTTCTTAGACGACTTTAAATACTATTATTTAAGATTAACAAAACAACAAAATAATAGATCATTTCATTTTCCTAGCGTGATTGTCTCCACATTGCCATCATCAAGAAACCAATCCAGCGCTTCATGCCAGACAATCCAAATTCTCCGCAGTATCGTGTATGGCAGGTTGTCGATTCTGCACCGTTTGAATATTTTATCATGTTGCTTATCGTCTTAAACACGTTGACAATGATGATGAAGGTAAATATTTGTTCTTTAAAATGCCTTTTTACCATCTGGTTTACTGCTGTTGCAACAGGAGCATTATTAAAACATTGCGTCTATTCATTATACCTAAAGTTGATAGACCTTCGTATGCATATCATGATACCATGTTTGTTTCCTGTGTGATATCACGTTTAAGGCATTTAACCTATAACTCGTTTTTAGAACTTGTTATTTCAAATAACAAATATCAAATCGAAAGAAAAAAATTTCGAATACCTTCGGTGTGCAGAGGAAATATTTCATCAATTGAGAGCAAATTGAACTAAGTTGTTCATGCAGTCAAAATTCAAAAGAGATTAACAGGGAATATTTTGGTGATGAACTATAGATATCGCCCGAAGTAATCATCCATAATTTGGAAGGAATTTTTTAAGGCCTACCCTGACCTCATCGTAACGATTGATTGAGAATTAGTTCAAGATGGTCGATGTTGCTGCATCACTAACCATTTAAATCTTCACACACATCAATCAAGATATCAAAAACTTCATTGAATAATTTTAGACATTTTGCACAATCCTTTGTTTTCACATTAATATTTCATGTTTTGGGGTGAAAATATTCGCAGCACAAGTGCTCGAGATTCTAGTTCCAGGCTAATCGCACACTCTTTTAGGATACTAATGAAATGTGTAATTTCTTCGATAGTATTACAATGAGCCTGCAATATACCGTACTTACCTGGACAGATTTAATGAAGTTTTCACATTCCTGTTCACATTGGAAGCTGTGCTAAAGCTGTACGTTTTTCGTGTGGTAAGTGGATTCTTAACCAATAAATCATTAATTAAATCGATTAAATAATTAACGCATCGCTCAACTAGCCTATTAAAACTTCACCCGATCAATAACATTAATCTCTTCATATTTAGAATTACTTTCGTGATGGATGGAATTGTTTTGATTTTGTGATTGTCCTGGGCAGTCTACTTGACTTCATTTTAACACACGGAACGGTATGTTCTCAATTGAACTTGACTAAATAATAAATACTAGGTAAAATACTTCCAAAAAGGTTTCCTTTTTTATAACGTGGACAGAAGGTATACTAACTCATCCTATCCATAAACTAGACCCTTTCCCTGACAACTAATTGCACCCTAACCTACGCTATTTGAACAATTGGAAATCCTAGTCAATCTGGCAATCCCCCACGATTAAAAGACTCTCGCGTGAATGAATTGGTTTTTTTTATTTCACAGTCTGGTGCACTACCGTTCGACGTAAGCATGTTCAGATTGTTCCGTGCCGCAAGATTAGTGAAATTGCTGAAACGAGGCTACACCATCAGAATTTTATTGTGGACTTTCCTACAATCATTCAAGGTTGGTGTGAACGTCTTTCTAGTACAACATTACTTAGACCTAAGGGCTGTTTACATGATCCCGCTTAGCCGAGATTCAACGAAGCGTAAAATGATTTTGGGGTATTGAAATGAGCACGTGACACGATCCTGGTAAACGCGTAATTCCCCAACAATAGCATGTTCTTGTTTGGTGTCATAAACACATATTCCAAAACCTCAAAGTCATCTTATGCTTCGTTGAATCTCGGCTAAGCGGTACCATGTAAATAGCCCCTTAGTATATCATATTTTTTCCTTACCTAAATTCGCTCTTTCCTTCCTTGTTCTAGTCTTTGCCGTATGTTGGTATTATGATTGGACTTCTGTTCTTTATCTATGCTATCATTGGAATGCAGGTAGGTCCGTTATGATATTGTAACTTGAAGATAACAGATATGATTGTGTATACACAATTCTTTATCTTGAGGACATTCTCGGACGCTTAATTATGTCCTCAATGAATATTATTATTTTAAGCTGTTTGGTAAAGTTGCGACCAACCAAGGTGAATTGGACAAGGAGAAGGATGGTAGTGATATCTGGGGTCAAATTGCTCCTAGAAATAATTTCCGAAGTTTCTTTCCTGCCATTCAAGTCTTATTCAGGTGAGTTGACTGCCATTCAAGTCTTATTCAGGTGAGTTCAGTACACATATAGAGTTCAATAAGCAAGCACTTGAAGAATGTGGCCAGACTGCAGTTATTAAAGTGAGAAGATATTGTCAAATCCTATTGTTATTGTGTTACAGCGTTGCACTGTGATATATCATTGATAAACTGGTTTTAAGGCATAAAGCTTTGCTTTAAAACTTTACATTATTCTTACATGACTAGTCCTTGTGACTGGTTACAATAAGCGCCACCACGCGAATAAATCTCCCCTCTTTTCATTCAATATGTTGTCTCACCGTTACCACTATTTTCAGGTCGGCTACTGGTGAAAACTGGCATTACATCATGTTGGCCTGCAGTTCTGAAGCGTTGTGCACCGAGGACGCAGTACCCAAAGCGGAGAAAGGAGCGACGTGCGGCAGTGATATCACATATCTATACTTCATCAGTTTTGTATTCCTCTGTTCTTTCTTGGTAAGTCAATATTACGCGTCGGTAGTGCATCCTTGTGAAACGTCAGTGGCAGCATATTTTATTCTTGGTAAACATCTTCACACTTCTTTGGTCTTTATTGATACTCTGTTCACGCTAGTGTAGTTTTGATAAATATGTTGGTGTTTTAACTTGCTATATTGTCCTCAACGGTTGTCATCTTCGTGAAGTGATGTAAGTTACAATGTACAACACGTGCAGTCCTTTTGGTACTAAGCTGGGTGATCACCTTTCATCACGTTGCGATCAAAAACTTTGGAACAACATTATAAAAGACATCATTTAATAATTTGGACGTCTATTTATTTATTTGAGTATATCCGAGACTTAGACTTTTGAATGGCTGCAAGACAATAACAAAATACCGCTTTCAGTAGACCTTTCCGAATTTGCCTCCTGAAATGCACACAAAACAATATTTTGGAAACGAATCTATTGTTAGTTAAATGGTCCTCATTATTCCTGAACAAATTCCGGAAGTGTCTCCTCGTGCGGCGGCTTTTTTTTTCAATCAATTATTGTTTTTCTTTTTGATAGATGTTAAATTTGTTCGTCGCTGTCATCATGGACAACTTCGAATATCTAACTCGAGATGAGTCAATTCTTGGTCCACATCATCTTGACGAGTTCGTGAGAGTCTGGGCCGAGTTTGATCCGGCTGCGACGTGAGTGTCCTGGTTTTTCTTTTAGCTTCAGTTGTAAATATTGTCGAGTCTTGTTACGCTTGTCTGACAACAAAGAATGGGGGTGTTTAGTTTTGAGTTGACTCTTTTTAGGTCTCTATCTTAATTCAAATCTTGCTACCTTGCAAACCTTGGTCTTAAAAAATTTCAATCTCGAAACCAGAGCCCGCGAAAACAAATTTGGTAAAATGTACATCTGCCATTTTGTTCCATTCCCCTTTTGTCAATTATGGCCATCAGGAAAGAGGAATTTGCACCACAGAAAGTAACCATTAATTTTCATCGCGTTTTAACAGGGGTCGTATTAAACACACTGAGGTGTGTCAATTGTTGCGTCAGATGGTTCCTCCGGTTGGTATTGGAATGAAATGCCCAAAGATTGTTGCATACAAGGTTTGTCTATTTTAGGCAGTTGTTAAACGACATTTGATGCAGAGTTGTTTGAAGACGCTGCCACGCTGTTCCTTGGTTATATCTATAGGTCTTTTTTAATATTACGACGCAGGTGTTGGCAAATTTTAGAAATATTTCCCCTTCTGAGCAATTTATCTCGTATCACTATGAAAACTCTGTACATTTCTCTGTTCGTATAGCGTCTTATAAAGATGAATATGCCTCTGGATTCAGACGGGACAGTCGAGTTTACAGCGACGCTATTTGCACTGGTCAGAACAGCGTTAGGAGTTCTGACTGATAATAGTGAGTCGATATTCTGGTCTTCTTTATTCTCAAAGAATTCTCGCTACAAACACAGATATAGTCAACGCTGATCTTCTGCATGAAAATGGCGAACTACAAAGGGTCTCCAGAAGATTTGTGTAATTTATCATATAGACAAACAAAGAATGCTTTAATTATCTATGATTCGACAAATCTTACATTGTTGATGATTTTATTTAAAACTCTATAACTTTATTCCAGATAATTTAAAGAAGAATGATAAAGAAATGCAAGCCTTGTTAAAAAGAGTTTGGCCAAAATTAACAAAGAATACTTTAGATAAAATAATGCCGAAGCCACCACGAAATGGTAGGTTTGCAAGACTATTGGAAACAGTCAATTTTACCATCCTTTATACTCTGCAGCATCACGTCCAAATCCTAAACATTTATTTACACTTGACACCCACACTAACAGCTGTTAATTTCCTTTGTAGCTGGTGCACAACAGATGACTGTAGGAAAAATATATTGTGCAAAATTAATTTATGAAAATTATAAATTTTTGAAAAGGAAGGGAGATGCCCAGGTAAGAAACCCAACGGAATACTTCTAATGCTATACCCTCGCAATCCAACTCTTCCTCTATTAAGTTTGATAGTAAATTTATTGTCTTCATATATTAGACCGTGCTTCTAGTGTAAAAATACAATATTCTTCCCCTTCGCAATTAACACCCCCAGTAAGCCACTGCTGTCTGAAACATTACCCCCTCCCCCCTCGGTGGCTTACTGGGGTTTTTATTATGCCTGCGGTAGAGTTCACTACTGACTCTCGGCTTGGGAAGAATATTTTTATTATTTTTAACAAGATAGATCTCAAACTAAACTGCTGATATCATGGTTTTAGGATGGAGGGAATTTGCTAGGTCGTTTTGTTGGTGGAAATGGTTACCGAAATCACAGTCAGGACATTGAACGTGGCGAGGTAAGATCTGTCTTAGATATCGACTTAACCTTGCATACGCGTTAACATCTGCACTATTGTCATACATATGTGACTACGGAGAGCGTAGGAAACGCACTAAGGTTACGAATGTTTATGTTTGTCTAGGATATCCCAATGAGATCTGTGCATCGCTCAGTTACCCCCACAGATACAACAAGCCACAGATCATTACCGCCATCGCTATTATCTCAAAGTAGGGTAAGTAGAGAATAATAATATATCACTTGAATGTGCTTATAATAGGTTGCTGCGAACGATTGTGAGTATGAGTTTAATCAGTTTATAAATCCTCCTTTCCCTGTGTTACTACTACACGAGAAAACCTAAACTAAACTAACCAGTGTTCTCCCTGTGGTACAGTGGGTAAGCCATAAAGCGGTTGGATTGAATAGATTCCACTTATTTAGTTGCAATCCTTTGCCAAAGTCTTAACTAACATCTGTTTTTAGCATTCACGAACGTCGCTCAGTAGTTCACCTGTGCCACGAACTGGCAGTACTGGTGACAGCGGTGTATCTGAGAATGGTTACCATCCAAATATGAACCAACATATTGCAATGGCAATAAGGAGCGGCAAGAGCCCGTACGCTATATATGGATTGCAAGAGGTCGATGATGGCGATGATTGGTGTTAACAAATCTTAGGAAAATTGAAATTTGGAACTGAAAATGTTCTCTTGTCAAACGGAAGCTATTATATGTTTTCAACTCGTCAAGTGGAAGCTGCGTTTCCTATGACTGGCCAAATGTTTAAATGTCCATCTCTGATTGGTTAGAAAATGTTATATTGCCCGGATTTGATTGGGTAAAAGGTGATATTGGTCTCAAAGACAGAACACCTTGACTTACGAAGAATTATTAACAAATTAATCATCGCTAACAGCATAGAAGATACAGAATACTAAGACAGATATTTACTCAAATGTACAGAAATTGAAGTTCCAGATATTTAAAGATTTTTAAAGTGCTACAATAATACATGAAATACGAGAATAATTACTTAATGAAAATCAAGTCCTATGGATCATGGAATGGATCATAAAATGACTTTATACAGGATTAAAAACAGACAAGCATCACTTATCAGTACTGGGCTCGTTATTTTGGACTTCACGATCCTTGGCCTAAATCAACGTGTGAAGATAATGAACAGCATTGTAGCTTGAGCTTTATTTAGTCCACCGGACAGAAGATCGAAAAAACAAGCCTTATAGTCACCGAACTGCGTTTCCAGTCCTTAGTTGAAATCGTCTGTTACAGGTGTTAGAAATCCATAGTATTTGTAGTTTGAAAATAATTGCTGCGGGACAACTAAAAAAGGTAGAGAATTTCGCTGGTATGACTAATATTGCCATCCCATGTATTTAAATATTATGGACTATTATGAAACTTGCCATTAACTGTTCACATGTAGTACATTGTAGAATTTGTGTCTCAACATGGATGGTAGTTAAAAAGACTGAGGTAAATTTTAGATCATGTCTTGGCACAAACCCAGGCAACGTTTTACATCTGGGACATGGAAAAGAGGCATGCGTGATTTGAAAAACAAATAATAGTATTATCTGCTAAAATATACATGCAATGGTGCATCAAAATGGGAACCTTAAGACATTTACTTTATCATTATGGCTAGTCTCTACGCTGAACATAAAACACAGGTCCTAGATGTAATTTGAAATAATTCAGTTGTTTATGTGGAGTCTCAGCCTGAAAACTATGGATATTGTTCTGTTTAAGAATAAAATGGGAAAATGCTGTCGGAAACAGATTAATTAAACATACAAAATCTATTGTCATTGATCCTGTGTTCCTATCTGATTTTATGAATGTACCAAACAGTCTCAAACTTTCTGTATCAATTGTTTAATTCTCTTTTTCATATCTCAAAAAAAAGTGCGTTTGTCGATCGGCGCTTTACTGATTCTTGAAAACTGTTTTCTAAACTTGAACAAATTGTTGTTCAAAGCCTCAGACTCAGTAAGCTATCATTCATGTTAAACTGAATGACTATTAGCATATATAATATTAACATATAGAATTTAGCCGAAAGATGTTATTTAAGAATAATTTATAGGTCTAATTTATTTATAAACTACATTTATTTCCCTTCCAACAAACGAGGGTGTTAAGTTTTAGAGTAATTTAATATTTTAATTGTGTAATTTTGCGTATAGTGCGCTTATTTTAAAGTAATGTTTGTTAAAGATTTTCAACGCTTTTTTAAATTATTGTATATAAGATTATTATTAATAAAAGATGTTAAATATGACAGAAGAAACACTGTTATGTAAATTTTCATTTATTTTTAACCATTTTACTTTTAGTTTCAGTTTAAACGTTGCACTTTGAAAAAAAAATCGTTTGAAAATCGAAAATCGTTGTGCGTGTGTAAATATTTTTCTGCCTAGACCGACCATAGGCATAGCATACCGGGAAATTTGTGCACACTTGGTTGGTAATTGCAATCCAGTTCACTTTTATAGACTTACAAACATTTTACAATACATTAATGAAAATCATGTCACAATTTAAGGCTTGGTTTTTTCTGCAAACTCGTGAAGAAAAGACAAAATCAAGCGGAGAACCAGCTTTATTGAGAAGGTTTATTCTGGTTGGAGGGTTGAGTTGTTTATTGAAGCTGAGGTTGTTACCAGAGGCTGGTTGTGTGAGGGCGGGTCAGTTCCTTGTCCGCCGGAAGCCCTATGGCCTTCGTACAACCGGTCCCAGACGAAAATATATCAGTATGACATTTGTCAAAATTGACACCAGCTCTATTTGCAGGTCATATAAAAATGCAGTATAAACATGTTGAAGAATTATTCAAATTGCTCAGACCCAATAAAAATAAATTCATCTTTTCAACAGAAAGTACAAGGACATATAAATTATTTGCCGGACGAGAAGTTGAGTTAATGAGTTTTGCCAAAAAACGATTACCGCTGAATTATATAATCTTGTATTCATTACAGGTTCATTGAACAAATATTTTCAGATACATTTTTTTACAAAGAAACTCTTTTGCGTATTGTATACTTCTAAAGTATTCTACAACATTGAACAATTATATTACTTATGAGGGACATTCCAAATTTGAAAGGTCCGAGAGCCTTTTTAGACACTGAAGGCCCCAAAAAGACTAAAATCAGTTCCAAATACAAACGGAATATGTTTTATATAATACAGAATTCGTATCAATTATAGTTCTAGAGCTACAATGTTAAATGTCACAATTTGATAACTCGTATATGACTTCTACAATTCCATCTTCAAAACCGCAACATTTTCTAATTTCATTGACCAGCTTTACATGTCTTAAAACACTGCTCCACCAACGACAACTTGCATCGGGGAAACTCGCAACGATTCAACCACGACTTCTCTGGGAGATAACCGCGATTTTTCTCTACCTTTTCTCTTTTTCATAAACTCAAAAACTTGAGTGAAGAACGAGCCCAATATCAACACAGCACCTCCAGTAAAAACTGTTGTCCCAAATGCATCCACCATTGTATATGTGTGATAAATCGAACAAATCCGAACTTACAAAACCTTAAACGTTTTCATTTAAGCTGCGACATTCGTTGTGACGAATTCGATATTGTCTTTGCTAAAAAAATCTTGCGCAAAAAAAATCACAGGCGTACAACCCCCCGGAAATCGTGGTTTGGAAAACTGGGTCGGGTCTCGGCGAGGGAAAATTTTGAAATATTAATTTCGGAGTTCAGTCTGTAGCTGTGTTGCATACATACGATCTACTGATTCGATCTAATAGATTTGACTTTTTTGTACCATGAAAAGAACGTTTCCACGCGCAAGACTGCGAAATATCATAAAGAGACATCAGAAGGATTGTAAACTATCGAAAAACGTCGATATTTTGGTAAGCGAAGTATTATATATCACCAAGTTTAGAATTACATCACTTTCATTGCAGATTTGTTCATTTTGTTGGTAGATGTTCTTGGATTATATGATGTTTCTTCGCAAGCTTGCTGTTGAGGCAAACCTAAATTGTCAAGAGATGAAGGATAAACAGATATCTGGGGCTCACATTAGGGCTGTGTTACCGGTACAAATATTAGATTTTTATCTATTGACTTTTTGATCCCAAATTTATAGTGTTTCCATTGACCATTGTGAAATTATTAAAGACTCAGCTCAGAGTGTGTCATGAGGGTTAAGGGTAGATAATGCTTAAACCATTGAACGTTTTGAACATACTGGCAAAGTCCGGAAATTTTATAAAAGTTGGGAACAGTCTATAAAAAAGACTGGTTTATTTGCCCAATATTTCCATTGGGCCTATTTACAACCATTTGGGATTTGAAAGGTTACCTATCAATAATGTTGGGTGCATTGAATGCTTAAGGCATTATATTACTGTAATTTCTTCACTGTACATCATCACTAAGTCTAATACAGCTTCATAATATGTTTTAAACAGGCAGTATTAAAGAGCTTCCATGGATAATGAGATATCAGAGTCACTTGGTTAATACAATGGGTTACAGTATAGTTTTAATATCATCATAATGTAGTATTTGTATATGTTATATATAAGTCAAAAATTATTTACTTTATTAGTTTACTTCTGTAGATAATAGCAAACAAGCTTGTGAATAGTTTTTTAGTTTGTTGAATATAATGGAGAGACGTAGGCCAGTTTCAAGACTTTCAATCAAATCCAATGTCAGATTTGCATAGTAAATTCAACCAAATGTACGCCTAAAAATATGATCACAAACCTTAGTCTTTTTTGTGCCCTAGGATATGAGTAGAAGATTCATTAAAGCCAGTTGAAACCACTAGAAATAGTAAATCTCGGCTTTAAGTAGGTGGCTAATATAGTTTCCATGTCAACAGTCAAGCATATACTGGTACAAGTATTTGAACTATAATTGGCATTGGACAACAAGAATTGGATGCAAAATTATTATTCATAGAAAAAAATGGAAATAAAGACAAGAAGTTCTATTCAGTATTCATACAGCTTATATAACAATATACTGGTATCACCAACCTATAATTTTTATCATGATGTATCAAGGTTTTCGAAAGGGTGTAGACACTGACCTATACTATACTGACTCTAATATGGGTCAATGGAAATGGTGTAGATCAGTTGCAGGAAGCATGCCATCAGCTTTAGGGATATTAAAAAATATATATAAAAATGAGAAAATAAGTTGCTACCTAGATCAGAGCCTCGAAAAGGCTGTTGCATTGATTTTCCATTGAGACAAATTTCTTTTGAAAAATGTGTGGTTGCATTGAGGACTAGAGCAAGTTTGCAAATCCCGTGCACCCAGGACCATTGATCACATACATATCACTTTTGTTCATGTTAAATGCGTTTAAATTTAAATTACAGAACTATTTGAAATTTCAGGGAGGTTCAATAAAAAATTGGAAAATTTCTAAGACGGTTCAATAAAATGTTTAAAAAATTCTCACCATCCAGTTCTTCGCCTTTTAAATCTGCATAATGTATGCAAATATATGCTTAGTTCAAAGACAAAGGCAATGAGAGCATATTTATGTTCGTAGTTCAATAATTTTTATACATTTCATGTGGAGCTCCAACAGTCAACTTCTGTTTTGGGCTGAAAGAAAACTCGTTGGGCAAATTATTTTCATGTGGAGATAAAACAATCACAAGCAGAATTTTTAAAGCTACACTATTAAAATGGCAGCAAGAAGTTTATTGCAACTACGAAGACTAAACAGATTAGTAACGACTACGGTAATATTTTAATATAGAAATAGTCAAATAGAGATAGACAAGTAGACGTGATGGCTTCAGTGTTTCATAATCTCATTAAACATATATTAAATTTTTGGTTTTGATTCATAAAATACGCAGAAGCCGGCCACCAAAACGGTCTTGTAAAAAATATTTGATAGAACTACAAATACACGCATTAAAAATATATAACAGTGAGGACCATGCATGTATTGTATTCACGTTTGGCTTTTCAAGAAGTTGAATAAACCGGGGGTATTTGCCATTTTATATAATAGTTGAACGAAATTTGCTTCTTAAAGTCGATAGAATATTATTCCGAGTGTGTTTTGCTTAAAGCTTTGTTATGTATTTAAATATACAAGTGCTAAAGTACAAAGTCCGTATACCATTTTTAGGGATGTTTCATAATGGTTATTACAATATTACTGTACAAGTTTAATATTGTTTAACATAATAGTTATTACTGGGAAATCAAAGTAATGTGCTGTTTACACGAGGTAAGAGGCTGTTTACATGAACCCGCTTAGCCAAAATTTAACGAAGCGTGGAATCACTGAGGTATATTGAAATTAGCATATAACACAATCCTGGCAATTGTGTATCAGTCGAAGTCAGGCATGTGCTTGTCTGGTGTCATCAAGACTTATTTTAATACCTCAAAGTCATTTCATCTTTGGTTGAATGTCAATTAAGTAACTGGGCTTGTGTAAACAGCCTCAAATACAAGAAGTAACATCTTGCACATCTTTTACCATATATTATAAGGTAATCACATGTAATACTATTTGTTCTTCCCAAGTAATTTGCCAAACTACTTTCTTTTGGGGTTAGGGGTGTGAAGGACACATGCACATAGATTTATCAATATTTTCCCATTGCATAGAGCTGTAGCAAGCTTAAAACCTTCAATAGACCTTTTTCATAATGACGTCAAACGCAAAAATTCTGATCTTACACGAAGTTTGATTAGCTCGATAGTTTTGTGGAGCCAATCAAATTCCGTGTATCATCAGACTTTCCGTGTTTGACGTCATTATAAGAAAGATCTATTGTGATAGTGTAGTCAATCATTATATTTTTTCAATGTGTTCTAAAGGCTGGGTTTACTTTATGCATAAAATAATGTTTTCATATGTGGTTCTCTTGAATGTTAAATGTAATAGCCCAACCTTAATCCAATTTCTAGGGGAAATGCTACAGGTATAGCACAGAAGCTGCGAGCAATTCTGGCTATTCATTTGGTAAAGTATATTTTACTACAACATATTGTTTTGTGCATTACATGCAATCATGGCAAAATTATCAGATATAGAGCTCAGTGGCAGATCTAGGGGTAGAATGAATTACACAGCTAAATTTTTAATTCAAAATACCTTAATAACAATGCTATTGGTTATGGATTTCAAAAGAATATTTTTAAAAAAAAATCTACCAATGTGAATGCAACTTTAAGCTGTAGTAATTCAATTTTATTCTGACTAGATCTGCCACTGTCTGATAGAGCTAACCTAGACTATATTGATTAATCATGATGATAGATATGTCTGATGAGCTTGGAGCATTGAGGGATATGGCTCGAAAGTTTTCACGTGAAGAAATCTTACCTGTTGCTGCTGAACATGACAGAACTGGAGAAGTACGATTCTTATAGGATGATTATTGTTTAATAAGTGAAACATGATTTCCCTGGGTATTTTCCTAAATTAAATGTGTTATGGAAACTGTTCTAGATAACCACTGATCCAGAAACTATTTTCTTTTTAGTACCCATGGGATATAATCAAAAATGCTCATGCTCTTGGTCTGCTGAATACACATATTCCGGAGGAATATGGTAATGTCTGTCACATGTGCTATAAATGCAATATAATAATCATAAAAACTCTAGTGCATAGAATTCATCAATTCATCCAAGTCAACATTTAAAATTGAGTTTCATAAAAAATCCAGGTGGTCTAGGACTTGGATCAACTGAAAGTTGTTTGATCACTGAAGAAATTGCTTATGCTTGTACTGGAATTCAGACTGCTATGGAGGGAAATGGATTAGCGGTATGTTAAGGGTATTACAATTCATCATCAATATTCCAAACAACCCATCATTTTTATTGTCTGCTAGAAACCTCCTTTCATGGGCTAGACTATCAAATGCACCGTGATTTCCAGTTTGGTTTATGGCATCATCCTCCTGAACCATACTAGTTGCATGCATATGGCCATGCAAACCTACTCACCCTCCTGTCAGAAATGCTACAGACTGTTAAAGAACGTATGTAGAAGATCTGTAGCTATGAAAATGATGTGTTTTTAGGAAGCTCCTGTGATTTTGGCTGGGAATCATGAACAGAAGAAGAAATATCTAACAAGAATGATTGAGGAACCTCTAATAGCTGTAAGGGCAGGATTTTTGCAATAATTGTTGCATGATACAGAATTTCCCTTAACATCAACACACATTCTGATACATCTTACTAACTGTTTTCTCTGTCAGGCTTACTGTGTAACTGAAGCAATAGCCGGCTCTGATGTGGCAGGAATTAAGACAAAGGCTGAAAAAAAGGGAGATCATGTATGTATAATGCTTAGTCATATATTATGAATTCCTGTTGTTATAAATGTGACAATATTTTATCTTCTTTTCACAGTATGTGCTGAATGGCCAGAAAATGTGGATTACAAATGGTGGCCATGCTAACTGGTATGTAACAATGGTGTGAACTATGCATAGGACAATGACAAGGAGACAAACTCCTTGACTTTGTGGTTCTCCATTATTTACATTTTTTAGTTTTATGCTGTGTAACTGTTATGCATGGGTACTTGCTACTTGCAAGTGAAGTTGTAAAACTATTACTAAACATTGAGCATTTAACAAGGATAGTAAAATGTAGAGGTGTGTGTTGAATGACATGATGGTCTTCAAAGGTTTCTGTTTTTAGACGTATCTCGCAACTTTACACTGTATCCTGTTTAGGTACTTTGTTCTCGCCAAAACAGATCCTAATGCTAAAGCCGGTCAAGCATTCTCAGGTTTTATTGTTGATCGTGATACTCCCGGCGTCTCTGTGGGAAGAAAGGAATGGAATATGGGTCAGAGGGCTTCTGATACCAGAGGTGTCAACTTTGAAGACGTTCTTGTGCCAAAAGAGGTAATAGAGACTGACATACGCATGTATAGTGAAATTATTTAAGGATATTTGCTGGAGACTATGCACCAGGGTGACTTAGCTATGCGCACCAAAGGTGTGAGCTTTCAGTGGCATACTGAAGGTTTGGGGGGTTGTGGAAAAAGTGAGAAGTGTCACAATCGATTCATATAAATTTTCAGTGCACAGACTCCAACACTCCTATTTGATGCTTATTTTAGAATTCAGTATATAGTTATGACTCGTAACTACAGAGTACAGATAGCGAATCAACAATCAATCGAGTGAAAGTCTTCTTTAAAATGACTTGGTTGAATATACGTCGAGTTGAATATACGGTCTATCTGCTAGATAGGGCTATCGGCTTTCGTACAATGGCTACTAATGTCGGAGCTCAGGATTTGTTCTTGTGTTATTTTCTGTAGAATCTCCTTGGCGCAGAAGGCTATGGTTTTAAGATTGCGATGGGAGCATTTGACAGGACGCGACCCCCGGTTGCATCAGGAGCTGTTGGGCTCGCACAGAGAGCGTTCGATGAAGCCACGAGATACGCATTGGAGAGAAAAACGATGGGGAAACCTATTGCTATGGTTTGTAACTTTTTTAGGGCTATATGATTGTAAAATATAGTCTTTCATTAGTAATTTTTAAATTAAAGAATTACACCACTACCTATGCAGAATTGCAGATGTACCAAAGATGTTGCAGGCAGATATATTTTGCCTGTTAACAACTTGTACGCATAGGCTGTTTGTATCTTCTTATCCTGGTTACCCAGTGGGCGGAAAATTGTCGGGCGTCAAATGTGTGACAGAATCAGTAAAAATTTTAGACCCAGGATTTTGAGATGTGGCTAAAACTATTTTATACTCTTTAGCACCAAGCTATTCAGTTTATGTTAGCTGATATGGCGATTGGAATTGAATCGTCCAGATTGACCGTGCTTAGAGCTGCTTATCAGATAGATCAGGTAAACCCATATCTGTTATAAAAGCTGTTAAATTCGTTGTTTTCTAGCTATTGGAAAGTTTGATCTCAATTTAGGGAATAAGGAACACATACTTTGCTTCAATAGCAAAATGTTTGGCTGGGGATGTCGCTAATAAGTGTGCAACTGATGCTGTTCAAGTGAGTGAAGTTAACAATTATTTTGAACTGAATTGTGAACGGCTATGCATAGTCTGTAGCTTTCGTAGGCGCTCGGCAAGACGCAAATTTCACGAGGAAGTGAAGAGGAGCCCCCATGAAAACCTATAGAATAACGTTAGTCTTGAATACTGAGATATTTGCGTGGAACCTCGGGAGCGGATGAGGCAGAAGAAAGGAGGCAAGGAGAAATAGGAGAGGGAATAAAAGGAGAAAAAGTAGGGGGGAAGAGGAAAGCGAAATTTAGGAGAGACGAAAGAGCGATAAGATTAGAGGGTGGCTCAGAAATGAAATTGAAAAGCAGATGCAACAGAGTAGATTCAGTAAAATGTAAGATGGAAGTAAGAAGGAATAGAGCGGAATGGAAGAAAAGAGGAAAAAGAGCAAGAATAAAACGAGGAGGAGGTCAACAAAAATGCGGATAAGAGGATACACGAAATGGGGGAGTGGGGAAAAGCGGTAGTCAAGTCCGTATGTGGGAAAAGTGGAAGTCATGTCCGTAAACATGTTTTTTTACATTTTGACCTTCTATACTTTTTAAAATACAATGTGTTGTCTGAATATCTAACAACATTAAGGTTCGCTCTGCTTTTAAATGAATATAAATGTGTTTTTGATTGGCCAAATTTGAAAGATTCGAAATTGCCCATTATGATGTTAGGGATCGGTTGTACGAAAGCCGGATAGTGATTTTTTCAATCGCTTTAAAATCGCCCGTTGTTTTCCAACGCTAAAATTTTGTTGGTCTCAAAGCATATTTTTTAATAGAACGGTTGAAAAAATCTCTATCCGGTGGGTAGGGCAATCCGGCTTTCATACAACTGGCTTCAGAAGAAAATAAAAAGAGGAACCAAGGGAAGAACAAAGGCAGGGCAAGGGGCAGGAATAAATAAAAGGGAAAAATAATTACCATACATGATTTATCAACCACAGTAACAGAAGATGTTTAGAGAAATTAGAGAGTTAGAGAAATTTGTTAGGAACTCATTTGCACATACTATTTTCAGATCTTTGGTGGAAATGGATTCAACTCAGAATATCCAGTTGAGAAACTTATGAGAGATGCTAAAATTTTCCAGGTAAATCTATATTAAACCCTAACAAAGTCTGCATTTACATGTCAGCTATAAAACAAAATGTAAGAAATTAATCAAACTGAACTTTGTTTAGTCCTAATAATTCCGTAATGTTTTAGATCTATGAAGGAACAGCACAAATCCAAAGAATGATTATTAGTCGCGAGATCTTTGAACAGGCAATGAAAGGTTAAGTTAAGGTTTTAGTTTCACAAACTCCATTTTGAATTGGCAGGAAATTTCCATATATTTCACAATATATACTGTACAATGTTTTGTCATATACTGTACATACTAGATCACACCAAGTATAGAATGTTTTTCAAACCAAATTTCTTCACAGAATATTCAATATTGCATACTCTAATATATTTACCCTAATTAGCACTGTTATGAATTGTTGAGGGGTAAAACCATGTATTCACTTACTGAAATTTTTAAATATAAAATCAACAGTAAACTAATATTTCAGATTTTTGTGACAACACTGATTGTAATTTGCAATATATTTAGTTTGATCCATCGCTACTCTAGTTTAGCGATAGCCCATAATTGCTATGGATTATATACCTGGTTGCTGTGAACTTATTAACTTCAATTCTAAGCATTTGATGTTAAAATATTTAAACACATACATCAGGAATGATTTCCAATTAATTGAGATCCATTTTGGTAAATGTGTATGCTCTGTACAACCATTAATTCTGTTTAGATTGGAATAAAATGCATGGCATCAAATAAAATACAAATATATATATGTATGAATCCAATAAATTAAATTTAATTAAATAAGTTCTTTGCTCTGTGGGCAAGATATATATTGATGAGGTAGGTAGATTTTCTACGCTTACTTATTTTAAGGCCACTTAAAGTGTATAAATAAGCACCCTGCTTTGGAAAGGTCAATTAAAGAATTGCTACTGTAAACCCTTAGCTTCCCAGAGTAATTTACAATGATTGCGCACACTGCTTTTCATTAGATAAATTTTGGATGTTTTTTTATAAATAATGTCTAAGCTCAGGATGGTGAGCCTAGCTCTTTAGGATCCCCTTGACTGTCTACCAGTGATTCTTTCATTTCTACATCATCATCATTTGATTTTGATCCACTTGGCCCTTGACCTCTACAAAATCATACAAAGGGTGGTTACCTTGCTTATGATGTAATTGTATGGACTAGACTTTTGGTGGTAAGCTAGCTGAGAGTCTAAAAGTTATCTTTTTCAATATTTATATATGGTAATGAGTAGAATTATATTTGAGATGAAACACTTAAAATCGGAGAGGTGTCATGTGTTTTAACTTTTAAGAATCTATAAATTTGATAATGATCTGATATCCTGCAGACATCATTTAGTAGTTAGGTATGTGATTTAAATTTTAAAGTTTGTACTTACTTTCTTCCAATAGCCATGACCCCGTATAAAGCTGCTGTTACCATCACTGCACCACTCCCAATAAAAGTTGACAGTTCACGGCACATTAAGAATGGAAGTAGTGCAAAACTATAAAACAAAATGTGAAAATTGGTACATGAATACAGCAATGCATTTGGCTTTCATATTGCAAAAATTAAATCCTATTGTAATCTTATTTTTTTTCAAAAAAGCTGTTTTACCAAAAATAGATAAAAGCTCTAATCCAGAATTTTAGATGCTCTTCAATCCATTTGCTCAACTTTGCAATTGCTTCAATTTTGAAACATAAAACAGGAGCTTCAAATGTTAATATAACTAATCCTGAGGTACTAAAAAGTAGAAAACATTTAGTATTAGTATCAACCAGGTATCTAGTGCCCTTTTGGAAAGGGCACCAGGAGCATATTTTATTTCAATATGATAGCACAATAATCTCTAGATTAATAAAATATAATAAATATGTTGTAACATACACCATAATAGCCCCAGCAGCAAGACATATAGGTGTAACTGTGATCATTACAAACACACCAAACCCAATACTCACTAAAAACAAAATAAGCCAATTATTACATCAAACCTCCACAGCTCTACATTTTTTAACTAAGTAAGGGTGGATTTCCACTTGCAGAGAAATGGTTTGCCAAGAAAATATTATTTAGACTTTTCACTGCATAAATAAATTAGTTCAACATGACTGTTCTCAATTCAAAGAAAATTTGCAAATATTTATAGACTAATCTTAATTAGCCAGAGTTACCACTTATCGCTTATAAATGAAATTGATTTTTCTCACAACATCAAGCACAGAAAACCCGAAATTACATAAAGTTTGATTGGCTTATGAAACAATCAAACTTTGTGTCACATATTTTTTAGAGTGAAAAAAAAGTCTATAAATGAGGGCTAGGTCAGTTAACTAGTTTTGGTTAAAAATAAAACAATGAAGCAACTTAAGCAACAGCTAGCTGTGCTCAAATTTGTCCCTTTCCTGTGCAATGGACAAAATTTTTAGAACATTTCAAATTCAAATATGGTGCTTTAGTATTAAACTTGGTCAGTGTGAACTGGAATTCGGAACGTTAAATATGGTAATTTATTCGCTTTAAGAGGAGACGTGGCCATAATCTTTATACCAAAAAATCATTCTGTCGTACAAATTGGAGTCATAAACACGCCACAAAACATCGCGTTTTTGGTACGTTGCCAACTGCGATTGCCATAAATATATTAAAAAACCACAGAATCATCAATTAAATTTAATAACTAATACTTTTAACATTTACCTACCGACTGCATTCATAATATACAAATATTAAACACGATCGTAAACAAACGATTTTTTGACCTCACGATTTTCACAAACATATTTACCAAAATATAAACTAATATTTGCCATTTTACAAGGGTAACACATTTATTCATACTTGATATGTCATAGAAGAAATGAAATACATTTCATACAGATGTTTTCAACGGGTAAATAATAAATTCTCTATTCAAAACAATGGCATACTGTCATGGAAAAAGTTTATCAAAATGTCAGTGATCAAAATTTGCACTTACAAAGAGCTGAGAACGCTCCCCATACTTTAACCATAAGCCTTATGGCACCAGGAACTTCTCCACTTTCACCGTTAGCCATTTAACCATAAAAATCTATCTATTTCATTGGAATAATGCATTAAAAAGATAAAACTCTATTCATTATCCATTTGGCGTGATTGAAATTGAATTGCAACCTTAAACAGGAAGTGACGTTTCTAGCTTCTACAACCAGCGGAAGTAAACAAACTGGTAAAGCAAAAGCATTAAAATTATGCAATTCCTGGAAAGTAATGAACGTATTTTGGCCCTTGATTTGCAACTAACCAAGTAAATTCCATGGGATTTGGGGGAATATTTTCATGAATTACAAAAAACATTCTGATTTTTTTTTATAACGATTTTGTTTATCTCATACTTAGTCCCCCTAAAATACAAACATTTGCGCGACATTTGGGCAGAATCAAAATCAATCAAAATCGTAGTTTCAAAAAGTAAAATAAAAGCTTGTTCGTTTCTATTTTTTGTCCGTATTCTACACCATGAGGGATGTTGAACTCAAAGCGCTTCGTGGAGACAGTAGCCTAAATATTAAAGTTACCAACACGACAGGAAAGGAGTACGAGTTGTGTCTATGTCCGACACAATCTGTACAAAACTTGAAGGAAAGGGTCTCTGGTGAGAATCCTAAAGATGGGGTACATTACAAACTATTGTCTATGAACTCGAATCGCATTTTAGACGAGAAAAAAACACTGGCCGAAGAAGGGATAAAGGATAATGGTGAGTGTAGCTTATGTATTATAAAAATTAATACTGTATCTCCATGTTAATAATAAGTGTTATCTCGAATTCTCGATATAATAATATTAAATGATTTTGGTTCATTTTGATATTGGTTTGATACCTAATCTTTAGATGAACTGTTGCTCGTAAAAAGACGTAAGCCAAGAAAACCAAGCAAAGTAAGAATCAATTGTATCAATTAAAACGATAATAATAAATAAATCCTCAGAAATCCGGTTCAGCACTTAACTAAATTAGTTTATGTTATTTGATGCTGGATGGCTGGGAAGAAATTCAGTGGTTACAACTGATGTTAAACTGAAACACAAGTAATGGTGTGATGCATCAGTACATTTCAAATAAATTATCTGCTGTAATACATAAATAGTCCCATTTCAACGTCTTTGTAAAAGTTGATACTACAAACAAAAACATTTCTTTGTTGTCACCAAGGATGAGCAAGTTTCTTCAAAAGGTCCTGATGCATCAAAAATTGACAAACTCACAGCAAGTACTGGAGAAGTCAAAGGAAATAAAGTCACAGATGTTGGTGCTGCCGCATTGCATTTTGATGTATGTTAATACACATTAGAAAACATCTATTAATACATATTATATGTTAGCATCAAATGTGGTGGTATAACAACTGCCTGAAATAGACAAAACACTTCTCGACATTTCGACCTGAGGGCCTTCGTCAGGAGAGTTAGTATTAAAATAAATAGGGGAGAATACAAGTTCTGTATGGGGGCAAAACACGTGGTAAAAATGGGCCAATAGAAAACAAAATAATGTTATATGTTAGTAAATAATTGAATTTTAGTAATTAGCAGAAAGGCTGCAAAATATTTGTACCATCAACTATTAAAATTGTGTGATGTTTGATAAGGGTACATCATTAGGTGGTATATTTGATGAAAATCTGTCAATTGAGATTATGTTGTGAAGTTAATACCAGGTTTTTGCTAAAGAAGTCTAGTTTGTTATCTTGAGGGTGCTTCTTGCATTTTTAACTGATTTAGACTATGTCTTTTAATTAGTTCAATCGCGAATTACAAAGAATTTTGATAACCCTAATTGATGCTGCTCATCTGGTACAGTTTGACAATGAAGATGAAGATGAGTCTACAAATTCAGGTAACACACATTAATCTAACTAGTGTATTACTGGGTGAGTGTATAAGAATTTTTCTTTCCATACACAAGTTGTTCCCAGGTATCTATAATAAATATTTAACCTTGTCAATGTAGAAAAAGTGGAATGTGTGAATCAGGAGCATCTTAAACAGTTAACAGAAATGGGATTCACAGAAACAAGAGCTATAAAAGCCCTCAGAATAAATCGGTAATTGTTCATGACTATGCAATTAAGTTATGTTGATAAATGCGGTAGTAAAGCTTTCTTCTAAACAACGACCACTCTGTTATACAGTATGTTTTTTTCAATACATCCTTTTTTTTGCAAGGAAACATTAAAAACAGTGAATAGGGAGATAAAATACCATGTTATTATGTACTATTTAGGAGTTTGTAACATGAAAAGTATAAGCATTTGGAACTGCCCATCATAGACATATTTGGAACTGCCCATCATAGACATATGAGCCCCCCCCCCCCCTATGACAGTCAGAAATATTAATTTGTCTGGTAATTTGTACTTAGTCAGGCAAATTTTTTTAATGCTTGAAATAAATTTTTGGTGCTTGTTGGGCAGACTATTATTTGCCCCCAAAATTTTTGGGTCTATATGGCAATGCTACCCATCACTATCAACATGCTTGCTGAAACCTATAAATGACTCAAGTACAATGTTTCATTGAACAGGCAGTCAGGTGTTGAAGGAGCTATGGAATGGCTGATACAACATGAATCAGATCCTGACATTGACCAACCATTGGAACCACAAGTTGGACATGAAACTGAGCCCAGTTCAAAGACTGCAACCAAATCACACAGTGGTAAACCACACTGGAGGAGAGAATTTGTCCCCAACAAAAAAGTGAGTGAAGTCTTTTGCAGTGTACAATATGTTGTAAAATTCAACCAAAAGTTTAGAACTATGCATGGTCCCCTTAAATGAAATTTCCTTTATATACTTGCAGGGCGTTGAAATGTTAAAAGACATGGGTTTCCCAGAAGAAGATGTTATCAAAGCTTTGAAAGCAACAGGAAATAATCAAAGAGCTGCAGTATGTTCATTTGTACCTTGTTATTGAGTTGTAGGATTAACACATATAACTAGATCTATTATGTAACATTACTGTTCCTCTCACACGGAATTATCTCATGTTAGAGAGAGTTAGACATATCTGGTTGAATTGCCAGATCATTGTTCAATAAACACACTAGTACTGGCAAATAGTTTTGTAAGCCCAATACTGGGAGTACTTTTACAAACAGGTCAAAAGATTGCCTGGACATTTAGTACAAAAATACCTATATATGTATTTTGACGGTATGGTTGAGGACTGGGACCACTGGGTCCACATTTGCACCTTAGCCAAGCTACCAGACCATATTGTAATCGTCTATTAACTATTATAATCTTATTGAAGTATTACAATCTTTGTTTGGCACTGTACAGTGCAATAATATAGCTCAGTGCCTGTAATGCAGTCAGGAGGGGTTATATGCATATATTCATGTTTATATATCATAGGAACAATATCGACAAGTGCGCATATCGCATTAGGGTATCATTTTCTACAATTAATCTTGCCAGCCAATGATAAGTTAGCTTTCTGGCGGTCTGGCCATAAACCACGTTCTTGCATGCAAACGTGAAACGGTTGTAGGGTTTGAATGACTATACTGTGATGGTAACAATACGCCCTCCTTTTAAAATACGTTGAGGAAAGTGATCTGATATCTCATGAGCCTCATGGGGTTAAAACCTATAGTAGAAAGGATTTCTTCTTTTAGTGTGACTGGCTACTTGGAGAAAGGCATGATGTTGTGGATGACAGTGATCCTGGATTGAATCCTGAAAGGTATGCTTGACCAGAATTGAAGCAGAGCAAGTTGCCGTGTTTTGATGAACAACCTGATTGACTTTTGTTTTTATAGTCCTCTTTATGCTGCAATAATGGAGAATCCAGGCGTACAGTTGAGCTTAACAAATCCCAGAATATTGGCAGGTATGTATGGTAGTATGCTTTAGGGACCGGTCCTTAACTTCAAGAGGGGGTCAGATTTTTTTGTACTAGAAAATATATAGCGTTGAATGTTGATTATGGTAGCTAGACTACCATATATAGATATATAGATATAGAGATATAAAAAATGAACTATAACGCGAGGGCTTGACATCAAGGAGGGACGGGGGTTAAATAGCTTACCATTCAGATCTGAACACCGTGTGTGCTTATTAATCATTGCCATTATTCGCCAGCTAGACGTGAACATGATGTGAGACACAAATGATGGCAATAATAGCTATCCCCCCCCACTAGATGTCCTACCCCCTGATGACGCACACCCTCCCCGATGACGCGCGGGAGCCTAAGCACTATCCATGATCCATCTAATCTAATACATTCACTGCTCTAATATCATGACGTCATCAGGTGCCTCGACAAAACAGAGTTATCATGCACCTGGAGTCATTTGTGTTACTAATAGCTCGACTAATAGTATAAAGAGCGCGAAATTAAAATTTTAAATTATAAATGCATAGAAATAAAAGAATTACTTAAAATTTACAATTGCCGAAGCTATATAAAAAGAAATTTTTGTCGAGGATCTGGTTGATTTTTTGTACTCAGATCGGCTGGATACCTAGTTAGCTCTTCAAGCGATGGGCAGTTGGAAGTACCCCACCCGGTGGAAGAGTTAAAACGCTATTTCGTGGCCGGTGTTAGTGAGTTATGATTAGTGGGCTGATCGAATCTTTCTCCGTTGTCTAGCTTTTCAAGAAATGTTAGAAAATCCCCACGCTAACGGACATTATATCACAGATCCTGAAACTGGACCTGTTCTCCTTCAAATATCACGTATTGTGCAAGGTTTCGCCAGATAGCATTATGTGTGATTTATGTCAAATACTAATTCAAACCTCTCGTTTTGTGAGCGTTTGTATTGTAAATTTCCTGCAGATATGAATTCTAATTTACCGGTTCTATGTATAAATAACACCAAGTATTTTGGAGTTGGGTGTTGTTTGTTACACTTCCTTTAGTTGCATGACATGAAAATACCCAGCAATCTAGGATTAACTTTTGCTGTCAATATGCAATATAGGTACAATTTAATTATCATTGAATATATCAAATCTGTACAGTAGTTTTCGCAAGATCGTCAACCCACCTCAAGACGAAATTGGTACTGGTCATAAATTCGTACTAACTTTTACGGGGTCTGATGAGTAATGCTGGTTTTTCACCAGCGATATTTTAGAATTTCGGTTGCACACATCGGGAACAAATTTCTCGAAGACAATTACTAATATTTACTATAAATTCGTTTCGAAACCGGCTTCAAACTAGCTCTGCGCTTTGTTCATGCTGTGAATACCTTTAAGTCCTTTATTTTCCTTTCTTACATATATGTGACGATGTGTAGTACGGTGGACGAAATTCAGACTGGTTCCAATTTTTTTGGGTGCCTGTGAACATAGTTGTTGTGGTATAGTAATTAGGGATCTTAAACGTTAATTGCCTATTGCCACATTATCTATCTTATTATTAATACGTGCATGCCATATGACATGTATCCTTTTGAAGGAATATTAAAATTTTGAATGAATATGAATGATTGTATAAAATTATAAATCAATTGTTGTTTTCCGGCACAACAGTCTCACTTCACGCAGAGTTATGAGATTTCCTTTTTTTATCAGTAGAAGGAAACTAGCCCACGTCGTAGACTTTGAACTCTGAGGAGGGAGGTCCACGACGACGACGTGGCTCACGCACGGTATTTATGGGATATCACGACTTGACTAAGTATTGTATTTCAAATTTTCAGTGGAATACGATAAGCAAACATCTCATAAACACCATAATCCTGCGTGGGTTAATTGCTATAGCCAGAGGCATAGAATGAAAAATGATCATCTTTAAAGTTTCCTAAATCGGAAACTTCAACCCCATTACGAAGCTCTCAGAATAAACCGTTATGAAATATGTACAAAATCAGTACGTCTAGTCCAGTGGTCTAGTTCTTACCACTGGTCCTTAGGCTTACTGAATACGGAATACGAGAGTAGAACATAAAGCTTTCAACAAAGCCTAAAAACATTAAACATTGAGGATTTTTAAGACTTTATACAAATCGTAACTGACAGGTTTGTAAAGCTCTCTTCTACAACAACAACAGCAACACTTCCATTTTACCTGGAAGCAATACAATTTTACCGGGATATTGCGGCAAAAATTATTCAGTATAGACAGCTGTGCCAATATGGCGGACTTATTACCTAATGCTACTGTTAGCCAATCAGAAGGCAGTATTTGGTGTTACATTGGAAAAATGCCTCCTTTGTTGTTCCTTGTTGTTTAGATGAGAAAATTTCCATAATGAATTGAAAAGAAGCTTTGGCCTGTTTAGAAATCTCCAACAGCGATCGGTCCATATGACGTAGGACATAAATATTAGTTTTGAAATAAAGATCACGAAGTACAAGTACATATAGAGGAGAAATATGTATATGCTGCAAAGATGAAACATTACCTATCGAATATTTTCTATATATCATTTTATTGACAAGCTGAAAGATTCCAGAACGCTGTGACGTTCTATTTTGCTTTCAGCATATACTAAATGCAACATGGAGTTTCTACTTCAGTTAAAAATGTTGTTATGGAAAAATTATACCTTGAAAAAGCGACGACCGGTAACGTATTGCGCATAGATACTTCTGTATTTTTTTAGTAAAACTATATATGTATATATAAGCCACGTAGCTGGTTGCACATATATTATCTATAAAATGACTTTTGTTTTTACTCTATTTTCTGTAGTTTGTTGTTGCTTTCGAAATCCTTATACCTTTAGTTTTGTTTATGGTATTGATGGGCATTCGTTTGCGACGACAGCCTACAGCAATAGACGAAAGTAAGTTTATATTCAGATTCTAAAGATAATTTTAATTTTGCGATTATACTCAACTCTGTGGCAAATATTTCAGTGTTTAAAATGAGTAATTAGCAGTAGTTTGTCGTTATTCTACCATGAACTAAACAATAAATTCACTAAAAGGCATTGGAAATATTTAGAGATTTGCCTACTATGAAAACTTGTGCTTTTTGTTTTGAATTGTTTTAAAATGTACACAATAGCCTCTAGGGTCTAGAGGCTATAGCCTCTAGTGTGTAAGATAGCGTTTTTATGTGTTGATCGTTTCTGATTTTAAAACAGTTAATTGCCTTTTATTTCATTCTTAAACCGTTTCTTTTTCGTTAAATACAAAGAATTTTTGTATAAGAATTCTCCAAATTCATATTGTTTTTTTTTATCCATGGATATATATGACAGGCCAAGATGCCAATTTATATTTTACTATTCAAACTAGAAAACAGCAGATCTATTCAAATAGCCTACATCCAGGCTATAATGTATGTGAATACAAATTTTCTGACTTGTTCCACAATTCTATATAGTCACACAGCCATATGGTACTGGTTGAGAAACCTTTAATTTTCCTGGAAGGCAATAAATTAATATGCAATGCCCAATCCTGTTATTTCTTTAGATTTAGTGGAGTATTATTAAAAAGAAAAAGTATAGAATATAGTTATAATATTTGCTATTTTTCCCAACATATGATGAGAAACATCTTAATTGAAAAACATGCATTGATATACATCCATTGATATTGACCGCATGAGAATAATCAATATTCAATTCAAGCAGCTGGAAACCCATATAATCATAAAAATCCTGCACAATGACTGATCCCGAAAGAATTTTGCATGGAAATCAGGCAGTGCAAAAATATATTTATGCATCCCAAAATTTGACCCCATGGTGCTCACATTAGAACAATGCTAGAATAAATTCTTTACAATTATAAAATGTAGCATCTAAAAAACTCATCTATGTGTTCTGATCTGGTGATCTGATCCTGTAACTTCTTATTGTTTGGAAATCCCAATAATGTACATGTAAAACATGAAATATCATATAATGTTTATCAGTGTGCTACATGCTGTAGATTACTATCTCTACAGCATGTTAGATATTTTTGGTGCAGATTATTATCTCTGTGTTAGATATATTTGCTGTCAAAGCATTACCTTCAGCTGGCATAATCCCGCTTCTTCAAATGTTCTGTCCAAACAAGACCCAAGACAAACATGGATTTCCAATTTTTCCTGAATCCAAGTAAGCAACTTTAGTTGTCATTCCTGCTCGATATTCTATGATAACTTAAGAGTTTCTTAAGAGTTCCCAGCCAACTTAAGAACAGCTCTTAAGAGTTGTGAACTTCCATCAACTGTTGTCTTTGTGTATGCAATTTGTTCTCTGTTCTTGTAGTCTTTCAAATAACCATCATTTAAACACCCCTTGTAAACTCTTATCAAATTGTATCCCTGTTAATCTGAAATTGTGTTCCTTGAATTCTTACATGTATTACTTCTATTATAGAACACAAGCTCTTTTAATGAACCTCACAATAATATTAAAAAATGTAGACAAGAACCATGGCAAACTTTCACTTCTGGAAGACAATGATCTTGATTATGATTATGATAAAGTTGTGGATGATTTACGCAAAAACAACACATTCACTGACAGAAATATTCCAGGTATAATTATTACAAAATCAGTTGTTCATATTGTGACCATGTTGTCAATTTTGGAGTACCTTTTCACCATCATCAATCGGGTCATGTCTATGTACCCTCTTTAACATGACCAAATTTATGCTCCCATTTTAAAAATATTGATTTTATCTATTTAGATTTCATTTTACAAGATATTTTAAAAGATCCAGATGATTTTAGAAATTTTTTAATAAAGAATTTATCAATGCCTGAAAACATGACACAGGCATTGCTAAATGCCACTGTGAATGGTAGCAAGGTACAACAGGATTTTTAAATTGAGTTTTATGGTCATGATTTGTAGGATTACACCTGGAGTAGGGTGAAAGTTGAAACAATCTAGGTGTGACCACATCAATTTTAATAAACACTATATATTGATGGCAGTGTTTCCACAATTTATTGTTCTGTTGTCATATGTGGATGAGTTTAGAGGAAAACATCAAGAACATTAATTAATGTTTACCCCTCCCTGCATTATGATGATCTTTGCAAGGTAATTTCCTTATATTGTGGAAGTTGTGTTTGATAGTTTGTTTTTTCCCAGGTGTTGGAAATACTTGACTCTCAGAAGTTAAAGCAGAATCCTGCTAAGTATCAAGAAAAGTTGGATAACTTACGCAGGAAATTATTGATGAAAGCAGCACTTGATTCAACTTTCTTGAACAATCCCTTGGCAGTGGGACAGACGGTTACTGATACTATGTACAAAGATGATGATCATGGCGATGTTGATGCCCTTCTGCTGGTACTGTATGCCATTTTTATTAAGTGTAAGGTTGATTATAGGCGTAGCTATACGAGTGCAAATATTAGTTCACATATTGAGTAGCAAAACAAATATGTATAACAGTGCAGGTGCAAGGGAGCAGGTAGCTGTACAACAAGTCCCATGCAGAGATGCTTAATACAACTGTTTTTAGTTGAGCATCCTCATTTACACCAACTGACCCCTAGGTTTTGCGCGAAGGCAAGTTATCACCCATTCCCCTTCATCCTGGGATTGACTGCTTGTATGTGACTATGCAATATGAACATTACTTTCAAATCTTCGTTTGAAAGGATAATTTCTACAGTCCCGAGAAATTAAGCGAGATATCTTGCAAAAAGGAAAAGTTCGACTCCCTCATTCAAACGAACGAAACACCCGAACGACAGGAAGAGTTGAGGAACTACATGTGTCATAATCTGACCAAAGAACAAAAATACAGTTTTTCTCGAGAACTACGGAACCAGATCAACAAGACTGTTGTATACAGGAAGGTAAGAAATTGTTTAACGATGATGACTCTCAAAACGCGAGAAAGTGTTTATCATGAAACATCAGGAAACGCAAGCCTTGGAACGCAAAAAGTTGATTTTGTTTGTATAATACGTACAGTCGTGGCAATACCCTTGTTGTGGGCGCTTTCATCTCAGTAAAGGCAGCAAAGAGACATTTTGTTATATAGACACTATAGACACATATTAAGACACTTACAGCTGGCATAATCCTCAAAGGGGAGCGTGGTTTCGAAAATTAGATTCATAGACATGGTTTTATTGCAATAAAGCTAGACTGATCGCTACACTTGGAATCACAGTTTCAATTCTAGTTGCATTTTAACCCCTGGTCAAGTCTATAAATGTTATTCAAACTATCTACATTCAATCTACAAGCATTTCCCCCAAAGCATATACCATTGTTTTCTATGCTTTCTAGTTTGGTGAAGGTTTTACTCATCCGAAGGGATCAAAGGTAGCGAAGCATTCTTCTAACACTTTATTTCTATTCTTGCTGCGAAGTAATTCAAACATTTGTTTTTGCAAATGAAACATAACAGTATGTATGTTCTTCAGTCTTTTCAGGATAAATATGGTCGACCAATTGCTTCACTGAAACGAAATGTATGTACATATTTTACGGCCGCGTATTGGCGATGCTATCTAGAAACCGCACTTTGTCTTGCTGCTTGAGTTGTCGGAAAGTCCGATGTTACAAAAAGCTTGATTGCCAATTAAACTTTGCCTATCATTAGACTTTTTGCATTCTTAACTCAACAGCAAGACATTTTTCCATCTATATATCATAAAGTAAAAGCGGTTTTCCACTCGGTGGAATTTTCCTACTTAACCAAATTTTTCACTTGAGTTTCTTTCCAAATATGTGAATTCCACCGTAGCGGGTTTCCTTGACTAGTGGCATAATTATTCAATCTTGGGTTTTAATAAGTCCGAAGATACAATCAGGAAACAAGTCACCAGGCTACTGCTAAAGTATGACATTGGTATATTTCAGCTTGAATTATTACGAGAAAACCAAGAAGTCCTCAACGCTGCCGTGGCGATTGCAAACATGCTGCAAATAAACGACTCTTCCAATGGAAACATTGATGAAAGTGATCTCAGAGAGAATGGCAATGTTCGCCTTGCAAAGAAGATATGGAAGGTAAGATTAATCATACCGTAATAATTTCATGTCGAGCAGATCCTAAACACACGAATTTAAGGGACATGTCGCAGACGTAGTGCTCGGAAACTTTCGTCCAATTGGATAATGCTTTTCTATGCTTTCGAAAGAACGAAGCTATGCTATTGGTTGAAACAGAAATGTATTGTAAAGTTCAGCCAATGAAAATCGTTCTTGCGGGGAGCTGCGACCCTACCCAGGGAATTTAATTCAGATGAGGATAGGGCGAGGATTAAGTATTAGATTAGGTTTATGGTTGGTTAAGGATAACCCTAATTCTAAATCCGATCCAACTTAATCACGAGAATTAAATTCGTGTATTTAGGATTTATTAAACATGGAATTATTACCGACTATACCACCATGCTATAATTGCTTGCAAGTGATGGTAGTGATGATGTTATCAATTTTAACGTTCCTTCGATTGTTTCAGGTAATCGGTCCAGTGTTGTGTGGTCCTGACATGACCGAGTATGAAAAAGATCCGTGCCCAGATGCGATGTATTACCATCCGTCAAACACTCGAGCTTTGGTTCTGATGTTGTACGTGATGACCAATAAACCTCTTATTCTGTACTCACCTCGTGGTCCGGCTGTCGACTCGATTGTTAAGAGGGTTAGTATGTGTATAAGTAGTTCCTAGACCAAAGTCCAAGGGGAAATAATGATCATGGGCAATGCAAGACACATCTAGAAATGGGAAAAATGAGCACACAGGGCATAACATGTTTCCAACCACAAAAGTTGACATGTTAGGAAAGTTTTCAACCCATGTCAGAAGAAATACTAATCAAGGCCTGGTCTCTTTCAATACCCGAATTGATATTAGGGACGGGAAACTCATCCCATCTCCCATCAAACTCACCCCTGTCAGCTCCTCTTCCGCCAAAAAGATTGAACTTGTTGTGTAATGTGTCAAAAAATGACGGAAAACATCATTTGCATTTGGTGAAAGATTGTATAGTCTAAAAATGCCCGAATAATCGATATCTCTTTTTAGGCTAACTGGTCTTTTCAAGCCGTAGCAGACAGTATAAGTGCCGGGCATTGGTGGCTTAGATATTCTAAAACGGCACAAATTACTATCAACTCGCCGAGTTTTACTTCCCGACTTAAATATCTGAAGTCTTTCTTCAGACTGTTGCATGACAGCAAATACGAAAGTAATTTTGTCGAAGACTTTGATGTTGTAAGCACAACCAGGAGACTGAAGTTCGCAGATCATGTCGTTCGAACATGGTTAAGTAAGATTGAGAATATTTCACTGGATGTATTTCTGGGCTTCAATACCTCGAGAGAATTGGATAATTTCATGGTGAACAGAAGTAGTATGCCGAGATATCATGGTCGAAAAATCGTCGCAGGTGAGAGTTCTTGCGCTATCAGAATCATTTCATTTTGCTTGCAGACTTCTACTGAATATTTTTTGCAATCGATTGTTCAAAACCGTAACAGCTGTCAGATGTGTATGATGAGCTGTCAAAAGATTGCAGAATGCGTATTCAGAAGAAAAATTGAACTTTTTAAATTTATTCAATAGTTTTCTTTTTGATAGCGATTCAGAAATACACAATTGTAAACCATGCAGTGATCAGATTTTCGGGTTGAAACTTCATAAACACCATTATTATTTTTTAGCGGTATAATTTTCAAACGATGCTTCATAGCAATTAAATACTTGTTATATTTTAGATTACAGTATGTACTTTCTCTATGTGTCTCAGCTAGTAAAAACATTTTTACGCGGTTACGTGGCCCTAAGTCTATTTCAAGTGTTTCTGCTTTCAATGTCTATCTCCTTCACAAAATCGCTAGCTAATACGGGCTCTTTATTGTAGGTATCGTCTTCACGAACATCGAACCAAATGGCACACTCCCACCGCATGTTGAATACAAGATTAGAATGAATAGTTCTTTCACACAAGACACTACTATCATAAGAAGCAACTATTGGCAGCCAGGGCCGGAATGCGAATATCAACCGTATTACTTTCATGGATTTGATTGGCTCCAAGATATATTCGACCGCGCTATTGTGGATGAACAAGTGAATGCTGGCGATAATCTTGCTCCTGCAACGTATCTACAGGAAATACCTTATCCTTGCTACATGAGTGATAGGTAGGTCTACGTGGTGAACATATGGTTGCTCTGAACTAGTGAACTAGCTCGTTATGAAGCAGTTCATTGGCTGGTCTGAACACGTTAACTATAGCTGGTTTCAACCATTGACCTCAAACTCGCTGGGTAAACTGTTGACCTGGCTACTCTGTGTCAATGAACTAGCTCGTATGGACCGGAGAACCATTATTTTAAAACGATGGTTCATAGCAAAATATTTGTTTTTTTAGACTATAGTATGTACTTTCTATGTGTCTCAGCTAGGAAAAAAATATGTAGACTAGGAGAGCGAAGGCTGCGCTGGCTTTTTTACTAGCTGGTATGGACTAGTGAACCAGTTCAGCTAATATAAACCAGTGGTTTCGACCAAAAATTGCTGGTCTGAACCAGTGACTTTAAAGTAGCTGATCAGAATCTGTAATTCACTTGTATGGACCAGTGAACCAGTTCAGCTAATATAAACCAGTGGTTTCGACCAAAAATTGCTGGTCTAAACCAGTGACCTTAAGTAGCTGGTCAGAATCTGTAATTCGCTGGTATGAACCAGTGAACTTTCTAGTTTTAACCTGTGAACTAGCTGGTAAAAGCCTGTGTTCTGAATTCGTTTTACTTTTGTAGTTTTATGTTCGTCATAAAACACATGGTACCGTTGTGTATGGTGATATCCTGGATCTATACTGTCGCAATTACAGTGCAGAATATTGTTTACGAGAAAGAACGGAGATTGAAAGAATTTATGAAAATGATGGGCTTGAGTAATATTGTGCATTGGATCGCTTGGTTCATTACTAGCCTATGCACCATTTCAATCACGGTCGCCCTCCTCACTGTCATATTGAAGGTTAGTCTCGGAATTTGGCTGAACCGAAAAAAATTTCTCCCAACAAAAAGTCAGTAATGGCCGTCCCCTAACACTTCTCATGAACGTTGCAAACACTGTTGTACCCCACTAAAAAAATTTGCACCCTATAGATGAACCTGAGAAGCTCATGCAGGTGTATATCTAATCAAATACAAGCACATGCATCTATACTATATGCCTATGAACATTTTTTTTGTTACAGTATGGTAAAATCCTGACATACAGCGATCCATTTCTGGTGTGGTTATTCCTTCTTGTCTTCGCGATCGCAACTATCGTATTCTGTTTCCTCATCAGCGTTTTCTTTTCGAAAGCAAAGCTCGCAGCCGCTTGTGGTGGAATTATATATTTTCTTACCTATATGCCATTTGTCTTCATCTCGATACGAGAAGACGCCGCAAAAGTTAAGCTGAGTGGACTGACAAAAAGTTTTGCAAGTTTATTCTCCACTACAGCTTTTGGTTTAGCTTCACGATACTTTGCCCTTTATGAGGAGCAGTCTATTGGAGTACAGTGGTCAAACATTGGGAAGAGCCCGGTATGTTGACAAGTTGTAGTAGGATATGGTTGTTCAGAGGCCGATTTCAGCTAACTCTGCATGGGTTAAATTTTAACCTGCTGTTTTTGTCTATGTATTTGTGGATGGCTGTTCTGCTCAAGACTTTGGAAACCAAGTCTCTATTAAACCAGGGCAAATTTCTATGGCAACCCGTTCAATTTGAAAAAAAAATGTTTGGAAAGTTTGATTTGTTGATCGGCATCAACCCGAGGTTGAGATAACCTGTTCTTGAACCACTGGCCCAGCTGGTAATGTATTTTAGATTTCGAAATAGATTTGTGCGAATGGCGGTTGTATAGTTTGCACTCTGGGTACGATGTTAAATTGTAGATTGCATAATCATATATTCGTCTTTTGCCCGGCTGCAAACAAAATTCGGACATTGTGTTTGATTTCATAGTTGAGCGCGCTACCAACACCCACCCAGTTCTCTTCCACGTGGATTTACCTTAATGCACTAGCCATTGTTATTTTATTCTATACTTCTAGCTTGATGGTGATGATTTCAACATTCGTAAAATATTTTACATGCTAATAGTAGACACGATACTCTACGCCATCCTGGTCTGGTATATCGAAGCTGTTCATCCGGGATCATATGGTCTGCCAAGACCCTGGTACTTTCCTTTACAAACCTCGTACTGGTTTGGACATAATACTCGATCGTGTCCGAAATTCACCCGGAATTACATGATGGTGAATGATGATGATGTGCCCCCCGGTGCAACCGGGATGTTGGCCTGTGAGAAAGATCCAACGAATTCCCCCTTGGGGGTAGTCATTGATGGTTTGGTCAAGGTGAGAAATTATGTATTAGGCCGCGGCTAAACGAGCGTTTTTTCTCTCTATGTATGATGTATTATTGAGTGAATTATGTACGCAGTTGTATAAACTTGCATGGCGAAGTTAAGTAGTACCACTCTGTTAAATTTACTCAGAAGTATACACCAGGGGCCAGCTGTTCGAAAGGTGTTTAGCTTAAACGGTGGATAAGTTCAAAATGGAAAACAAAATCATCCATTTGATTTTGTCATCTATCCGAACAACTGAGCTGAAATATCTCGATGTAAATAGTTTAATTGTCAATGGAAGTACATATTAAATGCATAAGATACAGGTTTAGTCATTCACAAGATCTATGAGAGTATTTTTTAATTTTACATGATCTTAATTTATCTTGTTAGGTTTACAAGTCGCGCTCAAAACCTGCAGTTAATCGCTTGACATTGAACCTATTCGAAGGTCAAATTACGTCATTCTTGGGTCACAATGGGGCGGGAAAGACGACAACAATGTCTCTATTGACAGGTCTATTTCCACCAACTCAAGGGACGGCTTACATCTATGGCAATGATATACGTTACGACATGGACGATATCAGAAAGAGTTTGGGATTTTGTCCTCAACATAACGTGTTGTTTGATAGGTCAGTTCACAAGTGCTTCACATTTGTTTGTTTGTTCTGTAGTTGACTGTTTTTGTTTACTTGTTTTGATGTAGGCTAACTGTGGAGGAACATCTCTGGTTTTATGCCAGATTGAAGGGAATGTCGTCTGGGCTGGTATGTGAAGAGGTTGACAAGTAAGTTGATAAATTAAAACATTTGTATGTATAGCAATATGATAGACTAACCAGGGGCCGGTTGTACGAAGGCTGGATAGCGCTATTCACGGGATAGTGATGTTTTCAACCGTTCTAAGAATTCTTGGAAAGCAATCAAATTTCTGCTTTGGAACTTACAATTGATTCAATTGATTTTAACGCTCCTCTCAGTGTAACTACCGCAGAAAACCTGTAAACATAAGTAACATTATTAATACATGCAGAATTACAATTCCAGCATAAGTCATTACTTTGCCCCAGATTTATATCATTGAGCCAAATTTCTGGTATTATTCAAGATAGTTCTAGTATCTAGTCTGACTCTGAAATATTTCCTCCTTTGTAAGATGCATGCAACGAAATAAACCTTAACAATATCTATTTAAAATTATTACTGTCGTTGGCAAGACTGCTTCCGCTAGAACCCAGTAATGGCTATTACCGATTGTTCTTGTACTCATCTGAAAGACGAACTACTGTTGCTGTACAGTCCTAACTGTCCCTTTTAGGTTGGTGATCGATTTAGGTCTGCCTGGTAAACGACACAGTCCTGTATACAGCCTGTCAGGAGGCATGAAACGAAAGTTATCAATTGCTGTTGCATTTGTTGCCAAGTCTCGTATGGTCATCCTGGACGAACCAACTGCTGGCGTGGATCCGTATGCTCGGAGAGCGATATGGGATTTGCTCATTAAGTATAAACAAGGTAGAGAAGAGCCTGATTATTATGACCATCGTTCTGTATGGTTCAGCGTGATTTTGTAATGGGGTTGCAAACCCTTACACGTGGCATTAAAAGAAAACTAGGGGAACAAGAATGACAATGCATGTGTCTTTAGGAGCCAAATATTGCAGCAAAATTGTTGTTTTTGTTTTAACGCAAAAATCATGGTTTTAAAATCTTGGTGTTGTTCTCCAGGATATCCATTCCCAAAATTAATTCAATCGTCTGCTGCTTTTTCGAATCAACATTGGATTTTATTTCCCATACAGATCGAACGATATTGTTATCAACTCACTTCATGGATGAGGCCGACGTTCTCGGCGACAGAATCGCTATAATCTCCGAAGGCAAACTACGGTGTGTTGGCTCATCTTTATTCCTAAAAAGTCATTTTGGCGATGGATATAATCTCTCTCTGGTAAAGAAAACATCTGGCAGCACTCAGAACTCGTTCTCCAACACACCCCAGGGGTCAGTCTCTAACCTAGGTATAATCCCACCTGCCAACACCCCCCAAGCAAGCACCCCACCTATCGTTATCCCTGGGAGCGCACCTTCTACTTCTTCGTTACCTGGAACACCTCCTAGTTTTGATAGTTTCTTGTCATCGAGCCTTGGTTCCAGTCCAAATATGTCTGCACTGTCTCCACTTGCTAAACTATCAAGGCAATCTCCTGGAGGTTTGTGGGTATTTTTTGATTAATATGTACCGAATGGGTTCATGACTCCTAAACTGTTAATTGTTTGTAGAAATATATAAAGCAACATAGCCTTATAGCCTTCTCCGCATCCCCTTAATTCGCTACGCCACTCCTCTTTACTACTGTACATTTCAGTAGTTATGTCCAATCTGCCATCCCATCTGGTTAATTTTACTGACTGTAAAATACAGTGAATCTGGCCCACTTTCCAATATTTTCATCAGTTACATAGATCCTTGAATTACCGAAAAGAGGTTTCGTAAGTTCTTGCAGCTGATCTTTAAATTTCTTCTACACTGTGAAAACCCAGAATCTATTTAATTTTTTTAAGCAATTTTTGTTCATTTTCAGGAAGTAATTTATCCATCGCGGAAGCAAGCACAGAAAATGTGACGTCGTTCGTTCAGAGTTACATTCCTTCTGCTAAGCTAATTCAGGAAACTCGTCAACAACTATCTTTCATCTTGCCCAATAACGTCGTTAAGAGAGATGGCTTTGGTAATTTCTTTTTTCACCTCGAGAAAAACTTAGAGACGCTTGGTTTGAAAAGTTTTGGCATCACCGAAACACCATTGGAAGAGGTAAAAACATTTCAATGTATGTCGTATTTCGTTAGCTAAGACTCATGAAATCATTTATGATCATTTACCAGGGTAACTAAGTATATGACACATAAATTTTTATGCATTTCCAGGTGTTTCTCAAAGTAACTGATATTTCTGGTCAGGACGAAACGGACTCCCTTGCTGATAGCCGTAACGATGACAACGATGAAGCGGTCATTGATGAACTACCTGGCAATCACATGACTAACAGTGTGATTGGGAACTCCACGGAGCCTGATGTGGAAATGATGGATGTTGCAGGTCATTCTGAGGCCGATTCATGGAATAAGCCACTGTTAGAGTTCAACCGTAGAGCACGGAATCAGATAGACGCCGGTAAGCTTTGCTGCTTTGGTCATATTAAATTCCTATGATCTGTAGGAAAAAACAGTCCCCCAAAAAGTAATCTATCATTGTTTTAAAAATAAGTGCATTTTATTTCCACTGCATAGCTCTATCAAGACTATCATCAATGTTAATCCCTTATTGATCAAATGTTAATCAACTATTGCCATTGTTTTATTATTTGAGATTGTTGTGTTTTTTCCAATAGTAAAATATCCATGCTATTACGAGCCAGCTTCTTCGTTTGAATTTTTTCTTCACATTTTGTGATTTATAGTTTTTGTGAAGCGAAGTCAACCTGTACCAATTTCTAGAACCTTTCAACCTCCTCAAACCCACAGCAACGGCATTCAAGCAAATAACATTAGCAACGGCTATAGAGACACCGAGGGAACTCATAACGAGGGATCTGGTTCCGGTAGTCATGTTGTCAGCGGTGCTCTGCTAAAATGGCAGCAATTCTATGGAATGATCGTAAAACGATTCTATCAAACAAGGCGAAATCTTAAAGGTCTGTTTTCGCAATTATTCCTGCCCTCATTCTTCATTACAATCGCAATGGTTTTTGCTCTATCCGTTCCCAAGCCCAAAGATGCTCCTCCTCTTCCGCTTAACACGCGAATGTTTGAAAGACCGAACTACGTGCCGTTTGCAAACGAGAATTCCAGCGATAATTTGGCAGTTGGCATGGAACAGACGCTCACACTTCCCTCGGGCATTGGTAGCTACTGTTATTTAAGAAATCCTTCAGACATTTTGGGGAACTGGAGCTATTCCTCCTATCCGTGCAAATCTGAGAAACCCGACGGTATGAGTGCTTTTAATGATCAATGCCGCGATATCCCAAATTCCGACGTACGGCTGTGTAAGAACGATACTCGCCACCATCATCGATATCCTACCGGGTCCTCGAATAAAGTGACGCATTGTTACTGCGAGCATAATAAACTGAAGTACGTGTGTCCAGTTGATATAACCCACCCAGTACCGAAGGAGATTATTCCTGCAACACTGGATACATTACGTAATGTTACTGGAAGAGATGTCTCCAAATATTTGTTGTATACAACGGAAAGTACCCGCATGGCAAGGTAAGCGAGGTTTAGCCGCACTAATATTTTATGACGTTTAATATATATGTATGTTTAAATACCATGAGAAGGGATGGATTTACTGAAGGGACGTGTAACTCTCCTAGCTAGGCCAGAGGGGATGCAGGAGGTGTGCAAATTTAGAAAACAGTTCAATATTTGGGAAATTATGTAAGGAAATTATAATTGATTAAGTGTACTTGGGGGTTTGTAATCCTATCTCAGGTTCTGATTATCTAGGCCGAACCATCTCATTTTTAAAATTTTTCAAACAAACATACATTCTAATGGACGGCCCTTATATCTGGTGCTTGACTCCACCCCATAGCCAGCGCCAGGCCTGCATCACGGCTACAAAACCGCACTGGATCTCCTAATGATTGTGTAGTCTGCTTTTGTGTTGGTTTCCTTTCCCCTCATTTGGTCGACTGTACGAATGCTCGATGTGCTATATATACATTTTGTCCTATTTCAACCTCATGCACTCTTTCTTAAGCTAGGGGGGCACACCCCTCGCGTCCCCTAATAGGTCCATCTCTGGTGTCCCATGCCATCTCAAATATGACACTGTTCATTTCAGGTATGGTGGTCTGGTGTTCGGGGAAAATGTTACGAGTATTCCTGCTGATTTCAGTAAATTTAAATGTGTGAATATTAATTGTGACACAGTCCAACGTTTAGGAGTCCGAAAAGCCGTGAAGGTATTTGCTTCAATCATTGTGTCTTCGCCTCCAATAACGATTTTCGGTTCTGTTATGAATCGTCTGCGATTTTTGGTACAATTATGAATGATCAATCGGAAGCATAAAGGCCCGTTTACACTTGCAATTTTTGCTGCGATTTTCCTCTTTTGGTAGATGTGGACAAGTAATTAGTTGCGAATGCTCTGATGTGAACAAAACTAATTCAAGAAAATCGCACATAAAATCGCAGCAAAAATTCCAAGTGTAAACTTGCCTTGATTCATCGGTACGTACTCTAATGCCTCGTGTTGAAAAACAACTTCATACACATTTCACGTTTTTGCAGGCGTTATATAACAACAAGGGATATCATTCACAACCCGTATATCTCAACGCTATCGATAACGCTATATTCAGATATTATTATGAAGGAAATCGCGGCGCTTATGGTAAGAAGATGCCATATTATATAGGGTGAATTATTCGTCCTTTCACACTGTTCTAAAATTTTCCCTCCCCTAGCCCCGTAATAATCCGAAAGTCCAAAGAACTCCGCCCTAGTTTCCATCGAGGAAAACATTGAAGTGAACTTTTGTCCCAAATATTATCTTTGTCATAGGTATTAGCGTGACAAACCATCCATTTAATAAATCTGGTGAACGACTTTCATGGGAATACAGGTACAACCTTGAAACAAAAAACGAAATTATTTGCAGTAACTTTTTCCTCTAAATAGTTTTTTATCTAAAGAAACGTTTGCTGAACTAGTTCCTCGTTTTCTTGATCAATTGTCTAATTTCCATTCTTTTTCGTTTGCCAGACGTTCCGGAACAAATGTTGTGATCGCAATATTTGTGATTGTTGCCATGTCCTTTGTTCCTGCTGGCTTTGTTGTATTCTTAGTAACTGAACGTTCAACCAGCTCAAAACATTTGCAGTTTGTTTGTGGCCTTGATCCTAAAATTTACTGGCTTTCTAATTACTTTTGGGATATGGTAAGTTGACGTTCAGGAAAAAAGAAAATCGGGGCTAATAAAACAACCTGATGTAAAACATTTTAGTTAAAAATATTATACTGAATCAGGTAAAAGTTGATTTTGCCCATGAGTTAAAAAGGGTTGGTGTTATCCCTATGTTATGTCCATTTCTTTTTCAGTGTAACTACCTCATTCCAGCTTCAGTATGTATAATAATATTGTACTTATTCCAAGTCCCTGCGTACGCCTCGACTACGAACTTTCCTGCCGTCATTGCTTTGTTTGTACTTTATGGGTAAGTATTTTGATATGTATCAGTATCATATATAGCTACATGACGTGGTGGGCAATCCAAACTTCTCTTCATGTTTGCAATCTTTCTTTGTATAGATGGTCCGTGACACCTCTCATGTATCCAGCATCTTTCTTTTTCAAAGTTCCAAGTACAGCTTTTGTTTTCATGATTGTTACAAATCTATTTCTCGGAATTACCACCACTGTTTCAACTTCAATACTCGAAATATTCGTGAACGACTCTGTAAGTTTATCATTGTAACTTATCCCAACTGGTTTGATTGGTCGAACTATTATTAACTTTATTTCATTAATCTCTCATTTTTTCAAGGTTCTCACGACGATCAACAAAGTTCTTAACATCGTGTCCCTCGCATTTCCAAATTACTGTCTAGGACGTGGCTTGATGAACTTGGCTTATAATGAATTGAAAAATGACTTCTATGTTCAAGTTGGTAGGTAGTTTATAGTGGTCCATTAAGGAGGTTATTTGAGGAGGCTGCAAGTACAGGATTCCTCGTGCATTTTCGCCTTTCCATGCATGCATCATGCACAGCACATTCATATTAATAATAATAATAATAATGCAGGGGTGAGTACTCTCGTGTAATTTGACCATAACGAAAAAGATGACAGCATGTACATTTTACTACAATGCATTGCAAGCATCAAGCATAAATGATTAACAAAGCATGAGAAGAAAATCACCTAGTACAACAAAGAAAATAACCTCCTTTCTCATATCTGTCCTTCAAAAAACTTCAATTCGCTTTTTTAAACGATTTCCGACCGCAGTGCATTCTGGTAAAATGTACATCTGGTAAAATGATCACAATCCCACGAGGGGGGAAATAAGTGCCACCAGGGGGGAAAATAAAATAAGTTTATTATAAAATACATGCAGCCCAGTGTATCAAGGATTTTGAGAAAACAAATGTATAAGACTACGGAAAGGAGGAAAAGAATCAAAGATCATTGAAGATTATAAAGAATATACACTGGTGCAATGTTTTAGGCCAGTCGTACGAAGTAAAATCTCCATTTGAGTGGTCAGTTGTCACAGAAAATCTCGTCTTCATGGCGGCCGAAGGAGTGGTGTTCTTTGCGTTGACTCTGCTGATTGAGTACAATTTCTTCCGAAAACCAAAGTAAGTGAAAAGATGATATATCCAGATGTAACTGCGTATCAAATTCTAACCCTTGTCTTAACTAGTCTCCCACATTTGCACTGAAAGAAAAAAAACTTAGGCGATGTTTTTGGAACATTTAGAAGTCTTCCTCGACCGTCAAATGAGCTTGAGGATGATGAAGATGTCGCCGAAGAGCGCGAAAGGGTTCTGTCGGGGGAGGCCGACGATGATCTTGTTTGTCTTAAGAACTTAACGAAGGTAAAACTAACTAGATTTGTACTGCATATAGCTCTAAGAATGGTAAGGACGGCGCTTCGCTCTACCTCTGAACTTCAGCTAGCTAGCGAAAAGTTCTAGAGCGGTGATTTGCAATTGTTGGTCATATTTACTAAGCTCGGCAGAAGCACATGGCTTCGTTGATCTCGCTAGCATGTAGCCTCTGCTGCAATCTAGTCAATCCAATCACAGCTTCTTCAACAAGGAACTCCGGCAGGAGCCATTTGCTGAAGTAGTGGGTTTCAAGTCCTGCCTATATTTATTAATTGCCAATTCATCTTTATTCCAGGTATATTTCTCTAAGAAGACTGGTAATCATTTAGCTGTTGACCGTTTATGTCTGGGCATTCAACAAGGCGAGGTAGGTTCAATCCAGGTCATCTGAAATGGCGGGAAAGGTCTAGGACTAGTTGTCAAATGAAAATCCATTTCTCGGTTGAAACAATCTAATATCTCTTTAATATACTTTATTTCGATTTAAAATTTGACATCCGAAGTCGTGTGTCCAGTTGTCAGAGCTATAGCTTTTATAACTAAACCATTGCAAAATTTTGTTCAGTAAGAATAACAGAAGATATAGTCGGTTAAATAATTCAGAATGGATTTCTATTTGACAGTCATTCTTAGTGGTGATTGGCTTAAATTTGAGCGCGAAATTGCCGGTATATCATCATTGAATACGAAATCTTGTGTTTAAACTCATGTTTGCTTTCAGTGTTTTGGCCTCCTGGGCGTCAACGGAGCTGGGAAAACCTCAACGTTTAAAATGCTAACTGGAGATACCTCAGTCACAAGTGGAGAGGCATTTCTCAACTCCTACAGGTAACAAAACTTTGTGTCTGCTGAATAGCATCGAAAATTTCACGGACGATTTTTTGGCTTAAAAATCTCCTAAAATCTAGCAACTTCGCTAAAAAATTCGATATTTTAACCTCCGTCCTTTTTTGTATTTCCTAAAATGCGGTTATTGAGTATTAGAAGGCAACTATAAGTACACTGGAAATTGACATCGCACTTTCTTGTTCGAATAATTTGTACTTAGAACAATCATTTTATGTCAAAATACCTCATGCGTGAACGTACATGTTTACTGTTGTTTGTTTGATCTTTGATGTAGCGTACGTGAGGATATCTTAAAAGTCCATCGTTGTATCGGATATTGCCCTCAGTTTGATGCTCTGATTGACGAGATGACAACTAGAGAACATTTGTTGCTCTATGCAAGACTACGCGGAGTTCCTCCTAAGGAACAGAGACAGGTTGGTGCGGACATGTCACACGTGTACAATTATCGACACACCTAATGGATGTTTGGTCTCTCCCTCCCCTCTTCCCCATTGGTTGTGCATGAATATGTTTCTCAGTGACTTGATAGTCCCTCATGCACAGAAGTTCAGTGAAGGTTGTCCCTCAAAGCCCTTTTTTGCGTTTAGTTCTCAGCTACCTACTTTAATACGATATCCTCTCGGGGTAGGTGTGAACAAGTTCGTGGCTTTTAAGTGTCTTTTACAAGTCAGTTTCTTTTCTCCATTTCAGGTTGTTGAATGGGCGATAAAGAAACTAAGTTTAACAAAGTTTGCTGACAAACCATCCAAGACTTTAAGTGGTGGTATGAAGAGAAAACTGTCCACTGCTATTGCTCTTATAGGCGATCCACCAATCATCTTCCTGGTAAGATTTTGCAGATTCGTTTCAAACCCCATAATTCAAGGGCGTTTACGAGGTCTTTCTTAAGATGTCATTGTTTTGCCAATGTAATATATTTAAGACTTTAATGCTCACACCTCTCTATATGGAAGTGAAATGTTCGGATACTTGCATGTCTTCGGATGCAAATATTCTGCGGTCTTTTTAATGCTTTGAAGGATAAAAAATTGACTGATATCGACAAGACTCTTCAATGTATAGTCGATTAGTTTAACAGTTTGCATACAACACTTCTTTTAGGACGAACCGACAACAGGCATGGATCCAAAAGCGCGACGTTTCTTATGGGACACTGTGATCAGTATCGTGAAGGAAGGTCGTTCTGTGGTCCTTACTTCACATAGGTTAGTGGTTGTTATAGTTAAGCAAATACCTTTGTCTGATCTCGTAACATTAGGGTAATAACTGATTACCGCAGCTAGACTTGAAAAAGGGCATTGGAAATGTTCCTATAATGTTTTGATTTGAACAGCCTGCTCAACACTAGAGCTTATGTGTGTTTTACAACAATAGATCGATTTCATAACTAATCCGCGGTAATATATTTGAAGTACTCCAGTTAATATAGTCTAGTTTAGCCGTTCTGATTAAACTAACATACGTGGGCAACACACTAGAATATTCGATTAAGGAAAACGTTGAATTTTCTTTCAGCATGGAGGAGTGCGAGGCACTGTGTACAAGACTGGCAATAATGGTTAACGGACAGTTTAAATGTTTGGGAAGTAGCCAGCACCTTAAGAACAGGTATAGTACTAAATATCATAGTCTGTTTCCAACTACAATGCGACATGGTTTGAACATAGTGATTAATCTTTTTTTAGATTTGGAAGTGGGTACATAATAACATTGAGAGTCAAAGGTGAAAATCCTGATCTTAACACGACGATGACTATCTTTAACGAAAATATGCCAAGTGTGACATTAAAGGTACAGTCTTTTGTGTTGATTCTTTTCTGTGGAGCTAGTCACATGTTTTAATCACATGCCATGCATGTTTATAGGAGAAGCATCATAACATGCTGCAGTATCATCTCCCGTCTGGCACGATGAAACTTTCCAAAGTGTTTGAAGTGATTGAAAACCATCAAGACCAATTACAAATTGAGGACTATTCTGTCAGCCAAACAACTCTTGATAATGTGAGTTTTCTAGAACAAGGGGATCGAGAGTGAAGGAAGTGGGACAGATGGGAGAGGGAGGTGTTGAGTTTGAGTGAGTGAGGGAAGGAAGGTGGCGCAAGCGAGGGGAGGGAGGTACCCAGAAGAAGATGGGATGACGAATCAACAAAAAAGTAAAAGGAAGCAAATTGTTGGTAGGGGGGAGGGGGAAGAGGGCGAGTAAGAAAGGACAGAAATACAGTGCTGTGACACAACAAAGGAAGGAAATTATGTGAAGAGGTATGGGAGGTAGAGACAGAGTGAGAAGAAAATTGGTGATATAATGCGGTTATGTAACGGAAAGTTATTCTTATTATCTTTGGATAAATTTCAGGTATTTATAAACTTTGCTCGACAACAAACAGATGAAGTGGAATTCAAAGATCACAGGGTACGCAAGAGGTCACGTGCCCTACGCAAGCTTCGACTGAGGCTCGGATTGCTAACACCTGGAAGACTGGTAACTAACAGAGACGACACAGTGAGGTTCACCTCTATTGCAGAAGTGGATGATATGGAAGATGAAAATTTTGAAGTCACTTTCTCCCGTAATGTAAGTAAACTCCAGTAATCACACATACAATACACATCCTCCTTTGGCTCCGTACATATGCTTGTTTCATTCCTTATTTACTTTGCCTATTTTTTCAGTCTCAACTTGCATTTTCATCCGGAGTGAATGCCTAAAAAGAACCTCTCAATAATGGAATATGTGTAATAAGCAATAATCTAGTATTTATTAGTGTGAATAAAGAGAAATTATTTCTCAACAGAGAATCGTTGTATATGCGTGGGTTCACATCAGGAGCCTGTGTAGAAATATGTTAATGATTGGTAATTTCGTTCTGCTGTCTTTCTGCCGTCTCATTATATTTTCGTATCACGTGCTGCCTAATCAAATGTATCTAATTTACTTATTAATTCGAATTTACTCTATTAGCTAATAGTATAGAGAAAAAGCTAATCATTACAATAAAATAGCGAACATGTTGCCATGTTGGTGCCGAACCCAACGATTGAAATGTGTTCCAAGTCCACCAACATGGCCGCCGCGTGTTAGACAAAATAAACATTAACGATGGGCAAAGGGTGGGAGGATTAATAGACCTTTCTCATAATGACGTCAGACGCGGAAAACCTGATGTTACATGAAGTTTGATTGACTCGTTAGTTTTGCGGAGCCAATCAAACTTCGTGTAACATCAAGCTTTCTGCGTTTGACGTCATTATGAGAAAGTTCTCTTACACAAGGTGTGTAGTGTATATTTGATATTGTTATAACTGTTGATTATTTCTGAAATACGGTTAGGTATTTGTTATTTATAGTATTACAGATCCTGTATTTACATTTGGGCTGAGAGCAGAGTATTTTATTGAAAATAAAATATATTTTTTAGAGTATAGCTAGACGAAACAAATATATGTAGTGGTCTTATGCTTGTCTTTTGTCTGTTTTTCTGATCTTGTTTCGTTATAACTGAAATTCTGTCTGGATGGTGACCTCGACAAATAGCATAGAAATTGATTATTTCATGGTGTACAGTGTGTATAAAAAAAATTCGAATCCAACTTTGACAAGCTGCTGTGTACAAAATACTAAAGTAAACGATATAATTTTTACATGGCAACAAAGATTAGCTTATTTAGTTTACGATTATACCGTTTTTTTATCGACACGACCAAAACTGGCCGAGTTATCGTCTTTTAAAAATTGTTGCTTGAAATCAAATTTTTCCGCCGATGGGAATTCGAAATGAGACAAAAGAAAATGTAAATTTAATTAATGGGGGCATTGTGTTCTTCAAACTTCTATCGTTGAACATTGAATAAGCAGAATTTTTGCGATATATTTGCGTTTTAGTTTTCAGTAATGATTAGATTTTAAAGCCCTTTGGGACTAATTTTCAATAAAACAAACGTCCAGTTCCCATCGGCGTGATTTTTATGAACTTTTTTTGTCGAACCAGTACTTCTTCATTTTCAGGGCCGTAGCTAGAAGCTTAATTGGGGGGTGAATATACATATATTCGTCTTATGCCCGAATGATTTCTTTTGTATTCTATTGTTCCTTTGGTATATAAACATGAATATATGAATATACACCCCCCCCCCCAATTAAGCGGTCTAGCTATGGCCCTGTTCATTTTTCAACTAAATTACACGTACAACGTGTCAATTGAAAGAGAAATAAATGAACTTAACAATAGTGTAAAAATCAACCAAATTTGTCAAATATATTTTGCATTATTACACGCAAAATTTCGATTCGAATTTTTTTTATACACCCTGTATAGTATTATTAGTAACTTATTTTTCGTATGATATAACGATCAATTCGAAATTGTAAGATGTCCCAAGGTGTCCCATCCTGATTTTCAGAGACTGAGAAATTAGAACAGGAAAATTATGAAAAAGGACAAGACATACCATCAGGGATGCCGAAGCTGGAGGGGTCGACAAGCCTTTCGAAGGTGAAGTTTCGTCAGGCAGGCCAAAGGTTATGCACTTCTGCTTGCTGAAATGTTGCAGTATTTGCAGGCATTGCAGCACTCGCTGTTAATAACTAACCTCATCTTCAACCACCATAAATCAATAGACAATTTATTAAAATGCAAAAAAATACATCCTAAAAAGAACGTTTTGTAAACGTAAATGTTTTTTCTAACTAACAACAGATTCAAGCCCGATTTACACCACGCGCAATTTAAGGTTAAAGTACGGATGAAATTTGGACTATCTATTTAGGTAGTCCAAATTTCATCATTCCCAATTTTACCAAAACTGAAATTAAACATAGTGCAAACGGATTAAATTGGTACGGTTGAAATTTGGCAGTTTAAAATTTAACCTATACCATTTTTTCGGTACCGTACCAAAAATTGTGCGTAAATGGGGCTTCCGGATGACAGGATATTCCCCAATTTCTACATGAAGTATTATTCGTTTTGTACATTACCCATACTGCACGTGGGGTGGTGTTCACACTTTATTTCTAAACTGAGCAAAAACATTGAAAGTATTTTGCTATTTTGTTATCTATAAGGCTAAAATCGTCGGGATACTTACATAAATACCTAACACAGTTATGGCCAGTGATATAACGGCGGAGAACAAAGCCAAAAGCCTTCCTGAAGAGAAATCTCCACTGCCTAGTTCAACGACTTTGCAGAATGCAGTGCCAACTAATTCGACCCCGAGTCAAAACAACCCAACGAATAACAGTACAGCAACGAGCAAACCAAGCACCGATTCGAAGGTATTCAGGATCTAAATATTGGATATCTATACATTAGTATTTATAAATTTTGGATGTTTTTGTTTCATAATTTCTCAAACTGTTGCTCTCTCAACACGTGTCTGTTGTCGTTTGCACGAGAGTGGACAGATACTGATTGATATATTGTTTATTATCATGAAAAACTGTCAGATATGTCTTGCCCCATTTCATTCTAGTCAGTGGTCATGTGTGATTAGTTTCATGATAACTCTCCAAGCTTTTACAAACCTTCAAGACTTAAGTGATTTTGACAATTGACACATTGATGCTTTGTTCCAAAAAATACAGCATGAAATGGACAAAGTTAGCATGTTGTGCATAGTGCTTTACTATTTTGCCAAGTAAAGAGATGTGTATGAACTTACACATTAATATTCCTTATTGAAGAAACCAAACTATGTGATCAAGTACACTTTAGCTGGTCATACAAAGGCTATTTCCTCTGTGAAGTTCAGCCCATGTGGAGAATGGCTTGCTACCTCATGTAAGTATAATTTGCTCACCTAAATTATAGTTATACTACTGATAGTATGTATAAGTATATTTTACCAATCATTGTATTACCACCATTCCTACCAAGGTAACATGTGGTTATTTTTCTAGCTGCAGACAAAATGATCAAAATATGGGGAGCATATGATGGCAAATTTGAGAAAACTGTTTCTGGTCACAAATTGGTAGGTGGTCTGAATTTTTTTCTTTAGAGTACCAAGGTCACTTCTAAGTGCCAAGGCCAATTACTGAGTAATATTTTGTATGCCTACCTAGGGTATATCTGATGTGGCTTGGTCATCGGATTCAAAGCTATTGGTTTCCGCATCTGATGATAAGACATTAAAAATTTGGGAATTCTCCACAGTATGTCTTAAAATCATTCTCTAAATGCATCCTCAGTTTAGTCATATATCTTTATTCAATCAATTTCATTCTTTGTAGGCACGATGTTTAAAAACTCTCAAAGGACATAGTAATTACGTATTTTGTTGTAATTTCAACCCACAATCAAATCTCATTGTCTCTGGATCTGTAAGTATATGATTTGTGAAGAGTATGCTGATAATGTAAGTAATGTTATCCATATTTTCGTTTATAAAATTATGAATTTCTGTTTTGTACAGTTTGATGAAAGTGTTCGTATCTGGGATGTGAAAACTGGGAAATGCTTGAAGACTTTGCCAGCTCATTCAGATCCTGTTACTGCTGTAAGTTTGAGGGAGTGACAATGTACTTTCATTTTTTCCTGTGTGTTCTAAATGGATGCCTTAAGTAATTGAAAGCTGATCAGCCTTTCAAATATGAAGAATTGTCCTTTTGTGTAGGTTCATTTCAATAGGGATGGGGCACTAATAGTATCCAGTAGCTATGATGGCTTATGGTAAGTTTCCAAAGGAATATGCTTACCTCATAGGTAACAGGGGTCTAACTTACCTCAAAAATTAAGCTCATTCCAACTTTAAGCTCATTTATTTCTAATAATTTTAGCCGTATTTGGGACACAGCATCTGGACAATGCCTTAAAACACTGATAGGTTTGTTAACACCTCTGTTTTTTCAGTGAATATTGTTAGAAAAGATATATGAGAGTCATTTTGTATTCAAATGTTTTTTAGATGATAATAATCCCCCAGTTTCATTTGTAAAATTTTCTCCAAATGGAAAATATATATTGGCTGCAACACTAGACAAGTAAGTATCATATAAAAATTATTCCAATGTACATTTAATGGACAATTAGAATTTAGACTTTGAATCATATTCACATTATTGTGGCTAATCTGTGTCCATATTTCTGTAGTACATTAAAACTTTGGGACTACAGTAAGGGAAAGGTGAGAAGTAAAATTTATCTTTATGTGGTCTAATGCTAGAAAATTTCACTGTTTTATTAATACCTTATTTTCTTTTAGTGTTTAAAAACTTACACAGGACATAAAAATGAAAAATATTGTGTCTTTGCAAACTTTTCAGTGACTGGAGGAAAGGTGAGCAATTGGCATCATGTTCCTAATGTATTTTATCTAAATTTTATCATTTTTACCTGTATTTTAGTGGATTGTGTCAGGGTCGGAGGACAACATGGTCTATATATGGAATTTGCAATCCAAAGAAGTAGTACAAACACTTGCTGGGCACACAGGTGAAATATTTGCAGCTTTTTCTTAAGTAATTTTGTAACTCCAAGAATGGTTACTAATCTATCTTGATGTTTTAAATAATGCTATCGTCATTGGGGACAATTAACAATTAGTCGCCGAAGGCGAGGTGATTACAACCCTATATTCACTAAGCCGAAGGCGAAGTGAATATAGGCTTGTAATCACCGAGCCTGAGGCGACTAATTGTTTTAGTATAATTTCAGTATTGAAAAAGTTTTATTTTTAAATACAACTGATTTATGTTCTCAATTTCTGCTTCCGAAATTTTTCCAAAACGATTTTGAGTTTTTTCAGCCATGTTTTTTGGGGGAAAAGCAATAGTTACTGCTCAGACTGCTCTGAGCAGTAACTATTGCCTCATAGTTACTGCTGAAGGAGCCAATCAGAATGCTCAAAGGTCATTTTTCAATACTGAAATTATACTAATTCCACTTAGAAATACAAAGCATGTATATAGTACAAGATCCAATGCAATATGACATCTGTTGTCAGAGGCTAAAAATTATGAGTTTCGTGAGGTCTTCAAGTTTCTCAGCTTCACATATTTTGGTCAAAGCTCATAGTTTTTAAATAGGCAACCTTTTTTTAAATTAGCTTCATCTTATTGCAGATGTTGTACTATGCTGTGCCTGTCATCCCACAGAAAACATCATTGCTTCTGGAGCATTAGAGAATGACAAAACTATTAAAATTTGGAAGTCAGATATATGACAGCTCTGTGATCCAACTGATTTTCGTACATACACTGTGTAACAGTGGACACACAGGCTAACAATTCCAGCTGCCTTATTCAAAAGTAGAAGGAAAATTGTATAGTAATAATTCAAAACAACTCCTTTCTAATATAACATATGGCATAAGGGTTTTAGAAAAGGAATGAAATGATTATGAGACTCAGCTTGTCAGCTTGATGGAATTGTAAAATTCTGAAACAACATGCTGCTTGCAATATGAAAGCTTGCATCAAGCACTGGAAACATTTGATATAATTTTGTATCAAGAGAGCAAACATATCATGTAAAAAGTAATATTTTGTAAAATATTAAAGAACTTTTCACCCAATATTTTGTAGAGCTTGAGATAATGCAGGTAATTATTACCTGTACCCTGTATGAGTATTGCTATTTTATTTACGAAATACTAATCGTGCCATTTAATTAGACAACGTCACTCCAGTCGCCAAAAGCAAACTAGAGGGCAGTAGCAGAAGTCGAGGGACAATTAATGCTCTATTATATGAAGTACCGCGAAATCTTTTAATGTCCAATTTCAATGCAATCGTGTCATTTGTGGCGAAATATTTCTATCAGAAACACCTTATTTGCTTCTCAGTTTCGCGTGATTTTAAAGGGAAAGGAATATAGATACTTGAGAACAGCTTTTAGTTGTTCAGGTATGGAAAAGAAAGCAGCGGAGAGTCAAGCTGAGGCGGGGAGCGGTGGGGAGGTCGTGAAGAGTGCCAGTCAGTTAAAGAAAGATGCTAAAAGACTGGAAAAATTGGAGAAATTCAAAAAGAAGAAAGAAGCGCAAGAAGCTGAGAAGAAAAACCAGGGAGAAGTTAGTGTCATACTGCCAATATTTGAAATTTATAGTGTACATATTGCATTTTGACCTCTATTGTAGTTATGTACAGTAATAGAATAAATTAAATCTTAAGAACACGTGATCTTTAAAGGCTTCTTTCAAAGTTTTTATTCTGAAATCCCGTATAAGAACTCTGAATAAAGTTGTGATAAACACACCCTCTGAGTGTGAAAATGACTTATCACCGCAGCGTAATTCCACATATTAAACACACATAATTTCTTGCATTGTTAGTAATGTCTGGAAAGACTGGAATGAGGATTAGCTAAGAATTAAAAGCATGCCATTATACTGATTATAGTATAACTATCCATGATTGAAGAATGTTGAGAGGCCACATGAGAGGCTTGTAAAACACTAGACTCACTAGACTATGTAATAAACAGTCATCTATCATATTTTTGCTGCTTTTTTAAAAAGTGATTGTTTTAATGATTTCCAAAAAAAACTTTGTATAACAGATAAAATAATTGCACCACCAATGATACCACCAAGAGGAACATGTCTTCCACCACATACTGCAACAAATGCATATACTTTGTTAATTGAAGGCTTCTTTATCATGATATCATCGTTTTAGAAAAAGAAAGACAAGAAGAAAAAAGAAGATACGAAAAAAGTAATTTCTTATGATAAGAACACTGCTCCTGGTGATAAGAAAGGTACAACCATTATATCAAACACCAATTTGCAAGTCTAGAATTACCATTAAAAAGGCTGGTCATGATGTGGATTAAGTTAAGGCTGTTAGTATTGATTGCATAAAAGGCAATTGCTGAATACAATTAAAATACAACTGGACAATAAAATAAGACTTGATGTTAAGAGATCTTCACTTAGTAATTCAGAGACTTTCATAAACCCCAATGGTTATTTTTCCCTCTCTAAAAATGTCAGTTTTATGTGCTACTGCACTAAATTAACATTGATAAAGTATTTAGTATTCACACAATAAGCAACGTTGCATATCATTAAATGCATTAGATTTACATGAACAATTATATCTATTTGCTGACCCCTTTTATTAATTTTTTGTTACTATCTTTCATTCAAGTTCTCTTGTTTTTGGAAAAATGACCAGAAAACTCTCAAAATACATATAATAAGTATCTGTATAATGAACTAATTTTTAAGATATATCTGGGAATATGCCAGACAGTTACAGTCCAAAGTATGTGGAGGCCGCTTGGTATTCATGGTGGGAAAAACAGGTAATTGTTTAAAAGAGATTGTTAGCTTTACATTGGATCTTTAAATCTTACAAGGAATTTTACCCAAATTCAATTATATTTATTCAGGGATTTTTCAAACCAGAATATAATGTAAGTGTGAATTACTCATTATCATAAAATATTACAATCCAGTACATCAAATAGTTGTATGTGCAGTTGTATCACACTATTCAATCAGTGTATATGTTTTTCACATGCTATTTTCTGCTGTAGCTAGATTTAAGCCAACCAAATCCCAATGGAAATTTTACGATTGTCATCCCTCCTCCAAATGTGACTGGATCACTGCATGTTGGCCATGCCCTGACAAGTGCTGTTGAAGATTGCTTAACTCGCTGGTAAGTTGGATGGTGCCTTGTGCCCAGATTAGGACCGCAAGGGAATTTTTAATAAGTCATGACAGACACCCTATTTTGTGTGAAGAATGGACTGCTTTTGATGTTCTGATTTCTTTTTTGAAGCCTTTATAGCTTACGTTTACCTACGTGCTTTGACCTGGTCCAGGCCAGATCTAGCCCTCTAGTGTAAACGCGGCTTTGATAGCAGCGTTTGTATTTTATTCCAGGCATCGTCAGCAGGGTAAAACAACTCTTTGGGTACCAGGATGTGATCATGCTGGCATTGCTACGCAGGTTGTTGTTGAAAAGAGGTTGAAGAGAGAGAAGAATCTCTCAAGGCACGACTTAGGACGAGAAAATTTTGTCAATGAGATTTGGAAATGGAAAAATGAGTATGTACATACATGTACACCTTAGGTTATCTGCTAGTTTCTGTGGATAATTTATGCTAAGCTGTGTCTTTCTATCGTCCAGAAAAGGTCACAAGATTTACGATCAACAGAAACGTATGGGTGTCTCAACAGACTGGGACCGAGAGAGCTTCACGATGAGTGAGAAATTATCGCGTGCTGTTGTTGAGGCGTTTGTGCGGCTTCACGATGAAGGTTTGATATATCGCAGCAAGAGATTGGTGAACTGGTCTTGTGCATTAAACTCAGCTATCTCTGATATCGAGGTACTTTACGTGAATATTTCAACAAAATACTACGCTCTAGTTAGTCCTTGCACATCAATAGTTTTCTACTATTTTTTGAGCATTTTACGCTTGCAATTTTCCGATTTTTGTGCGATTTTTTCCTTTTGATGGTTAAACGAAGGCTATTAAAGACAAAAATCCACCTAAAAAATGGCACTCTGTGAGTTCAATTCCAAAATACCAATTGTCGTTTCGCCAGGTTGACAAGAAAGAGATCTCGGGACGCACATTACTTCCTGTGCCGGGTTATGAAGAAAAGGTCGAGTTTGGTGTTCTGGTGCATTTTGCTTACCCACTAGAAGACAGTGATGTGAAGTTGATCGTCGCAACCACCAGAATTGAGACAATGCTTGGTGATACTGCGATCGCCGTGCATCCTAATGATCCCAAGTATAAGGTCAGTTTTAGAAAGACAAGATCACTGTGTTCAGCACCAGTTTTGAGTGTGTTTATAGTTAAGAACCAACTTTATTAAAAGCAACACAACAGTGTTCACCCGTTGGTATGAAACTGAAAGCACTCTTCATGTACTCAAGTAATTGATGAACACATGAAAAAATAAAAGACAAAACTAATGCAAGTTGATCAATAATATTCAGCTTCCGGCAACATATATTTTAAACATGTATTTCCGAAGTAAACTATTTTCTCTTTTCTTGCGTCGAGTACGTCATGGTATTTACACGATGTGGTAACAACACGAGAGTGAGAAATGAAAGTTACAGGCCCGTTAAAACGAAATTTGTATCGGGGGGAAGCAATGAACAAGAAGTGCGAAACCATGATTTTTTCTTGTTCTTTAGCATCTTCATGGAAAGGTTGCCCTGCATCCATTTTGTGGTCGTAAGCTTCAAATTGTATGTGATGAAACTGTAGATCCTGAATTTGGCACAGGTAGAATGTTTGTTGATAAGCAAACGGACCAATAGGACAAATTTGACCAATCTTATTTAAAGAGATTCAGTTGGCTAGTAAAATACTGACAGGGATTAGTCACAGCGCACCGTAAGCTGCTTTATTCACTCCGGTCCAAGATTGTCATTTTGATGTATGAAAATGAGTGCTGATACATTTAATAAAGGTGCTGTGAAGATCACTCCTGCGCATGATCACAACGATTACGAGATTGGCGTAAGACATAACCTAAGATTTATTTCCATGATGGATGATGATGGCAATATTTGTGACGTCGGGGATTTCCTCCCGGAATTCAAACGCTATATAGTGAGTATTGTAAAATATTTTAGCCTTGCTCGCGGATTATCTACTATTTGGGGAGGTGGACAAACATATTATGACGAGAGGTTGCCTTGGATGCTCTTTTCTATCAGCGAAATTCATGAATTCTTCTGTTATGTCACTAGTCAGCCTTTCAGCGCACGTTTCTGTTAAAACCACATACACTGTACATGTTTTCAAAATGAAATACGTGTTTTTGTCCACGTATTTGTAAATACATGTTTGATTTTACAGTTCTGCCAAACTTCTACGGACACCAAAGTCTTCCCCCATCCCCCACCCTTCTGATATTATTCCAACATACTAATGGCGATATTTTCTAGGGTTTACAACGTTTCGTAGCTCGTAAGATTGTTTTAGAAGATTTAAAAACTAAAGGACTGTACATTAAGACGGATGATAACGCCATGGTAATTCCTGTTTGTAGGTACGGACTATCGATGTATATAGGGCTACTTATATTCTGATAACGAGTTCCGCTAGCATGCAAACCCGTATGTTTTCTGCGTCAGTGCAGAGCTAAAGACCATTCGTTGCAATTGATAACTTTTTGTTAATTCATTCAACTAAGATATACTTAATGTACTGTTCATTTTGCCTGGGCTGTTGATTGGGTACCGTAACCTGAATTTATATTTTTGCTATATACACTGTATTTCCACCATTGAATGGTGTCCTCCGTATTGAAAAGTGTCCTTAATATTGAATTGGGTCCTCCATTTCATACTCAACCTTATATAGGGAAATCCTCTGCAGGTTTTTTGCTACTCTGCCGAAGTAGTTACTATTTTCAGTTCTTTTTTAGTCGATCAAAAGATATTGTCGAACCTCTGATTAAACCACAATGGTATGTCAACTGTCAAGACATGGCTGCGGACGCTGTCAAGGTTTGTGGTGATAGAATTTGTTTATTGCAGCCAGGGAAAAATATATTTTGACAAGTTTAGTTGAAAGCTTATTTCGTCTTATGTGGGTTTAGATCAGGCACGGGAAACAGACGAATCGTTTCATGCATGCGTATAAAGGGCGACATATGCATGAGGAAGAATAGTTGTGTACTATCAAGAGCCATGCATGCATAGCCAATGTAAATTCTCCGGCTGTAATTCTTCTGAATAGCTCGAAATACACTAATAAACATAGATTCGTTTGGTGGAAAAGCGGTAATATTTCAATTATGTTAGATTGCTAGGAAAGAAAGGTACGTTTCGAAAGTTGAAGTAAATAAATGATTTTGTTGCAGATGGTGCGTGAAGGGGAATTAAAAATAATTCCATCCATGCATGAAAAAACGTGGTACAAATGGATGGAGAATTGTAGGTAGGTATTCAAATACGCACGTGTCCTCTGAGATTTCTGTACAGTGACCGCGGAAGATCATTAGGTGGGAAAATATTTATATATTCACGTTAGGCATCATTAGTTTATTTTTGAATTGATTGTTTTTACGGTCTGTAAACATGAGCATATATAAATGCCCGCAAACACCCCCCCCCGCCATTTAACGATCTTCCGCGGCCCCTGTCCCTGTAATCTTCTCTATAGATAAAGGGGGGGTATTCAAATATTCTTGTTCTACATTATTTCTTAATTCCATATTGATTGTTTTTGCGGTAAATAAACATAAATGTATTGATATCTCCTCTCTACTTATCGATGTTGCTTCGTCGCTGGATGACATCAATGATATTTGTGGTCAGTATCATGCAATGTATAAGACGATGTCGTTAAATTTATAGAGATTGGTGTATATCTCGTCAGTTGTGGTGGGGACATCGTATTCCTGCGTATTACGTCATTGTTGAAGGCGCGCAAGTACCTCTGGACTCGGTATGATATTATTTATTTTCCAGTAGATGATTCTTGTTCTTACCAAAGTTAGAACGGCCTTGCGGCAGGCCCAGGGGCGGAATTCGATCCTAAACCATCTCAAGAAGTTGAGATTATTTAGTTCTCTTCTGCACTCTGACCGTTTCTTTCCGATTACATCACCCTGTGTGTTTTTTCAAGACTATCCTGCATTCAGTCACGTTCATTTCAGTGTGTTAAACATGAACATAATCTTTTTTCAGGATTTGAACGATAAATATTGGGTTAGGTGAGAGTTTGTACTGTAGACCCTTGCTTTCCGAAATTCATCTTGTTTGAGCTGTGACAAACTATATTACGCCTCATCGTACATAACGAATTACAAAGCTGCAATATTTGCGTTATTTTTAGCGGTTTAAGTGAAGAGATAGCAAAAGAGAAAGCCGCTGAACGCTTTGGTGTTTCAAAAGACAAGATCTCGTTACGCCAAGATGCTGATGTACTTGATACGTGGTTCTCGTCTGCTATGTTCCCTTTCTCAGTATTTGGATGGCCTGATAATGTAAGTACCAAGATATGTACGTATTCCTTTGTCAAGTGTGTTGATTTTAATGGTGTGCAATATTTAGGTTGATATTTAGGTAAAGCTTGAACGAAAAGATTCCTCATGGAGCGTTTATATGCACTAGTATGACATCATAGTGTGATATGTATGACTTCATGACATAACTTGTATGACATCATCGAGAAATATCATGTTGTGACATCATAGTAAGCAGTATTTAACTAGACATTTAGGTAAAGTTTGAACGAAAAGATTCCTCACGGAGTGTGTATATGCACTAGTATGACATCATAGTGTGATATGTATGACTTCATGACAAGACTTTATTGACTTGCATGACATCGCAACGCCTTCTGACGTGATGGGTATCCCCTTCTCTCGTTTGCAAATCCTTTCCTGGTCGTCGTGTGATGTGTTCTCCATGTTTTACTCATTTCAGACAGACGACTTGAAATCATTTTATCCAACGACCTTACTAGAAACCGGTCATGATATTCTCTTCTTTTGGGTCGCAAGGATGGTGATGATGGGTCGAAGATTAACTGGAAAGTTGCCTTTTACGGAGGTAAAGTCTGGTTTGGAAAAGATGAAAACTTTAAACCGACTCCAAAACATAACCAATTTTGTTTCTCGTTAATCGCATTTCTCAGTCGTTTAGTGTGTAGCCTGCTCTGTTTTAAACCATTGTCATCATTTATTAGCCATTATCAGTACTATATTAAGAAGACTTCCGTCTTCTCTTCCGTCTATCAGAGAAAATATTATTTGCACAACTGACTACTGACAAGGTTGTTTTGTACCGACGGTACCAATTCTATTGTTTAAAACGAAGTGTACCTTATGGAGTTGTGTGATGGATTTGATACCAAAGCAGGTTATACCCCTCGCCCTCTATCTTTGGTGAACCGAAGCCAGTTCTTTTAAATAGCTGAATAACCTTTTTGTTGCACATAAACACCCCCCGCCCCCCCCCCCCCGCCGTATGAAGGATACAAAGACTCAAGAATTGTATACCTACATGCACACGCTTAAAATCCTAACCCACAACCAAACTAATCGCTTGTCATCAGGGCCGCAACTAGTTCGCTTAATTGGGGAGGAGGGGGTATGCATATTCATATATTCATGTTTACATACTGAAGGAGCAAAAGAATTCCAGGGAAATCAATGCACTCCCTTTCCTAGTTAAGCTTTTAGAAACGGCCTCAGTGTGTCATCAGTGCCAGTATTGCTTTTCTGTATTCCAGGTATTCCTTCATGCTATGGTGCGAGATGCTCATGGTCGAAAAATGAGTAAATCTCTTGGCAACGTTATTGATCCTGTTGATATTATTGAAGGAATCACATTAGAGGTTTGTAAACTGTTTTTCGTCCGGATCACCAACAATAGACATATAAATCATATCATTGTCTCCACATATTCTGTTGTTGTGAATCTATGTTCTGTTATTTTTTATGCAGGACTTGCATAAAACGCTCCATACTGGAAATCTCGACTCCAAAGAAATTGCCACGGCTATGAAAGGCCAGAAACAAGATTATCCAAACGGTATTCCAGAATGTGGAACGGATGCGTTGCGATTTGCCCTGTGTGCTTATACTGCCCAAGGTAAAAAAAACTTGATAAAAACCATGCACATGTTCACATTACTATTCTGAATACAGCCTATAATATCTAGGATACGTTTTTGTCACCCATTTGACAACATCCTGCGGACCCTGAGTGCTAGGTTCTAGGAATGGGCAATCAATGCTATAATGAGTTATTTGTTGTTAGGTCGAGATATTAACCTGGACGTGTTACGTGTCCAAGGATATCGACATTTCTGCAACAAACTTTGGAATGCTACAAAGTTTGCTTTGAATGGTCTTGGTGCTGAATTTATACCTAATGAAAAACCAAAGGTGAATACTTATTATAACTTACCTTAATGAAAGTTTGTCGTAATGTTTTTGTCTAAGTTGTCCATATTAGTAATTCAAATTGCGATTGCCTAGATTCAGTTGTAAAAAAGGGGCTGTTTATATACTATAGATGATCTGTTCGGCTTAATTTTAGGGTGTTTTAAACACATTCTATGGGATTGGGGAAGACTCGATAAACAATATCTTAGAACTGGTAGACATCCTCGTTCCTAGGTTTTTCGCGAAAAACGTGGGAACGAGGATAGGAACTGGTAGACTGCTTTAAGGCCTTGTTACACGGTGCAATTTATCTTGCAACTTGCAATGCTATTCTTTTTTGGAGAGATTTAAATTTGGCAACTACCGAACTTTTGTACAATCCATGGCGTTTCTTAAATTTACATTTTTAAGCCTTTTCACTAATTTACATATCTTAAAAGTAGAATTGCATTGTAAGTTGCAAGAAAAATTGCACCGTATAACATGGCCTTTAGTTTTAGTCATCAATAATCAGAAAGTCATTGTTAAATTCTGCAACACGTTTTTCTACCCAAGTTATGTGGGAACGAGAGTCTGGTTGATCTATGGATCCTGAGCCGTTTATCATCAGCTGAAGCGACCTCAAATGCTGGCTTTAAAGAGTACGACTTTCCTTCCAGTACTACAGCAATATATAACTTCTGGCTTTATGAACTATGTGATATATATTTGGTATGTACGGGTAATTTCTGCATCATTTGCATTGCTCGAATCAATATAAACAAATGATTGTTCCATTCTTTGCCTATTTAAGTTTTTTATTGATAAATGAATATATTAAGAATGAATTAGAAACTGGCTGACTAAAAAGCTTGGGCGTATATTATTATATAACATAGCATGTCCTAATCAGATACTTGAACACAGCTTGTTCCGCTCCTTCGGGCAAGCGCGAATCTTAGGCGCTTCAACGTATAACAAAACGAAATTCAACTAAAAAAAGCTTTATTAAACATGAAATTCGTGATGTAAAAAGGAGTGCTCACTGAGGCGCGAGCCAAAACGAAATAAAAATCATGAACAACAATCCCACCTCGTATTGACCAATTAATTCGCAGGAAAAAGGGCGCGAAAACGGAAATTACTTAAATATACAAAGGGCCCTAAAGGCCAGGACACAGTTAAAAACCTTACTGAAGAGCACACGATGCTCCACATTTGAAATGCAGACAGTCTGTCACTCAGGAGGATTTTCTCAGGAAGAAATCCCTGAAATATCCCCTGAAAGAAATTGCAGTCCATGTTTTTTTTACCTTGTTTGCGATGATGAGGTAATGCACTCCTAGAAGAATTTGAACCGCTTCATTCAAATAAGCTAAGCGGTCATGCACTAGTCTAGCTAATATAGTTTGGTCAACCTTTTAACTGGGGGTATTCTAACGCTGTTAGGTGAAATTGACAGACGATGAACATCATTTTCTTTCTGTAGGAATATTTGAAACCAGTTCTTCAAAGTAACAACCAAGAGGAGATAAACACCGCAAGAAATGTGTTGTACACATGTTTAGAGCAAGGATTGATACTTCTTAGTCCATATATGCCGTTCATTACTGAAGAATTGTTTCAAAGGTTACCAAGGCGTTCAGCTAATGAGCCCCCAAGTATATCTGTTACACCCTATCCTAACAATGTAAGTATCTTTGCTGGATGATGTGTTCTCGTTGTTATATTGCGGTGTACAAATATCGTAACTACGTTGTTGTGTGATTTGATTGTTTTGCACAATGTAATTATGCTGTAGCAGTTTAAGGCAAGGTGGACAGTTTTTTTGGAGAGAAAACTTCTGTATCGACATATGTGTCAATATAAAATTGTGTAGAGAATGTTTCCAAAGTATCCACATTTGAACATTGTCACATGATTTCATTGTCTGGGGAGTTTCCGATTATGCTATTTTAGAAGCTCTTTGGGTGCATTTCTAGCATTGTCTCGGGCAATTTTGTTAATAAACTGTTTTGCACCCCGTAAATCAACAGGGCATTCTTTGCCACCCCTAGCTTGCCCCTGCTGGTAAAACGAAAAGGAGGCAGCTTTCTTGTCTACCCCTTTAGTCCCGGCACCCAGGTAATTGTATCCCATATTTTCCAGCTTCCTTGGCGAGACGAAGGACTTGAGGAGAATTTGGATCTCTCAATGGGTATTGTACGAACGATACGATCAATTCGACAGGAATACATGTTGAATAAGACGAAAGCGGATGGTAAGTGATTTGTCTAAGTGCAGAGAGATTGACCCTATCGATGATTACCTCACAAATACGTAAAAAATTTCATTGCAAGCTTCAGCAAAAATCTTGATTTAGATGGCCTTTATTGAAGCACGAAAATTACACTAAAATTCAACTTTCGTTATAGTGTATCTAACGTTTAGTAACAAGAAAAACGCAGAACTAATCAAGCCACTCACCAGCCTCATTGCGACGTTAAGTTTATCCAGCAAGTGAGTCTTTTCTTCTTTAAATTCTTTATATTCTCAAAGTAGGTAGTGTATTTATATCTTTATAAATATTTCTAGTGTTCATTTCTTGGAAAACGACAGTGCACCTACTGGTTGTGCGATTGGGACGTATTTGGACAAATGTGAAATTAACGTTATGCTAAAGGTTAGTTGTGAGCTGGTGTGATGATATCATCGTTGAAAGGAAGGGTAAAGACGTATTTTGCATTTTCTGAATAATCTCTAGGGCCTAATTGATCTAAATAAAGAAATCACAAAGTTAGAAAATAAGGAGAAACGTCTTGATGCTCAACTTGAGAAACTTCTTAGTTCGATGAAAGTTCCAGATTATGAAACAAAGGTGGGTGTAAATCTTTTATAGAACAATCCCGGCTCATTCATACAAATTGTATGCCAAAAACCCATGGAATAGGGCTTATGAAAAGAAAACAGTAAGTAACTTTTCGTGGCCTTATATCTTCTGACTAGATCCCTGAGAATGTTAGAAAACAAAATGCTGAGAAGGTTAGTTTATATTTATCACAAAATTATAAATTGTATTGCAATTTATTACTTATTTATTTCGTATAATTTTATAGGTCACTCAAGTGGAGACAGAATTAGAAAATATCAAAAAAGCGCTAAAAAATTTAAAACTATCATAAATTTTTAATTCCATTTCGCATGGCATATCATTCCTTAATATAAGCCAAGAGATATGAATATTTAAACAATAAAATAATAATTATTTTTTAAAATTGCTTATAGAAAAGACCAACGAAAAAACTTCAGGTAGAATGGTAGATGACTTCCTAATCTAGCTACTTTTTGTCACTTTAATATTGTTATTACATCGAACGTATGGCATCTGACTGAATGGCATCAATATATTAGGGGTAACATGACGTATCGTTTTAAATATCGCGGCAAATAATTTTTAAAAAAATCTTTAAAATTTTTGGTTAAAATTTCTGGTTAATTGGTCAAATAAATACGAACGGTCAGTGTTGTGAAGCCTGCAATGTTAGTAGATAAATAAATGGAATGGCTGCTTTAAGTAACTCCGTCTTTTGTACACCAGATCTAGAATTGATAAAATTTTACGTAAGGCAAGCAGTTCAAAAAAGCAGCTTCAAATGCGTGCAAATCCTTGATGAAAGTCAAAAACAGGTTGAAGATTTTATAGTTCCTGCCATTCAGCAGTGTATAACGGATTCTTCGACTTCGGGGAATTGGAAAGACGAGAAATCTCATGTTTTGTTGAAAATCCATGGTTGGCTTTTTTTGTCATGGATGACAACAAAATTGGGAAATAATTCAAGTGAATTGTTTATTCCAATTGGGACCATGTTTTATCTTGATGTTCTGACAGCCTGTTCACTTGAAAAATATTTGATACAGGTATATTTTCAAGTATTACTATTAGTTGCAGTATTAGATTTACTTAACCAATTATCTGTTGTTTCTAAGTTACCTTATTAGCAGGTGACCTCCATCCTTTTTTATCCTGAAGGATGATGCCAAGTGTGTGGTAGCATCTCTTGATCTGTAGTTTAAATAGGATTTGTATTGGCATGTTGCATATTTTTTCCACATGGAAAGGAAGAGCCAACCCATCTGGGGTTAGGACAAAAATCACCCCATTGATCCCATTTGTTTTTACCCCCTACTTCTTGAATGGTGACAGCAACCTACTGAAAGAACATTTCTTGCATTGGGGGCCCTTAAGCACTCTAGACCCTAGGTAAAAAGCCCATCCTGTTGGCCTTGTTTTATTTAGAGATTAACCTTTACAATGTTCATTGTGTCATTTTAGTCCTTGTCCAATGTAACCAGTGAAACTACAGAAGTATTGATACAAGATATTGTGATGTATAATGAAATTTGTGGTATGAAATACGAGAATTTGATGTTGCAACTTGTTGCCCAATGTCTGACTCAGATTGATGGTCTTGGTGAAATGTTTTCCCCTGTGTTGAACTATAAACCTTGCCACATTTTAACACAAATTGTAAAGAATGTCCAACATCAGCAAGTTAATGTGTTATCTCAACTATATGACAAATTGAATACACTTTTTACACAGTTAAAAAAAAGTTCAATGCAGAATCTACACAGTGTTTTTAGAAAGAGAATGAACATTATTGAGTTTAATGAAGTCTTAGAGAATTTTACAAGAAACATTGAACAGAATAAGTCATCTGGGAGGATGAAATACATGCCAAAAATTTCAGCAGAAATGACATACAACCAGCATCTCAATGACAAGAGATATGACATCATAAGAACTATTGTTTGTCTAGTGTCTTCCATGAACGTAATTATTACAGTTCAGTTGAGGTGGCTCTTTACCTGGCAGTCAAATGAGAGTGGCAATGAAGTGATAGAAACAATCGAAAATGAAGTGCTTCATAGTGCGTTTTTTGACATATTTACATTGTGTAAATCTTTACAAGCATTACTTATGGAAGGAGACATGTTGTGCAATGAATTGCAAGTTATCATAGATATATTGGAGCCATGTTATGAAAAATATTCAACACCCAAAGACACGTCCAAAACTGGTTTAATTTTCGGCCAAGTAGCAATTAGCAATGACATTACGGCTGAAACAGGTAATTGTAGAAATTTGTATTTGACTGCTTGATTTGACTCTTAATCTTAATCGAATTAATCTTAAATATCTATTTTCTAGTTCTTTTCAATCACTAGTCTATCCATTTTTATTCAAAATCCCTCACTCATTGACTATTTCATAGTTTTATTGAAAGATATATTGTGCACAGATGATAATGCATCATGCATGCCACTGTTTTGAGTTCCATTGTTCTGGCTTGATGTGTCATTAGTAGAAACTTGTTTCTATTACATAATGAGTGTCTGAGGGATGATGAAGATTTTCATGATGAAGGTGGTTTGCAATTTTTCTAGAAACACTAACAAGTGGAACTTTAGAAGAGAAACTACAACATGCACTATTTCAGATTGATGAGAGTCTCTCAGATGATGAAGCCTGTTTTGAATGGTTATTAGTGACAGAAGAGCTTTATACAGATGAAAGATGGTTAACTTGTATTGTGACTCATGCCAGATCATTTGTTTCAATCAAGATAGTTAAAATGATGCTCGATGTCTTGTCAATGCTTCAGGAATTTGACATCACCCATGGAGGTGTCCATTCACATATTTATAGCACCCTAAAGAAGGTTGGTCATGTTGCAGAATACAGTAGTTGCAGAATACAGTACTATAGACAACTAAATCATTGGGGATTTTGACGTCGTTCACACCTCGGCTCCGAGGTTTCAGGTCTTGTGAACCAAATCTACATATCAAGATACAACAACCAGTAGCGTAGTCAGCCTGACGATTTGTCCCGCTACGCTAATATTTTCGTGTTCGTTCACTGTGAAAACAATAAATTTCTAATGAAATAAATCATTATATTAACTGGAAATTTACGTAGCGGGACAAAATCGTCAGGCTGGCTACGCCACTACTAGCTACCTCATAATGGGGCTTAGTAGAATTTTTCTCTGCAAAGATATAAACCAATGCTTTAAAGTTTTAGGGCCTTATATCGTATTAAAATGCATACGTTGTAACATAAATTGTTCGCGGCATTTATTTTACTATAAGTCTATAACTATAAGTTAATTCATTTAAAGAAGTCGTTTGGGCGTTTTCTCGCTGTCTTTGATGCCTTAAATCCTGTTTTATGGTTGCAGGTCATTCTAAAAGCTGTTGTACGTCCTCCATTTTTTGGTGAATGAAACATTAAAATAAACTTTCTTTGCGTTTAGGTAATCCTGGACTTGTTGCCCAATTTGATTCTTCATGAACAAAAAGAAGTAATCCTCTACAACTTTGATTTGATCTGTCTTCACTTCACTGATTCGTATCAACGTCACTCGTTGTTTCTTCTTCCTGGCGATGAAGCAAGCCAAAATACAATAAAAACTATTCTCACTGCGACCATGAACAAGCTCGTAAACAAATCAAGTCAAAGGTTCACTAAAGATGTTATGAATGGCATTATTCAAGGATGTTTATACGCGCCCTATCTTACGTTGAGAGAATTGGTCACTGGAGCGTCGAAACATAACGGTTATGAAAGGGTTGTGTGTAAGGTAAAGACCTACCTACCGCTTGATGATTTTTGTTGTGATATGGCAAGCTATGGTTTGCCGTCCAAACTATATATAAGGCTGCCCAGCGCTGATGCCTGTCACTTTTTATAGCGTCTATAAATTGAACATGACGTTCCCAATAAGTATTATAGGTAGAACTCGACAAGGTCACTGTGCTCAGCATGTTTTATAAACCTGTTTTGATTTTGGACACCGGTGCTGGACACTCAGTCTGAACGCAGCCTAAGTATTAGAACTGCATGCATGGATTATGGATACAGTGAGCCGTCTATCTTGTATTGTTCGAAATATTTTTATAGTGAAGTTCCGGTGCAGATACTAACAGTATTATTGGTTTGTGTCTAAACTTCCTGAAAAAGATACCCCAATCGTGAAGGTCCAGTGTAGATAATAATTCCAAAATTATCTTTCTTCGCAGCTTCTGCAAATGATGCCGTGGTATGTTGGTCTTTATCATAAAGATGAGGACAGTCTAATCATTCAGGTCTTACGTGATGTCATATCTTCACTCTCCAGTAAGAAACAAGAAGAACAGTATTTAAAATTAATTGAAGAGTTAACGCAGGTACTGGCATAGATTGCCAAAAATCGCCGATATAATGTTTCGCACTTGATTTTATAACAAAAACACATCCATTGGTATTGACATTCCCGGTGCTCTCGCTACGATTTTAGTTGCGGTTTTATGTTTTCAGTGTTAAGTATTCCAAGAGACCGCCCAGAGAAGGGGGCAATTTGCCCCAGGCCCCAGGGTTTCAAGGGCCCCCAAAATGCTACAAGAATAAAAATATTGTTGGAAGTATATAGTCTTCTTTCAAAAAAGGTTTTAGGGTATTTATAATTCAGGTAATGCAAAATATATTTGATATTGCAAAAATATCACCCCCAAAAGTGCTCTGAAGGTTCGGGTCATGCATTATCACATTACGGTAGTACAAATTTACATGAACTAATTACTATGGACGTTTTTTTGCTGTGGATTTTGGGCCCCTAATAAGAATTTTGCCCCGGGCCCCAAAAATTCTCTGGGCGGCCCTGAAACCAAGTACTAAGTAGCGAAGAAAAGGAGGCTCTAGCTCGTTTTTAATTATATACGAATGTAAATGTCATACAATTCTACTTTTTTAACCTCCTCGCTATGAGTAAAGACACCAAAAACTCTGCCTTCTCCATATTTTAGCCTTACATACATCCAGATTTTGGGACGAAGGAACCACCATTAGTGCCAGCCGCTCAAATATACAAAGACTTAGTCACACCATTATTAACAAGCGAAGATGATGATGTCATTTCTCCTATCTTTGTACTGAATATGTTAATGAAATGTCTTTCCTGTGGTCTGATCTCTACGGGTAATCAGTCGCACTGGATTCTCGATCAAGAACCTTTGCAACTATTGTTTATTTTGTTGGAAATGTACCAAGATTGCGAGCAGTTTTGGAACGACTGGGTGATGAATTCGAGGTGTGTTAATTATCGTTCCTTTATATAGACCTTTATATAGACGTCACATTAGGCATCTCTGGAGGACAACTCTTAATGATTATGACGTCAGTGCAATGGGTCTATCGGGACCTCCAATGATATCCTGCAATGATATCCACCCATACCCCCTAGTATTGCTCCATAATTCCACACGAATGCTCTGCGACTGCACAGCACTCCAACTGCACAACTACACTTCCTAAGTCCCCCCCCCCCTCTGCACCATCACAGGGTCGATTCCCGCCTCTAGTTAAATTTTCGCAGCTGTTCCTAGTTAGCTAGTCAAACTTTAAAATTTAAAGCCTGTCCGAAAAAATAATATCACAAATCATATCAGTGTCCGCGGTGAGGAACGCGCTCTGAGCATTAATTAACTACTTACGTTTCTTGATCGTAGAGACGACGAGATGGTGGGGAATGATGTCGCGTTGGATGAAGCGTGGACCGAGATGAACGTTGTTTTGAAAATTGTTGAAGAATTTCTGATTCCTTTACTGGCCGAAAATATTTCTCACGAACCTGTCAGATATCATGATTATATCCCTTCTATTCAAGACCATTTAAACATGCAAGGTAAGGTTTTGACGACCAGATCAAACGGCCTGAAAAAGCTATCTAATGTTTTTGCTATCTGGGGCCGGTTGTATAACTACATTTAACTACATTTTGCATAGTTAAATCCTAGTTAGCTCAGAAATACACGGCTCTGATTGGCCAATTCTGCTTTTAACTACAGTTACAAGTTAACTAGTCTTTTATACAACTGGCCCCTGAAAATGATGCGTTATGCATCTCAGGTTATCCAAGGCTAGGGCCTTATCCAACTTAGACCAAATTTGCCACTTTACTCTTGGTTCTTCTTTCGTCGACCGATAAATGGTCTGAAAACGGGAAATATGGAAATTAGAATAGCAAGGCCTTTGATCTTGTTGTATAGTAAATTCGCTTATATTTATTTAGATTGGACGCCATCACTATTGCTAATACCATTGTTACAAAATGATATATTCAAGAAATGCACAATAAAGGTACCCAGTCCTATCATTGATCTGTTTTCAAGCCATCTAAATGTGGAACCAATTCAAGACCAAGGTATGATTTTAACCTATATTAGCTACAGAATACTTATCAAAAAGACAACTCCGTTGTTTTTAGCGTTAGTGTGATTCGTCATGATTCGACACTCCGCAAGCACCGTAAACAGAAGTAATCACCCCCCTGCCAAGGTTTAAAATGGCGCGATATTTAAATATTGCGGTACTTGCTGAGTGACGAATCATGACGAATCACACTCACGCAAAAAACAATGGAGTTTTCTTTCCTGCATAGGGCCGGTTGTATCAAGCCCGTTTAGCTTAAACGGCGGATCAGCCAAAATTAAATAACAATCTTACATCCCTCTTGAATGAGTCAACTTGAATATTATGCACTGAATATGTAGTTGTAAACACTATCTTTGTATTAAGGTTAAAATAATTTTGTTTGCTTGTTGAATAAAACGTGAGACTTGCTTTTTATTTTGAACTTAACCACCGTTTAAGCTAAACGGGCTTGATACAACCGGCCCCTGATGAGTATTCTGTGCTATAAGGTTTAAACTTCACGCTGCGAGATGAACCATGATTTTTGATAGTGGTGATTACACTATGCTGCAAAGTGTTTCTAATGTGTTTTTCAATAATCTCCCAGAGTCACCATTCTGGACGATGTACTTCAGAGGTTGCGCTTCGTCCAATGAGGTGTGTGGAATGTGTTTATCAAAACTGGAGGAGGGTGACGCTTTTAAAAAAGAAGCTTGTGACAACAATCAAATAATTCATGCTTTAGCCACGGTGAGTTTATAATAATCGCTATTAAAATGGTCGACAATCCTTTTTCATGCGCATGCACTGAGGTTTGCGTTCAATATCTATAGTTTACGTTTTCTTTTTACGCAAATGGTGTATCCGACACTTGCAGCATTTCTTCAAAAATTATTTCAAAACATTGAGTGTGATTACATATGCACATTTTGAATGCCAGACTGTGTATTGTATCTTCAAGCGCAAAACCTCGTATCACATACAATTGCAAAGTCGTGAGCCTAATTTATTGTTAGTGATTTCCTCTGGCTCCTATTTAAGTTATTTTGATTTTGAAGCGGTCCTATTCAAGTCGATGAAAATATGATTAAAACATCTTCTTTATGTTGCAGCTTCTGCCGTTCTGCTCTTGGACACAATGGAAAAGAGTATTAAGAGTAACCGCAGAAATGATGAAGTATAAATATCTGGTAGGTTTGTGTAGTGTGTACACTCTCTTGTATGTATCTGATACACCACGATCAGTTGGCTTTTCATATGAGGTATATTCCTATGTCATGTATATGCTCAACATATCTAGGGTCCTCTTACATGCAGTACACGCCCCTGTACGGGACCCTTGCGGTTACCCTTAAGTCCGTCTACTGAGATAAAGAATTTTCGTTGTTCGTTAAGCGTTAAGATCCTACTACATATTGGAATAGTTTGCGTATTTCAATCCATATAACGCTGATTACCTCCAGGTTCTACCAGAGGATTGGAAAACTGATATGATGGTACTTCCAGATATTTCCAACTCAGATGACAGTCTTCCAACATCTGAGCTGTTATTATTAATACTTCGCGATATATCTAGAAACGATTGGACAACAGCTTATGTATGGAATACTGCACTTAAGAACTATGTCTCAACGATGAAGGAGCTATCTTTGGAAATCGGCAAGAATGTACGTTTTTTATTGTTATAAGTATGGAGGGTGGTATCAACTGTGGTATGACAACTGCCTAAAATGAAACGCTGCTTCCTGGTTATATTGGAACTTATATATACTGGTGTTTAAGGGTAGTAATGTTTACATTCGATTAAGAATGACTACAAACATGAGAGAGCAAGAGTTTCGTTCTTGTGTTAAAGGAAAAGCACATTGGACAAAATTTAAGAAAAGTTTCTCAAATGGCTTGATAGACATCCTGATTTCTTTAAGTTCGCAAAATTTGGTGTAAGCAAATATTATATGGCAACGGTATAGCTTTGGCTTTGCAAATTGACTAAATTTCGGATGCTCTTTCAAGATGAAGTAAAATAAACAAGTTTAGGATCCCCTTCAAGAAGAATTTCCAAAACACAATGGGGGCAATCACTTCATTATAGGAGTAAAAAGAGTGTCTCTGAGCTTTTTATGGGGTGTTACATTGCTACCCTAACTTAACTTGATATAAAATACCTTATTTTTCCTTCGTTTTTTTTTCAGAATAACTTTGAGGTCTCATGTCATGTTTTGGCTCATCTTGCATACATCGCATTCAAGATAGTTCCAGAAGCTCTCCAAGAGAACATCATCATTATATTGCTTGATATTTTTAATCAATGTCTTTTGCGTGTTTCCGATGAAAATATGGACCAGTGTTTGAACTATTTGCAAGGTATTTGCGATATGATATCTCGTACTGAACTCAAGCTCACTATGAAGACTAAAATGGATAAGATGTTTCCAGCCAACGTAAGTAGATAAATATTTATTGCTGGTTATAATGCGGTTTGTTTATACTTATATAAAAATGATGTGCTTGGATACGATATTTTCTTGATAGCTACCAAACATTGTTCGTAGGTTCATCTATATCAAAATTTATATAGAAGAAATATAAACATATATTATCACCATGCATCTTTAAAAAGCACTCGCATGCCTGCATGCATAGCATAGCGGAGCGTAACTTTAAATGGTTTTTAGCTCTGCATGTTGATAAGGGCATTTATATGAACATTCAGAAGGTCCCCATGCATATCATATATGGATAGCGAAGCATATTTTCAAAATAGATCTATATGAACTTTCAGAAGACCCTGACATGCACTACTCATATAACTTAGCTCTGCATTTTAGTATTAATTTATATGAGCTTTTAGAAATATCGATCCAAGCCTAATCATGCACTGATATACTGTCAGGCGGGTAAAACAACATATATATAAGCTTTTTGTTAACTTGTTATTAAATATACTACATCATTTATCACAGCAAAAAATATAAATAAATCCAATAAAATATATTTACAAAAATTATTTTCACTACGCCCACGTTTCCCTCTGATATCTTTTAGTTCTTATCAATTGTTTTAAATATTCCTCTGCCTCGTCCTTCGTCAGCTTGCCTTCTGACATAAATGTTTCTTTTAAAACATCTGAAACATCCGACGGCATTTGCTTGGAATTCCTAGAATATTGCATGTAAAAATTAACGAGTTGTCAAAATCAGGCGCCATGCATGATTGTGGTCTCTGATCTAGCGCAATACGCCGGTGTAGTCAATTTAAACTATGCAAAAAATTCAATATCTCGAATATGGAGGTTTAGCGAAGGTTGTGTACCACATAAAAATTATCCCAAAACCTTAATAGTCACAGTATATGTTTGTATTGAACCATGCACATAAAAATTACCCAAAAACCTTAATAGTCACAGCAATATGTTTGCATTGAAAACCATAATATCGATTGATTTACCCAGCTAGGAAGCACCACGCCTGTTGTCGATCTATCAGCTCCCAGACGAATGAGCTGTTTTCCTTTAAACGATCCTGTACATAAATTTTGTTTTCCTATGTCGTAAAATGAAATTGTGGAAGAATAGGTACAGTAAAATGTAAAAGTACACTGTTGATTGTTGGAACGTGAAATCGCATTCATCGGTCATTTATCGAAAAATTCAGAAAAAATTACCTGATCACGTGAGAAAGCGGTGAAAAGAATTAAGCGGCCATTATTCTGTAGAGGTAACCATTCTTCTTCGAAGAAAAAATCCTTACATTTGCTTCTCGAACCAAAGAATAAAACACATTTTCCATCTACGATAAGTAAAAATGAAAGAATTCGAACAAGCAGCTCGGTGCACTATATAGTTCGTATGTTGAAATAATAATACCTTGGTTACTATGACATTTTCGTTCTTCGATAAAACTTCGAAACGGAGCACATCCAGTACCTCAGAAGAGAAAGATATTTCTCAAAAAATATGTTAGGTGGTAGTACCATAGGACGAGCGAAGGGCGTGGCTGGCCCTCGCCCACTTTGGTCGGAATACTACCAATAACCGTAGTATCAAAATATTCCCATATCTCTTACCAGGTCCTATCATGATCACAGGAGTGTCCAGTAATTTGGGAAATGATATCGTCGCTTTCTTAATCCATACAGGTATTTTAACATTCGTTGTGTGATCAAGCGAAGCTAGCCAAGTGGAACAAACTCCTACTCTGGGTTTGAAAAGATTGGTTTTATATTTCACGACCGCCATCAAAATTTGCACTTGGTTTGGATGTACCTAGAAATTTGTAGTAAAGTCGATAGGATTGTTCGCTTGGATATTTAATCCACCACGACACAAAATCCGTCATTGTTGTCATATCCTTATTTGGAATCAGTTATATACTAGATATATATCTCGTTAAATGAGCTCACTGAACATTTGAACCCCCTAAGAATAAGATTGAGATCCGTCCACATATTAAACAATTTCCCGTTCGATTGTTTGCGCTAGTACCTTTATTGATGAAGCAATAGAAAACGCCCTTGGTTTCAGAGGAGTAATCAAATCAAATAAATATTCCAATGTTATATTCTTGCTGGCGTATGGGAAATCTTGGAAAACCTAAAACAAAAATATTTACGCGATTTCATTAGGTTCTTTCTGATAGGTCTCCGTGGAGAGGATACGGTATTTACGAAAATCCGTAATGTGGTATCAATGTGTTGATCCTATATACCTCAAGAGCTGTTCTTCTTGGTCGGTAGCAATATGAATATAATTCTTCCTAACACAAAAAAAACACGGTTTAATCTGCGTGAATATCCTTGAAAGATTTTTAAAGTTGTCAGTACATGTAGGGTCCTCAAAGAACATGAACTTGAACATCGTAACCTCTTACTTAGTCATGCACATTTTGTATATCGTAGTGTTTGGGCAAGAACCACGTATCGTGTTTCCAGTACCTGTCCTTCGGCAGTATTGAATTCCTGTAGTTTTTCTTCTTCAAGTTCGGAAGTAGTGAGATGTGACAATAACTCGAAGAAATATCGCCTGGGAACGCCCTGTATGTCCCAATAGTTTTCAACCAGGTATCTCACCGTGCAAGGTTGGGGTAAATGTTTAGGTAATGGAATGTCTAGAAATGTGTAGAATAAGGTTTTATATTGGGTTAAATGACGTAGGACAATCAAATTAATGAATCGAAGTAACTCTCTAAGAAATGGGTCTCTTGTTTCGTTTAGATTTTACTTGGACAATTTTGATAAATTTTAAACAAAACAGAGCTTTGGGTACTGAAGGGAAATTTTCTGGTATCACTTTTAAATATATGAGCACGCTAAACGCTTGTAAACCATTACGGCAATATTGGGGTATTTCTGTATGCTTCAGGAAATTTAGGGATACGTAGGAACGTCATTTCTCTCGCCGTCAATGGCGGGAAAATTTAAATGGGATTGAGTTTATTGAGGAGAGAAAGCTGGATATAATAAAACTGGCAAAATATCTCCAAAATTGTATCGTAAAGCGTCGACAAATAACGACATTACGACAGAATGTGTATACAGTGGCAGGTGAATTTAATTCCTTTTATATTCGTCAATTTTTGCATTTTGTTTCACTCACAGTATATCCATCTGACACGTGTGTCGTGTTCAGTTTTAGTAAACCATATTGATTATCTAACATTATTGTGGTTAGCTATGGTTTTAAATCACAATAATTTGGAATCTACGTTTTTAAAGTTGTTGAAACAACGAAGAGAGGGAGGAATAAGGTGATGCAAACATGTACTGAACCTATTTGACTTTCTAACATATCGGGGGGGACACACTCAAAAGTTTTCAGAAAAGACTAGGTTCTGCTGCCATGTGGTTCTGGCTCATAGGCACCCCTTGCCAAAACAGGATTTATAAAGACCAACCAACCTTGGTAATTCTGAGAGAGCAATACTTTTTCATGAGGATTTAGACCAAGAAAATTTATAAACTCATTTGCAATTTCACTTAGATTACTTGGTTGAATCATCAAGACATCACCTGGGCTGTAGCTGTTGGCAACAAAGTTAAGGAAGGTGAGATGTTTACTTACTTTGAATCATTTTTGAAATCGCTAGGGGTAAAGCAATTTCACATTTAGGATGACTTGTTAGTACCTAGCCATTCATTGTTGGTCCTTATCAAAAATTTTATTAACAAGTAAGAACCAAAGTGGTTCTTTGAAGCAGATCAGTTTTCTCTGAGCAGTAAATAATGCACAATAACAAGTATGTTAATATTATAGTAATTAGTGTGCTCCATATGTGTGCTACCATAATGTCTTACCTCATACCTGATGATGCTATATCAAAAGTAATTAATCTGACATCTTGAAAATGATCTGGTGTTGTAACCTTTTTATTTTCAATTATTGCTGATAAAAATGGACAATCTTTTGATACAGATCTGGCTTTATGAATTCCTAAAAAAAACACAATACTTTGTCATTAATTCACTGCATAATTTAATCACACCACAATTACCTTCTAAGAATTAAGCTTTCTTTCTTACCATTGTCTCCAAGGGTTTTATTAATTAATTCAGCATCTGTATTTTCAACTTTATTACTACATTCTTGGTCAGATAATATTGTTACTTTATATCGAGGAATAGGTCTAGTATAAACAGAAGGAAACTATTAAATGAATGTAGAAAGAAATGTTAGGTATAGTAAGGCATATTTTTATGCATTAACAGCTAATAGGTAATTATGAAGGATGTTTCTTACTTGTTTGAAGAGCTAATGATCTCCTTTCCATATGGTAAGGGAATTATTTGCAAAATTGTTTCCCAAAACGTATTTAACCATGGGTCTATAACTGCATCTGGACTGTTAACATAATGAAATCATGTGTTAATTCCTCCTGCATACACCAAATAATTTAAACTTTGCACTAAAAAACAACTAACATACTAACCCTAGTTCATGTTGGTCATCTGCTAAAGCTATTGGTACCAGTTCCTGAGCTCCTAATTGTGCAAGGCGTTTAAATAATTTCTTTGCTATAAAATTAAACCTAAAAAGTAATTATCATTAATATAATCAAAATACTAGTAATTTTTTTGCAAATAATTAAATAAATGGATAAATTACTTTGGATAAGATGAGTCTCCCATTCCAAGTACAGCATAATTTATATTCTGAAGACAATGTGATGGTAAATTCTTACGGAGAAGAAATTTCCAAAATGCCTATAGTAAGGAATAAACACAGCTGTCACAGCTGAGGAGAATTTACAATTCACATCATGTTTTGTGATGGTGTGTAGTTACCTTCATATTATCAGGTTCCTCCCCGTCTCCTGTGGTTGCACACACGAAAACAACGAAGTTCTCTTTAATTAGATTTACCTGCGGGATCATGATTAGTTAATTTGTTAGCACGAGATCGCTGATTGTTTAACAAGAAGTCGTCAAAAGTAGTCGGTTTTTGTCGAATGTAAACTCACATGAAACACACAATTAATAGTGAATTATTAGATGCGAATTTGATTGTGAAAACTACTAGCATGATACAAAAACTAATTTATTCTTTGCATAGTTATTAGAGAATATGAGCAACAACCAAGCTTCTAAGACTGTACATAGTCACAGACACAGTGTAGATTGTACACAACAAAATACATACAATTTCATAATCATCCATTCCCATCACAATAGGGACAATATATCTTCTTCTAGCTTCGCGTCCTATCCGTTCTGCAACTTCTTCAGCTGTTCCTGTCTGAGAGCCATACAAAATAACCAGTTTGCGCGAAATTAAAGCTTCGTCTCCCTCCATTTTGAATTTTTCGTCTCCAGGCCACTCACCAAGCACCTTGCATAAATTACGTGCCGAAGCGTATGTATGACTCTCACTCGTTAGTCGTTATTGAGGGATATTGGGGATCGTATGAGAAATAAGATTATCTATAAATGGACATTATATGTTGAAGGTTTAGGCTCACATTAAGTGCTTTTCATAGTTACGTAATCTTTAAAACGTTGTAGAGGAATTTATTTAACACTGAACTTCTGCGGTTCTGCCTTCAGCCAAAATTAGTATGGCTCATATATTATATATATATATATATATATATAGTCTAATTTCTCATATATTAATATATTATATATATATTATATATATATATATATATATATATATATATATATATATATATATATATATATATATATATATATATATATATAGTCTAATTTAGGCCCCCCCACACACACGCACACACATAGACATAGTTGGATTTGCTTGTATGCCAACTTGAAAAGCGAAATCTGAATTACATGCGATCAAAATGTGACCAGGGCCCTCAGGTTTAGTGTGCAGTGCACACGTATGTAGGTTATTCCTGTGCATGAACTAGCCAACATAAATAGTCAAATTAAATGTTCAAAATTCGGACGTAGGAGTATTGTTTGGCAAGTAGCATAAAGACTAAACAGTTTGTCTGAATTTCTTTGTGGGTTGTTACGTTACCTAGCATTAAAGGATGTGACATGCAACCTTTATCACTAAGTGACATTGCTTTTTATAAGCTTGCGTGCCGAGACTGCATGTCTCAAAGAGAAGTCAGACCAAAAGACCTGTGATGCATTCATTACTCAGCAGTCTGTCAGTGATCATGATGACGTAGTGATTCTACTGAAGTAATGAAACAACGAAGAAATCCTTTTTGAAAGTGATCTTGAAGAAGTCCTGTTTTAGGCACATCGCCGAATCAATATTAACTTGAGTCTTGACTTGTCGACGATTCGTTCAGTGCGTTACGACTTACGTTGTGTCTCAAAAAAGGCTTTAAAGTAAAAGCCTACTAAAGGAGAATATTTCTTTAGAGCCGTTTCGTTACCAAGCGATATGGATTTATATGGCTAATATATAGTATGCTATAGAATTATTTACATTTATAATTACTACAGGATGTGCTTTTAGAAATATTGAGTTTTGGGGCTGCGTTTGTTTAGCTGCATGGCCATCGGGAACACGAGGCATACGAGCAAACAATTTCAGAATTTTGTTTTGGTTTTTGTAATTGATTTTTGTAATTGATCAATTAATCTTTTTGTCCCAGTTGCACTGGTAACTGTAGTTTTAGTTGCATTTCGAGTTCCGTGAAGCAGACTTACTGTAAAACGTTTAATTTTAAAATTCTAAATCGCCCTGAAGCGCATTAAGATCGCAACGGTCCTATAGAGAACAGGTCTGTGCAGGCTTAATAATAGAGTCAACATGCAATAAACCCCGTAAGGCAGTGTAAAAACGAGCAAAGTTTTTATAATAATCTTAATTAACCGTACCTTACTTTTAAAGAATTTTATATATTTGATAATATTCGACTGTTCGCGAAAATTAACCCTAACCGTTGAAAAGTCTCATTTACAAGGTTTTTTATCTCGGTTGTCAATGAATTAATCCGTCTTTTGCTACTTTTCTTGCTGCTTGTACACATGAGCAAATCTCCTGCATGGCATGCGTGACTATCTCTTGATCACAGACAATACAGACATAGACAGAAGTTGACAAGGATAACTTGTCATTAGAAACTCAGACTCGTCTGTATAGCAGGCTTTAGACAAAGTATATTTTTTCTCTGAAATTTAGTAAACGGCACTTGCAGTGTATGGTGAATCGCCATATATCGCCTCTCAATCGTATGAAGTGTTCATTAATGGCTAAAGTGGCCGAAAGTGTTTCGTAAACTAAACTGGATAAGATCACCAAATTCCTTTTCCTTGTGAACGAACAATGAATGGGTAAAGTCTGAGGTGAAGGACTGAAGGGTATCGTCTTATGATACGTCGCGACTTCGAATAAAAATCTTTCGACATCAATTAATTAGATTTCAGTCAGTAATGCGAGCATTATATGCTTCGCTTGAGGCGGTTACTTTGTAAAATGGGTGATACCATGGTCTGACGTCAAGTGAAGTGATGTGTAACATACCTACTAAAGCCTATATCAGCTCTTCATTGTCTCGAACACAAAGTTACGGATGTGCAATGTCAATGTCATGTGAAATGATACGTAACTGTAATAACAAACTATGACTAAGACAAACAAATACCAAGTTTGAAACATGCAACTCAGTATAACTCAATAATGAACGTACTGATAAACTCATCACCACATTCACTTTAATTAAATATTGCTATATTTAATTGACCGACTATTTTATGTCAGCTATAAATAGTAGTAGGTAAATTCAGAATGGTGGGTTACTCAACAAGATTTAATCAGACATATATTTAGGTAATAAACTATCTCACTAGGGGCTTAGGAGTCAGCCATTACTATTACCTTTACACAAAAAACGTAGCCTTATTTTTCATGTTAGAAAGTAGTTTTGTAACATTTGACCCATGCATCAACATTCACTATATAACGCGCATGTTATAGCAAATGGTTGTAACTTCTCCTCATATCAGTCAAATGTGGTATAACTTAGCTGACTAAAAGAGCAAGAGAACAGTTCTCGACGTTTCGATTACAAATGCTAAGCCGAAAGGCCTACGTTAGGAGACAGTTTTAGATAGTTAGAACTTAGAACATACTTGATGATGAGTTTTTCAAAGATGCTGCCACACTGGCACTGCTCCTTGACCTTGGTGGCAAACTTACAAGTTACAAGTTTGATTTCGCAGTTCATATGCAGACACACTAAACCCCAAAGTAAAAACATTTACCATCGGCATTGCACTGACAATCTTCATATGATTTGATCCAGCACAAGAGTAATTTTTCTTAATTTCCAACCAGGGGAGATTTAAATTCCGGAAATTAATGCAGTTTGAAACAAATGATAGTTTACACAACCACGACTGAGAATGCTTTTTTTTATCACGCTGGTCATGAAACAGTATCATTGTTGGATTAGTTGTTGAAATGCCAACAATCGGCTTTAAATATAGCCTCTACAGTTATAGGCCCGGTTTATCCTGTAAGTTTCTGACTAAGCTTACACACTACAGTTGAAAATTTTATTGTTAAATCCAAAGCCAAAGCCGGCCTTCCTGGTAACATCAAGGAAAGACTAAAGGAACCAAAACAGTGATAAACAGGGAGTTAACTATTCCACCCAATCCTTGATACATGTTACAAATTCTTTCAAACTTAGGATTTTAGACCTAAGGTTAAGCCAGCTGTGTTCGCAAAAACGTAAGGTATTCTGAGATTCTCATTTCGACTTAAAAGCCTTTATTACCAAATATGAGACTATAAGCGCTCTGAATAACACACAAACACGGAACTTACTGCCGCTGAACAAATACTAAAGTAAAAATACAATATAAAGTTTAATTTTTGTCTTTCATACCCAACAAACTGTTATGAGACTATAAAGCTCTTTCTATATTCACACCGAATTCCTGTTTTGACGAAAGTATTCTCATGTTATCAATAAGCCAATCTCCCATTTTGTAGAATTTTAAGTATCTATACATTCACGTAATACCATCAGGAATTGAAAACGAAATACAATCTTTTACCAGTTTAGAAACCAAACGTTTTTAGCAATGACTAACAGGTATACTCATTACATGGTATGGGTATCTTTTATTGTACAAAAATAGCATCAATGACCTGACAACTTTAACTTACATCTGTTTTAGATAGATTACACACTGCGAAAATGTCTTCGCTACACAGTAACAAGCAGGGAATATGTACAAAATATACACTATATACATTGGTAAAGGTTGAATAATTATACATGTAGTATTGTATATAAATACACTTGTTTGATATAAATTTGTATCAAACAGGGGTTTGCTGTAGGCATTATCTTCAAGATACCTTTGAGTGATAAATGAACTAAAAGAGGCCTTTTAGTAAAAGATTTATTTGTGTTTTTCAGTTAGCTCATCTATCACTCTTACAATATATTAACCTGAGAGCTTTAGTCCTATAAGCTCACTAAGCTGATAAGGTGCATTGCACTTAGTTGGCTATCAGCAATATAGGACGAGAGAAAATGATATAGTTATTTAATAATATTATTATATATCTGTTTCCTATGGTCAAATGACCATATATTAATAAATTTTGAATAATTAAAGATATACTCTCTCTATATACAAGTCAAATTCAACTGTTTGAACAATGAACACATGATATTCTCTTTGCTAGATAAACCTTTGCTTAGTGTAGGCAAAGTCAGGTGTTTGTTAACACTACATTCACAACCAAAAAATTCACTACCTAAAACAATCCATCAGACATCTCTATGGTGTCCTCATCAAATTCAAATGTGATACAAGATGGTCGGAGACGGAGTTCATAATCTTCTAATTTGTGAACAAGGACACTGAATGTTGGCCGTTCTTCCGGTGTGGGTAACCAGCAGGACTGCATAATACTGTATAGGTCATCAGGGCACCGCAATGGTCTGGGCAAACGCTTACCAGTCTCAAGATAAGGCATAACCTCATAATTATCTAATCCTGCATAAGGCTGGGAGCCAAGAGTCACTAACTCCCATAAGACAATACCAAATGACCACACATCACTCTTTTCAGTAAAGATATAGTACAATAAACTTTCCAATGCAAGCCATTTCACAGCCAACTGCGTAGGTTGCTCCATTTTATGCAAACTAAATTGTTTCAGTTCTCTTGCTAAGCCAAAATCACCAATCTTGATGTTTAAATTGCCATCAACCAAACAATTTCTTGCTGCTAAATCTCGATGAACGATTTTTTGACTCGCAAGGTATTCCATACCTCTGGCTATTTGACTTCCAAAATTTACCAACTGCTTAGAACCAATGAGCTGTCTTCGAATACCAATTCCGCGGGAATGGCGTAAGAATTTATGCAAATCACCATGTTGCATGTATGAAGTTAAAATAAGCGGAGATGAGCCAACTTGAAGAACTACACCAAGTAGGTTTAGTAGATTTTCGTGCGACAATTTTTTCATTAAAATTGCTTCGTTAACAAAGGCGATCATTTGGTCGAAATCGACATCTTCCTGACAAATTTTCACAGCTAAATCAACATCGGCTTCCGTAGCTTTGCACGCCACGATTAGCTTCCCACGCATTACACGTCCAAAAGTGCCTTGTCCTAATACCTCGCTACGAATTTCGACATGATCGCGAGATTTTACACTCTCACCCAGCTTTTCGGACCAATATTCATTCAATGTCGCAAAAGCTAACTGACTGTCCGATGCATCTTTCGCCAGCGATAATGTTTCATTATGTTCGTCTTGACTTTGTGCCAGTGCTACGTCAGTTTCATCTGAAATAAACACTTCATCTTCTGGGATGCTTATTTGTGTAAAAAGCTTACTTTCTTTGCTCGATGATTGTCTGTTAAATGAAAAAGGTCTGTACGGGACATTACTAAGATCTTGTTGTGAGCTTGTTACTACACGCGTCTCGCAAGAATGCCCTTGTATTGTTGTTTCACGAGGTTTTTCATCACATTTCGCAACTTTCGTACAGAATTGTCCGGACGTGTGTTTTTTGGGAGAATATACAACAGTAGGAACTTGAGATGGCACAGGAATCGAAATACTTGATGACCCAAAGCTCTCTCTAGGAGAGGCTAATCTCTCTAGCCCTTCATCGAAGCTAAATTTTTTTCGTATTCGCTTCACGTACCGCCAGAAAAACACGACAGCTAGAATGACACAAACGAGAAAGGCTAAAACAGCGCTAACCGTGACTACAAGCGTTCGATCTACTGGCTTTTGATTACTTGATTCATTTGCTCCCTTCTTAAGACTCTTTTCGCTTCGATCGCAATGTTTCGAAAGAACAAATTCCAGCGTGAATTCCAACGAGCGCCCGGTGGTCTTCATGTAATTTGTATAGTTCAACGCAAAATGAATATCGACTAGTCCTTGAACCAAACCCGTGCATTTTAAAGAAACCTCAAACGTGTCAGATGCTTTAGATATAATTCCTTTCAGATTTGGTAGACTCACGGTCGGATTTTTCATGATTTTGAGATTTCCCGAGGTCACACGCAACGAATAACGTTCTTCGTGGTTGAAAGCTTGCCATGTTAGTTCAACCCGGTTCAAGGTCGCTGCCAGTGGAGTTGTTGTCTGTCTAAATAGGGCAGGATTGTTAAATACATCATTCCTTTTCCCATTCTTGATTAAAAATATATCATTTTTTGTATCCAAACCCATTTGATCGGCAGCAAACGTGCGATGAATGTACAACGATATCCCCGCTTGTGTTGTTTCGAAAACAAGAAACAACATCAAAATGGCGATACATATTAAACGTTGATTTTTTCCTCGAGTTTTGCTCGCCATCGTGCCGTTACAGCTTTTAATTCGATGTCAGCTTTGACCTGTCTCACCATGTCATATATATATCAGGAAGTGAGTAAGATAAGAACATTTCTTATGCCGTAGTAATCGGAGAAGCAAGAAAATACGCCGTGATCACACCTTCGAACACAACGTAAACACAACATTCCATTCACGAATTCAGGGTGGGTCACATGACGAGCGTCATTGACCAATCAACGTCAATCAACAACCGGTTATACCGGAAAACTCAAGGTGATAAAGCCGTCATTTCGTCATAAAAACTCAAAGCTCTTTACGCTGAATGTCTCAAGTGTATCGATCTATCTTCATTTAATATTGCATTAACTGCAGTATTATCATAAAACTTTCCATCTAGCTACAAAAATTCGTAATATTTACGCTTGTAATTTAAGATTCATTTACATCTCAACGCTGTCATGGGATTGTGGAGAACAATGAGCGGAATTCCCGCGGTCTTCCTCCTGCTTAAGGAAGTTTGCTTGTTTTTGGATTAGTTCTATAAGCTGGATAAAGTTCAGTTCCCTTTATAGTTTATAATGAAATAATATTTCCATATAAACACCTGAGTTAAATACTCCCATTTGAAATAGATTTCGGAGGATCGAGTTTTACTACGGAAATTCTACAGAATTAGATAGCAGATTATCAATCTGTAATCTATAATTGGTTCCAGATTTGGTGACAAAATGACGCTTTATTGACAATGTAAAATTCATGCTTTTAGCATGCTGAGGCCGGTCAAATCCCACTCTGTGTGTGTTGCGCAAAATTATGACAAAAAGCGATGTTATCCTTATACTAGGTCTAGAGAAAGATAAGAGTTGCTTTAAAATCAGCTGTATAGCCGTTGACAATTATTTGGCTCCAAAACTGTTGCAGATAAATCCAAAATGACTTACTAATGATTCTTGCGGAATACCGCAAATTGTCATTGTAGAGAGACAATAATTCTCCTACCTGTTAGGTGTTGTATTGTTACAGGTATCAGTTTTATTAACAAAATAAACAATTCGTTTATTAAAATAATTTCTTGAAGTTAATTGATTGCATGATAAGTTACTTCAAAGTTGGCAAAGTAGCAAAACACGTACGTCAAAGAGGAAAAAAAATCCGCAGCAATGCCAAAAATATACTACATTAGTAGCTGTTGAAGCCATATGGTATCTGTACATGTGAGTCCCGCAGAAGCATTGACAGCTTAGTCCTCGCATAATTAGGGACCTAAGATTCACCAAAAATGTACGACGCGGACGTGAAGTAATACTGTCTTCATTTCCACAGTTTCACAACAGGAATAGAAATTATGGACTCCTTTTGGTAAACAAGGTCAGAGCTGTATGTAAAACTAATTAAAAGACATTCTGACACTGCCGTCTAATTTCAGTTCACGTTCGCGTCGTAGATTTGGTGTATCTTAAGGTCCCTATATGTATGATCCACCTACGCAATTCTTTTTTACTTTCTTTATCGCCGCTAGACACCAAGGAATTTTATCAGGTTCTTCTATTACCGATGCGTTAAGTCTTCACGTTTTGATATCCACGAATTAGCATATCCTAGACATAATTTCAAAAACGTTTTTGTAGAAATATTCACGAATCACTTAGACGTTAGACCTATACTTATAATATAATTACCGCTACTTTTCTCACCGTTTGCTTTTGTATTCTATTTTGCATTAGACGGTTGCCACCTTTGGGGCTAGGGCATACTGTCCCTCAGATATGGTCTGAAGTTCAAACGCAGTACTGCCCATGCGGGGGATAAGAAAGGGGGAATGTTCAGCTCATACTTCACGAAAAGGGAAAAATATTGTTCACATTTTACATTAGAACACTAGATTCACATTAGACTTATTTTTGTATCACGAAACGTGATTTACAGTATAAGCTATGATTGACGACCGGGAGAATTCTGCTTTATCTCATTGTTTGACGTCATCAGTATGAATGAAAAGTGTCTACGACGACCACCCTGTTGCATATTAACTGTGGTTGCATATATGTAAGTGAAAAGTCATTCGACTGCTGAGAAGTGTTATGCTTGAAACAAGCCCAAGCCTTGAAAATAATGACCATCTTATTATATGAAATTATAAGGACCATTTACACATTACGATTAGTAAAGACACGTGCAATTGTCAGTTGATGCACGTGGACAATACGTTAGTATCGTTTACTGAAAACTGATTATAGCTAAGTTGCCCTAATTCATACCAAGTTATGCCCATAACCCATCCGCTAGCTTCGTATTCTGTTCCTATATAATCATTCACTATGCCAACAAAGAAGAAAATCTCAACAAAATAACTCATTAGAATTTTCATTCTTCACTATACTTCCTTTATATAATTATACGTTGACAGATAAAGATTGTTTTTTGACCCTTCAAATGTCAACCATATTGTGGTTTTTAGAACATATCCCATATTATCTAATCTATAACTCATGGTCATTGAAGTGCATTGCTATAATATATTACTCTGTAACCCTATACTCTTTTCAAAGCATTACGTATAAATGTACGGGATTTTATGCATATTATTGGAAATATATGCCATATTATACTGAACCGTTTAGCAGGCTTTACCTAATTTGGAGGAAAACAAACGGTTATTGAGTCATATATCATTCGTCGGCTCAAGTAACATCTTCACATTTCTTCCTTCCTTAATGGTCAAGTGCTCTTGAAGTTAATAAACCAACCCCTAGCTCGGAGTGCCTTACAAATTTTTCTATATCGATTATCCCTTTGGGCTCATACTTATTATCTTTTCATTGCATGTCTATAAGGTTTTGTATTTTAATATGAAGTAAATATTCTGAATAAAAACCCAGCGAAAATTATCTTTCACCAGAACCCGACGGTTTGGTAAATAATTATTGCACTGCTTCCTGTCATTGTCTTGTTTCACGTTTAGAATTTGGAAAAAGAACTAAGGAAATGTTGCAATATGAAGAAGAGAGTGAGTTGCGCATGCAAGAGCTTTTACGTGGTTTTAGAAAACAAACTGACTTATGCATGCCCGTGGTCGCTTTATACGTAAACAACAGAATTTTCAGGCATTGTCAACATCACAAAATGCAACCAAAAACGAAAGGAGAAGCCAAATTACAAGGGCTATAATTAGGGTAGGGTTGATGTTTACAAGTTCTCCAAGGATTATATTTCATATTTCCTTCCTGTTAATTAGTTCCTATGCTTGCGATAACGTGCCAAGAGACAAGGTAAGCTCAAATATTCAATGTAGACACCGTTCTTAAGGCACTTTTTTACACCCTAATGACAAACTTACTCGCTGCAAGGAATGGAATGGAATGCTTTTGTGTTAACCGCTGTGCTGCAGTGGGCGTGCGAGTACGTTTCTCGCTGTTTCTACGATGATTGGAAAGGAGCCCTTACAGTTGCAATAAAAGTAAAATTTACTACTAAAAACTAACCAGCTGATCATCCAATCATCTCGTATCTCAATTTCTATTTATCCATATATATATATCTATATCGACTCTATAGTATCTATACCAGCTTTTGCCGTCGCAACTCTGAGTTTCACGCGCCTAGCGGTCAAGGTGATTATTGTACAAGCAAGCACTAAGTCCATCAGTCCAGACGTGACTATAATCAAACAAAACAGTCGTACCTGGTTTTAACTTCTGAGACAAGGATAAGATAAGATAAGATAAAAACTTTATTTCAAGAGGGTAACACCTTACAATAGATTGGTAAACTTGTGGCCCTCAAGGAATCCTACAAAACTCGACAGGGAAATAAATTTTCATATTACACCTCTACATACCAGGGATTGGTGCAGTGAAAAAGTATATGAGTATAGGGAAATTGTTGTGAATACGTGAGAGGAAGTTTATCCCGATTTCACAATCCATTTATATTAAAATTTTATTGTATCACGTTCGTAAATCGCTATACATTGATTGCCAATGATCTAATGACAGATAAGCACCAGGGGATTCAGTTTAACCTTTTAACCCATATTGTGGTTGCGTTCCTCTTTGTCGGTAATCGTGCGATTCACACTGCACGTACAGTAAATGGGGTTCACCTTGCTGACGCATTTCCCGAAAGTCAGGCTGCGTCCAGAAGGGGTTGGACCGTGGGCGAAATGTTGGAAGTTTAGCGGTGGTGTGCCATAGCCTATGGACTCTGCTAGTGACACTACCTGAATCAGTAGAAAACATGTTTTAGAAAACATGTTTAGGGAAAGTGTCATTGGACTCTGAAAACTGTCCTATACTTGAAATACTAATATTTAAAAGAATTGGAATACCAATTTTTAGAATAACATTATAAACTGTAACTATATGACTGAGGTTACCCGTAATATAGCAAGATTTGGAACCGATATATACTAATTATTTGAATACTATACAATATAATCCATTTCTTTCACATTTTTACTATATGACATATCATTTTGTTATTTTTTGTAAACCATGACACGACACGTCATAGAATATTTAGAATATTGTAACACCATACACAATTCACTTAACAAATGTTGATTTTCTTACACGCCCTGTATCTCTATCAACTCTCACTACACAACTGCTCAGCTTCTCGATTTACCTGTACCTAAATGCTGGTCTCATGGCATGCACAGAATGTCTCTCTGTCCGATTGAATGTCTTCGATGGACTAATTAGCTATTCCAATTACTCTAAATCTCTAATTACCAAATATCCTAATTACCCAATGTACAATGAACCAATATATAAATAATTTCTTTTACATTGTTATATCATGACGTATTCATTGTTATTATAACTTGGAAAATGTATACGTGTTTTAAAACTTGTTAAGATTCCCACAGGTACATGTGCTCCAAAATCCATCTTTCGTTCTTTTTGTTGCTCTTGAGCCATCAAGAACAACATACTTTGCGACGGTGTTGTCTGGTATGACAGCGGTTGGTAATATTTTCTTAATTTCTGCGCGTATTCGTTTAATGTCGGTTTCGACTTGCACCACATTCAGGTTTATATTGGGGTCCAACAAAATTTCCTGTTCACCTGGAAAATGCGAATATGGCTGTATATCCGTCCCTCTTGCGTTTTTTATATGAATGAACGATTTTCCTTTTGGTGCTAAAAGGAACTGGACAGCGACACCTGGTTTGGTTGTTGTGCTGGCAAATTGATTGAACGAGAACGGTTTACCCAGCGTAACAGCTGCACAATGACAACCACGGTAAAGGCTTTTGAAATCTTTAGGCCCAAGAAGAACAAGACCTTTGCTCAGTAATGCAGCCATTTCACTCCAAATGGGAGAAGGCCTTCCACTTCTAAGGTTTGTGTTTAAAGTGTCGTATAAAGGTTTTCCGGTACTGCCCACGTATGCCTTGCAATCTTGGGTGTATATATTGACCAACTGGACAGCTTTTTGAATATCCTGGTTATACGTACTAAATCGAGTATTTTTTTTCTTTGCTAAGTTTAAACACGAAGGATCAGTTGGGAACAATTTCTTGAAAAAATTGTCGACTTCGGTGCTGTAGGAAACTGCAGCAATTGAACAAGAAAATGCATGTAATTAAAACAGCATTAATTTTTAAAATAAAATTGCATTACTACCATTAGCTATTTTTCATAACTTTTATGAAATTTATAATATTTTAACTGCAACACTAAAATCAATATTATATAGTTTAGCTGTATTCGTTCTTGCAATGATATGGTATTTGATTGTTTAAATTATTATATAAATAAAGTTTTGGATAAAGTATTAAAAAATATAAACTGCATGCGTGTATTTATAATAGACTATAAAATCAGTATATATATTCGTCGAGTGAAGAATCGACTATATAGATCATAGAATGTGTCAACTCGATTTTATGATGACTCGGAAAGTTTATATTGTTCATTAAGAGCCACTGAGTGACCAGTTCATCACTTTGCTGTCCTGTATTTATATAATATAGGCCAATTTGGTTATAGAATGGTCTTATGGTCATAAAATAGTGCCCTCTGCCTCTGGAAGATCGAAACATATATGTAGGGTTTCACCGAATCGTTCTGCAGACAGTTATATATATACATGCATATGAAACTCTTCTCGCACACTATATCTGTTATCAATCTGTAATCTGTGATAATACTTAATTGTTATATACCTATACCTTTATTAATATAAGTTTTATAAAAGCGTCATGTTAACTGGGACAGAGACCTTTGCAGACGCACAGAGACGTTGAAAGAGTATACATGCATGCATGCAAACCCCCTAAACCTATAATATATAACGCAAACAAAGCGGATCACTAAGTACGTACCAACTCTAGTTCTCCTCTCAAGACTGAAATCACTTTTCAGGCTTCGACTTTCGCCCGAATTTACTGTGTATAAAAGGAGCACAAAGTACAGTGCTTTTGAGAATACCATCTTTAAAATGAAAGTTACTTAATTGATTTAATATCTTCGCCTTGTTTCCAAAGTGGAAGAAAACAGCCTCTCCTTAATAGGCTTGATACAAAGTGAAGAATGTCGCGTGATCTGATTTGTGATCTGATTTATGTTGGGTGATCTTTTGTGACTTCACGCCCTTTGCTTGCCAGCCGTTTAACTGGTACTATATATGAACATAAATATATATGTGGAGAAATAGCTTATGAGTATGTCATGTCAAACTGAAATTAATACACATATAAATTTTTATTATTTAGTTTCAGCAGCTTTTACAATTATATATATTTATATATGTGCATGTGCATGGGCAGGCGTCAAAATGATATTCTAGGCAAAAACGATTTTTAAAACGCTCGAAAACGACGCTCGTGTCAGACAGCCTTAAAATCCGTGAAAATACGAACTTTTTACGAAGTTTTTATTTTTCTAATCGTTCTATAGTTTAGTGAAATACTAAGTGGTTTCCGTAATAACAAATAATGCAAACATATGTGAGTAGGGATTTTTTGTTAATTTGCACGTGGTTGGAAGTTGAAGTTTATATTATACGTATATAAGGCCTGATTCCACGGGTGCTTTTTCTCTGCGAAATGCGAAATATTTAGCCTGTTTCTTTTAAATTGTGATCACTCGAAGAAATCAATTCTGCTTGATTGCTCACAATTCAAAAGAAGCAGTCGAAATATTCGCATTTCGCTTGAAAATTTCGTCTGTGGAATCAGGGCTTCAGTCACATTCCATTGCATGTATATCACGTTCGAGTTAAATCGTCAATTTGATTCACAATGATCTAATGACAGATAAGCACCGGGAGTTCAGTTTAACCTTTCAGTTCCAACCTATATTGTGATTGCGCACTTTTTCGGCAATCTTTCATTTCACGTTTTTTTTATTTAACGTAGCTTTTATTGACGCATTTCGCGTATTTCAGTTTAAGTTTCATAAGGGCTGTTCACATGAGCCCGGTTACCCGAGATTCAACAAAGCGTGAGGGGACTTTGAGGTATTGGAATAAGTCTTTATGACAACAAACAAGCACATGCTCAACCTTGTATCCATATCAACACAGCGAAATTACCCTGGGAGTGGAGTAGCCCTTAACTGACCCGTTAGATCAATTTTTTTAGTGACAGGGTTCTGCATGAGATTAGTGTTTTTAATTCGTTTCAACGATTTGCCATTGTAGACAGAGGTTGGCTGGGTTTAAACCTCGATATCGAGCTAGGCAAATTCACATTTCTGTGTTGGTTTGCGGAATTTAAAGGCGAGCTTAATCGAGATGTTCACGCGATTACGATACGAACTTTGTTTGTAACTTATTCTATTTTTATAATTCTTATACTGATTTTATTGTAATATATACTTATATGCATGTATTATTGTAATAATGAATTCTATACAGGACCTGCCTGAAAACCATGCACGTATGTGATGGGAGCTTTCTGTGTAAATATTACTATAATGTAATACTAATAATTTTGTAGCCGATGGCGCCCTAAAATCACAATCCCTGTGTTTGTTCCATCAACCTCGTTCCCAGGTTTTCTTCGCTGGAAAAGGCAAAGCCTACAGGAAAGGTGCAGTACCGTTACACAGCTGCGAAAATCTAGCAGATTCATGTGACGTATTGCAGCACCATTTTGTATTTGCTGGTGAATTTGTAAGAAATCCACACTCTTAGATGAGCCGGTGGGCAAGTTCTTTTCCACTTTCCCTCTGCTTCTCTTTAGTAGATTTCGTGACATCCTACGATAATCTTATAGGATTAAAAAGTGTCTTGAAATGACCCTTTTTAGAGTTTGAAGCTGTTTGTCACAACTCCATTTAACACTGCATGTATCTTTATAGAGTCCGAATTTTGTCATACAGCTAAATAAACTTTTAATAGTGCATGTAGCATTATACAACATAATTGCGCGTATATGATGTATATCTGCGATTTCAATAGATTCTGTCAGTTCGCACTTTTTGACCTTTCAAAGCATTGTGCACAAGTAAAACTAAATCGAGTTCAGGTTTTAGCCTTTTAAACGTTTGGCAGTGTTGAGATCCAACTTGACAAGAATATGCTGAAATATTAAGATTAGCCCTCTTTTGCAATTATAGACATGAAACGTGATGCTGAAATGACCTATTAAATAAGTCTACAAATTCGCACGTTTTTACTGGCAAGTCGCCATAACGAACGGAAACCAAAACTGGCAGAAGGTATCAAATAGATTTATATTTTTTCATCAGTTTTAGTCATGTCGGGTTTTTTAACTACTTAAATCGATACAGTGCTTGAATCCCGATAACAACGTCACACAGTCATTGTATGAAGTACATCCCACTTATGCACGTTATGGTATAATGGTATTAAAATCGCGCCCCATGCAACGCTGCCTATCTGAATATGAATGGTTAAACCTGTCTGAATATGAATAGGGATGGATACATTTATACGCATGATGGGTCGGGTAATGCTGAACCCTAAGCCTGAAAAAGAAATCGTAATTATTACGATAATCATTTGTTTATTTTCTCTTATAAGCCTTGTTCCGTCCTTGACCATGTTGATATTTGAGGAACTCGTCTGATTTATCCGTCCAAATTCGAATTTAAGATGAGTTTCTGGTCCAGACGGGGGTTTCTCGTCCAACTTACCCGTCTGTTTAGACGGGAGAATTCGGACGATAAACCAGACAGAATTCACACCAGACCAGTATCCCGTCTAAGACGCAGATAAGCTATATATATATATATATATATATATATATATATATATATATATATATATATATATATATATATATATATATTATCTTTCTCATCTGTGGTCTAAGACGAGTTTCCCGTCTCTAATATATATATTCGGCTAATAGAGGATGCAAAACGAGGTAATTGATATGCGGGGGGCGGTTCTATATATATAGGAGTTATAGTGACAGAATTGACCAATCAAAGTCGCGTGTGTCCTAAGTTAGCTAGCTTAGCAGACTGTGTGCATGGTACATTAGTGATTAGTGAGCCTCAGCTTGATGTCGTCAGCTGTTGAATGCGCCTTCCTTTTGTCACCGCGACGTACTCAAAAATGCTGATTCATTAAAATGCTGCTTCTGATTATATGTTACGAATCCGTCTTGCGCAACGATGTATATGTTCTTATAGGTTTTATATTTACGATTCTTCGCATTAGCGAAGTTCAGATTTTGCTGGTTGATCTGATAGACCTATCGTTATTTGATTGGTTTATGTTCCCTCGAAAGTAGTGGAGGTCAAATCTCAACCCATGCATACAGGGTCAAAAAATGCAAATATATGTTCATTGAGTCACTTGGAAGTTGGAACTTTAACTTTGGTTCCTCGTGCTAATTCTAGAAATTCAACAGACATCTCTTTTACACATTATTTAAATTATATTTCTACTTTTATGATAACTATAAATATATTCACAAAACGTCAAATGTTGGGTAAATTATTACGCCAACAATGCCTGAATCTTGATACCCAATTATAAGAAAAATGCAAATACTCCAGAGGCCTTGTCCAAGGCTAAAAGCTATTAAACAAGCCACGGCCTCACCCTGTTGTGAATTAACCGTTTTTGGAAATCGTTCGCGGCCGAAGCTTTTTATCAATATCGCTTGCATAAATGGCGCATATATAGCTAATGTCTGAAATTATCATAGCAATCCAACAGATCTTCCTAGTGTGCCAACACAGGTACCAAGTAGGAGTATCAACAGACAGTAGAATGTCAGTGAAAACCTGAGGGTAAAATGTTCTGAAACAACCTGTGAGAAAAAAGCGAAAAAAAAATTAAATTTTGTCTGTCATATAAGTCAGAATAAGATAACCACAACGATTATTCCTTATACCTCTTTATACACAGAATAAAAACTCGTAGGTTTGTATTCTGTGCTTTATATATGAAGCCCAGTTACATTTTAGCAATATTAAAATCACCAATTGTTTTAAATCAGACACTTTTGGAATACCTTAGGTGTCAATGGAAAACTGTCTAAAGAACGCAATGATCTCTGTTTTTGCAAGGCGTCCTGATTTCCAAAATGGCTGTTTTCCGCGTGAATTACAAGTTTGGTTGAATTGGATAGCTCAATATTGCGAACACTACCAAAGAAATCTGTCACAAGAACCTATGGGAATTGAATGAAAACGAAAAATAATTCAAGGTATAAAGACGTTTTACACTGAAACAGTTGCAAACAATTGCAAACTCATAGTGATTGCAAACTTCGTGAATAAACAACTTCATGGAAGTAAAAGTAGTCTACCTCTTGGATTTCTCTTGGGAACAGATCTATTCTTGTACTGGGAGTAGACTGGACTAATCTTGGTGTACAATACTGAAACTGAAAGAGTTAAAAGACCAACAGTCTATAAGAAGTCCATTGAGGAAGAAATTGTTAACAATTTACAAGAAGCCCATTCATTGTTATAATGGAAATTACGACAAGTAAAGCATCATCATACCAACTGGCCAATGGTTGCTCTACTGTTAGGCTCAACTTGCTCCAAGAATTGTAGAACATAATATGTGTATCGGTCAACAACATACACACCTATCTCTGGATCACTATGATGCTAGCAAATTAACAAAAGAAAAAACCCATTTTCACTTCATGCTTTACTTTACTATCTCCGATTTCAAAGATTTTCTCTGGAAAACATCCAGTCATACTAGATAACCTGGACTTACAGACAAAGAATCTTCTCCAACTTTACTGCTTCCAACAGCAAGAATATTTGGGGAGTAAAATTGTTGATGCATCGATCCTGCTTGGCATGTGTCAACCATGAAGAATATCTCATGGTACCTGAAGAAAAAATGTTGAAGTATACCATATCCAATCCATAATACCAAAGAGATACTCGATTCTATCTCTACCCTAAATCTTGCACCTTTCTTTTTGCCACATCTGTTCAAAGGCATCTGCCAACTCAATGTTTGATATTTCTTCTGAATCTTGAAATTTTAAGAATCCATCACCACCATGACCAGTCATATATACTAGAATATTACTTCTATCATCAGAAAGTAACCTTTTGGACCGTGGAACACTTGCTGGCAAACGCCCTAGATAAACATCAAAATTTTTCAACAAATTCACTGGGAGACATTTTAAGAGATTGTAATTTAGAGAATGTGTATAAAGATATATAAAGAAGGATAACATATTCTCACAAAAATTGTAAGATTATTGTATCAAGATGAGCTAGATACATTAATGATGTTCTACTATAACATTAATTAGATTATTAATGTTAATTAATGATAATTAACGTTAATTAACACATCTATAAATACCTGTGATAACTCGGATGAAGTTTTCCACAGTGACTTCATACCCCCTGTAATCAACTTCAACATCATCACCATAAACATTTGTTTGTTGATTTGAATTGCTAAACACAGTCCCTATTATATTGAATATATTTCAGTAATGGTATTACAGTATATTATTAGGCCATTAGGGTTATGAGTGCATGTTTAAGAAATCAAACTAATGTTAAATTATTTCTTTACCTGGCCTGGGATTTCTAGCATTGCAAGCCATGTCATCTGCTAACATCAAAATAATGTGACTAAACAATGGACAAAAATGAGCTTTTAAATGCAATATACAGATGTTGCATACAGATGGTGAATTACTGTATCAAATGTGGTTCAGCTATTGAAACTCAAACATTCCACTAGTTTTACCTATCTGGAATTCCCAATTGTTTAACACTCCTATATATTGCCAAGCTATTAGCAACATGGCGATAGTTGAACCAAAATCGTGAGGTACAAACCTTGAAAAAATTAAGAATAAACTCAGAGAACAGTTATAATCACAAATACCTTGTAGTGTTTCACAATGGGGACAGAAATTATAAAGGCATAAATGTTTACAGAGGTGACACAGCCCTAAATATTACACAAGACACAAGAATCTGATCCAGTGTACTTTCGCCGTATTGTACCATTAAATATCAGACTGCTAAGTGGATTAGAGATTGCATCAATAGTGTCCCAATACAGCCCATACACGCGTAAGCGATCTCGGTGACGAGTCGGTGTGAGTTGGTGAAATGTTTTTTAAAATTAAAAGAACATACTATAACAGCCCAGTTGTTGGTGTGCTTTGATGAGAATGCTTTAGACAAGTCAGGAGTGGCACTATAAACATGGCAAAACAAGAATATAAACAAATAACCAAGAAAAGTTAAATTTTTCCACGCCTTGTCGGCCGCCATGTTGAAAAATTTATCTTGATCATCGGAATTACTCGCTTTCGATTTCGTCACGAAGCCGTCCGACTCAATTTTTTGGTGAAATTTGATCTTTCATACATTTGTAGTAAAAATAAATCACGCTTGAAAAAGTTACAGATTGGTAAAATTTTACAGAAATTTTACAGTTTTTGCCGTTACATATCAAAATATTTTCTTGAAAGAGTTTAGGAAGATCATTGCCAGATTCTAAAATGATTAATAAATATTCGAAAATGATTAGTCTAATAGTTACAAGTGTTCCAGTTTCCATGGCAGCATGGCAAGGTTACGGTCAAATTTTAACAACAAAATATTTTGGCACATTCAACTTTTATGATCTTTCGATCTCACACACGGCAAAATGACGACTAGAGATGCCAAAGAGTATATGAACAAATTAGAAATACCACAGCTTTTTGAAGTAAGGTTTCCTTATAAATCATAGTTTGATTTGATTTTGATTTCACATGTTATATGTTCGAGAGGATTTTTTATCATGTATGTATTTAGTACTAATTGTTACCTTGATTAAGGCTTGAGCGAGCCAGACTGACAAAACGCGTTTTCTCAAGATTAAGAGTGTGGTTTTGTACTAAATCCAGAATGTAAACGGTCCTCTAGCAGGGTATTCAGAATAACTGCCTAGCCTAAAGTAAACGCTAACTGGGTTTAATTGTTCCTTTTGCTGTTTTTTTGCACGGCTTGTCCTTGTGTCTTAGCGTAAGCATTTCTTTGCAACAACGGGATGTTTAATTCAAATACCCAGATTACCAGTACTGGTATTACCATTTTGATTACCATTTTCAGCTTATATATCAGTATTGCTTTGTTCTCAAATCTCAGATCATTTCTACTTTGACGTAGTATTTCTACCAGGTTTTTTTTATATATAATAGTAATACAAACAGTCTACATAGATTACAATTGCAGGTGCATTTATATTACGTCTGCTCGTAAAAATGAACCTACAGCAAATTTCATCTATTGTTTTTGTAGAGTATGCTTACTGGTTTGCTGTACAACAAACCAGATGACCACTTGCAATTTCTTGGAGACTGTATCAATTCTGCAAAACAAATTCCCAACCTAAAATGGGACAGTTTTCTTGACCATAGCAAGAAACCATTGCCTGCCATCCCAAGAGCGTCAGATGGTCCAATTCGATCAGAAAGTTTTGGCCTCTCAGATGAGCCAGTGTTCCCAACATTTAAAACTGAGCCAGTACTTGAAATGAAACTTCAAACAAAACTTCCAGCTATCAGGAAAGACAGTGAAGATGATGTACCAGTAGAAAGCAATCACATTTCTTATGAACAGACTGTAAATGAGCATTTTCTTAATGGAGAAAGTGGACTTCAATTTAAGGAAAATCAATTTACAAACCAGACTGTTATTTTTGTGCTTGGTGAGTTAAACACATATCTTTGGAGCCAGTTAGATCATTGTTACTGAACTCTCCCTGCATGACCCTGGTACTGGGGGGAACATTCCAGTTTTGTCTAAAGATCTGGGTCCAATAAAAAATGAAGCACAGCTAGGGACAAAACTAGATGCAGTAATAGCCTTCTGAAGTGCTTACGTCACACAGTTTTCTATCTATACAATTTTGTCCCACTTGTTTCCCAGATTGCATTGCGATTCATTGTTCGAGACCGACATGACGTAAGCACCTCAAAGGTCTATTGGAGGTGCATATTCATGTGTTTTGTCTGGGCCCGATGTTTTTTTTTTTTTTTGTATGTATATCTACAGTACATATGTTATTTTCAAATGAAATTTGTGGGGTGCAGAACAGAGTATTGTATTTCGAAACTTTGAGATTCCTGAATTTTCCCATGGATAGTGCTACCAAACTCCATACTTTTGCCCATGAAAGGCTTCCACTGCAGCCTTCTTTAGCCAAGTCCGACACTTCCAGACTGCCATGCAGTGACCAATAACTATGCCTATATACATGCATTTTTAAATTGATGAACTAGGTGGACCAGGATCAGGCAAGGGAACACAATGTGAAAAGATTGTGAAGCATTTTGGGCTAACACATCTGTCTGCCGGTGAGCTTTTAAGGGAGGAAGTTGCAAGAAATACTGGAAGGGCTGCCTTGATCGCTGAGTTTATTAAAGAAGGAAAAATTGTTCCTCAGGTAGGATATACTATATAATTGGATTTGGGGTACATGCCTGTATTTTTTTGGAGTTAATATATAATAGTGGAAAGTTTGTTTGAGGGTGTTACCGTATACATGTTTCACATGCAGATTCCACAATGCATTTATGTAAGCTGATGTCGCCTCTTGACTGTAGGAAATTACTATTGAACTCCTGAAAGATGCTATGTTGAAACATTCTGAGAGTCCAGGATTTCTAATTGATGGTTTTCCACGAGAGGTTGATCAAGGAAGCCAGTTTGAAAATGAGGTACGTATATTATTAGCTATATATGGTATAAGGTTTTTCATAGCATCCCATCAACTATTGTTTTTATGGTAAATTTAGTTCATTGCATTGCTTACTCTGCATAAGTAAGTTCTCAGTCCTGAGTTCTATCTGAAGACTGGAGTTTTCTTTTTTTTGCACCTTTTGTATTCATTATTTCCATTTATTATTTTTCCTGATCTATTCCATAATTGTCACTAATTACTTTAAATTTTAGGTGACTAAATGCGACTTTGTGTTGTTCTTTGAATGTTCTGAAGAAGTGATGGAGGATCGTCTTTTAAAACGTGGTGAAACCAGCGGTAGAACAGATGATAATGCTGACACAATTAAAAAACGATTTGACACTTTTATTGGAAAAACTTTGCCTGTTGTTCAACATTATGAAACAATTGATAAACTTAAGAAGGTTTGCAACGCTACATTGTTCTGTTGTTTTCGTTGTTCTTATTGCTGCTATTCTCTTTGTTGTTGTTCTTGCTGTTCTCTTTGTTGTTTTGTTTTTGTTGTTGTTTCTGAGTGTTGTTTCCGAGTGTTGTTGTTCTATGTTTTCCTCGTTCTGGTTGTTCTCGTGATATCTCTTTGTTTATACTGTTTTCCTTGTTATTGGTTTCATTTATGTTGTTTTTGTGTTGTTTTTTTTCCTCAGTTCAATGATTTCAGTTGCTGTCCTCCTGTTCATTCTTGCTGTTATTTTCTTCGTTGTCTTAGCTAATGTATAGTGTTAATGTTACTGTTGTAGTTCTCAAGTTATTGTTGTGTTTTCTGTATCAGGACTGAGTACCATTGCTATATGTCCAGCACTGTTACTGTTGTTGTTCTTAAGTCATTGTTGTATTTTCTATATATCATGGACTAGGTCGACGCTTGTCGTGATGTTGACGATGTTTTCCAATCAGTTTGTGAAATTTTCAACGCAGAAAAGATTTTGCCAAAGAAAGAACGGATATCAAGTACGACATTCGCGACCATTCAAAGACAAATATGAGTCATATTTTTGAGGTTGAGCATTTCTTTTTGTATAATTTTTATTCAAGGTGATGAAGCTGTAGACGATTCTTCCCAAAATTTCAGAGGACAAAGGATACTTTTTGTACTAGGTATAAAGTTACTATAAACCTAGCTGTTATGTTAATTAAAGTTACCTTCAGTCAGACGTAATACACATAGAGAGCACAGATGGTGAAGACACGATGTATCTATAGCTACATTACATATTGGCTCACACCTGCATTATCTAACGCATTGTATCAGCTGACATTACCCTAATATACTATAAAGTACGTGTTTTACCTATAGATCGAGAAAAATCGTTACTTACAGTAGGCCAAGCTTACATTAGGTTAGGCATGAAAAGAGCGACGTTTGACCTAGGCCTTTGGCTATATTGGGCTATGTTTATGATGAACACAGTCATGTTTGAATACCCATTCTTTCTATTGAAATGTTTCTTTGCAAGATGCGAGACACCGCCCTTGATTCAAACATGCCGATACACGATATTTTATAGACATCGATAGTCCCATGACTCCCATCTATCATGCAGAATTTCTGCAAAGAGTCTTTATCTCTTTTTTAGGGGGTCCAGGGTCAGGTAAAGGCACTCAATGCGAGAAGATAGTGGAGAAATTTGGTTATACACATCTCTCTACTGGCGACTTATTGCGGGTTGAAGTCGAGAAAGATACAGAGAGAGCCAGAATGATGAATGAGATGATGAAAGAAGGAAAACTAGTCCCGCAAGTAAGTATAGATGCATCAGTTTAAGTTAATTTTAATTTTAATAATAAAGTTAGTTTATTCAAGAAAAATATCCCAATCCTGATTTCCACCGACAACGCAGACATGATTGACAGCCAAGCACAAAGTATAAAACCATCACACATCTCCCGCCTGGGTGATAATATTCGATAGTTCAGTATAAGTAGAAGACTTCAATTGCTAAGACAAAACATTTTTCATTTATCTTTCAATTAGACAATCATTGTCGAGTTATTGAGAGACGCAATGCTGGAACATCCCGACAGTCCAGGATTTCTCATTGATGGTTTTCCAAGAGAATTGGGTCAAGCTAAACAGTTTGAAAACGAGGTTAGTGGACTTTATTCACTGAATGAAACAAAGTGTTTATATGGAGCGAGTTATCCCGGCTAGGCGAGGTGAAAACTGCATATAATGAAAGACTAATCAGGTCAAACCTTTGTTGTGATGCGCTTTTTCCCTTGCCTCGCCTGGATAATTAAACTCGCTCCATGTCAACAGGCCCTAATTTTTTGATGCAGTATTGTTCACACTGAAAACTAGTCGACCATAGCGAGAAAGATGGCGGAATGCACATTATAGTAATTAAACGGCATCGTGTGTGTGATAGTTAGAGACTTCCCGAGTTTCCGGTCATCTATACTTACATAATAATGTCTTTTAAACTTCTCAGCTCGCGCTTTGTGACCGGGTGGTGTTTTTCGAATGCTCTGAGGAAGTGATGGAAGAAAGATTATTGAAACGAGGCGAAACAAGTGGACGGACCGACGATAATTCAGAAACAATCAAAAAAAGGTTTCAAACCTATATTGAGAAGACGTTGCCAGTCATTGAACATTATGAAACACTTGATAAAGTCAAAAAGGTTTGTCCCATTTGTGTTAGCAGATCAATCGTTGAATTTTACAACTGGAATAAGATTTAAGATTTTAACGCGAACCACAGAATAGACATCATAGTATAATATCAATTCTGTGGCCGAAATGAGTGCGACATTCAATCGCCAAACCTATTACCGCGCATTATGTTCAAAAGAGGCTAAAATTCTGATCAGATTGGTCGTGTATTTTGGAGTAAACTACGATTTAATTACAGTATCCAAATTACTTCGATGAAATAATAATATTTTCTTTCAAGATGAAAATTAAGAAAACTCTACCGGTCCCCGATCTTTTATGGCCTAAAAAATAGCCATAACTTTAATCATGCACGTGCAAAACGTTGTTGTTTTATAGATCGATGCTACACGTGATGTGGATGAAGTTTTCCAAGATGTTTGTTCAATGTTTGACGAACTAGCAAGACCTTTGCCTGGCTTTGACAAGAATGAAACTGGTGGTAAGTTTTGTAACTAGTCTTAGCTATATGAAAATGCGAATGAAAAAAATGAGAGAAATTGAGAAGTTATCTCGAGATGGCTGAGGAAATATATCATTTTTGCACCATATTGCGGAGGAGTGAAGGGTTTGTTAGGAATTGGTCATCATTTGGAAATTCTTGTGTACCTGATCAATGAGCTACGGAGACTACAAGAGTTTTAAAAAGCTAGAATTAGCTCTCTGATGTTTATTTTTTTCCAGAAATAGCTATAATAAAACATGCGTTCATATCACCATGCATGCTAACCAATATAAAACCGTTTTGACAGGCGTTGCAAGTGACCGATTAAAAGTGGCAAGTGATCCTGAACACGCGGATACAAACATCAAGGACGCCGTAACAGATCTGCTTGCCCACATGGAGAAATATGAAGAAAAAGAGGGAGGTGGTGAAGTGGAGAACAAGGGTGAATATGTTGCTAACAAGACTGAGCAACTCGTGGTTGAGCCTATAATCACCGCTGAAGAACTGGTGCCTTTGGGAACTTTGACAACATCCTTACCGACTGAGAAGAGCTTGTTGGACGCTCGCATTGTTTTTGTTATTGGTAAACTGAATTGTCTATTTTTATTTTATTTGGCATTCTCTTTAGTCCTAGGATCCAACACGCGCGCAGGCATAGATTGAATAAGAGTTCAAAACTGAACCTTATAAAAACTGGAACGATAACTGATGGTTATACGGCTATATACGGTTACCGAATTTGAGCCCGAGTTATGCATATATCACTGCCAGTTTCTTCCTAATACCGTGAGCAATAGAATGGACTGGTAATTAATTGGGCTTCAATGGTTTTCCGAGTTGTCGTTCCAATTAAGATAGAGTTCACTGCGGTTCAAAGAAAAAACAAAATCCAAAAAACCTTACTTCAGTGATGTCATTAGGTTCGATAATGCTTGACGAGAAATTGTACCCTGGCGTGTAATATAACGAAATTATCTTCTTTTGTTAGGTGGTCCTGGGTGTGGAAAAGGGACACAATGTGCGAAAATTGTTGAGGAATTCCATTATACCCACTTATCCACCGGTGACCTGTTAAGATCTGAAGTGTCCTCAGGTTCCGAACGAGGTCAGAAATTAAACACTATAATGGAGAAAGGAGAACTCGTGCCCATGGTAGGTTTAGCAGGAAAGCACCACAGCTAGGGGAGCGGTCGAGCAGACAAACCAGTTATGAGAAAATGGTAATACAAAGCATTTCCCAATGATTTCAAATGCTTGCCGTCTTTTTAGGAAACTGTTCTGGAACTTCTAAGGGATGCAATAATAAAGCAACCGAACACAAATGGATTTCTCATCGATGGTTTTCCCAGAGAAATGGAGCAGGCAGTCCAGTTTGAAAACGAGGCAAGAATTTGATATTTACTGATTTAAGCTTAGCCTAAGCACTAAGCACTGATTTGAAAATTGATCTGTGACTGGATATAAAGCACCTATAATGACATACAAAGAACTTTTTTTGATGCTGGAAGTTTTCTAGTGTGACCATCTGTGAACATTTTTCAAATCGTTGGTAAACGAATTAGTTTTGTAGAGACTTCATGTGTCTCTCTAAGCGTAATCTGAGACATAAGCGTAATCTAAGGTGTTGATGGTACGAGGTAACATGTTATTTATCCGCTAATATATAATGGGGGCACTGGCGAAACTGATATTTGTACAAATTTATAATTTCTTTTCAATAACTATTTCGAAAGCCCTTATATATACAAGCCTTTATGTTCGCTTTACCACAATAGATTTATGGGTGTCACATCATATTGATAAAGTTGCATTCAACTGAATATTCCATATCCATCTTTCCACAGATTGCTTTATGCGAGCGTGCTCTGTACTTTGAGTGTTCTGCGGAGACAATGACAGCAAGATTATTAAAGCGAGCTGAGAGCAGTGGTCGTGTTGACGACAATGAAGAAACTATCAAGAAACGTCTGGAGACATTTTTTGAACAGACTTTACCTGTTGTAGAACATTTCGAAGAGAAGGGAACTTTACACAAGGTACACACAATTGTTTAGTTATCACGAGTTTGTGAAAGAGCGATTAACGTGACTTCGTATATTTAGTGCATGCATGCATGTTTCTCCCCAGTAACATTGATTTTGCCACACAGTATAATAATATCGTGCAATCCGTTGGTTTTACCGTTTTACTTGTATCGACCATTATAATTTCCGAAGTACTTTCGAACTGAATTCATAATCATGAGTGGGAGAACAACTTCGTATCCAAGATCTACTGTATACTCTGTATGGATCGTCTGGGGTGTGACAAAGCAAACCCCGCGTACAAGGTTGAGACTATCTCCAAGGGCGTAGGAAGCATCCAGAGGTTGGGGGGGGGGGGCACCAGCTTCTAGAGGCACTTAATTTTGGTTAATGAAAATGGCGGTTAAAATATATATATAGGGAAGGTTTGATTCAGGGACCGCCGACCGCAGAGCAATTGTCGTATTTATTGGGCTGCGTATTGCTACGGGGGTCCGGGGGCATGCTCCCCAGAGAAAATTTTGAGAGTAAAGGCCACTGAAATGGCCGCAAATCCCTCTCAATTAAGGATTATTGGGAAATAGTAGATACTTTTTTGTTTCTTTTCGCTTCCAAAAAGGCATTTTTTTCACAAAAAGGGCACTTTTGGTCCCTTGAAAAATCTTCGGGGGGGCACGTGCCCCCAGTGCCCCCCCCCCTTTTCCTACGCCACTGACTATCTCTGTTAGAGTTACATATCTTTCTACACATAAGTACATGGTTTTTCCTGTGCAGCAACACTTGCAGGGGAGTACTTCAAAGTTTTCACACGTCATACGCTGTTCTTTTTCATTAGATTCCAGCTGAAGGAAACGCTGATGAAATTTTTGTTCAAGTCAAAGAGATTTTTGATGGTCTCCCGCAACGTGAATAAACCAAATATGGTTGCATGTAAGTGGATAGAAAAGGCAACTTAAGGTACACCAAATTATTCAGTTTTTAAATATACAATGCACAACATAAAAGCGAAGACGTTAGCCTGTAACATTGTAGCCTGCCAGAAAATACGGGACGGCACAAGCTTCCGTTCGCCAATTCACAGCCTATATATACTGGGAATGATTTCTGAAAGTCCATCATGACGTCTGAGAGCATCATTTCAAGGCGTAATCACCGTAATGCTTTGCATGGAATTCGTTTGGCACACCAGTTCATGTCATAATTGAATAAACACTTCGCCAAACAGTTATACCCATTGAAAAGTTCCATAGATTTTCACGAAAAAGCCTGGGTATGAATTTGCGTCTTACCGCTTGTATATATAACATAACTTAACTATACCATACATACCACGTGCACTCTTAGTCTTGCTCCACATCATTGATATAGGAACCTAGTTGTGATAAAATATGCATGGTCGTGTATATACCGCGCAATGGGGGGCTCACCGAAGCCAAGAACCTTCCCAAACATTTTAATATGCGAGTATGACGAATTCTATCAATTACACCACTCATTGATTATTATAATTTATGTTAACTGTTGAATCTCAATATATGTATATAATATTACACGCAATCTAGAAGTAGTCGTTTTGCTGAACAAGAAATACGAGTTTTATATATATATATATATATATATATATATATATATATATATATATATATATATATATATATATATATATATATATACACCCATTTGCAAAAACGTTGGCCGCAGATAGATAGATAGATAGATACTCGAAGTCTAATTAGAATTGCATATGAATACATTTGCATGGGATTTCAATCATATTACACAACATATGCAATTCTAATTAGATTTCGGGTATCTATCTATATATCTATCTGCGGCCAACGTTTTTGCAAACGGGTGTATATATATATATATATATATATATATATATATATATAAATATATATAACTGATGTTTTTGCCGTCCCTGGAATTTTGTCGCAATTGTTTTAGAAATTTCAATGCGGTTTGGGGATGTTTTTAGCCTCCTCCGATCCTCAGGCATCACGTTTAAATTGGCAGGCGGGCGAAAAAATCTTTATACGCTTAGCTTATCAGATGCTAGGAGTGTTTTTTTAAATTTTTTTAAAATCATGAAAAATAATTGAAATTTCAAGCGTTTCAAGCAAAGTAATTATTTGCGTGACAAACAGTTTTTTGACCGTAAACTTTGGTCTGATGTGCAATCTCTTATTAAGACCAAGTGATATGAAAACAGTTTATCGGAAATGTGGCTGTGGGAAGAAAGCAAATGAATGGTAGTGCATGTAATTCATAATAATAAATTTTAATATCTTGTGTGAATTTCTTACTCTTCTGCAATAAAGATTAAAGCCTAAAACTATAGGAAACAAAATTAAGGACTAATACTGTCGTAAAAGGCATAAAGAGTATTCAATATCAGGAAAACTGTAGAAAGGAGGGCTACTTGAAATGAATGTATGATATGAAGACATTGAGGTTAACAAGGAGGAATATTTTGTTTTTGAACTAATCCGCACATTTGTTTACATTTTTCAGGCTAAGCCAATCAGAATTCCTAAATTTTTAATACTTCATGTAAAATAACAAATGATGTAACTTTTTACCGGAAGTAGTCAAGATTTATGCATTCTGATTGGCTTACTGAAAATGTAAACAAATTTGTTATTGGTCTAAAACGAAATTCCCTGAAGATTGTATCAAATGACATCTATTATTTACTGGTGTCAATCACATCTTCTATTCGGGATCTCTACGCACCTTCAATGAACCATAGTTCACAAGGAAAAGAACCGCAAACTGATTTAACGAAATGAAACAGTATATAATAATTGGCATTTTCATCCATGTACGTGTACACGATGGTAATGGTGTTTTTCTGCCATGAAATATTCCTTGTATTTGCATGTCCATTGCTTGGTACACACCTTGCGACCAGGACCATGATTAGTGCGGCCGGATTGGTCACATGACACACAGCGCATAGGACGTCGTGGTTGTGACCCTGGTCGTGACCAATGGTGGGATGTCTGTGGAAAGATGGGTGTGGAACGTCATCACTGCCGGATATTCAGCACCGTTTATTCGGCTGCGCTAACTCTGCTGGTCAGTCATATTTTTATCATAGATAGAATTCCGTTTCAAACATTCATTGTGAGATCTGCCTGCCTGAGCTATGAAGCAATATGAATATTCAAAAATGTATTATTGGTATAAAATCTATTATTGCAACTGCTTTGGTATTGTAGGCCAGTGGATCTGGAATTTTAATGGTTTTTTACGGATCTAATATTCTTCTTTATTAATCATCTTGCATTCGAGTGAAAGGTGTTGATATATAGTTCAGTGTCTTGATTCTGCTACCTCATCCGCACGCCCTTTTTCTGGGCAAATTTGCAGTTCTCCTGAGCGCCTGCGGAGTTACATGAAGTATTGCATATGGTTCACGTGATATAAGATGGTGTAAGAATGATAAAACACATGTGAGAATAATATAGTAGGTCACTCGAATACGTGTTACTCTTAAAAATATATCCGTGGTCCATATCCGTTGTTCGCTGTGTCATCCCAAACTCTCTGTTCACACGATCCTAGTTGCCGAAGGGTGACTATACTTCCAGGTGTACTGAAATAAGTAAATGTCACAGTATGGGGATTGTTTGTTGATTCTTGCATAATTGATTTTCAAACCTCGTGCACGAATTCTGTTCCTATCCTGTTGCTGTATTTGGATCAATCTCGCGTATTTGAATATGACAATATAGATTTTACACTACATATTTTTCTTCGAAACTCATTGCTGTTCGGTTCCTCTAATAGCATTTGCATAAGAGAATCGTGTTTCGAATTTATTGGTAATTGGCATGGAATCACGAAAGCATATATCTTGGCTAGAATTTGCATATAGTGATCGGGCGGCTTAACGTCTCAAGTTGCATGTCTTGACGTAAAAAACTAAAATACTTGCCCAATACGTGACCCTTTAGCGTCCGGTGTGTGAAAAAAAAGAGTATCCGTCCTCGGTTAGAATTTACCTATAAGATTAAGTGCCTTAAAAGTTGTTATGATTACTATGTTTTGATGTAAAAAACACTCCCAAAACGTGACCTTTAGGCGGACAGCGAGGGAAGGGTCGGAAAACCCAGATCTGCAGGGGCATACTACAAGAATAAGATTTTACTATTGTTAGTAATATATAAGTAACTATATGACCTATGCTATTTTTGTGAGGACTACATGAGCCTATTTACATATAGTGATCCTATTTGCTTACTGCAGTCCTGGCCCTGCATTTACAGGTTTTCAACATGCAGCTAGTTCACATTTCATGCTTCGATTTTCGTTGATAAATTGTCCCAACTTCAATCAGCTAATAGTTGACCATATGCAATTAGCGGTTTGCTGTAAATTCGTAAATTTAACGCTTTTAGTTCTTCAAAAACTGATAGTGATAGTGATATAAACACATGCATGCAGAGGATTGTGATGCATGTCTGCAGTGTCATTTAGCAAAGAGGTGCATCTAATTAAGTATCACTTAAAAGATCACTGGAAATTTTTTCAAAATTTCATACTATGGAAATATGTGCTATGCCCATACTGTTTCCATACTATATCCATAGTATATGGAAATAGCATTTTAAATTACTGTATGGATGTCATAAACTTCCATACTATTTCATACTTGCATCCATACTATATTTCCATAATATGGAGTTTGAAAAAAAATTTCAAGTGGATTAACACACAGAATGTTGTTATTATATGCAAATGTTTGTTTAAACGAGGTCTTTTTGACTTTTTTCAGTTTAACCGCGATACCGAGTTTTTAAGGGGGTGTTCACATTCGCCTGCCTGCCATGCAGGCTAGTTCACATGAGCCCGATAACACATGAGTAATATAGTTCACATGAGCCTCGGTAACCGGGCTCATGTGAACAGCCCCTAACAAACAAAAATCTTTTGATACAATGTACCGAATAGTGAGGTCTCGACTCGGACTCTAAAAGCCCCATTTACACTACACTCGATTTATTGGCACGGCACGGCTAAAATGGTTACCCGTGCCCACTTCATCCGGCCTTTGTTTTGGTAGCCTGAGCACTAGTAAAATTGGGCACGGGTACCCATTTTAGCCGTGCCTGCTGATAAATTGACCGTCACTGCATGGTAGAGAGCAGGCGTAAAGAATTCTTTGTGTCGCAATTCTGTCCAAAAAAAGCCAAACAATGCGTAGATATGGCACAACATTCCCGACTGTCTGCGCGTAATGTCAAAAACTTAATTGATGTGTATAAATGTGATCGCTTTCATAGTTTCATTCATGTTTTGATTATTCATCTTCGTTCATTCGTTTTAATAACACGTCTTTAAAAAGGGTTGGCTCGATTTCAATAAGCTAAGGGGCGTATATATATAATGGATTAATTTTCTCTATATACTTACAATACATGCATGCACCTATCGCTTTAATGTAAAAGTCTTTTGAAACGATCAATTGAGGCTATATATAACCATAGTAGCCCAGAAATCTTTTTGTACTCAGTCTTCGACTGCATTGTTTACGCGCGCGGTCAGCTTCTACTGTCTGTACTAATTACTGCATTATATATTGATAAGGTTGGCAACTTAATTTCCTAGCCAACGCGTACCTTGGGAGAAATAGTAAAAAAACTTTGGAACTACGCAGCAAAGAACACAAAAAATTACATAGAGGTAAATTAAGATACCTTTAAAAACTTCTAAAAGCCAATGAAATAATGCATATATTGCTATATATTAAGTAATTTTCATCAGTGACTGTACATTTCGTGCACATGAGAGGGACTCATGAATTAAGGCATGCATTGGTGCCGTACAAGAATATTGTATATATTGTATATATTGAGAATTAAATTTTATATATTAAGAATATTGTACATGTGCGAGAACAATCTTATGTATTTACTTGCATGTATATTTACATGTATTAGATCTCTTTTCTTTTTCATCTGAGCTGTTTCATCTTCAGCTGTTAATATAGCTATTAATCCATTTCAAGAGTTGTTCTCCAGATGCTTCCTTGCCTAGCTTATACTAACAAGGAAGAATTGTCAGGCGAGCATTAAAGAGTTAAGCGAATTTCCTTCACTATAGTTATTTTTTTTTTACTTTATACCAAAAATTTATCTTATTTGCAAAATATATATGCCACGTTAATTTGTCGTGTAGATTCCGAATGTGACGTCAAAAGGGTCTGAATTATGAGCTTCGCGTAATTCTGTCACAATCTGCTCCTGTTGACACCCGGCAGCCCTGTACTGTAGCCATATATGTAGTCATAATCTGCTCCAGTAGCTGGCATGCAGCCAAGCGTTCCAACAGAAACAAAGGGTAATTTTCCTCATTTATTTCCCCTAGCTATATATATGTCTCCATGGCTACCTTTTTTCTATATACATGCATGCAGATATCATTTAAATGTGTGGCCTGTGGGCTTTCCAGTTGGTTTATATGGATTCGCGGTAATGTATCACTGCCGCATTTTGTTGTCCACCTATCGATTCTTTTAAAAAATCTTAGTTCAGCATGCCTAGTGCCTTCAGGTTAGGCGAAATTATCTGACGATACAAAAATGT